GAAAATGTAGGAAAATAATTTACAATTGCCTATTTATTTTTATATCTGGATTATAGTGTTCTGTTTATTGTTAATTTTATATAAAATTGTACAGGTTTGGGAATTACTTTCAAATATCTTGTACATTACTGTTCATTGGCATCATGTTTTAGAAAATTACATCTGGTTACAAGTCAGCAACTGTCCCAACTTCTGCATTATACTAGAGAATATATTTGACAATTGTAATAAAAGCATACATTTTACATTATTTAGATACAGTAAGCTTAAGATCAGTGATCTGTATCACTGATCTGTATCTGTGGATGCCACAGTATCCCATCAACTCTGCACTTGGCTGCTGAAGCATGTGCTCCTTCTATTTCATTTTTTTATGTCTCCTGAAGCTTAATTGTGATGCTGTGCCTTCATTCCTTCCATTCTATAGCATTCCCCTGATCATCAAATGAATGAAGCATATTCTCTGAAAAAGAAAGAAATAGATTGGAAATTCATTTTTTTACATGCCTAGCCAGCCAATTAAAATTTCTTTTTAAAAAGAGTAGACTAGAGGAAGGGAAGAAATAACTCTGTGGGCTTTTGCCTATGTATGTGAGCAATTGTAGGAAGTAGCAGTTCTTAACTACTAAGAAGTAGTTCTTAGTTCTGAAAAGTTTATTTTGAGACAACTTGTTTTTTGTGCTTTGGACAAATTCTTCAAAATGTATCTATTTTTCCATGGGAGGGCAAGATTAGTTTTGTCTCTGTTTATTTGATTAGTTTTAGGATTTTTCTCCAAATCATCAGTTTTTACTCTGGGAATTGATTTTAATTCCATTCTTGTATGTGTTTTTTGGACTCAAATATGTGATTTATCATTTGGATTCTTTTCTTTGTGGTAGGTTTCTTAGATATTTGAGCCTCAGCAGTTGTCATTCTCTGTTTTCCTTTTGTGAAATGGATATATTTTAATGCTATGTTTAATTAAATTGTTAGCTTTATATTAGGGGCTTCCTTTGGTTTTTAGTCCGATGATATGTTTATCCCATCAAATCTTTTATTTTATAATTGTGCTAGTGAGAATTTCTTGATTTTCCTTATGTCCTCACTGATAAAAAAAATTAAATGGGACCTGCATAGTAACTGAAATAACGAAGTGCATAGATCTAATTTTGACATGAATTATGTGGCTATTAAACCCAAAGTTATTAGTCAATTTGATCTGCAGAATTATATTTTATTTTACATTCTACTTATAGCTTGTTGTTTTTAAAGTTCTGAAATTTCAAACTGACAAATAATATACAAAGCTGTATTCAAGCAGGATGTGAGTAAAGAGGAAACAGCTATAGTTATCAGTCTCTGTCACACACAGAGTTGGCTGTTTTCAGAAGCCGGCTGCATCAGGATAGCTATACTTAGCAGATTCATTTTGACTACCTCAAAGTTTGTTTGAAGTATGTTTCTACATATTTTAAGCTAATTTAGACCCAGCCAATGTGGCATTAATTTGTTTTTCTGTTTCTTGGTCATTGTGAGATTTGTCTCAAAAAAGGGACATTTTACTGCATGTTTTACCAAAGCCCTTGTTTTGTTTTGTTTTTGGGAAAATGTTCAGAGCAGTTGACAAATGTTTGGAAAGCTCTAGTAACACAGTGGATAAAAATTTATTTTGACAGAATCAAAATGAGACAAGAAATCTTAAATTTCTTTCTCTTTTGAAATGAATTTAAAAAAGAGATTATTTTAATAATAATAAAAGCAAAATGGGGAACATAGAGATTAATTTAGCATTTTGAAATAAAGAAATTTGTTTTGCATATTCATTTTGCTCTTAATTATTCCCTTTTCCTCAATTTTTCTTTAAGGGCTTATGTTTATTTTAATGAGATTAGCAATGATATGAAGAATTTGATTATTGTATATATTTATTGAGATTGCCCTGAGGTAGAATGACAGTATACAGAAAATTTATGTCAGATGTAAGTGGCCTTCAATCTAAAACAGCCTTTGTGTTTTGGCTTAATATGCATATTATCCTCAATAAACTAGTTCAGCATGGAAGCAATACGATAATTGTTTTATGTTTTGTATTTTTATATTTTATTTTCTGTGTTTCATACTGGTTTTTCCACATGCATTAGTAAATATGTTGTGTGTGTGATAGTGAAAGACAAGAAGACAGTGAGTTTGAATCTGATATATTTCTGTCATGAATCTGATATGTTTCTGTCATGATATATAGATGGATAGATGACAATTTTTTGTACATTATAAACACATAAAGGTTGATCTAGTTATTTTCATATGCTTTTTTTGTAATTTGGTGCCACTCAGATGACTTGGACTACAGTCTTCATCATTCCTAGCCAACAAAATAATAGGCTTTTATTATAGAACATATTGGAATTCAGCTGTCTGTATATAGACTGTTGTTTCTATGTATGCATTCTAATTTTGGGATTGCTGAATTAGATCAACCTTTTTGTGTATTTATTTTGCAGGATATTTTTTCTGTATGTTTCCTGTATCTGTATGATGTCTGCTGTAAAGGGGGACTAATAGCGATAAAGGGTACGTGTTTATTTTTATGTCCTGTCATGGATTCACAGATTGCATTTGAGGTTAATCTCATCTGTAACATTTCCTGTCTATAAAGTAACCCTCCAGGAAAATTTGTACTATAAATTCCTTTTTTGACAGCATGCTTGTGTTTGATTTGGTGGTCAGACTGCTGGATAGCTTACTGTCTTGATTTACCTGTTTGTATATGCACAGTTCCTAATTTTTGGCTATGGCCTGTGTTGGGATTTACTAGGCCTGAGATGATGATACCTTGTTTCAGACCATACCTTTTAGAAATCCCTTGGTTCTGCCCTCTTAGTGCTCTACAGTGTGCATTAATAATTTTACACTGGGAACAATCTATTTTTTGATGGATCCAAAAAATGGAGAAACACATGGTGATACTTCCAAGCAGATTTCTTTATTATTCCATTCCTATAGACAGAATCTTGCCAAAATGAAGTATTCAGCTATCTACATCAAGCATATACTCTGAAAACTATTAGGAAGGTTCTGTCTTCATCCTCTTTCTGTTACACAAACTGAACAGCTCTGAACTGAGCTGCTTCTTAGTGTTCTGGAATGTATCCCCTCTCTCCTGGGAATCCAGACTACTGTGTTCCATCACAATTTAACATATTCTGCATGTTTTTCCATCTCATTTCTTTTCATTATTTGACCTATTCCTTTAATTGTTTCAATGTATCTTCATTAACACCTAATAGGGAAATAGTAATTTAATTCAGATTGAGAAAAGGCATAATCTGCCTTTTATAGCCATAATTTTACTTCCAAATTAAGTTGATCATGGTAACTCAAACTACTGAATCCCAGATTAGTGGATTCTGGGATAAATCTTACCTTTAAATATTGCTAAATATTGTCATAGATTTATCTTATTATAGATTACAAAAACTAGAAATTAGAGATTTTTATAAATTGTAAATACAGGGAAAATGTTACGCATTCAAGGAATCATTGCTGTTTTCTGTCAGGAGTGCTCTGTCGGGTAAATATTACAAATTCTAATTGTAATAATTTAATAATTGTAATAATTTAATCTAATTGTGTACTAATTTTATTGTACCTTTGTCTTTTTGTGGCAGATTATCTCGATGTATGCCTCACAGAATGCTACTTTCTGTCTGTACTTTCATATTTATTATCTATTATTTGGGAGCTCCTTTGGTCTTTATAGGGTTGAGAAATCCTTTGGTCTTTATAGGGTTGAGCATATAGCTTATTTAATGTATAGCTCAGTACACTAAATTGTTTGGCTTCTACTGGCTTTTATATTTAATACACTTTAAACATTAACGTGGCAAATAATGTATTGTTCTTGTGCTCTTTACTTCAGAGATAGGCAAAAGATGGTTCAGGATTTATTGGTAGATCAGATTCCTTGCCTTTTTCCCTAGATAAGCAAGGTTTATGACTCCCAGTTGTTTGCAAAAGCCACAGTAGAGTAATTGTTCTGTTACATTTTGGATGACTGGTAAGTAAAACAGAAAGCAGAGAATGGATATTAGTATGTTTCTATAAATATGTACATGCGTATGTTAGATAAAATCGGTTCTGATTTTAGAACCAATCTGGCCAGAATCTCTTAGGCCATATTAGATATATGTCATACAAATGAGGAATTATACCATACTATAGCTCATTACTTTCATAGACCCCTCTTTGTATATGTATCTATAAAACACATAGTATTATTTATTTGTGTATATATTGAAAATTGCATGGCACATATTTCAAAAGCTGAAGAAGTGTATTCATTTCTCCAACATGGGAATGCAAATATTTTGTTTGAAAAGGAGAGGCTTATCAATTGAAGCAAGGCAAATTGCATGCCTATGGTGGCAATAGTGGTTGGGAACATATCCTGCTGCTATATTACAATAAATGGAGAATGTCTGAAGCATTGAAAAGTTGGAGAAGAGGTGGTCTCGGGGTTTTTGTAGTTGTTATTGTTTCTGTCCTCAAGAGAATCTCTTGAGTTTTAACTCTTTTCATGTAAACCTTTAAAACAGCCTACTTCGTTTCCTCAGATATTGATTTAAACTCTAATTGTAGCATGTGTCTTCATGTCTTGGAGACTGTGGTGAGTTTGAGTGAAAGTATTATGTATGAATGTGTGTGGATACAGAATTGGGGGGGCAGTGATAACAAATGTGTGCAGTAGGATATCTCTACTTACTTGTATTTCTAATCATATACTATAATTATATGTTGCACTGACACATTTATCCAGAATCACTCTGAACAGTTTCCAATAAACAATATAAAAAGTATTATCTTAGAGTATCATAGCATACTTTATCTCTCCAGAATCTACTACCTCTGATAAAGTAGTCTGTCATTTTGAAAATTGAAACACTAATGAGGTAGGTCTTTGTTGTTTCCCTTCTCTTTTAATATTTCTGGGGTTTGGACACAATTTTCTTATCTTACAGGTTATTACCCCATGTCGAAAACTCATCTTGTGTGCTGACAACAGAAAAGAAATGGAAGACTGGATTGCTGCACTAAAAATTGTACAGAATCGTGAACATTTTGAGGTGATGTTAGATAAAAATATGGATCCATATTGCTTCTTATTCTTATGTCCTGTATGTTTCATCAATTATGATAGTATCCTTTGAGGTCAGTTGTCATAAGTGTATTCAGAAGGAGAATAGTTTTTAACAATGGTAAATTATCTTTTTCAGCATGGAGGCTCACTATATTTATGTCCCTTTCTAATGCCTATAAAAGACATATGGAAGTGTATGAAGGTGTAGATAAAAGGCCTATTCGTTTATTAGCATAAATATACAGATAGTCCTTGACGTATGGCCACAATGGAGCCTAAAATTTTGTTGCTAAGTCAGACATTTGTTAAGTGAGTTTTGCCCCATTTTATGACCTTTCTTGCCATAGTTGTTAAGTGAATCACTGCAGGTTGTCACTAACTTAGTAACATGATTGTTAAGTGAATCTGGCTTTTCGATTGACTTTGCTTATCAGAAGGTAGCAAAAGGTGATCACATGACCCTGGGACAACTGCAACCATCATAAATATAAGTCAGTTGCCAAATGTCTGAATTTTGATCATGCGACCATGGGGATGCTGCAAGGGTTGTTAAGTGTGCAAAATAAGTCACTTATAAGTCACTTTTTCAGTGCCATTGTAACTTTGAATGGTTACTAAATGAATTGTTGTAAGTTGAGGACTACCTGTATTACATATTATTATTAATGTGATAGGCTTTTCCAGTAGATTGTATATTTAAAGGACTTACTACTACCGTAAATGCCGGCGTATAAGACGACTTCCGCGAGCGCTGAAATTGGCACCAAAGACGGGGGTCGTCTTATACGCCGAGTCGTCTTATACGCCAGAAATACTGATAGTTTCCGGCGTATAAGACGACGTTCTAGGAATGCAGCCCGGCTATAAAGATGGGGTCGTCTTATACGCCGGGTCGCCTAATACGCCGGCATATACGGTATATTAATAGCTCACCAAGGTAAATGCAGAAATAAGTTACTAATACATATTTTATCAAAAGAAGTAAAAAAACTAAATAAATATACACAAACTAACCAAGAGCCAAATTTAATAGTTCAGTTGTCACAAAGTTTGCCAACAATAATTTTCTCTTGAATCTGATGAAACCACAGGAATTCAAAGACTTGACTAGAAAAGAGTTTTTGTTGCAGATATAAGCAGTCTTAACAAAATGAAGAACAGCATCCAGGTGGTACATACTCAATGCAGTGTTCATTCATTCATTCATTCATTCATTCAGTTTTTGAGGTTGTTCAATTCTCCAAGGTCTCTGAGTGACTTACAATTTAAAAAAATAAGAAAAAGAAGAACGCAGTTGACTGGAATACAGAATCAAAAACCAAATAGGCTCAGTCACTGTCCTAAAGCATTCCTTAAGCTTAAACTATACATGCTCCCCCTGTGGTGCTAAATGGGTGACAACAACTAGATGGACCCGTATTATCTTCTGGGCCTTGCGGCTGTGACAAACAGAATTGTATAAAATCAAATAGCCCTTTTGGGGACAGCATTACACACATGAATCATCCTAACCAAGGACCTGGGAGAATCCACCAGATCTTTACAATTTGTAAAAACTCAAAAGTGTGGAACAGTGCAAGTCATCTAAATGCCTCAGTATTTAAATCCTAAGCCTCTTTCTATTATTAGCCTTTTAAATAAATATTTTAGAATATGTTTTCATCTGGCCTGGCTTTTTGCACAATCTGGCCTTTGACTACACAATGGTTCTGTCATACCAGGATTGTTTCCTGCCTTTCCAACTCCAACCTTCACCCATAGTGACAGGGTAAGGAGAAGCTATGGTGGAAAGATTGTCCCTTTTTAAGCCCCAAATATATATTTCTTTGCCTTCTCTCAGGAAATAGTTTTGGAGCCACATTGCAGGTTTTTCCTTTTTTAAAAAATTGTAATTCACAACTTTCAGCGAGAATAAATACTGATTCTTTTAAAAGAGTAATACTGTAGTTTTTTTTTTATCTGAGGAAAAATATTTTGCCTTGTTGTCTTTTGAGATAATTTTCTGCTATAAAATTGCAGTGCATTTAGAAAACTATGAATGTGAAATATATTTCCTGCACCTTTCCAGCATATTTTTCTTTTTAAAAATTAATTTGAAAAAAACTTTACATGTCCTGTTAAGCAATTACTACTTCCCAGTAGCTCTAAAGAATAAATTTTCAATAGTAAACGTTGATAATTTATAGACATCTATAATATATTATATATACTGTATATTATAATACTATAATATATAATCTACAGATAATATTGTTCAAATCAGCAGGTATGTAATCTTATAACATTATATTGATAGGTTGCTCCCTGTTATTAAAGAAAACATTGAGGTTCCCATACAGAAGTTATAAGTTTCAACAGTCTCTTGTTTCTAGTGGCTACTATTAAAGTTTATCAGCCAAGCCAAATTCAAAGATTATGCACTAGTATCCTAATTAAAAATTCATTGGGGTGGCCATTTCTTGCTCTCTCATTAATCTTTATAATGCATAGGCTGGAAGAATCCATTTGATCCTCACAGTACTCTTCAGTTTATTTACTTTTTTCTCCTTACTTGAATATGAGATGGCATTCTTACTCAATTTTTATGTATTTAATATACTTTGTATTGACACAAAACTAGATTTATAAAATTAAAATGAGTATTTTATTTTATGTTACATTTATTTTTAAATAACCTTAGGTTTGTTTGAATGTAATTTGCAGTCTACCCAGTACAGTATGGACCATTTTTCAGGAATGCATAACTGGTATGCTTGCTCACATGCACGTCCAACGTACTGCAATGTGTGTCGAGAGGCATTATCTGGGGTCACATCTCATGGACTATCCTGTGAAGGTAAAAAATTTTTTTATAATATGTTGCTTGGCACATGAAATTATGGGCTTACAATAACTTATAAAATCTATTATCCATTAGATAGATAATAATGGTCAAAAGAGTTTTAATAAGAATAAAGTAAAGTATTTGATTTCATATCCTGATATTTGACAAATGAGGCTCATAAAACTTATAAAAAAATAAATAACTACACCAAGTTAAATAGTACAGAATAAAACTGTTTGATTCTATATGTGCTTCCAGTTTATGAATTCCTGATTCCAGTAAGTAAGACACCAAAAAACAAAAATAAGCAAACAAAAACAGACACCAAAAATGAGGAATGGAAAAGATGGGAATTACAATTTCTCACAGGTTAATTCATTATGTGCTTTCCCCAATACATAGACACTTTTTTTTTGTTGTTGTTAGTGTGCAAATTTAAGGCTCACAAGAGATGTGCTGTCCGGGCAACTAATAACTGCAAATGGACAACGCTGGCATCCATTGGGAAGGATATCATTGAAGAGGAAGATGGGGTATGTAAAACAACATTTTTCAAAGGGTGATTTTTACCAAAGATATTGAAAGCACACTGAATAGGGGGCTTCCCTGCTAAGACACTCTGAAGGTTTCAGTGAGGGACATTTTTAATTTTTTGGAGCACAAGAGTATTTATTTTTTTCCTAACATTTCTATAATGCTCCCAGTTGAGGAACTATTGTATGCTGTTTATTTAAAAATGAGCTACTCCTGAGGTTAGAAATTTTTGGTGATCTTGAGATGGTGGAAATATCTCAAGACAATAATCAAAGAAATACCAAACAGACACTTGAAGAATATTTTGCCTGGCTCTTTCCAAGTCTTTTGGAATTCAATAAGCCTTGAAGAAGAGGTGAGATCTGTTTTAATTCATCTGTGACTAAACAATAAATCATAGTTAATCCTAGAAGTAGCAAGACTGAAAAAAGATTTTTCGCATTCTTCGAGCCCCATGGTAGATATATAAGTTGTGGTATAGAAATACTTTTCTGATACTACTGTAAAAAAGAGCTTCAAGTAAAATCTCTGCTGCTGCTTACTACATTCTTTAAACCAGTCGTTCTCAACCTGTGGGTCGGGACCCCATTTGGGATTGAACGACCATTTCACGGGGGTCGCCAAACAACGCAGTCCGCCATTTTTTTCCCCTTTTCCTTAACTGTGCTACTCCCTTTTATTCTATTGGCTTTTGAAAGCCAATAGAATAGACTCTCTTGAATAGAGTCTAATTCAATTGGCTTTCAAAAGCCAATAGGAATTGTCCAGGCTGTCTCTGCCCTGCTGAGCCCGCCAAAAGTCCCATTCTGCAAACGGTGCTGCACCAGTTGAGTAGTCCTCGACGTACGACTGAGTAGTCTTCGACTTACGACCGGTTGGGGGTCGCGGCATTAAAAAGGTTGAGAACCACTGCTTTAAACCCTAGCAGAAATACAACCTGTCATATTTGTGAGACTCCTGGCTTAGGGAGAGAGAGGGAGAGAAAGAGGGAGGGAAGGAGAGAGAGAGGGGTGGGGCTTTGTTCAAAGGTATGGGAGGGAGGGAGGGAGGGAGGGAGGGAGGGAGGGAGGGAGGGAGAGATTTCTGTAAGTTGCACTAATATTTGAATATATTAAGCAGGCGAGAAGTACTTTGTTTCTCATTTTCTCTAAATAGTAGCATAAGAGAAATTTCAGGAAAAGAAGAAACTACGCTTGATTATTTAATTTTCTTGGGAACCCATAAGATGAACTGAGAAGCTGACAGTTGAATTTGTAAAAATCTGCCTGGATATACGCACTGCTATCCTAGAATCTTGATGTAATCCACCAGAACTATTTTAGGCATTTAAGAAGGCAGATCTGTATTCCAAACTACATGAATATATGTTATATTGAAAGTGTTATAAAATAAGGGATTTCTATGTTCTACATGTGAAGAAATATCTGTTTATATTGTAATGGCTTTTAAACTTGTCTTGTTAAAAAAATTAATTCTGGTTGAATAGATTTCAATGCCACACCAGTGGCTGGAGGGAAACCTACCTGTGAGTGCCAAATGTACAGTGTGTGATAAAACATGTGGCAGTGTCCTACGCTTGCAAGACTGGCGTTGTCTTTGGTGCAAAGCCATGGTAAGTAATTATAGTGCATTGCTGAGAGTTTCAGCTCTCCTTTGGTATATATTACAGGTGTATTTTCATAGGCTGAGAAAGGGTTTCAAGTTTTTTTTCTTTTTTGCCAAATACCATTCTTCTAACTAGTTATGAGAAATTGCCATTCTTAATAAAATGCGGAAAATGATGACCAGGAGAAATTTTACTAAGTGTCAAGCTGCAATATTTTTAGCACCTAGAATTTTCTTATACTGAATAAAGGAGATTTGGTAAACAGTTGGCTTGTTTACAAGTGCCTTGTTAAAAAAAATCCCATTTGAAAAAGTAATAAATATTCTTGAATTCTTTCACATTTGGAATTTGGAACTTAACTATGGCCTTGTCTTAATAGGCTGTCCTGTGTTTTGGCAAGGCTTAATTATGAACAACTTAATACAGAACAATGTTAGATGTATCACTGTATCCTCAATTCAAATCTTAAACATAATAAATTTCTTAATATTTTATGTCTGTATTATTGTGTGGGAAAAAATATTAGAAAAGCAAATGAAAAGTCAGAAACCAGGCGCTACAAAATTTAATGGGTGTGGTTTTATTGTTACAGGTACATACCTCATGCAGAGACTTATTACCAACAAAATGCCCCCTTGGCCTTTGTAAAGTGTCTGTCATCCCTCCCACAGCTCTCAACAGCATTGATTCTGATGGTAAGTCATTATAATTGCTACTGTTTGTCAGTGTTGTCCCAGGGGAAGAACAAGAGCAGAAATTAAGAAGTATTCTCTGATGACTGAACATATTTATTGGTCATGGCATACTGAGCTACAGTTAGATGAAAGAACTGGAACACCTGGTGATGGGAAGGAAGAAATAGAATATTCCTAAGAAGAAAGAGAATATTCTAGCTTTCTGGACCCTTAAAAAAGATTTGGGTTTTATTCCAAATCTGATCTGCATTTTATATACTTCTGTTTCAAACTAATTACTTTTAAAATAATTTTTAAAAATCAGTTTGTTTTATCTTTTAGGTAAGGCCATAATCGTAAAACAATAATTATAATTAAACTTCTGTAAGTGTATAATTACTAATTTTCCTCAATCATTGTTTTTTCCTCCAGGTTTTTGGAAAGCCACTTGTCCTCCTTCTTGTACAAGCCCTTTGTTGGTCTTTGTCAACTCAAAAAGTGGAGACAACCAGGGTGTAAAGTTTCTTCGAAGATTTAAACAACTGTTAAATCCTGCACAAGTCTTTGATCTTATGAATGGAGGACCTCATCTTGGGTAGGCAAATTGCATTCTATTTATAAAAATTAACCATTCTTATCTTCTGCTCAGAATAACCAATTTGGAACAGTTTGAAACATCGCTTTTGGTGTGGGCATAAAGGTAAAGTGCATGTATGTTTGATCTGGAGATGAGTTGTAATACGGACCAAAGTTTTTCAGCAGTGTAGCAGCAGAAAATTTTTTAGGACTATTGAGTGATGCCACATAGTTCAGGAGAGATAGGAAAAAATGATTGCTGAGAAATTGAGGGGGTTAAATTGGTAGGTGAGAATAGGAGAATAAATGGATGCTGGCTAAGAGTGAATAGTGAGGATTGGGAAGAGACAGTGGAAGAGAAAAGAGGGTAAGTGCAACAGCATTGCTCTACTCTGTCACAGCAACCTTCCAGATTTTTTTATTGGCTGAAACCTGGCACTTCTGCCAAATCACAATCCTCCTAAAATGGTTTGATTGAACTTCTTAAATGCAACGTGTTTGGTTCAGGCTCAAAACAAAACAGTGTTTCTGTTTTGTCCACATTTATATTGAGCTTACCTTCATATATCAAAATTTGTTCCTATGAAACATTGCACTACCATTATTACTTAGGTCATTTTAGTGAGTATATCTTATCAATAGGTATGGACGATACAACCAAAGGAAGTCTTCTCAGAACGGTTGTCATTTCCTTATATTTGATTGTTTTAATTGATATTTAATTATGTTTTTGAATAAGAATTATTTCATATTTATGAATATTTTAAATCATATCAAATTGTTTATTTATCCAGCTAGTACTGTAAAATTTGCCACTGAGGGACTTAACATCTTCTGCATGCCAAGCAAGTGCTTATTCACTGAGCAGTTGTCCAATGTGTATTTATTTCATTCACATCTAGCATAAAAATAACTTCTCCTTTACAAAGCTCCATAACATCATTTGTGTGTTGAAATGCACAAAACTGTTTTTTTAGAAGATGTATCTGCTTAATAAAGAACTGTACTATGTTCATTATATGATCCTGTAATTCGAAACTTATTCAGATTAATTAAAAATCCAATAAATATTTTATATTATTGCTGTGCAGAAAATGCATACAGTGGATTCTTAGCATTCTCAAATTTGAATAATATGTTTAATGGTAATTTTTTTTCCCCTTTTCAGTTTACGTTTATTTCAGAAATTTGACACTTTCCGAATTCTGGTGTGTGGTGGGGATGGAAGCGTTGGATGGGTACTCTCTGAAATTGATAGCCTCAGTCTCCATAAACAGGTACCTTTCTAATACCACAGTGTTTATCCCTAAGTGAAAAAGAATAAATCCCCCCAAAAGGCAAACATGATTCATGCCAAAATGTTATGAAAAATAAGTATTTGAACTTGAAAGTTTATATGGCAAATATGGGGTTTTCAATTTTAACATGGGATGCAGCAATTTGTGTGGGACTTGGTGATAAAATCATAAACCCTTGAAAGTTCAAAGGTACTGTCCTGTACAACTAGCAATTTATACAGAGTTGGTCACCATAAGAAACTTTTTAAATCATTGCAATTCCCAGCCCTTAGCCACACTTTCCTAATAAAATTGGGAAGTCCCACATTGTTAATTAGCTGTGCATAAACAGCCTGCCAAATGGAGTTCTGTCCTGACATATTTGAAATGATTCCTGGGCAGCTATTTCATTAGCCTTAAAATGGCTATTTTCTTAGAAGATACTGCTAATTAAGCACAATTATTTATAATAATTAGTTATGATGGTAAAACATCATAGCAGTAAGACTAAAATGTTAATCTTTCATCAGAGATTAATTACATCCGTAATTAAAATTAGTTTGCCATCCATCCCTATTAAGAAATAGCAGCTTTGTTTTGGTTGTTGCCAGGCTTGCAAAAAAGGAAAACAAAAATTTTAGATACGTTGAAAAGTTTTAAAATAAAAGTTATACAATTCAATCCCAAGTGAGGATTGAAAAGATGATGAAAAAGATTTCAAATAAGCCCTTTTGAACAAATTTGTTAAAAGAATGATGCAAAACAATTTTTTTAATAAATACCATATGTGTAAAGGGAGTGCACAAATCAGATATTCACTGAGGAAGCTCAAGCTGGCAGGGAGAACCTGGAAAAATGTTGATATAGTATGAATAACACATTAATCTTTTTATCGTGTAATTTTATTTCATGCATCTTTCCACATTAATGAAATTAGAATGACTTTCTTCAGTGTTTCTCTTTTGTGACTGTTTTCAGTGAAGCTCTTTTGGTTATGCTGTGTTTTTATTTTTCCTTTCCTATACGTAGTGCCAGCTGGGTGTCTTGCCTTTAGGTACTGGCAATGACCTTGCACGTGTGCTAGGTTGGGGATCTGCTTGTGATGATGATACTCAACTTCCTCAAATATTGGAAAAGCTGGAAAGGGCCAGTACCAAAATGCTTGATAGGTAAATGACATTATGTATTTCCATTCACTGCCCCTAGTTTTCACTCTGAATCTGAACTTAACACCAAATAAAGATCAGCCACTTTGGAAGACTTAAGAACTTCATTCTACATAAATTAATATAAAAGGCCTAGAAAACTTGGCCCTTTTATGATTTGTGGACTTCAACTCCCAGAATTCTGGAAGTTGAAGTCCACAAGTCATAAAAGGGCCAAGTTTGAAGACCCCTGGCCTAGAGGTACAATTTTATATACACAAGTTTGAATATCTTTCTTTATTATCTGATGGAATCTGACTTTCATTATTGTTGGCATATATGCATTATGTTTATATGCCTTAAATTTTAAAAGTGTCTTAACAAAGCTTGGTTATGTAGGAAGATCAGTTGCATTGCTATAGTGTGCCATTCAGCAGTCCCGAAAATGGCTAAGATGTTTAAGTAAATGCTTTTATATTCCAAGCTAAAAAACTTTATCTCTGGCTTTTACAAATTGGCAGAATGTGTTCAAGTTTAATCCTAAAGATAGTATTATTCTAATTTGTTTGATTTATAATTTTATGGGCATTAGTTGATTTACTTGGGTGTTATAAATGATAGTATTCAAAATAGCAAAGTCTGAAAATTTTATCAAGTTATATGTCTTGCTCTGTAACAATATTAGTCATATACTATTTAATAATTATGCATTAAATGTTAAATTGAAAAGCATTAACTATTTTTAGTACAGTGTTTAAAATTTTCTGATTTCTGTAGCAGTCAATACTTAGGTAATTATATACTATGAACAATAATTATGATTAACATCTCTTGTGTATTCAGAATTTCTTAAGCGTAGTAGGAATTGCTCTGGGTAAATATTACTGTTATTTTTTGTTAGTAATTTAAGGCCATTTTACTGGATGTAGGGAAAATGAACTTCAGTGCTTACTCTGCATGACTATAATAACTGTGTATAAATGTATGTTATGTATATGTATGTATAGGTATACATATATGTGCCTATGGATATTCATGCTTACTGTTCCTGAGCTCACACATTTTGCACCTGAATAAATAAAAGATCAAAATGAATTGTATCTGCTATTCATTTTTAATAGTATACAGAATCTGATTTGTAGTAATTGGTGTAATAAATCTTTTGTACTAGATGGAGCATTATGGTATATGAAACAAAACTCCCTCCTCAAACATCAGCTACTACAGTTCTTGAAGATTTCAGTGAAAGTTCTGAGGTAGGTAATTATTAAAAGGAGAAAGTGTAAAGAAAGACAATTAAGCTGGAAAACTGAGGTAATAAATAAAATAAAGCAAATATTCATATGACATGAAAGAGTATTAAAATATACAAACTTTAGAGCACTAAAAAGGGATATGGTGCTTTATGTAGGTAAAAAGTATTCAGAGAGGTTCAAACAAAACCATTTAACAGAGATTTGAAGTTTAAAGTAGGAGAAGGTGAAGTTAGATTTTTCATTTTTCAGAATTCCAAAACTGTCAAATCACAATATAGTTATATCTAAAGATTCACATGTTCCCCATTCTTGTTTTACTGCATTCATGTCCCTTGTATGAATATGCAATAACTTTTATTTTGATTATTTTAAAATATTTGTAACCTGCCCCCTTTTTCACTTTTCTGTCAAGTTGTTGTCAAGCTACGAAGATTTATTGTTATTAGGACTGCCATATTGCTTCTAGCTTGCCTACAGTTGCGAGGGGGGAGGGAAGAGCTTGGGATCCACAGGTGTTCTCTATCAGTATGAGAGCCAAAGTTGCTGAAGAGATGTTTTGGCCAGTGGAAGGTTTCTTCTGATAACAATTGCTAGAAGATTAATTGGACAATGTGACCTGAACTGTCAGAGAGCGAGGAAAAGTTTTATTCCTTTAATTATCTGTTTCTCACCATATTGCCAGAGCCAGCTTTCCTTCTATCTACCAATATTCTATGCCTAATAAAGTTTACATTAGAGATCACTATGTTTCTGGTGTTTTACTCTGTAGGGCTTTTCAGCCAGGATTTGACAGTTGTGCTATTTTGTGTAATGTTCCCCATAGAATAAATTGAAATCCTGAGTCCGTCTTTATTGAGCATGTACAAATTAGTTCTAATTTTGTGCTTTGCATTATTGGCAGAAATAATACACTTTTCTATGTCTGCTTTCACAAGGTACAACAGATACTTTTCTATGAAGACTCTGTGGCTGCTCATTTATCCAAAATTTTGACATCTGACCAACACTCAGTAGTCATCTCATCAGCCAAGTAAGTACTAAGAAGGAAGCTGACCTAATAGAAGCTAGATGTTGTGAATGAGAATAGATTACTGCACATTTCCTCTGCCTTCTTTAGGGTGCTTTGTGAAACCGTGAAAGATTTTGTAGCTCGAGTAGGGAAAGCATATGAAAGAGCACCAGAAAGTTCAGAGGAGTCAGAAGTCATGACCAGAAAGGTATTTGGAAAAAGACATTTCAGTTTCTCTCTCTCTCATACACACATAGACCCATACTATACAATCACTGTACACATTTTTCTTTCTACTTGTAGTGCTCTGTTTTGAAAGAGAAGCTGGACTCACTTTTGAAGACACTGAATGAAGAATCTCAAGCTTCAACATCTTTGCCAAACCCACCTCCCACCATTGCAGAAGAAACAGAAGATGGTGATGGTTCTGGAATGGCTTGTGATACTTCTACTGAGCTGTCAGCAGGGTCATCCTGTATTGCTCGTACTCAGATATTTAGACCACGTGAACAGCTGATGTTGAGAGCCAACAGTCTGAAAAAAGCCATTCGTCAAATTATTGAGCATGCAGAAAAAGGTAATTCAGCCACTGCCTGAAAGAAATACCTCTCTTTATTATCTTTCTATGGACTTAAGATTTAAGTGTTGTATTCTTAAAATAGAAGTGCTGTGTTCTTAAAATTATATTATTCTAAAGCACCTAATTAATTTCAAAGAAAATTTAGACTGTCCATCTAATGTCACAATGTCCAGTTTAGACCAAAGCATCATGTCTTCATATTTACCAACTCTTGAAGACCTTCAGAAGTTTTAACAAGGCAACGGTCATTTGCTTTTAGTAGGTCTTGTTTCACATTTGTCAAGTAAGCACCCTCCAGTGTCTTCAGACAATAATTTATAAAATGTGTGTAATTTGCTGAGATTGGTGGCACTGGTTTTAATGACTACTTTTTTGTCGGAAGATTCAGCATGGTTGTATTTTATTTATTTATTTATTACTAACCAGCTTTTTAAGGATTTTTCAAGGCAGATTCCAATATATAATGATATAGTGCATAAATATTTTTTTTAAATCAAAATAGCAATAAGATCAATAACTAATAAGAGAAAACAATAACATTAAAATTATGCAAGTGGAAGCAATAGTAAACAGATGCACTTTTTGTATCTATTTTAAGCTTTCCTGTAGAATCAAATGCTATAAATAATTAATTGCTAATATTGAAATTCTTGGTAATATGGCATTTAGACCTGGTGATTTTTATTAATTTTTAATTCCAAATAAATAAATAAATAAATAAATAGTATAACTATGCGTTATATTACTAGTCATAAGCCAGTCTTACATAGTGTTTTTTTTTCTATAAAAAAGAAGGCTTAAAAAAGAGAAACTTTTCCTCCTAAAATATATTTTATTTGGATTCCCAAAGTGCTGTGTAGAGTTTCAAAAGGATGCTTCAATTTATGATGCTTTAGTTAAAAGGATCTTTCAGATATGCTACTTCAGTCCAGATACTTAAAGAGCTTCTGTATTTGTGCTGGGTACATACAGAAGCCCATTTCCAGTGTTCATTTTTTTACCCACTTTCCTTTCTCCCTTTTATTAGAGCAGTGCTTCTCAACCTTGGCCACTTGAAGACGTCTGGACTTCAACTCCAAGAACTGAAGGATCAAATATCAGAATTTTGGGAGTTGAAGTCCTGACGTCTTCAAGTGGCCAAGGTTGAGAAACACTGTATTAGAGGTATGCCAGAAGTTTCCCTCCCTTGTTTCCATTTCCAAAATAATTTTGTAAACTGCTCTTAAGTGTCTTCTTGTGGCTAGATGTTCTAGCACATGATTGTTTAGAACAACTTTCAGCAATGGGGCCTTATACTATCAGTGTACAGTGCAGAAAGTTATATTCCAGATTGAAATAATATATTCAATCTCTGCAAGATACATTTATTTGTTCTTGAAACCAAACACCCTTGTATATTTTTATAAAATACAAACGTTTATATTTTTTCCCCTCTCGTCCCTAAAAGGCTACTTCTGGTGCCACTGCTATATATTCTATTATCTCCTCCCTTTCCTGAGGGAACATTGATTACTTTTCCAATTGATGTATATTCTTGAATAGAATAGGGATGAAATCTTTCACCATTACCTATCGTTGCTGCTGCTGGTAATATGTCCCACTCCACCATACTATAAATTTCACAAGAATAACTTTACACTGCACTACATATTTACCAGCAGTTTCTCAGTTAAATTTGAACCAACTTAGCTTTTTACCTATCTTCTTTCTTTGGTCTGCTATTAACTCCTTAGCAAGAACCCTCCAATCTTAAACGTCCGTGTGCAGCATTTGGTCTTGATATCATTCTTTCAATTGCAGCAACTGTTTCTTTGTTGCTTAGACTTGAACCTATGGACCACCAGTTTCACTTCAGAGGTTAGCAAATAGAATAATAGAAGTTGTGTCATATAAAATAATAAAACAGCTGTCACCTGAAGGACTCCAGCCATAGTCTATTCAGCATTTTTTTTTTAAAAAATCTCTTACCATCTTTTGCTGTAAACTCTAGATCCAACCCAGACAATGACATAGACCCAGTCTTCCACTTTTATAAAGCATTTTTCTCTCAATATTAGAACTCAGATTGATGTGTTCTATGAACATGACTTTTACAACTACTCTCCATTAAAATGTAGTACGTGAATTACTAGAGGTATAATTTTCAATTATAGCATGGATCACAGGTATACTTTTCAATTATAGCATGGATCACAGAAAAGAACAATTTGCTTAACTGTAATTGTGGTACAACTAGTCATTTGTGCATTCATCCATTCTTTTTCTTCTGTACCTATTACTCATAGCAGCCTAGGATAATTTTAAAGGAAACTAATGATAAAAGTTGGACTGAACATTGCAAATTGTGTTTTCTGCCTAAAAATGTTTCTCAGCAACAGAAAATTTTGATTATATTTTCTTTGTAGGGACATAATCCATATATGATAACCAAAAAATAATAAGCAACCGGATCTTTATTTTAGGGAGTATTTTTAAAAGGAAATGATAAAAGCAAGATAGCCAATGATTTCAGCATTCTCCCATCCGGTAAAGCTAACTTGAGTTTCTGCCTTGATGAAAATATTCTTTTGCTTGACTAGTTCCCTTGGTACAGCATGAGCAAAGATACCTGACTCTGTTTCTGTTTTACTTTGTAGCTGTTGATGAACAGAATGCTCAAACCCAAGAACAGGCAAGCTTTCTTCTGGATTTTTCCACCCCTGAAGAAGGAAAGGATCTAAGGAATGAGAACAAAATCAATTTACAGTCTTCACACATTGGCAACTATGGATTTCCAAAAGGGAGAAGCCACCGGAAAGGTAAACCTCTTATGTGAACCAGGTTATTTATCTCCAGTTTCCTTATAAGCATCTTTCCAGAGCCTATTTGACATATTTTATAAAATATCTTTTTCAAGTGCTGTGTGCTTTCAGTTGGATAGTCAGATGAGTGATTATATAACACAAGTTTAATGGATGTTTTTGGTTTGGTTTGTAATAAGGATTGTAATAGAACAAAAGAGCTACATAGAAGGGAACTCTTCCAAAAGGCTGTAGGAAGGGAGCTTAATCTTCAGGATCTGAACTCTATTTCTGCAACCTGCTAGAGGAGTTCTTCTTCCCTCCGGTGGTAGATAGCCCTTTCACTCTTGAAGGGCTGCCTGTAGCTGGAGGTGTAATTTCAGCTCCATTCAGAGCTAAAATTCTCTCCCAGCAGGAAGTCCTTTCTCTCTTAAAGAGCTGCTTGTCAGGAGAGAATCTGTTGACTTCCTCTTTAACTTTCCAACAGAAAATATTGCAGGTGGTGATCATGATCACAGGACTTTTGGCAACTGGTCATAAGTGCGAACAGGTTGCCAAGCAGTCAGATTGCATATGTGACTGCTGGGGTGGTACGCTGCAACATTTTTCAGTGGCCAGAGATTCTTTACAGGCCATGAAACATCATTCTATGGCCCTCATAATTTCAGATTGTTGTTAAATGAATGGTCATAAGTCAAGGGGTATCTGTACTTCAGTATATCCAATGTTAAAGCATTTTGCTCTGTTCTGTATTAAATTTAAGTGTTCCTCTCCCTTAGTTGAAATCTTTAATTCTTTCTGGTTAGCTCTAGTATTCAACCTTCGTAGTACCATCTTAAGAGCTGTGGTGGCGCAGTGGTTAGAATGCAATATTGCAGGCTAATTCTGCTGATTGCTGACTGCCAGCTGTTCAGCAGTTCGATTCTCACCGGCTCAAGGTTGACTCAGCCTTCCATCCTTCCGAGGTCGGTAAAATGAGGACCCAGATTGTTGGGGGCAATATGCTGACTCTGTAAACTGATTAGAGAGGGCTATAAAGCACTGTAAAGTAGTATATAAGTCTAAATGCTATTGCTATTGTGGGGTTTTTTTAAGAATTCAAAATGACATGGGAAGGATTCTTATCATTGATTTCAAAATCTTATTTCAAACCCTTTTGGATTTGTTTGTAACTTTCCAAAATGAAACTTTTAATTACCTTTTGCTGTTTACTCAAAAAGAAAAGAATTTCTGGTGAGGATTCACAGTGAACTAGATGTAGTTCAAGGAGCTGGGACAGCTTTGCAAAAGAGATAGATAGCCATATGGCAAATCTATCATAGATTGCCCACAGATACTCTGGACAGCTGCATTTTGTTTTTGTGGTCAGGTCTTCAGTTGAGCAGTTAGAAGTTAAGAGATTTCAACCAAGCTCACAGTCATAATGTAGCTTATATGGAGATAGTTCACCAAGCCTCATTTTTTAATTATTTTTGGAAATTGCTTTTCAACTGCTATTAGGAACCTCCACAATGGCAGGTTTTAGAGCATTGGATAAGTCTCCTTCAGTCCTTAGCAATAGAAGTTTTAAATACAAGTTTAGGAGTTTTGTTTTGTTTTTTTTAAAAGTGTTACTTTGGAATGGGAAGTATGAAGACTTCTTTCTGCATTTCTCTATGCAAGCACATTGAGGCATACATCTGCATGTACCTTGGAATGTCAGATAGGGCTGGGAAAGCATCCCTTTGGGTCCTTCAGATCTGGGGCCAACCAGGAGAAAATGCACAGAAGTTGATGGCAGACATTTGGTTTCCCCCACGGTCAAGTAGGACTAAAAATCCCTGCTTCCCTCTCCCTACCTTCCAGCACTCATATGGGACTAAGGATTCCCCCCTTCTGTAATATGCTTTATTGGAATCCCTTCTACTTCCCTAACCAATCCCATCCCACTGCACCCACACTGCCCAAATCTGCAAAACAAGACAGTGAAAAAATCTGCACGGTCCTCTCTCCCTTGCCCTTCTCCCCCTTTCATGTGCCAACCGCTGTCCTTCTTCTCTCGCTCCTCAAAAACAAAGGATTTCACCAAATAATTTCTGTAGGGAATGTCTCCTCTGCCCACTCCCCAGTAGAGTAGAGAGATTGGACATGAAGAGATTGGAAAAGAGGATAGTGAACAGGAACACAATGGGAAATACATCAGCTGTTTGCCAAGCAAACTGCCAGCACCAACACATTGCTTCTGAGGTTGTAAAACAAGAAGAGATGGAGTCAGGAATGAATGTGTGGTGAATATAGAAGTGGTTTGATCATACCAAGAAAATGAGGATCAAATATCAGGACAAATAGATGAAAATAATATATTATTATTATATATTATAATTGTAGTATCACTAGTATGCTATAGTTTCTATGGTCTTTTTTATGTTTTTCAGTAATCAAGTCTCCTTGTGAAAGACTAATAAGTAAAGGAAGTATATCAGTAGGAAGCTCTGCCTCTCTTCCTCCACAGGCAGGAAACCGGGACAGCTTGCCAATGTTGAACGCAAAGATCATCTATCCCAGTGAGTTCATTAGCACTCTTCCCATCTAATTGAAATAGGATTTCATCACTATATAAATGAATGTTTTTCCATTATATTTCACATTGTTTCAGATAGTTAGTGGTGATCACACAAAATCAAATAACCTTAATCAATAGAATAGAATAGAATAGAATAGAATAGAATAGAATAGAATAGAACAGAACCTTGGAGGTCTTCTAGTCCAGCCCCCTGCTCAAGCAGGAGGACCTATACCATCTCAGACAAGTGACTGTCCAGTCTCTTCTTAAAAATCTCCAGTGATGGAGCACCCACGATTTCTGGAGACAAGCTGTTCCACTGGTTAATTGTCCTAACTGTCAGGAAGTTTCTCTTTAATTCCAGGTTGCTTCTCTCTTTGATCAGTTTCCAACCATTGTTTCTCGTCCTGCCCTCTTATGCTCTGGTGAACAAAGTGACCCCCTCGTCTTTGTGGCAGCCCCTCAAATACTAGAATACTGCTATCATGTCTCCCCTATTTCTTCTGTTCTTTAGATTAGCCAAACCCAAGTCCTGCAGCCATTCTTCATATGTTTTAGTCTTCAGGCCTTTGATCATCTTAGTTGCTCTTCTCTGGATTTTTTTCCAAAACTGCAGGCCCAGAAAATGTATCAGCCATTATAGTTGTTTTGCATACGTTAAAAATCATCCTTGTTAAATGCTGTTTTAAATTAGGACCAATATTTTAAAACAGTGAAACAAACTTTGCTTCCAAAGATATGTGGAAATCATTTACAGTTTTTTGCTGAATAATACAGGGAAAACACAGGAAAAAGTGTTGAAATCTCTTTTGTGTGTGCTGAAAATGTGCTTGAATCTCTTTCTGTGTAGGACTAGTACTAAACTTAGGGTTTTTTATTAAAAAAAATCAAGTTCTGTTTCTCCTTTACCTTTCAACAATAGTATAGAAACATGAGATGATGTTTCATGCTTAGATGCAATATTGCTTATTGATTTTGAAGGTAAAATTAATTTTTAAATCTGCTTTGTTCTGCCACACTTCTTAACTTGTATAGTATTTCCTGTAACTTCTGCATTCTTTTGGCAGATTTCCGTGCTGGGACATCTGGTTCTCTACCAGGAGGTTCTGTCATCAGTCGGTTGTTGATCAACGCAGATCCATTTAACCCTGAGCCAGAAAATCTGTAAGTGTTTAGTTAGCAATAAAGAAAATAGATTCATTACTCACTATATAAGTTGAAATGAGGATGTTATTTATATTAAATATATTTAATATTTGTTACTAGCTGGAGTACAAAAAAGGCTGAAAATATATTTTAATTATGTGCATATATAAATACATAGTCATTACAACATTCAGCTTGAGCTCAGAAAAAGAATAAGAAAGAGTAAGCAAAAGAAATTAGAAGCAGGAGTTAAGCTAGAGGATGTAGTCTACACCAGCACTGTTCACTATATTTCTGTTTATTGTTCAATTGTTGGCTAGCCATGTTTCTAATATCTCCAAGAACAAATTCATTTATTGTTGTTTATTCAGAGAGAGAGAGAGAGAGAGAGAGAGAGAGAGAGAGAGAGAGAGTTGTTGCAAATGGATAGAAAATAGAGAGGATGCTAAATTATTCCATCACATGAAAACAATTTGTTTATGATATAAATTCATCTTGCAGTGATTGTTACATAGAGAAATGTGTCATGAATAATTATTTTGGAATTGGCTTGGATGCAAAGATTTCTTTGGATTTCAACAACAAGCGTGATGAACATCCAGAGAAATGCAGGTATTGCAATCTATTTTACATAGTTTTAAACTTTTCATCTATTAACTGCAAATATAAATCTACGCTTCCTTTAATACTTATCGTTGTATAATTATTGGTGTCATTTTTAGTGATAATTTTGATATATTTAATTTTATTTCTATTTTCCATTATCAGAAGTCGTACAAAAAATATGATGTGGTACGGAGTTCTTGGGACAAAGGAGCTGCTACACAGAACTTACAAAAACTTAGAACAGAAGGTTTTGTTAGAGGTAATGTATTTAAAATAGCCCTAGCCAGTTTGAACTGTTATTTGAAGTGAACAGATGAACTTTTTGATTTTGTACTATGGTTCATGATTTTCATGCTATAAGACATCTTTTAAGCATACTTGAGTGCCCAAAAATTGCAAATAATTTTCTGTTAATTATTAAGATTTTGCAAAGCATGCCTGCATGAATAGAGTGCCTTTCTGGAAACATCTATGTTTTTTACAAAGCTCAGCATAGCTGTTTTAGAGGCCTTCCTAGGCTGCATGGACAACACTTCCATTGAGACCGTTGGTTAAACAGATACTGAGAAAGACCCCAAAACAGCCAGCCTGAAACTTCTTGAGGGCTCAGCTGCCTCAGTGTTTTGAGGAAATGCATTTGAACACTTGTGAAGTGTTCTTTGAATATCCTGCACGACCTAACTTTTTGCTATATTTCACTGATGCTTATTGATACACATGCAGAATTGTTGAATTTGGTGAACGTTACAAATCATTTGTATATTTTAATGCAAAATTATGTTAAATGAAATCACCCTGTTAAAATTGATGGACCCATTCATATTGTAAAAAAATTATACTGGATCTTTAATTAATTTTCATGTGTCCATAGTACAAGTTATTTAAAAATGACTTTAGATTTTTAAGAAAGATTGCAAAGAATTCCTCTAATTATTTTATTTTGATAAAAAGATGAGGAAAGAGGTAAATTTCAGGTTCTTATTTAAGCAAATACTAATGTCTACACAGGGACGTTATAGTTATTTTCCTTTCATCAGTGGAAGAGGGCTTTGTAGTAATAGTATATGGAATGTGTAGAAATGAATTTTGGGAAAATTAATTTACCAAATTAATTCTGAGCAATTGCCTACACTCTCTAGCATTTTAAAGGTGGTTTACTAATCAAATATATGAATCTGTGTTTGAAACATTACATAAAATTGGCTTTATATCGTATAGTGTGATGGGCGTCCAATCCCTTTGCCCAGTCTTCAAGGAATTGCGGTTCTCAACATCCCCAGCTATGCAGGAGGCACAAACTTCTGGGGAGGAACTAAAGAAGATGATGTAAGTATTTCTCATCTTTTTTTTTTTTTGACATTTTTGGAAAAAAAAATACTGAAACAAAGCACTTTTCCACTCAAGTTTCCATCTTTTCATAATTTCTTGAACTCATAAGAATATTTTTGACCTTTCTGTGGTTTAATTTTTTTTACTAGTAGTAAGATGAAGTCACTAGTGGTGACATGAAAAATAAAATCTGCTTCTTTTACATTTGTCATTTTATATTTTACTTTAAGAATGAAGACTATATTAGTATTTTGTTCCATTTTCTGTAGAATTATAATGCATGTATGCTCTTTAAAGTACATGTCTGTGTATTACTTGCTTGTTTGTCATGATTGGGAGCAAAAGGAATCCATTATACTTGAAGCAACTCCAATTTGTTTAATTCTCTGTGTTATTGTAGACATTTACAGCTCCTTCTTTCGATGATAAGATCCTAGAAGTGGTTGCAGTGTTTGGAAGTATGCAGATGGCTGTCTCTCGTGTAATTAATCTTCAACATCATCGGATAGCCCAGGTGTTTACTAGGCTTATTTTTATCCATAAGATGATTTCCTTTGAGAGGACCGTAGAGAATTGAATATTATATAAAACTTAAACCTGACAGTTCTATGTTAAAGGTTAAAGAGTTAGTAAAGATAGTAATCAACAAAGTGAAACATAGGTTGATATCTAAATAATGCTCTATTTTAGCTAGATATTAGACATTCATACAGTTACTGTGAGCAGTAATACCATTTTCAGGGAAATCTTTTATTTATATTGGACATATGAAATATATCTGGGGTAGCATAAAGCAGACATTGTTTTGTAAGTTGCTTTTATCAATTTTAGAATGCAATTAACACTAGATATTCTGTTTTTAGTGCCGAACTGTGAAGATTGCAATCCTGGGAGATGAGGGAGTCCCTGTGCAAGTTGATGGAGAGGCTTGGATTCAACCCCCGGGATATATTTGGATTGTTCATAAAAACAGGGCACAAACATTAACCAGAGACAGGGTAAGAGAATCCACCTAACAAGAATACGTGTTAGACATCCCACTTCACTTTGTGAATTTCCCTATCGACACATATATTTCTGTAACTTAGGGACCATGATTCAAGCATTTGATGAAGTGGGCTTTTTTTTTCCCCCTACAAAAGTTCATATAATAATACTTTGTTAGTCATTCAGATGTCCTATCACTCTATTATTTTCTCAGCAAAATAAAACTAACTCCATCTCAATTTCCAAACATGCCCAAAGATTTGGATGTAATTTTTATTATATAAATTTTATAAGGAAAAATTGTGTGTGTGTGTGTGTGTGTATGTATGTCTTTGATCATTCGGGTTTTCTCCCGCGTCAAATTGGAAGTGTCATGGTGACGTTTCGACGAAGTCTCATTCAGGCTGGTGTTTTCGGCTTCATGCTTCTAGGAGCAATGTGTGATCATAGCTGTTTCTTCTTTTTAACTGCCAGTGGGGGTATGAACTGATTGGATGAGAGCTTGGCTGTGTTCTGATTGGATGGAGGTGTGTTCTGATTGATTAGGAGCTTGGCTGTGCTCTGATGGATGGGGGGTTGGCTGTGCTCTGATTGGATGGGGGGTTGGCTGTGCTCTGATTGGTTGGGGGAGTGTTCTGTTTGGGTGGGGGCTTTGTTGTGCTCAGGTTAGTCTGAGTTGCACGGGGATGTGAGATGGTGAACTGCATTACTATTGTTTGAATTAGAAAATCAAGGAGTATACGAAATCCCATGCACCGCTTGTCCCACTACATACATCGGACAAACCAACAGAAGAATAAGTGCACACATTGAAGAACATAAGAACTCAGTGAAAAAAGAGGAACCAACTTCTTCCCTGGTCCAACATCTTAAAATCACAGGACATGAAATTGACTTTAAAAAGACCAGAACTATTGCCAAAACTGAACACTTTAATAACAGAATAATCAGAGAAGCCATCGAGATAGAAAAACGCCCACACAGCATGAACAAATGAGATGATACCTCCCACCTACCAGCCATTTGGAAACCCGCCCTTATTGACAAACGAGTCCCTAACACAATGAATGACACCAGACCCACACTCACAAAAGCCACATAGGATGTCACCACCACATGTCCACGCAAAAAACAAACCCAAACCCACACCGATGATGAGGCACGACTAGAAGCCAGACCGCAGCTGCATCATTAGCCACTTTAAACCCCTCCAATCCATACATGAAGCAAACTGACACCCACCATGAAGATGAGGCATGACCACGAACGCGAAGCCAAACAATAGCAATGCAGTTCACCATCTCACATCCCCGCGCAACTCAGACTAACCTGAGCACAACAAAGCCCCCACCCAAACAGAACACTCTCCCAACCAATCAGAGCACAGCCAACCCCCCCATCCAATCAGAGCACAGCCAATCCCCATCCAATCAGAGCACAGCCAAGCTCCTAACCAATCAGAACACACCTCCACCCAATCAGAACACAGCCAAGCTCCCACCCAATCAGTTCATACCCCCACTGGCAGTTAAAAGGAAGAAACAGCTAAGACCACACATTACTCCTCGAAGCACGAAGCCGAAAACACCAGCCTGAAGATGACGAATGAGACTTCGTCGAAACGTCGCCAAGACACTTCCAATTTGACGCAGGAGAAAACCCGAATAACCAAGACCTACACACACACACAGCTATATAGCTATACCAGTTCTCTCTTTATTCTTTGTTAGCAACCTCTCTCTCTCTCTCTCTCTCTCTCTCTCTCTCTCTCTCTCTCTATATATATATATATATATATATATATATATATATATATATATATATATATATATATATACACATACACACACACATACACATATATATATATACACACACACATATATATATATACACACACACACACATATATATATACACACATATATACACACACACACACACACAAACACAAACACACACACAAATATATTTTCTTCTAAAAAGCAAATGGCCTCTTCTCCCTTTCCTCTCCCCCTTAGGCATTTGAGAATACCCTAAAGTCTTGGGAAGACAAACAAAAGTGTGAGCTGCCCAGACCTCCCTCTTTCACACTGCATCCTGAGATTATATCCGAGGAAGAATCAACTCATATCAATCAGTTTTGCAGAGCAGCTGGAGCTCTGATTCACAGGTGAGGCCCTTTCCTGCCACCAGTAGAGAAGACAGCACCAGAATAATACATCCTAGAAAGGTTGTTCTTCTACATTTCACCTATTCTCTTACGTTTTCCTACAGCATTCGAGAAATAGCTCAGGCATACCAGGATATGGAACAAGAACTTGCTCATGCTGTCAATGCTAGCTCCAAATCTATGGACAAAGTGTATGCAAAATCCAAGTCTACAGAGGTACATTTCCAGTGCGTTTTGACTGTCCTATATTGCACTATTGGATTTGCAGCTTCGAGTCCTTACACATGCAATCTTTCTACAGGGCCTGAATTGCAACCTTGTAGTAGAAATGGTAAATAATGTTAAAGCCTTGCACAGTGAAACAGAACTTCTTCTGGCTGGAAAAATGGCCCTGGTAAGAAATAAATAGCGTGAAATATTTCTCTTTGGTTGTGTTATTTATTTTATTTGTTCTCACTAAGAATATTTTGCTGCATTATTGAAGTACACTACTAGCCTTTAACACAGGACAACACGTATCTCCCTCCTCTTTGTAAATACTAGGTTTATTATTCTGATGTTGGCTGTGCATTCTTCATAAAGTTAATGGTTAAAAGATGTGTGAATGAGTACCTGTCTGATCTCTCCTTGGATCTGCTCCCTTGCTCTTCTCCTTGCTTCCGTTATAAATTCTGTATTCCATAAAAAATCACTTGACATTATAAAGTCCATTTTGGCCTCTTTCACTGAAATGTTTGCACTTGCGACATAATTCTAGGAATTGTTCACAACTGAAAGTCGAGCACAAACCCTGCCAACAGACTGGAAGGAAGCAATGTGACAATAATGTGACAGTATTTCTAGTATGAGATCATCCACCACTTTGTAAACATAGGATCTGTTTATAATTGGGCAGAGGCTTTACAAAGGTGATTGAGCAAGGCTGCAACATAATATATAGCTCTTCAATGGGTGCTTGCACAGGGAACTATTCTTTACACTTCTTAGCTTTTAGAGGTTTTAATTTCTAAACAAAATATTACTAAATTGATCTCATGCTATTCAGGCATGTTAAGTGAATTCAGAAAAGAAAACTCAGCTGTAGAGAATGACCATTTAATATTAATTTTCACAAGATCCATTATAAATGCTGCATTAGCAGAATCCTTTTCTAAAATCAGACTCAAATAATTAACTAATGTAAGATCTAACTCGTTATAAAGCTCATACTGCTGGCCTCTTGAATTTAATGAAATTAGTTAATTAGTAGAAGCAAAACTGATGCAAAGCAAAGAGCAAAAGGATTGCTGTATTCTTGGACAATAACTCTATTAAGATTTATTTTTCACATCAAGGTACAATTGCCTGAAGTAGGATTTGTGCATAGTTATTTGTCCATAGATTAAAAGTTTAAGGAGCAAAAGATAATGTATGCAGTATGGAATTGCTGTGGAGAAAGCAAGGATGGTTTATAAGAGTAGGAAGGTATGAAGTGTTGTATTGAATGGTTGGGATAAGCCGGATTTGGTATATTTTTCTTTCCTCACAAAAAAACTTTATTATGGGCAAAGACCAGCTTTTCTTTTATTAGACCTTTGTTTTTTTCCATATTGTTTCTATACCATGTTGTCTGAACATTAGAGTAGAATATTTAAACAATAAAATAGAATAAAGTGTGATATGAATGTACTTTATGGTAGTTCTATTACAGGTTAGACAAGTCTCTGTTCAGATTACAGCTCTTAACTGTGTCTTCATATTTTCATTTCTGATGTAGCAGCTGGATCCTCCCCAGAAGGAACAGCTCCAAGCTGCACTGACATATATGGACTTTCACATAAGGAAACTAGCAGATATCCCATGGCTGTGGCAACTCATGGAGCCCAGTGATGAAGAGGTAACTTGTTAGAGGGAGTATCTAGATCTGTGCCTGTTGGAAGGTGGTGTTTTTGGAATGTTTTAGAGCCCTAGTGGGGGAACAGCACAATGGAGGTGGTTGGTCAAGTAACAACAGATCCCACCTCCTCCCATTCCACCCCCACCCTCCCCACATGTCCATAGATTTTAATCTTTATTTAAGTTTTAATGTAGATATATTGTTTATCACTATAAGCTGCCCAGAGTTACTTTATGGTAATTTTATGAAGGAAGGGAGGGAGGGAGGGAGGAAGGAAGGGAGGAAGGAAGGTTGGTTTACTTTCCTAGGTCAAATACCCCTGCAATGTGCTAAATTAAATTAAGATTAATTAAATAATTATACTGGTGAATTTTATCAGAAGAATCTGATAAAATGAATGAACATGGGGGGGGGGATCCTATATAAATTGAAAGTCTACAAAAATATTGTGATTTCTCTTTTTTATAGAACCAAATGCTGGATTATTCTAAACGCAGCCGAAGTGGCAAATTTCGTCTGGTGAAATTTAAAAAGGATAAAAACAACAAGAATAAGGAGACAAGCAGTAGCTTGGGATTGCCGGGTACCATCTGCCTTTGCATTTCCACTTTGCCTTTTTTCACATCCCTATATATCCAAATGTGCCCATGGATTTAGATGTCATTTCTACAAGAAACAATGTCTCCCTTCCGACTCCCTTAATATTCCCTATATATTTTTCCTTTATATTAAAACAGGCATTTTACTTTCCTGGAGCAGATTACTGCATTTTTAGCTGTATCATACTACTAGACTGAATATTCTAAAATACGGAAACTAAGAACACATTGCAAATAGAACTTAGGACTTTGAAATATTGTACATTTTTGGATGGTCAGAGAAGTTTATTGGAAATTTTGAAATTTTAAAAAATGAAGTGATTGTTGAACCCCAGCCTGCATAACTCCAAACCTCCCCTGCTAATGTTCCCAGATTTGGTTATTGATTTTCTCTCATTGATTCTCTCCCAGACTTTAATCAAGTCTCATATCTTGTCTTGGGATTCTGCATCTTCATTGGTGCATCCTGAGGTTTAATTTTCATTGTTGGTATGATATTTAAAAATAAACTTTTTCAAATCAAAGTTGAAATGTAATCAGGGCAATCTTTTCCCAATTTTGTATTAGTTGATTTGTTTGCTTATATCTCTCAGTGTTCTATGGAGCTAATGAGATCATTTATCTTCCGACTAATTTTCTGATATTTCAGTGTTCTCTCTTTTGCCTTTAGCTTTTTAGATTTTCTTATCCTCTCTCTTATTTAGATGCTAGTAAAAAGGTTGGATATAGCTGGGTATTTTTGTCCAGATATTTTTTTCTCCCTAAACAAAATAGTGCCCATGTAGATATGTTGATTTGCTTGGTGGATGCAAAGGATTTCTTAGTAGAAATGCATGCAATAAGACTTCGTTCACAATGTCTACTTCCTTGATATAAGGAACTCGAAAGACCATCATTTCTTAAGTTTCCTCTATTCATGAGCCATTATATTAAAGAAAAATTACTAATTGGATTTAAATCTTTATTAAACTGTGATACAAGTGTCTAAATCCAATATGAGTTATGACTAAGCCTTTTACCAAGATTCACAGCCTTTTATTTCTTGCTTAATAACAAATCTGAATGAAATGTAGAAATCTAATAATTTCTTCTTTAATCCAACTTCAGACACATGATTATTATAATGCATGTATTTGAACATGGATTTCCTTGTCAGAAGTTATCTAAGGATGAGTCTCAGAGGTTAAACTCTTTAAGAACTGATTACCAAAATGTCCTATGGAAAAAGTCATCCCCAAAACAGTATGTGGATAACAAGATCTGGAACATAGGCTTGTAGAATTTCCATACAGCATAGGAAGTTCAGACTGAACTTTTGTGTCAGGATTAACCAAATATGTTTGGGCTAAAAATTTAAAACACACATTTTAAAAGGTGGAATTTTACATCGTATCAATGTTTGTCTGTTTTGATGACAAAAGTAAATGAATAAACGAATCCCCTACATTTTACATCAATTTTTTTCCTGAATAAATTTTATTAATATAGGTAGGCCCTTCTTAGTATGGCAAACATCCAAACTTATTAGTATTTGCTTTGAGTAAAAACATGTGGCCCTAATCTTACTTCCTTGATCTCAGAAAAAATATTGTCTAATTATCTAGCCTCCATTTAAGTCAGTGTCTCTAACTTTTTAGCTTTTCCTTATTTTGGAATCGGTGAACTATTCTTTCTAAGATATGTTAGTACAGCTTTGCCTTTCACTTTTGTGCTACTTTGGTCTTTGCTGCTGATCATCTTTTTCATTACCTTTCCTTCTGGGCTTTGGGGTACTCAACATCCCTGCTTTTTCCATCTCTGACAGTTCACCTCTGGGGAACAGAGGAGGTTGCAGCCTGGCTTGAACATCTCAGTCTTTGTGAGTATAAAGATATCTTCATCCGGCATGACATCCGGGGCTCTGAGCTCCTGCATCTGGAACGGAGAGATCTCAAGGTACTTTCATAAAGAACTCATCCAAAAAAGCCATTGACTGTGCTTGGAGCTGGTCTGCATACTCTCCATTCTAGGTGCCTTTAGACAGAATAATTTATTTATTTTTAGGTTAGAAAAAAAGAGACTCTTGGTTAAATACCCACACCAAACCTAAAGTTATAGAGTATACCTGAAATTCAGCATTACTGTATCTCCTAGAATCAGCTGCTTGAAATATACCATTCCTGTATAATTCCTTGATAAAATATATGTTTTTATTAAGTAGTAGCCATATTTTAATTATTGCTATGAGGAAATGTGTGCTATTCTAGCCGGAGTATAGTTTTAGGCTAGTACAAGACAAATTAATTTTGGTTCCATGCAGAATTCAGCCCCACTGATAATAGGATTCAGGCAAGTACAACTGCCAATATGATTGTCACACCAGTTCTGGATGATTCACAGCTTTGTGGACAATGAATACCATCATAAAATTCTCTTGTAGATGTTTGCCTCTTATTATTATCAAGCAATGGCAGCAAAGCTACAGATATAACAGGAAATCAAAACTAGATCCAAATATGAGAATGGTTGGGAGAAAGGGAAAGTAATAGAAGGGAGAGTAGCCATAAACCCCCAAGAGATGGAAGTAAATCCATTGGCAGGTTATCTTATGAACAACAATTCAACTCAGGTAACAAGAAATCTGGGAAGAAGCGGATCAAATCATTCAAATAAACTCATATAAATGAGGATTGGTAATTTATTTTGTAATTTCTGAGATTATGTATTTATCCCTGGATTAGCATTAAAAATACTTTATTGAATCTGTGTAGCTCTTCTTTGACTTTGACTATCTGTGTAGGGCTTGACACTAATTAAATATAATCTGCTAAGATTTATCTAACATTGGGAAGATATGATTCCTTTGAAAATAGAATATGAACATAAAAGTATCTGAGGATACTTTATAAAAAGTGTAGCTTTTATTTGTGTTGAAATTACATGTTTTCTTGGCTCATTTATATGTAATAATTTTGTGTGTGTGTCACTTGGTCGCTTTTTGAATTAAGCGTTTTGTATTCTTAGTCATTCCTGTGCAGTTTGCCTGACTGATAAATCTGTGCCTCTGAATAATGTCTACTTCAAGCATATTCTGTAATATATCTTGTTTTCTCAAGCACTTGGCTTTATCATTTGGTTTCTGAGATGCTTCTGCTTTACAGTATTCTCATTTTTGGGAAGATTTAACTAATATGTATTCTACAGTTGGCTAATTTTTCATGACTAAGTTTATCCTTGTCATTTTTTTTTCAGGATCTAGGAGTGACCAAAGTGGGTCACATGAAGAGAATATTACATGGGATCAAGGAATTGAGCAAGAATATTCCTGTCACCGAGGCTTAACCACTGTTTTTGGACCCTGTTTCTACCATTCCTCCTGATCTCTGCACAATTGAAAGCTGACAGGGCACATATTTCTGTTGTCCCAGTGGAACAGCCAAATAGTATCAGTGTTCAGAGCTCACATCCAGCTTTTTATGGTGCTACTGTTCTGATATGGCATAGAGTACAAACTACTCTACAAGTCATACTTTGCTAGACTAGATGTTACTTGGCTTCCTCAATCTCAGTGTCCTTTATTCAAACTTGGATACTCTTGATGCAAAGCATCTTCCTTGATTCCTTCAGTCAAGATTGGTAAACCAGCCTGTGGATCCACAACGTTGAGGGAGAGTTAAGTCACCAAAGTCAATGCTAAGGACTTTATGATTTAAGAATTGTGACAGGCATTAAGAGTAATGAAAACACCTGTTTTTCAAGCATGCACAATGATAAAATTAGATGTTGAGAATGAAAAAAGGGTATTTGTAAATCCACTATTTAGGAAACTTTAAAAAATTAATTCACCAATTATACAGTTAATATATAGCCTTTGTAATAACTGACATAGGACTTAAATTAGGAAGAGACACTTATCTTTCATTTTCCCGACAGTCTTTTTTTGTGCCAGAAATGCATATAACTACTTGTCTAAATCTGCCTTGTTCTTTTCTGGTTCTACTGTGTAATATTCATGGATGCTAATATTTTTGTTTAAAGCATCAATTCCTGGAGAAACATGGGAAAGACCCAGAAATGCTCCAAGATAGCAGAATATGCTGATCCTTAACAATACTGTTGTTCAATGCATATACACCGGAAAATTAATTTTCCAGTTTTTTTTTTAAATTCTTGCTATGATTCTAAGGAAAACATGTCACAATCAAGTAGAAAACAGCACTTTATCATTGATGATAAACATGGTAATTTCTTCCATTTCCCATTGAACACCTCAGGGAGTAAAATCAATATATAATTTTAGGAAAAAATGCAGTAAAAAGGGATGAATTTCTAAACTTTAACCATAGAAGAATTATAGCACTTGCTATGTGTTTTCTTAAAAATCATGTGAAATGAGGAATGCTTGACTAAATTGTTCTTATCTTCAACAGCCTAACTTTCTCTTTTGTTTTAACCAGGCATTTCATTTTCTTTTTTATTCTATGCCGAAGTTGGGAGTCATCACTCTTTCAAGATCTGCATTTGCAGAGTTCTGTCATAATTTGAGTTCTCATAATAAATTAGCTTTTAAACTTGTATTATACCATCACATCCCAAGGTATTAATTAGTAAGGATAATTTTCTATCTTGGCCTCTTTTTTGTTGACTTATTTACTTAAATTCCTTTCTACATAATGGAAGTCCTGAATTTCAAATTTTATGGACAGTATAACTGTATCAGATTGACAATATGTGTTGTTAATCTGTTTTACTTGGTATTTGGAGTATTTAGTATTGTTTATTTGAAGCTGGTTATTTTTTTCCTAAAAGAAGTGTTAAAAAGTGCCATGATATACCAGAGCTTTCAATTTGGCAGCTTAAGGTTTCTAGTTTTATTGTATTTTTTGTTTTATAAAGAAGCATAAGGTGTTCTGTTTCGTGGGCAAAAATACACTGCTGGATTGCTCAAGCTAATATTTCTTGGCATTTCATTAAAACATGACCCATAATATTTGAATTGGTCCATTACATTTCAGAAAACATGGAGAAATATAAGAAAAAGAATTTACCCCAGCAAGTGCCAATGTCAGAAGTCAGAGATTGTATTTTAATAACATACTGTGAAATGTGAAAAAACATTAACATTTCAGGTGTAAATAAAATCCCTGAATTTACCACCACCAACAAATTTTATTGATTAATCATCTAACCATATCAAAAACCTATAAAACCAGTATAGAAGAAACAAGTATAATAAATTATTACCTCTGCAACACCCAATCTGTTCTAGATAGTCTGTTGTCTTTAAAATGGCTTTTGATATAAAAATTGCAGTATTGATAATGATATGCAGGTTTCTGCTCTGCAAGAATAAGACCATTTTTTCTGGGTCATCCAGGTTTTTTTTTTTTTAGTTTTTAAATAAAGATCTAATTAAATGGCCCTTTCTGAAGAATACAGTTTGCAACTGTACTCACCAAAGTTGTCCCAGGAAACCATGCTGTTTAACAGTGAGATTTTAAGGACATAGCACAGACTGCAGATGAAAGAATTGTCCCTGTCCCTAGTTATACTTATCAAAGGGATTCCATTGGCAGGGACAATTAACTGGATAAAATCTATTTGTGTTGCTTTAATCTGTTTATATTTTTTGCTCCTGAAAGACCGTTTTTGAATTCATTGCAGGTATTTTGTCAACTACAGCAATGTGCAGTATACTTCCATGCTTGGTTATTTAAGAAATAAATCCTTGTTGCATGCATAGGATTCCCACCAAACTGTTTATTATGTTTAAATTGTGTGAAATTATTCACATTTTTGGCAATGGTTTCTCACGAAGTAAAATCCCACTGATTTTACTTCTCCAATAGGAACTAAAATGCACACATTGTTGGTTGTCCCTTGAAATCCTCTAATACCTGTATTATTTTGAAATTATTTGAGTATTATTTAAAAGTGAATATAGTATGAATGGTAAATTAAAGACTGTTTACACAAAACTTGTATCTTAACAGATATTTGTGTTGTAAAAAACAAGCTGTTTTTTATAAGTCATTTGATGTGTGGTGTGTATTGTTAACCGTGAAAACTGTTCTACAGGGGAATTATAACTATTGCAGTGATCAGACAAAAGCATAGGGAAACATTTAAGTCCTGTACAGTCTTGGGAAGAAGGTATTTGTGCCTTAAGAATATAAACATGCTATTTATTATTTAATTTATACTGTCATTACCGTGAAAGCATCTCTTGTTTGTACATATTTTGCAATTGATTGTTGTAAATATAATGTTCTTGTATATAAAGACAGTCTCTTTCTGATCTTGCTGTAAATAATTGATTTGTTGCTATAGTAATTAGAGAAATAGTGTTTAATATGCCTTATTAGTAATGATAGAAATACAAATGCATTAAGTAAAACTGACCTTAAAATTATGAAGGATCTTGGCAGTATAACTATACTTGAATGGCATCTGTAATGCCCACCAATTTATGGGCAGAGGCAGAACCTGGAGAGAGAGAAACTGCCTGAAACCATAGTTGTAGTCCTTAATATGTTGTACTTAATGATATGCATTTCATTAGATGTGTATCTATTTCTCATCTAAGAAATTAAGAATATTTATCCTTAAAATACCACACAAAGTAGATTAGCTTAAAGTTGGTAAATGTAATTTTATAATTTGCTTTATTATTGAGATGAAGAACACAAGTACTTTAAAAATACAACAACAAACAAAGTAAAACAAACAGAAAAGTGTAAGTTTGGTTTTAAAAATAATAAAGATCCATAATAACTGTAAACACATTCAAGGAGTAGTTTATTAGGAGAAAAAAATTATAAAGCCAATCTTACTAATTGTTCATAGCCAGATTATAATGAATTTCACTGTTAAAGTGGGAATTTTAATTCAGGTGACTGACATAATTTTCTATGACAATTGCAGTTGCAGGTTTTTATATATTTTCCTAGATAATTCTCTGTACTTTTTTTTCCTATAGAGAAAATTGTCTTTTACTCTTCTTTTTTAGACATCTTAAATTAGAAGAGGAATAAATATTTCCCAAAATCCTGAACTGGGCACTTTAATAACACATTTTGGATTACAGCCTCTAGGCATCCTAGCAACCAAAATTTGTTTAGAAACACAAAGGTGCCTTAATGAATGGTCTCCACTCAAAAACCTGAGAGAGAGAAAAAGAAGCTGGACTTACAGTACTTACTGCACTCCTAACTTTAACCCTTATAATACAGTACAGTATATGAGAATATCACAGGTTATTTTTCTAAGTATCAAACTCCAAGTGTCTGATAAATAAAATGTGTTTTTTCTCTTCTCTTGTGGTTAAAAACGAATAAGAGACATTCTTGATAACATTAAGACTTGTGAGGTGTTCTTCTCCAAATACTTGCATGGAGATTCACATTCACCTACTCAGTACTGAGGGCTTTTTTTTATAATTGTTGTTTTAGTTCTACTACGGACTGAATCATACATAATGTAATTTATTCATTTTAGTTGTATGGTACAAAATCTAAAAATAATGCACAAGTTTATGGGTGCTATTGGCATGCTAGGGCCATAAATTAACAAATTGGCTAGCTTGTTGGATTCATGAAATTTTAGCCAAATCCAAGCCATTTGGTCTATTGTGGGAAATAAGCTAATAAGTAAGCTCCTACTCTTGCAAACAATTATGCCATTTCTTAGCTCATGGTGAGAAAGTAGTCACATAATTAAACTTGGTTGTCTGAATGTTATAAGACACCCATCACTGCATCCTTTTAACCAGAACAATTACATTCTTTTTTCATAACATACCTGGAAAGAGGAAATAGGCCAAAGTACTGAGGTTATGATTATTAGGAGTTGTTTAATTGATTCCAGTTCATATTCTTGAATTTCCTGAGAGACTTAATGGGATATGGCTCCTCAGGCCCAGCGTATCTAATGTCATCTGCTTTCAGGATTCTAATATTTTCACCTGAATAAGCCAATGTGCTTCACTTTAATGCCCATTTTGATTTGTCCTTTTATTACTGGCTGACACAAATTGCTCATTGGTAAAGAATCACTAATTTAATCTAGCAAGGGATTCTGGTCCCTCACATAATTAAGGCTTCCATCGTAGCCAGAAAAGACAGCCTGAGGCATGGGTTGTAGATTCTTGATTCTGGAAGGAAAGCCTATTGATTTTCTCTCAATGGATTGCATCAAATATTGTCCTTATTTCTTGTTTAAAACAGGATATTTCTGAGAAAGCATGGTGATTATGTGCATCTCATAAACAGTGAAAAATTTCAGAAGTTGCAGGCTTACTCAGTGTTTCAATTTATTGGAAGACTATACCATACTGGCCGATACAGATATAATACATAATGTATTCAGGGAATTTATAGCATTGTTTACATGTAGTGTAGTGTACTGGATTCCTGTTCCAACTGATTGCTAGAATAGTTTTATGCAAAATCTGTTTTGTTTGCACCTTCATTTACTTCTAGCTTATGCTGAATAAAGGTAGACTAACATACTCTCCTTGCCTCTTGTCATAAAATCATAATACAAATAATTTTAAGGATGTGTAGAACAAAATCTAACCAAATGAGCTATTAAAGCAGAATCACCACTGTCAAGTGCCTTTTTGCCTCAGCATTTATGGTAAGTTGTATTCATAGAAATATGTTGTTACTAAAGATTTTGATTTGCTGACTTGATGGCACATAATAAGTAATCAAGACATTGATGGATATTCTCCATGATGGTTTGTATCTAACCTGGTCCTTGAGGTTTTCCAATGGTATATCCATTGCCATTGCATGAACCATTACAGACGACAAAGACACCTGCAACATTAATTTGTAATTACTATAATTCTTTCCCAAATCTCAGTTTTCCCATCCTGCTGGCTGTCATTTGCTTTTCATAACTATAGATACATTGTTTCTACCTTTACATAACCTCAGATTAAAATAAATTGCATCATGGTAATAGATAACATCACAACACTAAGCACCACATCTGATTGGCTGGGTGGGATATCATTCAAAATAAGGCTAGAGCTTTCTGAAGTTCTCATGTAGATTAATTCCAGGGAGCAACAGAAAAACCATGGAACTACTTAAGAAAGATGTTAACAATAAATTCAAATTTTGATAATGGAGAAATATGACAAAAGTATTTGAAAGCAGTGAATTGTTATGGGGAATGAAGATAAAACTGTTAGGTACCCTTTACCAAACTGGTGCATTGTGGATCAATGTTTCTCAACCTCAGCAACTTTAATATGTGTGGACTTCAGTTTCCAGGGTTCCCTAGCCAGCCCCATAAAACTGTGTCCATATTAAAGAAATTGTACTCAAATAAACCTTTTTACCATTTCTGTGATGACACTATGTACACCTGCAGCCTTAGCATCTATTAATTTTGAGCAACCTTTTCTTGGATACTACTTATTACTCAATAACTCTATGGCAACATAAAGCCAGAAAGAAAACTGAAGAGTGGCAGGCATGATATGGCCCTCTCACAATCTTCTCAAGTCTTCTTGATCTCAAGCCTTGGAAAGGGGGGAGGGTAAGAAAGAGTTTGACTAATTCTGCTATCTTGCATTGATAAGTTGCTGGAATAAATAGGGTAACTTGGTATATTTTCATACTGGATGTGACCAAAGAGTACTTGTGGCTGTTGTTGAAAGTAATAGAAAGGAGTAAGCCTTCATCACATAGCATGGGTTTGAATTTAACATGCTCTTGTTTGGTCTGTGGGATGCTTTTGCAACCTTCCAAAATTGGTCAATGAATTGCCCACAGGGTTAAATGACTTTGATATGACATAGATGATGAATTTATTTTTTTAATCACATTAAGTAGCACTTGAAGACATGGAACAGATGTTTCATTCTAGCACTGCAGGGAGGCTGGATTAAGTTGTAAAGGACAAGAAATTAACCTGAATCAAAAAGCCTTGAAAGTCACAAAAATAAGAAAAGTGCCAATGCTAATTAAAATAAAAAATAAGTGGAGGCAAGCGATAACATCTTCTAATTAACCCCTCACAGAAAAAAGGTGGTGGAATTCTAGGAGCTGAAGCATTGACATATCTGATGTTAGATTAAGATGATTGCTTCCTGGCAGAATGTCACTAAAAACTCAGATAATCAGTGTAAGGAGCAAACAACTATAGCTCTCTGGTGCTCTCTTGTGATCACTTTAACTTGAAATTGTTGGTAGGCAGTTTTAAGAATTTTAGAGGGTCCCAAGTATAAAATTAGAAGGTGTTAGTCAAAAGACCTTGTACACTGTCCTGTTTCTTAGTATATCTCTTGAAGAGGGGCAGGGCTTAAAAAAGCAATGACACAAGTAAGGGCAGCAAATGAAAGACAGTGATATCTCATACTATCACATGTGAAAAGTTTCATGAAAGACTTGAAAATGTTTAGCCTAAATATTGGATATTTGAAAAGTGAATCACACTTTTCAAATATCCAATATTTGGGCTAAACATTTTTGTTAAAGCAATAAGCCCGAAGTAGGGTTGAATTTATAGAAAAGCTGAAATAGAGTTTAATTTATAGAAAAAAAACACATTTATTTTAATTAGCCATTGCTTACCTAAGCAATAAGAGAAGAAAATCAGAAAGAAAAGCACATGTTAAAAAGCAAACCATTCCTGATTTTCTTTTCTACATGTAGAATCCCACAGGAGCCATTTTTGTTTAACTGAAAGAAAGGCTGTCAGAGTGTATCTCCTGAGTAAATATTTGAGGTTATGGATTAACTTTAACTAGTGTCCTCTGCATTCAATGGTGGAAGAATAGACTACTGTGATTCAGCCAAGGAGGTCTGTAAGTCTTTTTTATTGTTCATATATTTCATTTAAAGTCCTAAACAATATTTTTACCTAAATCAAATGCAAAGAGGGATAAGAAATGCAGACTATCATCAGGGAAAGTTTAAAAGAGAATTGACAATACATTTAGTTTAGTTCTGTTATCTTGTGTATGTTTTGTTTTGTTTTGGTTTAGGATTGGGTTTGGGTTCACTTAAACATACAATGACTAGATTTTGAACAGAAATTTTAAAATTGAATTATTGTCAAATAAACAGAAAGTTGCCAACTAGTTAGTTAGATAAAGAGACAGAAGTGGTAGGTGGGAAGACATTACTTCCAAGGCCAATATATGGTGAAAAACCTAAGATTAAACTATGCAGGAGACTTTGGAGGCTCTACTGTAAGAATCAAATATTAGCCTGTGCTTTCTTAAATACATAATCTTGAAAATATATAAAAGCATGTATTTCTCTAAAATGAATCACCATTTTTTTTGGTGGTTGTTCTCATAGTTGTGGAATCGGTTGTGCAATGGGTAGAATCATTTCTCTTCTGGCGTTTTCAGCTGCCTTCATATTGCTTAATGGATATGAAGCCTCAGGTATGTCATCCCTTTGAACATCAGGTTAAACATTATATTCTGCCAGCCACTGCACAGTCTCTAAGCATAATTGAAAGAACCCAATGTCATTTGGATTCTGTACAATACAATCCTTTTCCCAATTATTCCTAGTTACACACTGGAAGTATGGGGCATATTTTACCATCATCTTGATGTGAAAACAAGTGTATGCAGAATTACACAATTTACCTCATTTTGAAAAAATAGGTATTGCAGCATAAGAGTTTACATTTCATTAACATAGTTTGGATTTTACAGAATAGCACTAGAAGCAATAATTATAATCTCCATTGGCTTCATTATTTTACTCCAAAGCATGTTTTTTCTCACTTCAAAAATTATTTCTCATATCAGGTAAAATAATATAACACAAATATGTTTCTGAAACTAGTAAGATAAAAATACCATAAATACTCCATATGCCCCATTCCCAAGTGTTTTACAGCAGCCAAGAAGCCAATCGTGTCCTGAAGATTCAAAAGCGCGCAAATTCTTTCTTGGAAGAATTAAAGGCAGGTTCCTTGGAAAGAGAATGTTTAGAAGAACAATGTGATTTTGAAGAAGCTAGTGAAATATTTGAAACCATGGAAAAAACTGTAAGTTACTTTGAAAGATTGGGAAAAAAGAGTGAAGCTTCATTATCCAGCTGAAAGAGCAGAATAAGCTAAAGAGCAGAAAGAAACTCCTAATTTAGTAATCTGACCCAAGATGTTCTCTACCCCAAGCAGCTGGTGAGACTACTCTTTGGTGGGATTAGACTGTATACTACCAAATTATCACTCCTAACATTTGCTATCAAAACAAACACTTTGACTTCTTATTTGTTTTGGCTTCTCTTGGCCTTGGTTGATTATTGTGGAACTTGATTCAAATTGGATGATTTGTATGGGTGTACCATCACATTCAATTAAGTCCACTTTTACTATTTGTAATGCCCATTGCATTGGCAGTTGAGTTTATGTCAAAATAATAACATCACTGCTTAAGCAAATATTGGAAACATTTGTAATATTTTCATTGTGCTGGACAGATGATAGCGGATATGATGGATAAATGACTCTGAATAATTGTTCATTCTGTCATTATCAGACTGAGAAACAATCTAGAAAATGTTGATGCTATACAATATGGCTATTTATAGAAAAGATTTTTAGAGTTTTAAATTATTATTTTTTTCTTTTCAGTTAAATTTCTGGGCAAAATATATTGGTGAGTACAGATGTATTGAGTATTGCTAGTGACCATTTTTATATCTTCTCTCCTCTTCATTATGTATTTACTCCATTTTAGTTGTGTTCCATTAGTTAATATTATTTGCTCAATTTTATGCTATTGAGAGAAGTCATTCTTTCCCTTTCCAGGGAAGAACTGATTTCAACTCAGTGCCATCAAAACTGAATAGCAGTGGGTCTTAGCCCCCCCCCCTGATATCACAATAAGCTATTTTTTGATCCTTACAAGTGGCAGAGATTTCACACACAGACTTCCGTGCCAATCATGCCTGTTCCTGCTTAGGAAGCCTTGCTTACTATCATTCATGACCTAGGCCAGGGGTAGGCAACCTTGGCTCTTTTATGACTCTTGGACTTCAACTCCCAGAATTCCTGAGTCAGCTATGCTCAGGAATTCTGGGAGTTGAAGTCCATGAGTCATAAAAGAGCTGAGGTTGCTTACCCCTGACCTAGGTTTTGGCAAATTCATGTTGTGTGCTAGTTCCACCCTTTCCTGGATTATGAGTCACTCATGCCCTGATCATCTCACATCTGAACTATTGAAACACTCTCTACATAGGGCTACCTTTGAAGAGTATTTGGAAGCTACAACTGGCACAAAAAGCAGCTGTGTGGACAGTTCTTGGGATCCTTAAGGTGGTCCATGTAATACCTCAGTTGTATGAGCTGTATTGGTTTTCAAAGTTGTCAATTCAGGATGTTGGTTATTACTTTTAAATCCCTTTGTGGCATGGGTTCCTCCATCTGTCTGGAGGAAGATAATAATTGTGAGTTCCTGATCTCCTAATATGGGTTCTTTTTATTTTAACTGAATTCTTGGTGTGGTTTTTTTCATTATTTGAGCACCCACAATACTCACAACTCATATTGGTTGAGTTACATGGCCATATAAATTTCTTAATTTTCTTAAATAAATAAATGGCTAGATTGGAATGAAACTTTCAGTTAATTGAGTATTTTTATAGCCTTGTGACTCCACAATAAATCTAGCACAATAAATCTAAGCAAACAGCTAGTCTAAATTAACTCAAATAATGCAAACGAAATTTTGTTCACCAAGAAAAAAGAAGCTGTTTGTGCTGTTAATGTGATAGTCAACTATCCCAATTCTTCTTAGGTTAGGGCTATAATATCAGAGTTCCAGAAATCAAGATAACTACATAATAGAAAAGAATTAAATACGTCTTTCTTTCCTAACATATGGGTGATTGTCTAGATATTTTGCTACCGGCATATGGTAGACCTGTTTTTAATTCCTCAGTTTGATGAATATTCAAAATCAGCTTAAGTGCCATGCAATAACACTGATCAACAAAAAAAAAAGTCTGCAGAATGAAGTCTTGCAATAGCAATACAAATTAAAAAAATGCAAAAGAATGATTTTTCATCCCATTACAATTTAGCGATTTACATATATCGATGAATTTATGAGCTGCTAAGTATAATAATAATAATAGTAAAGTTGGAAGGGACCTTGGAGGTCATCTAGTCCAACCCCCTGCTCGGGCAGGAAACCCTACACCATTTCGGACAAATGGCTGTCCAGTCTCTTCTTAAAAACTTCCAGTGTTGGAGCATTTACTGCTTCTGGAGGCAAGCTGTTCCACTGATTAATTGTTCTCACTGTCAGGAAGTTTCTCCTTAGTTCTAGGTTGCTTCTCTCCTTGATTAGTTTCCACCCGTTGCTTCTTGTCCTGCCTTCAGGTGCTTTGGAAAATAGCTTAATTCCCTCTTCTTTATGGCAGCCCCTGAGATATTGGAATACTGCTATCATGTCCCCCCCTTGTCCTTCTCTTCGTTAAACTAGACATACCCAATTCTAGCAACCGTTCCTTATATGTTTTAGCCTCCAGTCCCCTAATCATCTTTGTTGCTCTTCTCTGTACTCTTTCTAGAGTCTCAACATCTTTTTTACATCGTGGTGACCAAAACTGGATGCAGTATTCCAAGTGTGGCCTTACCAAGGCATTGAAGAGTGGTATTAATACTTCACGTGATCTTGATTCTATCCCTCTGTTAATGCAGCCTAGCACTGTGTTGGCCTTTTTGGCAGCTGCAGCACACTGCTGGCTCATATTTAAGTGATTGTCTACTAGGACTCCGAGGTCCCTCTCACAGTTACTACTATTGAGCATGGTGCCACCTATGCTGTACTTGTGCATTTGGTTTTTCTTGCCTAAATGTAGAACCTTGCTTTTTTCACCATTGAATTTCATTTTGTTAGTTAGTGCCCAGTGTTCAAGTCTGTCCAGATCCTTCTGTACTGAAGCCTGTCTTCTGGAGTGTTGGCTATTCCTGCCAGCTTGGTGTCATCCCCATTCCAAATCGTTGATGAAGATGTTGAAGAGTACTGGGCCCAGAACAGAGCCCTGGGGCACCCCACTACACACTTCCCTCCATATAGATGCAGTTCCATTGAGGACCACTCGCTGAGTACGGCCGGTCAGCCAGCTACGGATCCATCTGTGGTGGTTCTGTCTACCCCACATTTTTCTATCTTGTCAAGTAGTAGGTTGTGATCTACTTTATCAAATGCCTTACTGAAGTCCAAGTAAATTATGTCCACAGCATTCCTCTGATCCACTAATTTTGTCACTTGGTCAAAGAATGCAATAAGATTTGTCTGGCATGATCTATTTTTGACAAACCCATGTTGGCTTTTAGTAATGACTTTGTTTGCCTCTAGGTGTTCGTTGATTCGTTGTTTGATTATCTTTTCCAGGATCTTCCCAGCTCTCTTTACAGCTCTCTAACATTCAGCTTTCTAGCAAGAGAAAACAAACCATTTTCCTTTCCAGGTTTCTGCTTGAATAGTGATTCCACTTGGAAAGGGATTGTGTGTTAAATTAAGTAGATACTTTCTGTGGTTTGTGCTAGAAAAGTTACAGGCTGAGCTAAAGGTAGATCTGCTGGTAGCATACTCAGTAATTATAATTATAACAAAGTAAGTGCCTATTGATTTAACAAGAACAACTATTTTATTCCTCCTGTCCTAATATATAGAAATATTGGAATAGCGTGAAATAGATTTTGTTAAAGGAATAGAATAGAATAGAGCTCGAAGGGCCCTTGGAGGTCTTCTAGTCCAGCCCCCCCTCAAGCAGGAGAACCTATACCATCTCAGACAAGTGACTGTCCAGTCTCTTCTTAAAAACATCCAGTGATGGAGCGCCCATGATTTCTGAAGGCAAGCTGTTCCACTGGTTAATTGTCCTCACTGTTAGGAACTTTGATCAATTTCCAGCCATTGTTTCTTGTCCTGCCCTTTGGTGCTTTGGAGAATAATTTGACCCCCTCTTCTTTGTGGCAGCCTCTCAAATACTGGAATACTGCTATCATGTCTCCCCTATTTCTTCTTTTCTTTAGACTAGACCAGTGTTTCTCAACCTTTTTAATACCGCGACCCCCAACCGGTCGTAAGCCAAGGACTACTCAACCGGTTGTAAGTCGAGGACTACTCAACTGGTGCAGCACCGTTTACAGAATGGGACTTTTGGCGGGCTCAGCAGGGCAGAGACAGCCTGGACAATTCCTATTGGCTTTTGAAAGCCAATAGAATTAGACTCTATTCAAGAGAGTCTATTCTATTGGCTTTCAAAAGCCAATAGAATAAAAGGTAGTAGCACAGCTAAGGAAAAGGGGAAAAAAATGGCGGACTGCATTGTTTGGCGACCCCCGTGAAATGGTCGTTCGACCCCAAATGGGGTCCCAACCCACAGGTTGAGAACCACTGGACTAGACAAACCCAAGTTTTGTAGCCGTTCTTCATATGTTTTAGTTTCCAGGGCTTGGATCATCTTAGTCGTTCTTCTTTGAACTTTTTCCAAAGTCTCAACGTCTTTTTTATAGTATGGTGTCCAAAATTGGTTACAGTATTCCAGGTGTGGTCTCACTAAGGTTTTATAAAGCGGTACTAATACTTTGCGTGATCTTGATTCTATGCCTCTGTTTATATATGACCTTCATTTCTCCTCCACAAACCTGATACCTAGTCATCTCTGTACACGTGAAATGAATATAGAATATATAGAAATGAATATATCCCTCTCTGCCTAAACAAATATCTGTATTTTACTGTGATCTTGAAAAAAGGATTACATTCCAAACAAGTTCCTGCGTCTCTTTTTCCTAATATCTTCTGAACATCATTTACTCAAAAGAAGTGAATCATAACAAAGGGAAGAATTTGTTTGGCTGAGAGAAAGAGGAACTGCATTCTGTACATACTAAGGAGTCAGATTAGAAGGGGAGATATCCAGGTTAAAGTCCATCCTCAGTCACAAAAAAGTCACCAAGTGGCCAGTCACTACCTCTCAGTTAAGTTACTTACAGGGTTATCATTGTGGGGACAAAATGAAAGAACATTTCCATTTAAGATACTTTGAGCTCTTGGAGTAAACATGAATAGAAATACATCAAGTGTTAAGTAAATACTGTGAAGATCTGTATGATCTGGGTTTTCTATGCTTTTTTTTTTTTTAGATGGAGATATGTGTGTTTCCAGCCCATGTTTGAATGGACTCTGTAAGGATGGCATTGGGCGATTTGACTGCATATGTAACAAAGGCTGGGAGGGACGATTCTGCCAAAATGGTAATGCTACTTTTGATACTCGGATTTTTTATCACTGATATTATACCATGGGTCCCTTATCTTATCTCAAACAACTCTGATTGATTACTTACAACTATATAATATGCATATGTGATGGCATCTCCAGTGCAGTCCTTGTTACCAACTTCCATTCAGCAAGATTAATTTATAATCATAAATGTATGGGATGGCAATACAGGTAGCCCTTAACTTACAACCATTCATTTAACAATAGTTCAAAGTTATGATGACTTTGGAAAAAGGACTTGTGATGTAGTCACATTTACAACTGTCACATTTACCAGTAGTTGTAGGGTCTAGGTCAGAAGATTGTGATTTGCTAGACACATGATTTTGCCAATTTCATTTTTCACATTGCAATAGCAATAGCACTTAGACTTATATACTGCTTCACAGTGCTTTACAGCCCTCTCTAAGGGGTTTACAGAGCCAGCATATTGCCCCCAAGAATCTGGGACCTCATTTTACCGACCTCGGTAATACAGAAGGTTGAGTCAACCTTGAACCTGTCAGGATTGAAGTTCTGGTGTGTGGGTAGAGTGTGCCTACAAAACTGCATTCTAACTTTTGTGCCACCACATAACTTTATAGGGCTGATCCAAAGTGATTAATTATTTTTTTTGTCATAAGAACATGTCATTCCATTGTATTTTTGCTGCCCAGAGGTCATCTACACTAACTGCTCCATTGCCAATGGTGGCTGTGAACATTTCTGCCATGAGAGTGAAGGAAACAATAAACAATACCGTTACTGCAGCTGTGCTTTGGACTACCACCTGATGGATAATCATACTTCTTGTGAAGCTTCAGGTAAAGAGATGATCAGGCAAACATACATTTATGTAAACATTATTTAAAGAGTGTTAGATTTTGCAATGTAATTTTTAAAATTTACCATTCTTTTATTGCTTAGAACATAATAATTATGAGAATATTATTCAGTACACTATAGAAATATTGCTGTTTATTTTACTGAAGAACAAGCATTATATACAGCCTTGTTCAAAGAAAAATGCATTTAGCTCACAAAAAAATCACATAATGGGTTTTTTTCCAGAATACCAGCTGGCTGTTTCCCTAAGACTTTTAAATACTTGTGAAAAAGTAAGTTGGAATTCTTCTGAAAAAAAGTGAGAAAACCCTAACTCTGAGTCCACACCTCCCTGTGTGAAGAAAACATGTAAAGAGCAAAATCCATGATCAATTTTGCAAGCAGTTCTAGAGGCTTAATGTTTTGCCAACTGAGCTGTCATGGATTGTGCATTGAATAACATTTCCTACATTCCTTATTTCTAAAAAGAAACTGGTGTTCTTCCATGATCCATTTTATATTTTATTTAAAATTGTTTTATTTTAACTTTTCTACTTAGAAAGTGCTACAAAAGTATCTCCTGAGAGCCTGTTATGTAGGTTGTTAAGAGCCCTGATGATGCAGTGGTTCAAATGCTGTACTGCAGGCTACTTCTGCTGACTCTTGGCTGCCAGCAGTTTGGCAGTTTGAGTCTGATGGCTCAAGGTTGACTCAGCCTTCCATCCTTCTGTTGGTAAAATGAGTTCCCAGATTGTTGGGGGGGCAATAGGCTGACTCTGTAAACTGCTTAGACGGGAGAGGGCTGTAAAGAATTGTGAAGCGGTATATAAATTTAAGTGCGATTGCTATTGTTAAAAAATACAAATGAATCCTCAGCAAGATAAGGTTCTTGCATTAAGAAACCTCAAGGTTATGAATTATGATTCTGGTAGGATGGCAGCTTTGCATTCAGGGGCCTCCCAAATAATTGTGACTCTGACAGCTGATCATTAACTGGAGGGGTGGGAAGTGTATGGAATAAATATCAATCCTAGATACTGCGTAAGCAAACATGACTTTGGAAACTCCATGAGTAAGACATACATTTTTATTGGGATTTTCTTGGTATGACGATACATTGAATTAGAGATGGGTGACTTTGCATCATACAAATTACCAGCAGAAGGCATGTTCTGTTAGCAAAGAAAGACATGAATCAAATACCTTTGAAATTCCATTAATTTTAGTAATGGTTAAGATGTAATTCTAAATATACTTACTATGAAGTATGTTTCCTTAAGAACAGGAAGATTTAATTCCAAGTAAACAAGGATGAAACAGCACTCTTCAGTCTGAATCAAACCGTCATTTCCAAACTATTTCTCCATCCCTCCCAAATATGCTGAGATTACTAGAATTCAATATAGAATCTATAGAAACTTGAAATAAGACAATTAAAGAAGATTCAGTGTGACAGTTACTCAATGAATTAACTGTAATGTGCCACTTTATACTTGGGACAGAAAACATTTTTGAAATAAGGTTTCCACCTGTAATAACCCAGCATAAATGTTGTTATGAGCTTCTTGGAACCTGAGAAATGGATAATGGTTTGCCAAATATTACTATCTCAGAACATCCTATATGTAACTCCATTGCTGGATTTCAGCAGTTCCTAGTGGCTAAACAGGAGCAGGGCTTTTTTTGTCACGGAACGCCCAGAACAGAGTTCTGGCACCTTTTTTGGATGGAACCTTGTAGGGTAGGCAAGGTGGGTTGTATCACATGTGTGAGTTCCGGCACCTTTTTTTTTTTTTTACAAAAAAAGCACTGAACAGGAGAATTAGGAAATCTGTACTCCAGCAAATTTGGAGATAAAGAGACAGTTCTGAAATAAAAAGCATCCAATTTTCCAGATTTCTCTTTTCTACTCATGAAAATATTCAGGTATTACTGAACATTTACCACAAATAAATAAAACACAACCTCACAGTCATATAAGTATAAAAATACTTAACTTTCCTTATAAAAGCCAGAGTAATTGGGAGAACGTTTCCCACTATTTGAGTAAATGAGAAATTAAGAGGGCAGCTTACAGGAATTACAAAACCTTTAGAAAGAGGCAAAATACAAACCAGCTGAAAAATCTTGGTTGAATATTGGGATAATTGTTAAGGTATTATAGTGGTATTTCAAACTTTCTTTTCCTTCTTTTTTTTGCAGTGGAGTATTCCTGTGGGAGAGTTGTGGAATCCAAATTAAAAGTTGCAAAAATAATTGGGGGTAGTCCTGGAAAAAGAGGAGACAGCCCTTGGCAAGTATGTAGCAATGAAATCTTCATTTTGTAGTAGCTTTGATCTTTCTGTGAAATGGGCATCTGTTTATCCCATGTATTGGCCTCTAAGTCCTTTTTATTTCAGTGTCTACAACATCAGATACTGTTCATTATATTTTCTTGACAAATACTGTCATGTCAAAGCAAAAGGATTTGAATATACCACATTGGAAAACTTTTAAGCATCTAGGAAACATACTTAAGAATGGGAAGATGACAAGGGCTACAAAGAGGAAGTGGATGACCTATATCACAAGAATGAGTAGGACTGAGTTTTGGGTGATTTTTTTAATTGTGATATTTCTATGTTAGGACTTACAGTATAGTTTTCCACTTCAAAATGGTAGGAAGCTATGCTGCAACCATAGTCAGAGGGATTGCTGAAGTTTGAAGTCTACAAAAAAAGGAGGATTTGGAGCTGATGCATTGTATAATGGATTCTAGTTACTATAAACAGTTAAGGAGACCTGATTTTTCCAAATTGCTTTGTTGAACAACATACCAGCTTCACTTAAGCTTACGCCACACAGATGTCTAAGAATGGAATTCTCAGGACTCTCATCCTGGGATTGGGATATACAGTCACTGCATTTTAATAAAAGACATAAACTGGGCAATGCAGAAGCAATTGTAATTTAAAATTAAGGCTGACAGCACTTTGAATCCTCACCTGCAAATCCATTTTAGAATTGTTTCAAAACAATAAAGAATTTTCAGAGCAGATGACAAGCACTCAGCCTGAGCTGTCACCAAATTAATAATTCCATTTGAGTTATTCTAATATAATATATTCAAACAGTTTGCTGAGTATAAAAGTGACAACTTCAATACCAATTGGAAAGATAAGTACATCAGAAGAAATGTAAATTTAATTTTATGCAGTTCCTACAGTATTTGTCCCACTGATTTCCATTCCATTCAGAATATCCTGACCAGCAAAACATCCAAGGGCTATTGCATTTGACCTAACAATTTAGTAAATTCAGATTCAAGATCACCAGCAGAACAGCATGGGCAAGGGAACAGATTTAACAGCCTTTTCCTCCTTCCATTGCAGGTTATGTTGGGCAATAGTGCAGGAGAATTTAAATGTGGTGGTGTTCTCATTCATCCTGCTTGGGTATTGACAGCTGCACATTGTGTGTTTCGAGAATCGAGAATCAAACTGATCCTTGGTAAGGAAAACCCCAATACCTGTATTCTTTTTTAATACGGCATGTGTCAATAAATCTTTTACCCTGTATAATGCGGTGTTTCTCAATCTCACCAACTTAAAATGTGTGGATGTCAATTCCATCTCAAAGTTGTTGAGGTTGAAAGACATTGATATAATGCCTATTTTTGTGGAGATTGCTGAATTCCTAACTCTGGATAGATACATCCATCAAGTTTGCATGGCTAGTCTAGAGAAAAGAAGGATTGGGGGGGAATATGATAGTAGTATTCCAGTATTTGAAGGGCTGCCTCAAAGAGGAAGGGGTCGACTTATTTTCCAAAGCACCAGAAGGCAAGACAAGAAATAATGGATGGAAATTGATCAAAGAGAGAAGCAACCTGGAATTAAGGGAAAACTTACTAACAGTGAGGACAATTAACCAGTGGAACAGCTTGCCTTCAGAAGTCGTAGGTGCTTCATCAATGGAGGTTTTTAAGAAAAGACTGGACAACCACCTATCCAAGATGGTATAGGGTCTCTTGCTTGAGCAGGGGGTTGGAGTAGAAGACCTCCAGTTTCCTTCCAGCTCTATTCTGATTGATTGAGAGTTAAACTAAAATAATGTTCTTCTAAAAAGATTCTACCAGTATGTCTGAACTGATCTTTCCAGAAATAACTCTTAGTAACAAGAAATTAAAATTTAAACTTTGTTAAATCTTGCCTGTGAGGCAAGGTAACTGATAATAAAAAGGCTATGAACAGGCACAAGCATTTACAGTTGATATCCAAGCTATGATTCCAGTCTCAAAAAAATTTAAGAAAAACAAAAATATCTTACCAGTAGCATATTCAGAGATAAGATATGAGACCAAGGTTTCCCAGAACACAAAATTTGTTCTATTAATCATCATCCTGTTTGCAGGTAGAGGCTTAAATGCTGGAGGTACGTAGTCATCAATCAGATTTGATCTTTTGGGAGAAACAGCATTCTCCTAAGGAGACTATTTGCTTTAGGCTCCTGAGTACACAGCCTATTCACATTTCTACTTCTTGATCCTAGACCTAGGGTCTGAGATCTGAGTATCAAGGGGCATAATTGGAAGAGTGTTTCTTCAATGATTTTATTATTTGTTTATTGAATTTATAAAACATCCATCTCACTAATAAAGTGACTCTGGGTGGCTTTCAGAAGATACAAATAAATATAAAAACAATTAAAATAAAAAGAATTGTATAAAAATTAGAATCAAGGGACAGATGGCACAGAAGTGAGGTCTTCCTCTTACCCCATCAACCACCTCCAGCAAAGAGTGTTCCCATCAGGACTCTAAGCCAATCAGCAAACCAGGCCCTTCCAGAAGACCCAGAGGGTAAGAGCAGATATTACCTCCAGTGGTAGAATGTTCCACAGGCAGAGACCACAATGGAAAAGGCAAACTCCTTAATCCTGCCAGGGGAAGTTCCTTAATAGATGCTTACATCATCTGTTTACAAGAGTTGAAAACAAGCTTATGGGATTTTTTTTTTTAATTTAAGAGCAGGACCAAAGGATTTATAGGTAGTTCTCAACTTACAACCATTCATTTAGTGACCATTCACAGTTACAACAACCTTGAAAAAAGTGACTTATGACCAGTTTTCACACTTATGATTATTGAGCAACCCAATAATCATGTGATCAAAATTCAGGTGCTTGGCAACTGACATGTATTTATGATGGTTGCCCTGTCCTGGGATCATGTGATCATCATTTGTAACCTTCCCAGCCAGCTTCTGACAAGCAAAGTCAATGGAGGAAAGCCTGATTCACTGAATGATCATATGATCCACTTAATAACTACAGTGATTCACTTAACTACTGGGGCAAAAAAGAACGTAAAATGAGGCACAACTCACTCACTTAAATCTCTGCTTAGCAATAGACATTTTGGGCTCAACTGTTAATTATAATAGTTTTTTTAAATTTAAATAAAAAATATAATGGAAAAGTGATACACATTGGAACAACAATTGTAGAAAACCCTTAATTTCACCTATAGGTTGAAGGGATCTAAGCTGATAATTGCTGATCATGGACTTGGGTGTATAGCAATTAGCTTGATGGAACATGTGAAAATAGATATAATTCAATTCAATTCAATTTATTATTACAGCCAAAGGCCAACACATAAAGTAAACATTCAAATAAAACAAAACTAAACAGAACCAACAATAGAAGACATAGCAATATATTACAATTAATGATGTAATCAATGGGTGACCAACGTCTCCCTAGTTTTACAGACAGTGTAACAAAACCTAGCTACCTTCAGAAAAACTGAATTATACTGGCCTGACAATAAAAATACATTGAGTATAGTCTAATGCTGGATTAAAAACACGTAATAAAATTAATTATAAAAGATTATTAAAAAGATCTAAAATGTTTATTTATGTTTCTGACGAATCCCCAATGCTGCTGCTCAGAATCTAGCCACCTGTGCCATGGTCACTGCCTGCTCATCCTTAAGCAGCCACTGGGGATAAATACTTTCCGAACGACCAGGATACCTATCCATTATGAGGAGGATATGGTTTTTCCGAATAGCTCTATAGAAGGAACATCGAAGGAGTATGTGTCCAATGGTTTCCACCTCTCCTGAGTCACAGGAGCAGAGTCTTTCAGCCAATGGTGTCTTTTTATACTTGCCGTACAGGACGGCCAATGGAAATGCATGGCACCGTGCAAGCAAGAATGCTTTCCGGTGGTTTACTGACTCCAACTGATTAAGCTATCTGGCAGGTGTAACCACATATCTAACAGAGTCAGGAGCCAGAAACAGCGGAGCTATACCTGTCCGCTTGCCTCTTGATGTCCTCTACCCTTTGACGCAAGGTTTGTTTTGCTTGGTCGTAGTCCAATTTGAGAATTGAGGCTGACGAGAAGCCTAGTTTGGCAAGGTTGGACTCGACTGCCTTGATCCATGAAGAGAAGAATTTATCTTGAAGAATTAATGGAGCAAGGCCTTGTGGAAAGCAATTAGGCCTTAGACAGATGTTTAAGGAAGCTATACAGATTCTTGCTTCGACTTTTATCGATCCTGTCTCCAGTAACTGGTTGTAACTGCAAACAGTCATTAAATGAACTGTATTAAGTTAAGGACTACCTATACACACAATGTAATAAACTGGATTAGGAGTTTTTCTCCTTTTCTCACAGTATTACTACCTGACATTAGTGGTGAAAGATAAAAGACTGATAAAAGAGGACTTGTTAACACCGCCTCTTTTTAAACTATGAAGATATAATGCTGTCCATATTAATTTTGATGGCTTGAAAGGGGTGGAATTTGACAAAGTTGTTGATGTAATTAACTGTCTGGTCACAATAGGAAGAAAATGCTGGGTTAGATTAGAGGAAGGGTGTCAAACTGCCGGCCTGCGGACCAGATGTGTCATGGCGAAACCGCATCCACCCCATTGCCAGCAATGGCAAAAAAGTGGTGGTACATCGTGACACGTCATGTGACATTGACACCCCTGGATTAGAGAAACCTATTATCTGTTCCATGCAGGCTTTTCTTAATTTTTTAAAAATATCTGGCATTCTCATATTTCATCTCTTGACTAGAAGCCTGTAGCTGATATTTTGGTTTGAAAAAGTGAAATGCATATAAAATGTTTTCTTGCATCTCCTATCCTCTTCAACCAACAAGCCATACAGAATGAATGGTCTTCAGTCTACCCACTTGTGTTCTAATTTTCTCCATCCAATTCCATTATATGCATATTTTCTCCTTCTTTCCTTTTTTCTTTTTGTATCTGATTTTTGGGTTAACAAGAACAATATAGTAGGCAATTTTCCTAGTGCATACAAATCTGTGTTATAATTGAGTAGCTATTTATTCCTATTAAAGTTCAGAGTTTGCTTATTCAAATATTCAGGGAGAAAATACAACCTTTATTAAATGTCTTTTTTAACTGTTTGGCTTACTTTCAAGAAAATAATATTTCCAAATTTTTACATTACAGGAAAATATCACCGACGGCGGATAGATGAAAGTGAGATAACTATCATTGCTGACAAGATATTCTCTCATGAAAATTACTCTTCAGACACTTATGATAATGATATTGCAATACTACATCTATCCCACCCAGTTATTGTCAATAAGTATATTATACCCATTTGCCTGCCTACCCATAACCTGGCAAATCAACAGTTGATGACAGAAGGGATTCAAACAATAGTAACAGGCTGGGGAAGCCAGAGTGCAAATAGTAAGAAGAATTTCTCCTCTGTTCTCAATTTTATTGAAATCCCTATAGCATCACGGAATGACTGTATCCATTCTATGTGGAATTCTTTAACAGCTAACATGTTCTGTGCAGGGATACCAGGAGATATACGAGATTCTTGTCATGGAGACAGTGGTGGTCCTATGGTTGTAAAATTCAAGAACACCTGGTTCCTACTTGGATTAGTAAGTTGGGGAGAAGGCTGTGGGGATCCTAATAATTTTGGAATCTACACTAAGATCAGCTCATATCTTGACTGGATCAGTCAGAAAATGAAATCATAAAATCATTGTGCTAATGATCAATAAAAACATAACATATAAGTGACTCTGCTTTGTGTTGCTTTTCTACAATAGTCTCACTATTTTATGTATCACAGATTCTTTGCATAAAATGTTGGCAAATTCATTTTGGTCAAATGCAGCAAAAGTTTTCTATGACAATCCTGGATTTACAACAATCTTGGTTTCAAAAAAACAATTGGGGGACTTTCCCAACTGTTTGATAGACAGTTCAGCTCAAAACTGGGTATCAGGATGCAAACTGGAACTTTTCTCTATTGCCCATGAGTAGCTTCTTTCTGAATGCCATTTTCAGTTGGTGCCTTAGTTTACTAAGTCCCTCTCAAAGATGATGTCTGGAGTGGTAGTGAAGAAAGACGAAAAGCCAATTCACCCATAAATGAAACTATGTCCATGTTTGTGTCGATAATGTGGTGATAAAGGAGATGAAACATACATACTTCTCCTTCCTTATTGCAGAATTTAACACCATCAATCATATAATAATAATAATAGTAGTAAAGTTGGAAGGGACCTTGGAGGTCATCTAGTCCAACCCCCTGCTCGGGCAGGAAACCCTACACCATTTCGGACAAATGGCTGTCCAGTCTCTTCTTAAAAACTTCCAGTGTTGGAGCATTTACTGCTTCTGGAGGCAAGCTGTTCCACTGATTAATTGTTCTCACTGTCAGGAAGTTTCTCCTTAGTTCTAGGTTGCTTCTCTCCTTGATGAGTTTACACCCGTTGCTTCTTGTCCTGCCTTCAGGTGCTTTGGAAAATAGCTTAATTCCCTCTTCTTTATGGCAGCCCTGAGATATTGGAATACTGCTATCATGTCCCCCCTTGTCCTTCTCTTCGTTAAACTAGACATACCCAATTCTAGCAACCGTTCCTTATATGTTTTAGCCTCCAGTCCCCTAAGCATCTTTGTTGCTCTTCTCTGTACTCTTTCTAGAGTCTCAACATCTTTTTTACATCGTGGTGACCAAAACTGGATGCAGTATTCCAAGTGTGGCCTTACCAAGGCATTGAAGAGTGGTATTAATACTTCACGTGATCTTGATTCTATCCCTCTGTTAATGCAGCCTAGCACTGTGTTGGCCTTTTTGGCAGCTGCCGCACACTGCTGGACCTCCTGTGGTGGTTAGGGATTGAGGAAGAGTTTTGCAATGCTTCTTCTCCATTCTCTATGAATAGTTTCAATCTATTGTAGAAAAGGTTGGCCAAGTGACCCATCATTTACCAGGTATCACAGGAATCAGTCGTCACCCCCTTGATTGTTAACATTTACAGTATGTGAAACTATTGGGAAGGGTCATCCAACAATTTAGAGTAGGATATCATTAGTATGCTGATGATATCAAAACATAAATTATTACTCTGAGTTGTGCAGAGGTGCTGCTATTATTATGTCCTAGTGCCTGGAGCCTGTGAAGGTCTAGATGGGAGAGAACAAGTTCAAATTGAATGCAAGCTAGTGGGAGTTGCTGCTTGCATAATGGAGATCTTTTTTTGGTGTGTGTTATCCTTGAATAGGCACTATTATGGAGAGTTTGTGGGGTGAAGCCCATGGCTATTTGGCATAACTCCTACAGTATTCTTTTAGAACTGTTATTCTATTTGTTTTCTATATTCACATGTAGTATACATATGTACCCTCAATATGCTGCCATCTATTTTCTTTCCCATTCCCCTTCCTGAATTATAAATTGCCTTCCATGGATATAAGGCTGCACATCAAAATCTGTTTCTCAGAAGGAAGCCCCTCAGGCGAAAGGCCATGTGTTAAAGCTACATATTTGTAATCTAATCACCTTAATAGTGTATGGGGCACCACAGCTATCACAACACTGTAGTTCCTTGTTTGGCAGGTTGTCTTGCTCAGCCTTTTTAGGATCCAGATTCATTTTCTGCCAAACCCATGTGTCACTTTTAATTGGCTTTTATATCAAAGTGATTTTCATCTTGTTTTGTTCTCTTGATGTCACTGATCAATTAAACTTACAATATTTGACTATTTGGGAAGATTATGTTTAATTTAGATGTTTTAGGAGTAAAAAATTTGGTCCATCTTATTTTAAATATTTTAGATCGATTCCTTTCCATGTTTGTGACATGGGGTGTTTACACTCCCCCAAATCTATGATACATGCATAAATGCACATATTGATATATGAATTATCTTCCAGCTAGAAAACCTGTTGAGGAAGATGTATTTGCATGTGCTTAAAGTATTTGCATGTATTGCATGTACTTAAAGCAGAATACTACCAAAATATATCAAATAATAACTACAGCTCAGAGGGATAAAAGTGCAGACATCCAGAAAACATTCTATTTGAAAGAAGACAAAGAGAAGGTTTTGTGAGAAAGTTCCAATGTCTTTCAAAAAGTCATTTATGGTGATGAATAAAACATAGGAAAGCATTCTCTCTCCCCCCATCCCAAGTTTTATAAAAATGTGAGGATTATTAAAAAAAAAAGAGGCCACAAGCAAGGAAAAAGAATCTGATTAACTTTAAAATGTTTGGGCTGCAGTGGGGAAAGGGCTTTTTGCCATAGTATCCTGAAACCAGAACTTCCATGTCAATATTTGCAATAGTTTAATCATCAACATATAATTTTCAATAGCTTTCTTTCCTAGCTTTTGTAGCTGTTCTACACTTTTCCCTTCCTAATCAGGTAAGAGAACACGACATTTCTAATTTGCTGCAACAAATCAGAGACTGTTTCTTTTAAAGCTGCCTGTTTTTTTCTTTATTTTCTTCCTTTAACATGTACCTGGTTTCCTGGGCGACAAAGTTTCTGTTATTGGATGCCAATTGTTGTTTGATGAAATGAGCATAATCAACAGCTGTCAAAACAAAATAAAATACCATCTGTTCCTATAGGGTGCTTCAGTTAAAACATCAGCTTTAACAGGAGATTAAAAGGAAGTGGGTCTTATCTCCTTGCACTACTATTCTTCAGATGTTTCTTCACTTGGACACACTGAATATATAGCCATTGCTAGTGTATCAGATCAGTGATAAAAACAGATACTTCTGTCTTCCTCAACATGCTAATTTTTCCTTTAAGAGCAAAATATCTGAGTTATTATTCCAGTATATTTAATTCTGGTTTTAGGCACTATCCAAATGGCCACAAAATAAATTTGGCTTCTGTTCCCTTTATTTCTAGATCTGTAGCCTTCTCAACTATTCCCCATATACACATAATTCTTATTGTCTAGTTCTCTCTTTCTCCTCTCAGTACTTGAGGAATATTTTGTTTAGTCTTGTTTCCTATGTATAGGTAACTGTCTCCAAATCAGTATATTCTACTATTCATTTTGGATATAAAATGGCTAGAATTTTCTTGGGGCCAACCTTGATTTTCCTAATCTGCTGCTTCATCATCTTTTCACATTCGTTATCAGGTACCTATTATTCATTACCAACAATCACAATGTGGATCATGTATTAACAACCTTAGCTAATATTTAAACCCATATGTTTCTGATTGTTACTTTAAGAACAATGCTATTTTAATTTCGTAAGTGTTGTTTTGAGATGAATTTTGAAGATGAAAAGCAGTCACATGTTTTAAAATATATTTCATTTATGGAATTCTCTCCCCCATATTTAAGCCCAGGAGAAATGTCCAAACATGTCCCCCAGTTTAGCCCTGCAGTATTCTTTATATGCAGTATGTTCAGTGAGAATATAAATATATATTGTACCCTGAATTGAAGAAATTGGAATACTTAGTGATATATTACTCTTTAACTACAGTATTTGTGAAAAAAGAGAAGGCAAATCAGGTTCTGAGGATTCAGAAACGTGCTAACACTTTCTTGGAGGAGATTCTCCCAGGAAATTTGGAGAGAGAATGCAGAGAGGAACAGTGTTCATTTGAGGAGGCAAAAGAGATTTTCAAATCAAAGGAGAAAACGGTGAGCAACGGATTTGTAGGGACATCTGACTATTTCGTGGAAAGTGCGTCTATTGAAATATCCCATAGAAACTGCTGGTTCCTCAAAATAGCCACACTCATGGAAACTACTGTTTTGTTTGTTTTATTGTTATTGCTGTTTGTGCTTTCAAGTCAGTGTTGACACCTGGTAACTGCCTGGACAAGTCCTTTTAGTTTTCTTGGCAAGAGTTTTTCAGAAATGGTTTGCCATTGTCTCCTTCCTAGGGCTGAGAGAAAGTGACTGGCCCAAAGTCATCCAGATGGCATTGTGATAAGGCAGAACTAGAACTCACAGGCTCCTAATTTCCAGCATGGTGCCTTAACTACTATACCAAGCTGGTTCTCGGATACCACTGTAGTTATTGTTAAAACATTTAAAATTTGGAACAATAATTTGGAACATTAAAATCAATAAATACAAGAATTACACATACAATGTTTGTCTGCTATTCAGATTCACTGCTTTGAGAAGGGCAGTTATACAAACTGAATAAATAAGTAAAATACAAGAGCAATCTTTTGGCTTTCAGTGGCTAGAATAAATATTTCTATTTCTTTAAAGAGTCAGCAAAAAATCCTCACGTATTTAAAATGGAGTTGTATACATACTTCTCCAGCTGAAATCATGATTTCTTGTCATTCATCCTTCACCTCCTACTGGTCTTACAGGATGTCACACACTAAAGAGGTGTGGGAATATTTTGGACGTGTTTCTTATAGCCCAAACCCTCTTTGAACCGGTCAGCTGTGTTATGTAACAAGGAAAGGATGAGGCAAAGCATTACTATAACAGAGTATAATAATAAGGTGACCAACCGTCCTCCTTTAGGGAGGACAGTCCTCCTTTTGTAAGGTCTGTCCTCCCTCGAAAAGTGTCCTCCTACATGTCCTCCTTTTTGATATTTGAAGACTAATCTGTAGGGCTTTTTTTTTTCTCATAGAACGCTCATAACGGCATTCTGGCATCTGTTTTTTGATGTTTTTTTTCAACTTTTGCATGAGCTGTGCTACTTCCTCTATTGGCTTTCGAAAGCCAATAGGAATTGCTGCTGAGCACACCAAAACACCCGGCCTGCAAACTTTGCACATGCAAATTGTCTGCAGCGAAAGCGAATTGGCAGGAACTTTGCACCCCTCCCTGCTACCCAACTACACCATCTCTTAGTTCAATGATGGCAAAACTTTTAGAGACTGAGTGGCCAAACTGCAACCCAAAACCCACTTATGCATCGTTGAGTGCCGGGTGGATGTGGCCCATTGGCTGGGTGTGGGCCAATTGGGTGGGCGTGGCCAATTGGGTGGACGTGGCTGCGGTGATAACGGCAGACTGGGTGGGACTAAAAAGTTCAATCAATCAATTTCAACTTTGCAAGTTCTTTTTTTTCCCGTGAGGTTGAAATTGACTGATTGAACCTTTTTTTTTTGCCATGGCGGCGGAGGCCTAAAGCGAAAAGGTTTTGTAAAACCCAGCTGAAGGCCTAGGACTGGGGCGATGGTGCGCGTGCCCACAGAGAGGGCTCTGAGTGCCACCTCTGGCATCCGTGTCATAGGTTCACCACCACTGGCTGGCTGCCCCCCCCCATGTTGTGGAAGCCACGGGACCCTCTCTACACGGGGCTGTACAGGGTGAGCAGTGGTGCTGGTGGGGCAGCTGCAGGCAGGGTGTGTCGACAGCGGGCTGCTCCCCGGGGATGGAGCCGGTGCAGCTGGTGCTTTGGGAGCTGCAGGGCCCACTCTACACAGCGGAGCAGTGGTGCTGGTGGGGCGGCTGTGGGCGGGGCGCGGCAAGTGGTTGACCTTCCATGGGATGGCCCAGCTTTTACAATATTTTTTTCTTCAATTTATTTGTGTCCTCCTTTTCATTGTAAAAAAGTTGGTCACCTTAGTAATAATCTATATCTGTCTGGACTAGCTTCAAGGTTGTGGACGCTATATTATTTTTTAATAAAACACTGGTTCAAAAGTCTTAACCTAAGAAAAAAATTCTGCACTCAGCAATTTGCTTCAAATGCCAAATCTGAACAGTGCTCAGACTAATCTTGCTATCCTTAATTACATTTGTTTTTTAGTTTCAGTGACATAACTGAGGCTGAAGGAGAATCATTTCAACCAGATACCTCCTGCAGATACAGGCACACTTAACAGCATTAATAAGTAAATAATAAATTAATAGCAGCTAGTAAGTAGAGTCTTACTTCGGAGCAAACTGCTGTTCAAGTTACTACAGGCCCTTTCTGTAATACAATCCACAAAGGACTACTCAATCTTAAAAAAAAATCCAGGCCTTTTAGAGCTTTTTGTTTTATAATCTTGTATATGTATACATATACGTATACATATATGTGTGTATGTATATAGGTTAGAATAATTGAGAAATGGGTACCATATATATTTGTATATTCATGATGCAAATCCTCATAATCTATGCCAGTGGTGGCGAACCTATGGCATGGGTGCCAGAGACAGCACTCAGAACCCTCTCTGTGGGCACGCGCATCGTCGCCTCAGTCCTCGGCCTTCAGCTGGGTTTTATAAAACTTTTTCCCTTTAGGCCTCCACCGCCGTGTGCAAAAAAAAAAAAAAGTTCGATCAATCAGTCAATTTCAACTTCTCGCAAGAAAAAAAAATCTTGCAAAGTTGGAATTGATTGAACTTTTTAGTCTCACCCAGTCTGCCGTTACCACCGCAGCCACGCCCACCCAATGGGCCACACCCACCCGGCACCCGACGATGCATAAGTGGGTTTTGGGTTGCAGTTTGGGCACTCAATCTATGCAAATCAGAGAGCCAGATCCACCTTCCTGTCCAAAACTTTTCTATAGAACCAGGCTGATTTTAAATCTTATGTGTCTTAATTATTTACATTGAAATGTTTAAGTTAATTTATAAGGGTGCTTTGGCCTAATCACCTGTTTTTATTTTTTATTTATTTTGCAGATGGAGTTTTGGTTCGATTACAAAAGTAAAAATTTTGCTCATATTCTGTGTATTTTGCACAAATAATTGTTATAAACACCTATGTTAACTTTTCAATACATTAGAAATCTATTGAAGATTTTGCTTTTGTACTGGCAAGAATTTTATTTACTTGACAGAATTATTTTAATGTATTATTCATATAATTAACTGTTATAGTTTTCCTCCATTGTCCATTAATCTATTGTATTCTCATGTCTTATTTTATTGACATTATTATTTTTGTTGTTATTTATTATTTTAGATTATGTAGTGTGTTATTGAAACTGAAGTGGGTAAGAAAATACTTTAATGCATAAATAAGAAATTACTTCAAATACTTATCTGGATTTGATTTCTATCATCAAATCTCTTTTTCCAAACAGATTCCAACCCCTGTAAAGAAAATACATGTCAAAATGGTGGAATATGTAAAGTCAGCCACTACACATATTCCTGTACGTGTCCCCCAAGGTATGGAGGAAATCAGTGTGAAATAGGTGAGTGGAGAATAACATTAGCCTACCTGCTGTTGTTGTAACATTTTATGGAAGCTTTCCTAACCTGGTAACAATTTGTTGGCCAAAAGTCATACTAGCACAGTGAAAAAGGGTAGCTTAGAGAGGAGATGTGTCAGGAAAAGCTATCATGTAGTTGGGACCAGAGAACCAAAATAATAGCCTGGTCCCCGATTTGTCAAAGGATTTGCTTCAAATTTAAGATGCATCAGGTATTATCAAGGAAGAGGACTAATTTCAGAGGTCTGACCTTGACTTTTGAATGTCTACTATTTGAGCATCATTCTGACAGAGCAAATGTTTTGGTCACTGTTGATGAAGAACTTCTGTCCCCTTCCTCCATTTTAAAACCAGTAACATTTAGGTTAATACATTCCTATTGACATTTGGGTTTATTTAGAGTTAGATTTCTGGTGAATGTTACTTTATGCTTTGCTTTACAGTATGAAATAAGGATATTGGTAGAATTATCCTGTGGTGCAATTTTTGTTTATGTGTTGTGCTGTAGAGAAGCATCGAAGCTATTACTAAATGGATCAATCTTATTATTTTGAATAATAATATTCTTTTTTCTTTCAAATGCCTTATCACTCAGAATTTGGACTCAGATTTAATTCAGTTACCATAACAACTACTTCCTAATTTCTCCTTTCCATTACCAAATGTAAATTATAATATCTGTTTTCATTCCAACATAAATTTCAAAAATCTTTTTATAAATAACTTCAAAAATATATAACTCCATTCTTCCCAAAAATTGCTTGAAGTAGCTGATTAGATGGAGTGGCTGGGTGTGGGCCCCTCTGTATCCAAAAGTCATCTCTGGCCCTGGATAGGATTGCACTATCACACACAGACCCAGTGGATAACTTAGGGGTCCTCTTGGACCCATAGCTCCTGATCAAAGAGCAAATGGCAGCCATGGCAAGAACAGCCTTTGCCCCACACTGCCTTGTGCACCAGTTATGCCCCTTCCAGGACAGGGTGACCCTCATCTCCCAATTGGACTATTGCAATATACTCTAAATGGACTATCTTTGAAAAGTATCCAGAGGTTTCAACTGGTGCACAATGCAACTGTGCAAGTCATACTGGGTGAGCAAGAAAGGCACATATAACACATTTGCTCCACAAACTACACTGGGTGCCAGATTGCTTCCAAGTCCAAGTCAAGGGGTTGGTCATTACCTGTAAAGCACTACATGTCATAGGGTAGGCTACCTACAGAACTGGCTTTGCCCCCTCATATCATCCTGTCCCCCTCGTTCAAGCAACAAAGATATACTGCAGACCCAACAGTCAAATAATTTTGAGTTTGCAGGGTGCAAAAAGAGGACCTTTTCTGTCCTGGACCCTGCACTGCCCTCAGAGGTGAGGAAAGCCCCAAATCTTTTGACCTTCTGCAAAGAGGTCAAAACTTGCCTGTGCGGCTTTGTGTGGGAGATAGGCCCACACAACTGTGGGGCCAGCCAACCTCATGAGAAGCCTCCGCCTATATTAACAACTATTAGCCCCCCATCTTGAAATTGTTCACCTTTTGAAATATATTAATGTTATTTTTATAATTTTAAAACTTTTTAATACTAAATTCTGATTTTAATACTAATTTTATTGATTATATTGTACACCCAGAGGGAGATGAGCAATTAAGAAATACAAAATATAAACAAACAAACGAACAAGTTCTGGTTGGAGAGAGGGTTTCATAATTCAGAATAGAATTGGGGGAGGCAAAGAATTCTCTCCTCTTCTAGCTGTTTGAAGCTCCAGTGCCACACAGGGTAGAAATAAACTTATGAGAAATCATGTTAACCTCTTTTGACTTTCTGTTGCATGAGTCAAGCAAATAGTAGGCTTCTCCTGTTGTTGAGTTAGAGAAGAAGGCAGTAGACATATCTTTCCTTTCAAAATGGGGAGGAAACCTCAGGCCTATTTTCACATGCTGGTCACCATAGCTTAGTAGATTTCTTGTCATGGTGGAGAAGATAATACCAATTTTTTTCTTGATCATATGAACTACAATATAATTATTTAGATTAATATATATTATCTGACAAGTTCTGTGTAAGGATGATGCAAAACAGTAATCCAAGAAAAGAAATAAAATGTCAAACCATATGAAACACCTACGCTTAGGAGCAAGATTAAAATAATAACTCATGGGAAAATAAAGGCAGTGTGTGTGTGTGTGTGTGTGTGTGTGTGTGTGCGCGTGTGCGTGTGTGTTTCCTGCACCCATATGTTGGATTTGATTTGCTGCACACAACTACATCAACTAGAAGGGCAGCCTCAAATGGGTAACCTTAGGTCTGGATGTGGACTCTTTTTCAAAGATACGCTCTTATAATAGCATGCAGGATTTACAGTTGCTTCCCAGATAGAGTTGCTTCGTCTCAAGTAAGGGCTTCCTGAGCAGAAATGCTTACTTTAGCACAGGGGTCTCCAACCCCTGGTCTGTGGACCAGTACCGGGCCGCAGCACGCCAGCAAATGGTCTGCACAAAGAAGCAAAATCCTATCCACAGGATGCAGGCAGCATACAAAACCATGCATCCTCCAGTCTGTGGAAAAACCTCTCTCCATGGAACCAGTCCCTGGTGCCCAAAAGGTTGGGGACCTCTGCTTTAGCACACTGCAAAAGAGAGATCCCCACTGTCCCCTTCCTCTCTGAGGGGAAACATTATTTTGTGCAGGGAGTTCTTTGGTGGAAGACAGACAAACAAGGAGTGGTGTGCCAAGAAAGAGGAAAAAAGAGAGATAAGAATCTCTTCCAAATTCAGGAAATTTGCAGGAAGGAGGAGTTGCTAGGTAACAAATTGGCACAGAGGAAAAATTATTCCAAGAAATATCTATTCTCTAAAAGAATAGATAAGTATTTGTTGAGAGCTGCATTGAGCTTAATTTTTTGTGCTGTGTGTTTAAGTCCAGTTATTGCCTCTGATATTTATGATCTCGTACAAGCTCAGTCTTGGTGTGTTTTCAAAGTTTTGACTCTAGACTCTAGAAAGAGTGCAGAGGAAAGCAACAAAGATGATCAGAGAATGGTTGCTGGAACTGGGTATGTCTAGTTTAATGAAGAGAAGGACTAGGGGTACATGATAGCAGTGTTCCAATATCTCAGGAGTTGCCACAAAGAAGGAGTCAAGCTATTCTCCAAAGCACTTGAAGTTAGGACAAGAAGCAATGGATGGAAAATAATCAAGGAGAGAAGCAACCTAGAAATAAAGAGAAATTTCCTGACAGAACAATTAATCAGTGGAACAACCTGCCTCCAGAAGTTGTGAATGCTCCAACACTGGGAGTTTTTAAGAAGAGATTGGACAACCATTTGTCTGAAGTGGCTGCTATGTTAAGGCAGGTGGTGAAGCGGGGATCAAATGATGCTGGGAGAGAAGGTGTAAAATTCCATTTTTTTCTCCTTAGGGAGTAAGTCATAACACTAAACAAAACAAAAATTTGCTATCTCAAGGAACTTGGGGAGCCAGTTTGGTCTAGTACTTAAAAGCACTAGGCTAGAAACTAGGATATGTGAGTTCTAATCCTGTCTTAAGTATAGTGCCAGCTGGGTAATAATGAGCCACTCACTGTCTCTTTTATCCTTAGGGAGACAGCAGTGGCAACCACTGCCAAAAAAAGTTGCCAAGAAAACTGCATGGACTGATTCAAAGACACATACGCACACACACACACACACACACACACACACACACACACACACACATTACACACACATAGAGGCCCAAATATAACTTGAAGGTCTCTATTAATTTAAAAAATGATAAATTGTGATTTGGGTTCCCACTAGTGATAGTCTATTATTATAGGATTATAATCTGTTGGAGAGAGTACGTAGTAATGACTCAAGGAGCTTCATCCCTGTCTTCAATGCAGAGAAATTTGAATGCTGGTACAAAAATGGATATTGTGAGCAATACTGCCAAGATACCGAACATTCACGTCATGTGACCTGCTCCTGTGCAGCAGGATATACACTAAAAGAAGACGGGAAGAGTTGTACCCCCTCAGGTAATGACTCATTTTACTGGTTTAAAAATGTGGGTTTAGAAACTAAATGTCCCAGCAGCCCTTTTCAGTCTGCTTTTCCCTAAATGGGTTGATGTTATGAAGAGTAACATATTGTCTACTTTAGATGCACAGAGCATGAAGTATTATGTTGAAAAAAATTGGACCAAATTTCCTCTTTATATGTAGAATAACACTTGGTCAATGCTTTAAATATTGAATTCATTTTTCACAGCTGACATAAGTGAGCAGTGGCAGCTCAAGAGTATCTACTTAAATATATTTAGGGATGTTATTTAGTTAGTTTTATAAGTAATTAGAGGTACCAAGACTAATCAGACATTTTCCCCAACCAATGCAAACAGGGAGATTACCTAAATCCATAATTAGATATTTACCATAATTTAATTTGTTGTTCCTTGATTTCACAAGATTTCCCAATGTAGAAAAGATAGCAAGAGACTTAGTAGGCAAAAGGCAGTTATAAAATTGCAGTTATGGAGCAGAACAATACTGGGAGGGGTTCATCTCTTATTTTATAACCTAAAAATATTCGCCTCTGACCAACTGTTTTTCATCCATCTTGTCATGGAATATTGTTACAGTTAAGAAGACAATTAACAGTGGTATCTAGCAATTATTAGATGTTCACATTCTGGCTGGCTATTGGTATTTTGATCCATCAATCATACTTTGTTTTTTCCTAGTGTTTGACAGGTTACAGGTTTTTATTTATTTATTTATATATTGAGAATTTTATACAAAATAAAAGACAAATCTAAAAAAAGAAAGGAAAAAGGAATAGAAAGAAAATGAAGTTATGAAATATAATGACTTTCAACCTTCTCTTCAATAGATAATTATAATCTTCTCCCCCTCTTAAACGTTACATAAATTCTTTCACCTCTTCACTTAGTTCACATCTTTTTAAATCCTCAAGCCCATAAAATCATCATAACTTTTTTTCTTCTTTCAGCGAAATAAATTAGGACACAATGGAAATTAAGTACAGTTACCCACATTGTCTCCCAAGTGTCTCATGCAGTCTTTAACTTGTTCTTCGGTTTCAAATCTTAGCAAAAACATTTTTACTATTGCATGCTCATCCTTTATATATAGCTCAATTTCAAATCCTGTTTTGTATTTTTCAATTCTAATTATCTTTTTATCCATATTAAACCTTTCTTTTAACTGAGCATATGAAAACAATTGAAATGTCTTCCAATTGTTCTCTTCACTTCATCTTAAATTCTCCATCTACTTGTTGTAATAACTCTTGCTACATTAGCCATTTCTCCTTATCTGCTGTTCTTTTCTATAAACAACTTCTTGTGCTGAATAAATAAAAGTATCTTTGAACAAAGCCTGGGCTTACACAAGGAGGATACATTCCATTCAGTCATGAGTTCTCTCTAGCCCTTGGCTCCTGTATATCCAAAATACCCTTCCAACTCAATGGCAAAGGATGCCTTTTTCAAATTTTTCAAAATATTAATTAGTTTCTAGATAGGCAAAACCATGTGTTATTCAATGTGCTATGTGTGAGGGGAGCTTTGAGGTTGGTCTGGAAGTTGTAGCTAGTACAAAATTCTACATCTAGATTGACACAGAAAGCCACAGACACACTACGCCTATTCTGAAGTAGAAAGCACTGGTTACAAGCTTTCGATCAAGTCAAAATCAAGGTAATTGTTATAGCTTATATTGCCCTGTATGACTTAACAAGTTAGTGCCCACCCTAATAAGTATGAGGCCGTCATCAGCATTCTAGTGGCAAGGTTTCCCTGGGGTGCCAGTCATTTGCTATGTGGTGACATGAAAGCCACAATTCTTGAAACAAATCCTCTAGATCTTGAACTCAATAGTTAATTACAGTTGGCATCAGGCGTTGTATGCTTTAGTACCGGTTAAGGCTCTCTATTCATCCAGGACTTTTGCTAATACAGTTTCCAATTTCTGTCCAGGTGATATTACTGCTGGATGTTCACAAACTTTAATGAGTTTGTAGCTTTTAAATGTATGATTTTAGAAATCTTATTGAATCATTCATTTTTATTGTAACTATATTAAATTACTTTGAAATTTTAACTAATTTTTCCATATCTTGAGAAAGTAAAAAAAAGAATAAAAATATAGTATATAAACAAAAAAGGTGCAAAAAAGGATTTGCAGATGATGGGCTCTATTTTCATCTTTTGTCCTTCAAATCTGAAGAATTGCAGAGTCCTAAGATGAGTCTTAGTGCTGTCTTCATTAGCACCAAGTCTTCATATGTCTATTAATGTTTATGCTACTGAAAACATGCTTAAGCAACTTTCCTTAAACTCAGTGATTTAATCTCCCTGATTTCAGATCTCTTCCCTTGTGGGTTGATTAAGCGATCCACACGTTCTTATGAGGGAGGACGAATCACGCAAAGGGAAACAAATGCTCATGAAAACATGACCAATTGGAATCAGACAAGTTGGACTTCCTCGGGATGGTTGAATCTCACAAGAGAAATTGAAGATGACATGGAAAAGCTAGAAGGAAATTTCACAGAAGAGGATTTACTCAGATGGTCAAACACCAACTACACAGATGAAGATCCCAGAATAATTGGGGGATCTTTTTGCCGCCCAGGAGCATGTCCTTGGCAGGTAACACTTCTGAACCTAAAGCGTTTGATAAAATAACCTCATTTTACATTGTTAGAATTGAAGGGTGAAGTTCCTTTATGAAGCAGCAGGGTGCAATCTTTTCAACGGAAATTAATTCTGGGTGGCAAGCTAGGAGATAAATTCCAAAAAGCAAAGAAAGATAGAACACAGAAGTTGGAACCCTCAGTAGTTCATAATTAACTCCATCTATGCTGTTCAAGATATTTAGCAGCATCTTTTTGCAGAGATCTGGGCCTCCTTAAGGCTGTGGAGAATTGCATGTAGGCTTGGAGCTTCAGGCCATGAACATCTAAGCACAGTGCCAGCAGGACCTCTAAAATTTGTCCAGATATGTCCTTAAATGATACCTTTGCTTCCCAAAGGAGGACAACTGACTGTACAGTATATGTTGTCCTTTTGTATAAATATTGGAAAAAGGAAGCTTGCAATACTGTTCTGGGCATATGAAGAAATGTGTTGCTTCAAATCACTGTAGTTTTGTGTATGACAATTAACCTCTAATTTAATGCTAAATAATTGAAATGTGAATGTAGGAAATTCATACAGATTTGCAGCTGGGGTTAGAGAACAATGGATTATTCTTTTTCTTCCTAGGTACTGATTCAAAATAATAGAGGTTACGGTTTTTGTGGGGGCAGCTTGATCAGTAGTCAGTGGGTACTTACTGCAGCGCACTGTTTTGATACCATTAACCCACATCAAGTTACAGTGGGTAAGTTGTAGAAAGACACAAACAAAATTACAATGTTGTAATGCTTGATTTTTCTCACAAGGTATTCTAGAAGAAGCAGTAGACGCTCCTGTCCTGGTATCACATAAATAAATAATAAATGAATGAATTTCTAACCTTCGCAGTTACAGAAGTAAGCAAACATATACCTCAGTGTTTCTCAGCCTCAACACTTCAACTCCCAGAATTGTTCATCCAGGAAGTCAACACATCTTAAGGCTGAGATTGAGAAATATTGTTATATTTTAATTAATTTTATAAAATGATACTGTATCCTGATTATTTACCAGCCTGAGTATATTATGGAGGTGTACGTGATGTGCAGATCACCTGATTTGTTCAGGCCTTTGGAGAGAATTGCTACTTTAATGCCTTTTTCTTTCTTTTTGTTCCCCTCTGGGTTTATTTTCATTATTATCTTTTTTTTGTTTACTTCTGTTTTAATGGTTTTTATATTGTTCTTTGTTTTTAAATGTTTAGCAATTGTAAACTGCCCTAAGTCTCTGGGAGTTGGGCAACGTATACATTTAATAAATTATTATGGTTGGTCACACAATCAGCCAAATATTTTGACTGGATTATTATGGTTGATCACAGTTGACCAGAAACGTAGACAGGATTTGATTTTTAATCTACCTAGCAAGTCCTTTCCAAGGACTAGAGATAGGCAGATGTTGTTTTATGGAGAGTTTATTTATTTGTTTATCAAAATTTACATGGCTGCCCAAGTCACTCTCAGAGACTTTGGTGTTAAAGATACCATCGCTGGATATAAACTGTTCCAAGTAAAGCTGCCTTTTGCAATTTACTGATGGTAATTTTGTCAAGGCTGATGGTGTTCAAGTGGTGCTCCAGATGTTTTGGGATTGTTCCCAAGGCTCCTATTACTATTGGTACTATCTTTGCCTTCTTTTGCCAGTCATTCTACTTTTTCAGTTTTCATATATTATTTCAGAGAAATCACCTGGCTTGTTCTAGGGCTAGGCCAACATCTTGGGCTAATAGTCGAATGGTAGTATATACTGTATTCTTCCTTTAAAAAAATTAGTAAAAAATTGGAAGAACTAGTGGAAGAACAATGATAATGTTACCAATAGAAGACAATGTCATTTCAATTTCCCATAGAGTTCTCTAAACGAGGTAAGGCAGTTGCACAATGACAGCTTCATCTAGAAGCCCCCTTGTTTTTGAAGTGTCTGAGGGAAAAAAATCTGCATACTTTACAAGCATTTTTAATGTACAGAATCAGTATTTCTATAACCAACTTGCAGTATTTCTACCTGGATCTAAGGCTATTCTTTTTTTTTTCTCACTTTCCTTGTTTTCCATTGTCAGCACTGCTTGGTTTTTGTTTGTTTTCACACTTTTTTTTGCTTTTCAGGAGACTTTGACAAACATCAGCGAGAACGAGATGAACAAAAAGTGAGAGTACGGCACTACTGGACACATCCTCAATATAACTCACAGAACTACAACAATGACATTGCTTTGGTCCAGTTGACTAGTGATGTGATTTTTACCCAGAATGTACTTCCCATCTGCCTTCCTCGTCCTAACCTAGCTACTTTGCTGATTGAAGAAGTAGCTCATGGAACAGTTAGCGGATGGGGTGCAACTCATGTTAAGGGTAGGTTAATTCGCTTTCTCATGAAAGTTAGGTTGCCCATTGTGAGCATGGAGACCTGTCGGCAGTCAACTAAGAAGCTCATTACGGACAACATGTTTTGTGCAGGCTATGATGTGGAAGGGCAGGACGCTTGCAAAGGAGATAGTGGTGGACCTTTTGCTGTATCTTATCATAATACTTGGTATCTCTTGGGGATTGTCAGCTGGGGAGAAGGTTGTGCTGAAGTCGGAAAATATGGCGCTTATACTCTAGTACCCAATTATATTTCATGGATAAAGGAAGTAATCGAAACTAATTCTGGAAGTTTTTTTGCATAGCCTGCACTGAAAACCAATCTGTATAAAATATATATTTTTGTGCATTTGGTAGTATTTAACAACTTGATTAGTAAGATCACATTGCAGATTTGTTTCCTATAGCTGCTCTTAACTGAAGTAAGCAATTAAGTTGCCATTTTCTTTGTACAGAAACAGAATTGTTCTATAAATCTGTATCAGTATCCAATTCAGATTTAAGCATAAGCAACTGGATAGGTAGAAATACTGCTTCAGCGCCCCCTTCTCAAAGTGATTTTTCAACCCTTGCAAAGGGCTTCAGAGATAGTCAAAAATAGCCTCACAGTGTCCTGCCACAAGCTGTGTCTTTCATATGTTTGAACAATGTATGGGTTAAAAAAAGGTGGGGCTTGCAGGGTGATTCTACAACTCTGCTTTCATCATTCTGATCCTCCCTTGAAATATTTCCCCCTCCTCCCCCTCCACAAAGGCATGGGGTTGTGTGATCCTGCAGAGTGCAGTAGGCTATGGTGGAAAAGGAAGAGCCAAACATTCAATTTGTGCTCATACGAACATGCATAATTTGATGACTGATCAGACTGACAAAATCATTGTCATGGATTCACAAAATATGTTTCAACTATAAATAGCCAAAGATAAGAAACTTGCAGCTGCACAACTTGCCATGTTTAGTTACTGTTACTCTTGAATAACTTTTTGTGTTGACCAAAAAAAAAAAAAAAAACCCACAAAAGCATACAACTGCAGATTTTTAATTAACCTGGTTAGTTGTCTCTCATTATTTTCAGAATGTTGAATACAAGAGCTGCTTCTGTCAATCCATTCCCTTCATCTAAATAATGATCTAAGTCAATCATTGCAACAGTCCAAGGAGTAAAAAGGGATATAAAGCAACCAATGAAATTGAGTTAAACAACAAAACTTTTAAAATATACGAATATGGTATGATTGCTTTTGAAAGTAAGAATTGCAGTGTTTAGGTAAGCACACTATGCTATTTGAGGTCTCCATCTCCATCCCGATTGTGCTGGCAATTTTAGTGCCCGATCATGATCATTCAGGAGTACAGATTGGTGGACAGATTTGTTTCTAGAAGATGGAAAATAAATCTGTAAATATTCAGCAGTTTTTAAACACTTATATATAGCCTTGGGCGGTCTCCTAAAGATTATACAAGGCATAGACTTCAGATTCCAAATGGTGTAATATAATGCATCAGTTATCTGAAACAGAGACAGTGCCTCCCAGTGCTTCCAACTAGGAACATTTACAGCAGGAATGCCGAATCTCTTTAAACCTCTCCCATAGAGGTCAAATGTAAATACATAAGGGGTATTCTCCCCACACAAAGCCCAAAGTTATACTTCTCCACTTGTTCTCTGATGAATAGTATTTAGAGACATACTGAATGTGGAGGGAGTCTCAGGCACAGAACTGAATTATACTTGAATGATGTGCTGTGACTTGCATTCCATAAAGTGGGTAGGGCCAAGTGAAAGAAAAGATTAAACAATTTGATTTTATTCCATTGATTAAATTTGAATAAAATATGCTTCACCTTATTACTTTTGAACCAGTATGCCTAAGGATATGCTTTTATGCCTCATAGTTGTAAGAATGTCAGTACTGCATTGTGCAGCTAGAGGTCAGAACAGTAGTGCCAACAGCAAACTACAAGGATTGCCAGAATGACAGGTGCTTGATAACATCACCAGCCCAAGCAGATCAAGTGTATGTATCTGAGCTACAAGAACAAGCTCCTCTTCCAATATGGAAAACAGATCTACAGAACATCATCTTTTATATGATTTAAGCAAACAGTGAGGGGAAAGATCTCAAGAAAGGAATGCTTCACATTCTTCAAGTCATCTTCCCAAATATAGGTAGGAAAGAAAAATATACAACATATATTTTATTTCTTTTACTTTACCACTAATATCTATGGTAGTTCTAAGCTCTTGTGTTTAAATTCATATTCATTCTTAATAAACAGCATATTATTTTCCTCTGTCCTCATCATTGTTCTTATAAGTGGATGCCTAATTTTGAGTATCAGCTCAGCAGAATGCCATTAGACAGCAAAAACAGATTGAAGGAATTTCAATAAATCCATATTCCTATTGTGATGCTAACCATATTAATGACTCCAGATGGTTCTGTTTTAATAATCGCCATCAGGCAATTGCAAAAGGCAGCTTTGTTTAGAACAGCTTACATCCTGTGATAATACTTCTAACACCATCAATATTAACAGCAGCCTATCCCAGACTCCTGAGGACTTGATATATGGATAAAATCCAATCTGAACATCTGGCTGACTCTATAATATGAAGTAGAATTTCATTACTTCCAACTATTGTTACTTAATGCATTCCTTCTTTGATGAGCATTAAAATAAATGACAATACATTTATAGAAGAGATGAAAGAGATTATAAGGCTTCAGAAGACTCTTAAACCCGATGATATAAGCGTATTAAATGTTTAATATGTTTTCTTTCTCTTCTAAAATGTGATATATTTGTCCCAAAGTAAAAATGGTATTTTTAAAAAAGAAAAAGGTGCCTTATCATGGTGTTATTTGGTCAATTAACAGAAATCTACATATGTAAACAGAGGACAAACACACTTTACCTCTAATTATAAAAATATAATCATAGCTCTTGTATTCTTTGAAACTTAAGAATAGTAAAATTTCTATATACATATTCAATTCACAAAACATCACACAAACCCCACCTCAGAAACAGATTTTAATGTACGAGATTTGTAGCAATACAAGGTTTTGTCTGTACAAAGGAGACGAGAAGTCAGGGTTAAATAAAACCATAATGAACAATGTCCCAGGGTTCATAACTCTACATGTATTACAATCAGCTGAACCAACAATTTGAAGATGCACTTAAAACCCCCAAAGTTTGTTTCTTAAAAAAATGTGGACATCTTCTGAGAGTCTATACAGGAGTCATCAAAGGTGATTCTGCGGAAGGTCACAATGGCATTTTATTTCCTTCGATGCTGATTTTTACAGCATGGGATGTTCTGCTTTTTTTCCTGATGTCTGTGAACTTCCGCATCTGTTTGTCCAGGCGACTGACCCCTTTCTTGGAACTTGCCTGGAACTTGAAAAAAAAACTTTTATTTAGTATTAGAACAGTCATCAATGAAATCTTGATATTTATAAACCACAAAAACATACATATATCATCCCTTGTTGCAGTTGCTATCTTTCATTACAGAAACTAGTAACACTGTGAGGGACTCTCAATAGCTTATTTTCAAATACTGTCTAGAGATGTACTGTACATTAAAGATATACAAAAGAAAGTGTTGCTTTTTATCAAAATGGACACAATTCTTCAATTACTGCTGAAGTTTGGAATCCAGACTGTGGATTTAAAACTCAAGCATTAGCTCGGCTATTCACACAGACCTCGTTCATAAGAGACGGATAGGAAACAAGTATTCCATACATCACTGGAATGTGCAAAAGGGAGAGTTCACAGGAACATTATCAACATTATAAGAAATCTATTAAATGTTCCCTCTAATATCTTAGGCAAGGTTTACTTTCTTCTTTTAGTCTTGTTTCTAAGCATTAAAGGTAGCAAGAAGTATATAGAAGATTCTGTGATTAACGTATAATTCTGGCTATTCTCATAATAAATGTGCATGTTCATTCACTGCTTAAAAATGATTACTGATATAATTATCCTATGTTCTCAAGGTTTAATACTATGTTAAAAACCAAGTTATTTTTCCTGTACTGGATTTATTTGGATTTTTGTTGTCTATTAAAACAAATAAAAATCTACTTTAATCTGCAATCTTTTGCAGATTGGCTTGGTAAATACTGTACAATATGGAAAATATAACAGTGAGGACGAGAAAAAGGAAATGTTTATGATGCATCACCACCCATTGGATTTCTTTCAACTGGCAATTTTCTATCCCACAATTGGTGACTAGAAACTCTTCGAAGGAGATGGCATTATCTGTTGAGCAATCTTTCTCCCAAACAGCTATATTTTTCTCTCCTGCTTCCCTTTGGAAATGTCCATTGAAATTAGTAATAATAACGCCTGAATCTGCATGTGAATTGAGATTTTTTTCCCTTTGTATGACCCTGCAATCCCTTTTATCAATGGTGGAGTCGGGGTGACTGAATAGACCTGCGTGTTTCCTGGCCTGATGCCCTTCCTAACACCTATGTGGAGTTCGCAGCAGATATTTTCTCTTTGGGCCCTGGTAGAGAAACATCAGTCGCTGCCTAGGATTGAAATCTCAATCTCCCGATTGTGAGGTGAGGATCTGCACCTCTAGGCCACTATGCCACTTCTGCATGTGAATGGGATTAAAAACCATGAAAGTCCCTAGTATACATAATAAGTAGCTACCTGACAAACCAAAGAATATTATTAAACAGTTTCATGAGAAATGTTTTACAAATTTAGCTTACACATTCATGACAACATATAGAACAAAATAAAACAAGAATCAATATGCTGCATCATCCATAGAAAATATCTCAAAATCTATATTAGGACAAAATCTTTATTACACCTTTTACAAAATCATGTAAAAGATCTTGAGTTGTGATGTGAATTCCCAGGACTTCTAGGGAAAGATAGCCGACCAAAGACAGGACTCAAGACAGCTCCAGAAACAAGCAGAACTGACATTGGACTACTCACCTGGAATTAGTACGAGCTGGATTGGTAAGAATTGTTAGGATATAATAAAAGCAACAAGTTGGGCATGTGGAAAGCTCACCACCACAAGAAAATGGTATATAAAATTGCTGTTAGTATCCTTGCTGAAAAGCAGCCTAGTTTTAAATGTCAACTCTTTTTAGTTTTCCAGTCATAAAACCCTGAAAACCTCAAAAAACACAAAACCCAATATATTAGTTATTTTCCTTGATCAGAAAGCTTTAATGAAACCTCTGAGTTGGTGAAGACATGCTCTTTTGTCTAAACGGGTAACAATAGCAAGCAGTACAGCACATGCACAGCTCACACTTTCTTTCAGAGATACCTCTTAGATCAGGGACAAGTGAAATATAAGTCTACAAGGGCATCCGGTTGCCTTCAATGCTGAACTTGACAGCTCGATGCACTTTACTGAGACGTTTCTGTTCAGTAAATCGCCTCTTGTGTTTTTCCAGACGATTAATACCTTTTTTAAGTGTCCCGGGCTAGAAATTAAAGAATGGACTACTGATAACAGACAACATAATCACTTAACACTCTTTTTCTTTGCCTTGTTTCACATATAAAAAAATAAAAGTCAGAAGAGATGAATGGTTTTCATTTCATACTGTGATGAACAGAAAGGATGGTGCAAAGAAAGTCATCTGCAAGCTTTGTGGGATAATCATGCAGATATCTGCAAGATCATAGCCAGAGCAGCAATATAAAATGGTTGATAAATATATAGGTTGCATTTTCACAATGGACAGAATAGTAGCCTCTTAAAGTACACGAAGTACATGGCTGAAGCTCTGGAAACAATACTGATGGAGAAGAGCAGTGAAGAACAATTTAAGTGAATCCTGCAACACCTAACTTACAAGAGATCTAATTTCAATGTTACTGAATGTCTTCCTTTTCCATTAGCCACTTACCCGAGAGGACTCCATTTCCACATTCCATTTTGGCCTCACTACATAATCCTTATTGGAGGGCATTGGAACTCTGGCACGAGCACAAAATCCTGGATCACCAGGTCGGAGAGCTCTAAAAAATATAACAAAGGTACTGCTAAATAACATGAGGGTGTTTAAGAATCTCTCTCAATCTCATCAGTTGGCTTTTTTGTCCCACAAAAGCTCAAAATTCTTCATTACAAACCACAGAATGAAATTGTGAGATATCAAAATGATATTTGAGGAACCAGTCCCACATACTTTTCCTCTCCTGTTAATACTTTCTCCAAGTCTCTGCGAGGTGTCTGACCACCAGAGCTGCAAAAACAAAAGAAGGATGGTTAGTACTACCAAAGATGAGTAAACAGATCATAATCAAAATAGTCTCTTTCCTATAAATCAAAATAAAAAACATATAATAATACCTAAAGCATGTTCAGCAAATTGTAACTCACAGGAACAAGAATGCTCCTAAGGAAGAATACTTCAGGAAGGAGCAAATGAAAGGTTTTTGAAAATAAATAGTACTTTCATAAGATCAAAACTTTTATAAACTGAATGACAAGTTCCAAAACATTCCAGGGAAGAGACTCTAGAACAGACATGTCAAACTTGCAACGTCACGTGATGTCGCGCTACGTATCGGAACATTTTTGCCATTGCCGGCAATGGGGTGGGCGCATTTTTGTGATGACATGTCCAGCCCGCGGGCCGGCAGTTTGACACCCCTGCTCTAGAAGGGGCGTTGGTCTTACCTGAACGCCTTTTCTCAGTACGGAGATGGATAATCCATGGATGGATGGGTTTTCTCTGTCTGCCTGCTCTTGAGACCAAGTAGCCAAAGCTTGACACGCCCCCACTTCCTGTGGAGTCCATTCTTAACGAGGGCGAATTGGCTGATGATTGACGAGGTATTGGCTCTCAGCTCCCTACTAGCGGCCTGCTGGCCTTGGGGTGGGTGTGGATTATCCATCTCCGTACTGAGAAAAGGCGTTCAGGTAAGACCAACGCCCCTTCTCCAGTACAGGAGATGGATAATCCACGGATGGGACGTACCAAAGCCTCACTGTCCCAAGGGGTGGGAAACAGATAAGGCCGGTAGATTGATCTCTGAGACAACTTGCTGGAGGACCCTCCTACCAAAGGAGACGTCCGCCGATGCAAAGCGGTCTATCTTGTAGTGTCGTATAAACGGGGAAGGCGAGGACCATGTCGCGGCCCTGCAAACTTCCTCGACTGACGCCTGGGTAGCCCATGCCGCCGAAGTTGCAGCGCTTTGGGTGGAATGGGCTGTGAGATGACTTGGGGGCGGCAGGGATGATACATTGTAAGCTTCTGCGATACAGCTTCGGATCCACCTTCCAATGGTGCCCGCGGAAACTTTCCGCCCCAAGGTGCCCGCTTGGAAGGACACAAATAGGGCCTCCGATTTGCGGAAGGGTTCTGTACGCTTTATATAACGCCGCAAGGCTCTGCGGACGTCCAATGTATGCCACTGCCGCTCCCGGTCATGTGTTGGATTTGGACAGAAGTTTGGGAGAATTACTTCCTGTGTCCTGTGAAAGAGTGAATTCACCTTCGGTATGAAGGCAGGATCTAACCTAAGGACCACCCTGTCCTTGTGGAAAATGCATAGGTCGTTTCTGACTGACAGTGCGGCCAGTTCCGAAATTCGTCTGGCCGATGTGATGGCAATCAGGAACGCCACCTTTAGCGACAGGTGTCGCAAGGAAACGGTCGCCAATGGTTCAAATGGTGACCGAGTGAGTGCGTGAAGGACTCGCGGTAGTTCCCAGGACGGGTACCTGTGAATTACTGGAGGTCTGGTGTTATAGGCGCCCTTGATAAAGGCGCGGATCCTGGGGTGGTGAGCTAAGGGAACCGAATCCGTGCAGGTGAGGAGGGTGGACAAGGCCGCCACTTGCCTGCGGATGGTCGCGGGGGCGAGGCCTCTGTCTAGTCCCTCCAAGAGGTAATCTACTATCTGAGGGATGTAGAGTTTGTGTAAGTCAAACTGCCGTTCCCTGCACCAAAGGCAAAAATTTTTCCAAGTGGAGTCATAAATGCGGTTTGTTGCCGGACGGCGTGAAGCTTGAATTATGGTAATGGCCCCGGGAGAGAATAGTTCCTGTGCCATTATCTGGCGCTCAAGTGCCAGGCGGTCAGTTGTAACCATTGGGGTTCCGGGTGACTGATGGTTCCCTGGTGTAGGGACACTTGATGAGGGGGAATGTTCCATGGGGGCGACTGAGACAGGTTCATCAGGTCGGCGAACCACGGTCTCTGTGGCCAATATGGTGCTACTAGGATCACTTCTGCCCGCTCCTGAATCAGCTTTCGGATGACCGCCGGTATGAGTGGTAGTGGGGGAAAGGCATAAAGCAGACCCTGAGGCCACTGAGTTCTCAGAGCGTCCGTCCCCTCTGCTCGCGGGTTGAAGTAACGAGAGTAAAATCTGGGGAGCTGGGCATTGTCTGATGATGCGAACAGATCGAGGATCGGGTACCCGAACTTGCGGGAGATGTCTAGGAACAAGTTCGGGTGTAGCCCCCACTCCGAAGGGTCCACTGTGGTGCGGCTTAGGAAGTCCGCTTGCTGGTTGTTGACCCCCGATATGTGTTCCGCTTTTAGTGACTTCAGATTGGGCTCTACCCAGCTGAATAGGAGTCGTGACTCTGTCATCAGGGTTTTTGATCTGGTCCCCCCCTGCCGATTGATGTGCGCCTTGGCTGCTACGTTGTCTGTTAGGACTAGAACGTGGTGGCCTCTGATTCTGTCTTTGAATTGTTGCAAGGCTAGGTGGATAGCCCTGAGTTCTAGCCAGTTGATGTTGTTTCTCAGATCCGTGGCGGACCAACGTCCCTGTACAAACTGGGAGTCCAGATGGGCTCCCCAACCATACAGACTGGCGTCTGTAGTGATGGTAACTCTGACTGGTTCCTTGAAGGGTGACCCCTTGGTCACGGCCCGAGAGCACCACCAGCGTAGCGCCCTGCGGATTTGTGCCGTGACCCTGACTAGGTGGTTGGATGCGCTGGTGTTCTGCCGTTGGTAAGGGAGCAGAAACCACTGTAGTTCCCGTAGGTGGAGCCTGGCCCAGGGTACAATGGCTATGGCCGATACCATCTTGCCCAATAATTGGGAAAGTGTTAGTATCGGAACTGAACGTTGCCTGTGAACCCAGCGAGCCAGTTCCCTGATGCCGGCCACCCGGTCTTGGGAGAGATAGACCATACAGTTGGTTGTGTCTATCATGGCCCCCAGATGCAGCAGCCTGGACGAGGGAACTGTCTGGCTCTTCTGAAAGTTTACTGAGAATCCGTGTAATTGGAGGACGCGAATGACGGTCCTTACGTCCGCCTGAGCTGTCTGTAGGGATGTTGCTTGGATTAGTATGTCGTCTAGGTAACATTGGACGCGTATTGGGATTTTTCTCAGTTTGGCGGCTACCGCTGCTAGTATCTTGGTAAATACCCTGGGTGCCGAAGATAGACCGAAGGGGAGAGCTCTGTATTGGAAGTGTTTTCCCCCGTAACAGAAACGTAGGAACCGGCGGTGGTTTGGGTGGATGGGGATGTGAAGGTAGGCTTCCGTGAGGTCTATCGATGCCAGGAAGTCTCCTTCTCTGATGCTTCCCAGGATGGACTGAAGGGATTGCATCTTGAATTTTTTGTATGTGATGTAGCGGTTGAGGTTTTTTTAGGTCCAGGATTGCCCTCCATCCTCCTGAAGTCTTTGGAACCACGAAGAGGATGGAGTAAAATCCTCTGCCTCTGTATTCCGCTGGGACCGGTTCTATTGCTTGAATGTCCAACAGGTGTTGGATGGCCTCCTGCATGAGTTTGCGTTTGGTGGGGTTCCTGGAGACCGAGCAGTTGATGAGTCGGTCTGGGGGTGTGACCAGGAACTCCAGGGACAGCCCGGACTGGATGGTTTGTAGTACCCAGTTGTCCGTGGAGGTCTGCTCCCACTGGTGGAAGAAGTGAGCTAGTCTTCCTCCAATGGGTAGGTCTATGTAGGAGTCATTTTGTCTTCCGGTACGGACGACCCGTTCCACGAAAGGGTCGTCTCGACTGGTTTTGTTGTCTGGGCTGGAACCCCGGTCTGTCGTAGGGGCGGCCGTACGGTTTGTTCTGCCTGGGAGTGAATGGCTTGGGTGCCTGACTGATAGGCGTGGTTGTCGGTTGACGAAAGGACTGCCTACGAAAGTAAGGTGTGGTACGTTTGTCTGACCTTTTGTTCAAGTGTGCCATGACCTTCCGCTTGTCTTTGTTCTCTACAAGATAGGGGTCCAAGGCCTCCCCAAACAGACCGTTGCTTGAGTAAGGGGCGGTCGCTAGCCGCCACTTAGCCTTGGTGTCAGCTTGCCAGTGTTTTAGCCATAGCATTCTCCTGGCAATTATGTTGGATGCTATGGATCTGGATGAAAAAATGGCCGATTGGAACGTTGCGTCTGCAGCGTATTCCGTGGCTGCTACCATCTTAGCCAGGTCCTGGTGTGTTCGTATGTCCTCCATAGGAACTATGGTTTGTAGTTGTTGCAACCAGATGAGGGTGGCCCGGACAAAAAAGGAGGCCGAGGTGGCTGCTTTGATGGCCCATGCCGCTGTCTGGTGGGTTTTGCGAAAGGCTTGTTCCCACTTTTTGTCATCTGCCTTAAGGGCCTCCACTAGGTCCCCAGCCATGGCTGTCTGGGAGACCAAGGGGGTCCAGGCTTCATCTACTTTAGGAATTTCTAAGGCCTCATTGAGGTCTGTGGCAGTGCTGTATAATTTTTTGTCCGTACCACTCACTGATGGGAAGGAAGCGGGAGAGTCCCATGGCTTCTTGATCCCTTTCAGGAAAATGGCGGGGCAAGGTATATGGTGTTGCGTTGTCACCTTTTCTACGAATACGGGTCTGGATGTGGTGGCCGGTGTCGCTTGCGGCTGAGAAAACTGATCCGTCCCCATGTCCGCAATGGCTGTGGCCTTGCGTAGTATCGTGAGGAAGCGGTTGGGATTAAATAATCCCCCTGAGGGGGGCTCAGGGGGAAGTTCCTCATCCTCTGACATAGAGATCCCAGGTTGATCCTCCTCTTGTGGTGAAGAATAACCACTCATGGAGGACTGGGCCGGGGAGACGGGTTCCTGAATGCCTGAGGACTCTGAGGGGAGTTCCGAGTGTGGCATGGCTGAGATGGAGGGCCCCTGGTCGTGGTGGGCGGAGCGCTGTGCTAGGGCTCGGTCCACCACTTTGGTTAATAGGGCCTCTAGCCGTCCATCTGCCCAGATGTCCCCTATGTCATTACCTTTGGGTGTGGTGACCGCAGGTGGAGAGTTGGACTCAGTGGTTGTGCCTGCCGCCGTGGTTGTTTGTTGGGCTGATGTAGATGGCGGATCCAGTGGTTGCGGTGTTCCTGGAATGGACCACGCGCTCTGGGTTGATGTGGATGGACCCAATGGTAATTCCATCTCGGTGGCCGCTATTTGAACCAATTCCAATTGGGCCTGCCTCTGCGCTCTGGAGAACTCCTTCTCCAGGGCCTGGTGCCTACGGCTGGCTTGCTTTTCCGCCAACTTGGAGGGCCTCTTGAGCGAGTGTTTTGTCTTCGCTTTGCACTTGCCTGCCGCCTTCTGGTCAGAAGGTGTGTTGCAGCCGTAATTGGGAGGTGGAGGGGTCGTGCTCATGGATTGAGGCAACGAGGGTCCCTCCATTCCGCTTGAGCAGTCCCAGAAAAACTGAGAAGACGCTCAGGCAGGCAAGTATTGGCGGGAGCGAAATTGGAACAAGTACCAGGACTGTTCCCCTGATCACCCGACCACAACAAAAATATTCTCTCTGGGCTAAGGTCACGGTAGCTGAGGGAGGTACCGAAGGCACGTTTGGAACCACTCTTTGGGTTCCGCCCGGAGGCCTTAGGTGACCAGGCAACGTGCACCAGTAGAAAAAGGAAAAGGGAGGCAAAAAATATCAGTGGCGACCTCAAAAGGGTCTGTAGGCCTGACTTAATACACAGCAGGTATCAAATGGCGGTCACCTAGAGCGGAATTTATTCTTATTAATACTATTACTATTATACTAATAATAGGAACAACAATAATAAAATAATAATAATAATAACAACAACAATAATGGTGATGATGATAATATTGTGTGTTCTGTCTTTAGGCCTGTTGGCCCTGCAGTCGCTTAATTTTTAGCTTTAAAAAAATTTTTTTTAATTATTATTATTATTATTTTTAAAATTTATGTATCTATTTTTATTATTATTATATTTTGTCCTATTATTATATGTGTGTATCGGGGGTGGAGCGCTGGTTGTGTGCTCCTATTCCGCCTCTATCAGTGATTCCAGATATGATGTAGAGCTTCCTTAAGCTCGGTTTGCCTTTCTCTGGCAAGAGATGGCAGCCACAGCTCGTTTCTCCCTGAAAAAGGGCTTTGCGGATCCCAGGAGGGTTCTCTAGCCTCCGTTTCTTGGTTGGGGCTTACTCCCTTCCTGTGCTTCGTTTCCCTCTGAAAATAAGCTCCGCAGCCTCCCAGAAGCTGCTTGTGCCCGGGGATTTAAATTTGGCGCGCTGTGACGTTTTAAGGGAATCCCAGTCAGGGATTGCCTTTGTTGTCTGAAAACGGCAACTAAAATGGCGCCCGCGGTTGCCCTGGGCTGCTAGGGAATCTCCGATGATCCGAATTCAAGTTTGAATCCGGACCTGGAGATTGTTATTTTTTCCCCCAATTTGAGGAAAAAATCCCTTGGAAGGTTGGGGAGAAAAGCTCAGCAAGTGGTCTCTGCTGATGCCTTCCCCCCCCCCTTTTCCACCTCCAGAGCCCTGGGGCTGACTGGGATCCGTGGGGAGTTTTCCCCCCCCCACACCCCCTTTTTCAATTTTAATATAGGATCAGGGATGATCCCAAGGAAAACTTAGTGGTTGGGGAAAAGGTTCAGCAAGTAGTCTCTGCTGATGCCTTCTTCCCCCCCTTTTCACCCCCCCAGAGCCCTGGGGCTGGCTGATATCTGTGGGGAAATTTCCCTCCCCACCAATCCCCTTTTTAATTTTAGGTTTGAGATCAGGACTGATCCCCAGAAAATTTTGTGGTTAAATTCCTATAGGTGGCAATTTTTTTGGAAGGGGAAGCCAATTATCAAGGGATAATCAATCAATGGATTTCTTGTCTAACCTGATAAGCTGAGAGCCACGCCAAAACGAGTCTTCTCCGAGCAGAGACCAAGTTAAGAATGGACTCCACAGGAAGTGGGGGCGTGTCAAGCTTTGGCTACTTGGTCTCAAGAGCAGGCAGACAGAGAAAACCCATCCGTGGATTATCCATCTCCTGTACTGGAGAAGGCTACGTGCAGCAACTTTTTTGATTATTGTTTAAATTATACGTAACTGAAATCACTACATAGCTTTTGGAATTGAAACACCAAAGGCATTATATATTTGTATAAAGTACTTACCTGCTCAATCGCCTTCGTTGAGGCATCTGCTCCAGATCTCTCTGTTCTCTTTCTTCTCTGGTCATTCCCTTATAGTTTGATGTTAAACCAAAAATGGGCCGGGACCATTCATCTGTTTAGTTTTATTAAAAAAGAGGACAAAGTTAATTAAGTAAAAGTAACAAAACAGCATATACCCAGTATCTACCCAATAAGAAACTTGACTTCTGACAGCCACTTGAACTGCTTAACCTTAAACAGAGATTTTAGTCCATTTAAATTAACAAAGTATGAGTATCCTTAGAAGAAAACTAAATTATTTTAACAAATTTGTTAAACTAAATTTAACAAATTTAGTTATAGTTTCCTTTAATTAAATCTGAAAATATAGCTTTTAAAAGTATCATAAATACTGAAAAATATACATTTTAGTTACTATTGAAATCAGCACACGTATAAAAACACAATACCAGCTTGACATATATTTAAGACAGCTGTAGTTTAGGCCCCTCACTTAATAATGAGTTTAAAGAACTGAAATATGCAAGTTTTATGTATATTTAAGCCTGCATTTATCAGCAGTAATCTTGCAAACACTTACCTGAATTCCCAAACACAAACAAAATGAAACATAAAAATGATTTTCAAAAAATAAGATAAAATATTGAAAATACAATTAAAATAAATAAGATTGCAAAGCATTTCATCACATATTCAACAGTAGGAATGTTTGTAGCATTTTCTATTTTAGAAACATAGAAAACTGATAGTAGAAAAAAGGACCTAGAGATTCATCAAGTCTGCTCTTTGAAGGGTCTTTTTTGTTCTTTTTTATTAATTAATTTGTAATTATTATTTGTATAGTTTGTCACACAACTAGATGTTCAGATAGGATTTGGCATTTTTATCCATTTATCAAGTCCTTCCCAAAGACCTGGGATAGGTAGATTATTTTAATTTATGTTATTTTATTTTAATTTTTGTCAATTGATGGACTTTATAATGAATTTTATCTTTCAGTAGCGTACAGTATATTAGTTTACTTACTAATTAGCTTTCCTGCCATATCCTTGTTGGACCGTGATTCCTTTGGGTGTTTGTAGAGATACATCACTGCTCTTCCAATCCCACTGTGTTTTAAGGTCTCTTGGCTCACACTAGGTAACTACAAAAAAGAATGATGAAAAACCATAGTCTGCTTAAACTTCAGTTTTGTTTTGATAACAAAAGTCTAAGCATATTAGATGCATATTATCAGGAAGGATTCTTGAACGAAACAGATGCTCAGGCGAGCTGTGGAGTTCCATACATATAAGATGCAAGAAATTAAGCATCTGTTGGAAATCATTTAAATCCAGAGATTCCCACATTTTCAAAGGTTTCTTAACTTTTATAGAATTTGGCTTCACCGAGCAGCAATACTTCATTATTGTATTAATTTTAAAATGAAAGTACTTCTGTAGGTACTGAAACTATGCAGGTACCACAATTCATCTTACTGTTATGTGCCTATTAATTTCTCAAATATTAATCTTAGCAGAATACAAAACAAGTCTTCGAAATAAATTATGCTGACTCCACATGCATGGGAGCCTGACCTCTTGCAAAATCTTCAAAAGCTCCTCTCGAATTTTCAGGGCAGGAAGACTCCGATCTGGTAATGGAGAAAGCCACTCTTTGATGGCTGACATTACACCACTGTCAATGAAAGTTTCCTTCAAGTCCTGCCTAAAAATTGAGAACAAAATGTTAAACTAGCAGTTCCAAAGTAAAGAAAAAGGCATATTTGTTGGAAGTCTATCAATTTCTTTCTTTATTCCACTGCTTAAAATGACAAAAATATTAAGATGGGATGGGAAGCCATTTTCAATATGTTTAAATCACCTATGTACCTACCTTCCAGTTACAACTATTTGTCCTTCTGATCTATTAGTTTGATTTATGTATTGGGCAAGATCTTTGAACCGACAAGCAGCATCTTTATGATAGATACTATTCAATTAACAGGAGCATGCAAATGTTTTTTTTTTAACCATAAACGACACCAGACTAATATCATCTTCTTGGATAAAATTATTAGTGGATCAGGGAATGCTGTTATTACAGTATACTGGATATAACTTAGCAAGGCCTTATACAAACTGCTAGTAAAATATATTATTTGATTAAAACCTCCTGACTGTATGAACTGTCAACCAATGGAGCAGTCTGCCATGTGGTATATTGAGTTCTCCTTTGCTGGATATCTTCAAAAGACATGGATTCAGACAGTATTGCAATCTGTCAGAGATAGTCTTATGGATCATATTTTAAACAAGTAGTTGGACTAGATGACTTTTACGTTTCCATTGAACCCTGTGATTCTATACAACACCTGAAGAACAACTTTTAGAGGATATAGGCTAATTTGGTGCAAAAACCTAAATAATCTGAATGCATGTAGATATGTGGATCCTAGTTATTACAAGCAAATGATTCACTGATATTATCAACAGATTTGTAGCTAGATTGGTTACACTCCAAACAAGTTATTTGAAAAACTCTTATCAAGTTAGGTTTTATTCACCTTTAAAATCCTTTAGCAATTCAGTGATTTTAATAAAACCTTCCAAGGTATAATAAACTTTTAAAAGTCTTAAGTTATTTTCAACAGAAAGTTAGTCTTCAAAAATTTAAATTCATTTCATATTAAAATAATAAAACAAAGTACAGGACCATTACAGTATCTACTTATCTAGATAAAAACAAATAACAATTTAGCATATGATCATCTACATCAGTGGTTCTCAACCTTTCTAATGCCGTGACCCCATAATACAGTTCCCCATGTTGTGGTGACCCCCAGCCACTTATACATCACCGGGTGCCAGGGGCGTGGCCAAAGAAAAGGGGGAAAAAATGGTGGACAGCCTTGTTTGGCGACCCCCGTGAAATGGTCGTTCGACCCCAAATGGGGTCCCGACCCACAGGTTGAGAACCACTGGTCTACATCAAACCTTCTTTTTTCCAATATTGAATAGAAAAAAAAAATCAGAGTTTTGCTTACTTTTTAAGATGCATGACTACAGTTGGAAGTAAAGTTAACTTCTTTAGTGCTGGTTTCTTCTGTGTATTCAACTGTCTATCCTCCTGCAAGAAATTATACATGGCATTAAACATAAGCAGAAAAAAGCAAAATGCTTAAGACATTTGCAAATCAAACCAACTACAACCTTTTGTAATGAAATAACTAAAAAAGCAAGCCCAACTAAGCCTAAACAAAATAACTGAAAAAAAATAGCAATTATAATTATGTAAATTTCACTGGTATTTCCTACATTTATACCTGAGGTTTTTTATGTGCTGAATCATTGATTTCTGTATCCAGATAGTGCACAGAATTTCATTCAGTGTACACGTTAGCCACACAAGAGTGATATTAGGCAGAAGCAGGAATAAGAGCTTTTTTCAAGATCTTGACACTATTCTCCTAAAGAATGTGAACTAAGTTAGCAGTAAAAAAAAGGCAAATTTAACAAGCAATGCTGCACTTTGTAAATAGAAAAAATGTGGTGAGCTTCTTTTAAAAGATTTGCGGATTATCAGCTTTGGTTCTACAGGTAGTCCAAGACTTCTAACCATTTGTTTAAAGATCATTTAAAGTTAACGACAGCATGGAAAAAAGTGATGTCAATCTAGGTCCTTGGATTAGGACCGTTGCAGCATCCCGTGGTTATGTGGATCAAACTTCAGGTACTTGGCAATTGGCAAGTATGAGGGCAATTCAGAAATAAACCTCCGTTTGGTTATTAATGATAGACACTCGCAGATACAGAACTTTTATTATACACATTAGAAAACTACAACATTACATTACTTTTCAACATAATCACCATTCAAACTGAGGCACTTGTCATAATGTCTTACAAGTTTGAAATTCATTCTGCAAAAAAATCTCCCGCCTGGAAATGAAGCGACCCCGTAACAGCATCATGAAGCGCATTGTCATCGTCAAAGTGGTGCAACGCAAGCCACTGTTTCATGTGCCTGAAGAGATGGTAGTTGCTTGGCACCAAATCTGAGCTATAGAGAGGGTGATCAAAAACATCCCAACGGAACTGCTTGAAAAGTTCTTGGGTGCGTCTAGTGGTGTGTGGGTGAACATTATCGTGAACCAACACCACACTGGAACTCAATATGCCCCAACACTTGTTATGGATGGCTCATCTGAGTTTTCGTAACATTTCACAGTAGACTTCTGAATTGATGGTCAAATCATGCTCCATGAACCTCACTAGCAGTATGCCTTTGGCATCCCAGAATACTGTTGCCATAACCTTTCTGGCAGACAATATTTGCCGAGTTTGGGGTTTCTGAGTAGTGTGTATGACACCACACCACTGACTGCTGTTTGCTTTAGGGGTTCACATACGACACCCAGATCTCATTGCCAGTCACAATTTTGTTAAGAAATTTTTCTCCTTCCTCGGCATAACTCTTGAGAAAGTCCAAAACAGAACCTATTCGATGTGTTTTGTGCTCCTCAGAAAGGAATTTTGGTACCCAATAAGTACAGAACTTGTGGAATCCCAAATTTTCTGTCACTACCTCATACAAAACACTCTGAGAAATTTGGGGAAAGTGTAAAGAAAGCACAGATATTGTGAACCGACAGACTTTTGACAATTTCCTGCATGAATTCATCGCTGAATACAGATGGGCAGCCACTCCTTGCCTCATCATGCACGTCAGTTTGTCCATCTTTAAACATGCAACACCACTGACGTAGACACCTTCACTCATCATGTTTGGTCCATAAACATTACAGTTCACGATGAATCACAGCTGCCGAAAGTTTTTTCACACATAGGAATGGTATTACTGCATGCACTTCACATTTGGCAGGATTTTGTATGGCAGGGTTCATTTTCAATGGATCTAGTAGATAAATCAACTGCAACACAATCTTCTCCTTCCACTCATTGCGTAGTGAACTACTGCGCACAGTGCCATGGGATGGGCATCGCTATTCCCGCCCATTTCTCACACATGCTCAAACGAAGGTTTATTTCTGAATTGTCCTCGTATTTATGACAGTTTCAGTATCCCGGGGTCACATGATCATCATTTGTGACCTTTCCAGGAGGCTTCTAACAAACTCAATGTGAAAAGCTGGATATGCTTAATGATTACAGAGAAAAAGGGGTAAAACCAAGCAGGGCTCAGTGACTGCATTGCTTAATGACAGAAGCCTGATCTCAATTGCTGTCATAAGTTAAGGACTACCTGTATTCAATTCAATGAGACAAACATAGTACTTTCCTGAAATCCAGTTTAAAATAATTTCATTTGCATGAATTATATCCTTACAAGCCTTGGAAAGCAACGAACACACCTCTGCGGCTTCATTCATCTTAACGATCATAGCACTGACTACATCGTCGGCATCACTAATGAATGTCCCGCCATCACGATTGCGCCGGCGTTTGCCACTCATGCTCTTTTTCCGTTGTAACATCATATCAAAATCTGACATGAAGTCCATACTGAAAGACAGTGTTTCACAAAATTCAAAGATTAACAGGATATAGTCACAGCTTAACCAACTGTAAACAAGAATGGTTCCAATACATATAATACATGATGTATTTGGGACAGATCTATCAACAAAATAAAGAGCGCTTTATCTACTCCTAAAAATTATGATGTAGAATTTAGAACATTGGCCACAATCCCGAAATTATAAATGTACTGGTATTTAAAGAAAAAGGTAGCACCCTCAAGAATTACAAAAACCAGTGGTATGGAAATGTTCTGTTTTGTTATTCAGGAAAAGCAACAGTATCAAGCTGTAAATTAGGGTTTAAGTCATCTGCTATCAATCCCAATATAGAGTACATGAAACAGTCAAGTGATTTTTATATTTTTACCACCTTAAGACTATAATTCCATTTTTTATCCTAAATCCCATGGGATATATTAAAGGATCTGCATAGGCCTTATACTGCACAGAAACACACGGAACCTAAACAAATGTTCTATAAAAGCAAGCTGGCCATGAAACCAAAAATACAAATAATGGAGAAGTGCCTGGCTTTCAAAGGGTACCTTGTCCAGTATACAGTATAGGAGCATGGCTTTGTAGAGGCTTTGATTAATATCAGAAATAGAAGTTTGATTTAGAGAAAGTATTGACATCCTCATCTGACTAGTTCTACCTCCTTTATAGAAGATGGCAATGTAGACTTCTAATAATAAAAACATTTGCCCTAATTAAAACTTTTTTGGTAAAGTTTAGTATATGGTTGTTCCTCAAACTTGAACTAGGGTTAGAAAAAGATGTTTAAACTGAGGATGGAAAGAGAAATATGTGTGCTATGTTGAAATTCCTGAAAAAATGCAAGATTTTTAAATATGATACATAATTTGATATACATCATATCGATTTGGTTTCTTGTAAAATTATAAGAAACGTACTGTTTTCCTCTTCTGATATTGTCATCAGAATCTGATTCTTCTGCTACTTCTTTTCTTTCTGCTTTCTCCTCTTCCAAATCCTCTTGGTTAAATCCCTTGGGTTAAACACAATAGAAGTTGGTTAAATATAACTTAATATAATATATATTATATAATGCATTATATAAACAGTGTTTTTAAGAATACTTAACAGAGATCAATCATAGAATTTATATAAAATTCTCAAGGTTCATACTTATATTTCATCCAGGATATCACATTTCCAGCTGGCTAGGGTTATCGATTGTACATCCAGCAATTGATAAAGCTAACAAACTAATACAATTCAAAAGGTGATGAAATGGCACGCAGGATTTTGGAAGTGTCCAGAATATTTCCATCGGGCAAGATGATAAAAAGATAAAGAAAGATAAGCCTGCTTCAAGCAGAGCTAATATGCTTATGTAGTTCTTTTGACATTATGGAAGTAGCTTGCTAATGGTCTTCAGAAATGCAAATACACTAATCTCTGTAACTAAAAAAATAGCATGGCTTCAACACCAGCAACTTATATCAGTTAGGCTATTCTTTTTTTGGTTTATTTTGTGTTAATTGCTATTCATTCATTTTTATGTTTTTTATATTTTATGGTATAGAGTGGGGGTTGTCTTTCAAATCCAGCAGGAGAAAAAAAAACCCCAATAAATGTTTTCCCAATGAAGCGTAATAGTGAACTTGAAAATGGCATACTATTTTGTTATCACAGTCTAAGAAATACACTTAACAAAGATGAAAGTTACTTAAAGAAACGTGTATTTGCAGATCCCTCAAAATTACAGGAAGGAGTGATGAATGGGAAGAACAAAATATAAATTCATGATATACTTACTGTAAATTCCTCTTCTTCCTCATCTCCAGATTCTCCAAATATATCTGCTATGAGGTTTCTGAAAAAAAAAAAAAAAACAAGCTGTTATTCATAACCATTTTCTGGGGATGTTACCTAACACTACAACTTTTATTTACTTAAAGAATTTATATGGCAACCCAACTTAAAACACCACTGGATAGTGTACAATAAACCAAAGAATGTCCCATCTATTCAATATTGCTCCAGAACTTAATCTTAAAATTACTTACTCTTGCTCATTTCCTGACTCACTGTCACTTCCAAAAAGATCTTTTTCTTCTTTCTTCTTTCCACTGTCATCCTTATCATCATCTTCCTCGCTATCAGAAGCGATAGATTTCTTTTGCTTTTCATATTTCCCTGTGGTAGCATCACTATCTGATTCATCACCATCAGAGATAACACGGCTCTTTTTTGCAGCTGCCAACAGATGAATAAATAAATGAATCAAAAACAGAGCCGACTTGGAGCAAAATAATTATCAATTATTAGTTGTGAAAAAAATCTCAACATTAAAAGCAAAAGGAATTATTTACAACAATAACTGCAGAAAAATTAAACTTGTGTCAAGTAACAGCAAGTCCTCCTAAGTTTATTAATAATTCCAGTAAACACTCTGAAGTAGTAAGGTCCCATTTTAACATCTTTGTTGTATAGTTTGGTTAAAATTTTGATTTTTTTTTTCAGAAAGGTCATTGTAGATCTCTGCCAATTCATTTTTATCATACTTCCTGTTAATCAATTGAACTAAGGTGTAGGGCAATATTGGAGTAGGGCAATATTGGAAAAAGGAATATTTGCCTACTTTGCAAAAGTGGTTTTCTAAAGTATCCTATCTGGCGGAAATGGCAAAGATTTCGGCTTTTTTAAAGGATCAATCGCAAGAGAAGTTCTTTGTGGTATGGGAAAAATGGATAAATTTTATACAACATAAGTTGGATATAAAAAAATATTATTTAGTTTTTCAATAACTCATATATAAATTTTAATATTTTATAGATTGTATTATTTTTTCTTTCTCTTTATATTTTTTATTATTATTTTACTTTCTTATATTTCCTTTCTTCTTTCTTTCTCTTTATTTTTTTTTCTTTTTAAGTATTTTTTTTTCCTTTCTTTAATACTTATGTTATATATATATATATATATATATATATATATATATATATATATATATATATATATATATATATAACGTAAGTATAATATATATATTATTGTTAATTATTTTATTAGTTGTTTAAGTAATGTGTTTAGACTTATTCATGGTTTATATTTTTTTTTAAAGAATTCAAGAAACTTTAATTAAGCCTATATTCAGCTCTGGGAAGGCTGAGGGAGGGAGTGGGAGGGTTGGGGTGGGTTGTTTTTCTTCTTGTAAAAATTTTAAAAATTTTCAATAAAAAAAAAATCAATTGAACTAAGGCAAATTTTTCAACCTGCTATGTTATAATGTCAAATAGCAACCGTCTGGGGGGAGGGAGGGCGGAGTACAATGGGCCACTGTATGACCTACTTCATTTAGCATGGAAGATGTTATCAAGCAAAGATCTGTTTTCTCTTCATTTTAATGAAGAGAAATCATCCACCACATACACCTTAGAAAGCTCATTTTGGACTGCTGCAGTATTTGTAATACAATCAAGAATAGAGTGAAGAAGCCACTTGCATAAGCAGTGAAATGTTTCAAACCAAAAAAGGAAAGAAGTCCAATTGCCATGATTCAACTTCCAGAAAACTACACTAGATAACTGAGAATCATCAACATACTGAAGACTGAACATAATTTCATTTTTAAACATGATTTCCCATACACAAACATTAAAAGAAATCTGCACTTTCCACTTGGCTATCTCTTATTGCTTTCCCCTATCCTATAGGGGAAAAAATTATCAGTTTATAGAAAGAATGGATAAAACAGAAAGTGCTAAATGGGCAGCAGAAGTACAAATATATCATTAAATATATCTAGGGAAAACAGGGAAGTTGCAATACATGCAATAGTTCCAGTAATTTTCTCTACAATTAAGTGAACACACTAAATTGCTTTTGATATATTTTTCAATGGATTTAGATTGAGGACAACTTCTAGCAGCTGGGGTTCACCACGTCCTTTTTACTTTGGTGGCCTAATGTTTCAGGAGGTAGAATAATAGCATACTGATATCAACAGAATTTGAGAAATGGTTCAGATCCTTTCCTCCAACTTTTGAGGATTCAGCTTTTAAAGACGTGTTACATTTAGTCTATTCCAAAGTATGAAAAGATGATAACTGTTAGATGTATCAAAATGAATCACTGTTCACACATGTATTTGTACATTTATCCCTTGTTCGGCACTATGTTTATTTCTACTGAATATGCAATCCCTAATGGCAGGATTGCTTATGCATTTTAGTCACCTGGATGATGCAAATGATAATATGCTGATGTGGGACACATCAAACATAAAACTTCAGAGCCAAAACGTTATGTCACATTTAGTTTGGAATCACAGCTTATATAGACTGAAAATTACTTCTAAATTCGTTTTTCCTTACGTGTTCTTTCTTCATCTTCACTATCAGAGAGCACAACAGCTTTCCTTTTGGCCAATTTCTCCTCCTCTTTTCCATCTTCTTCATCACTGTCTATCTTCTGTTTTTTGGGACTTCCTTCTTCTTCACTGTCAAAGCCATGTAGCCTCTTTCCAACATCACTATCTGAAAGCTGGGCGCTATTCACCAGTTCCTCTTCCTTCTTATTTTCTCCATCACTATCACCTACCTCTATGTTCTTTTTATTTCTGGGGGGATCTTCACATTCAGAGTCACTGGACTGGACCTTTTGCTCCTCATTTTCAGAGTCACTGGCAAGAGGTTTTTGCACTGTCTCATTTTCTGAATCAGGGTCATGGTTTTTTGCATGCTCCTCAATTTCCGAGTCACTGGCTGGATGTTTCTGAGGCTCTTCATTTTCTAAATCACTTCCATGCCTTTTATGCACACTCTCATGTTCAGAATCACTGCCCGTGTTTTTCGGAGGTTCCTCATTTTCAGATTCACTGCCATGGCCCTTCAGAGGCTCCTCTATCTCAGAATCACTGGCCTGATTATTTACAGCATCCTCATTCTCCGAGTCACTGGCAGGTTGAACAGGATTATCTTCCATATCAGAGTCACTGTCTTTCTCTCCATCAACCCCTTCATTTTCTGAGTCACTGCCATTATGATTAACGGCATCCTCATTTTCTGAATCACTATGTTTCTGTCCCGGTGTATCTTCATTTTCTGAGTCTGTCATGGGATGTTCTAGAGTTTGTCTGTCATCTTCCCCATCACTAAGTTCATTCTGGGAAAAATAGAAATAATAATATTAAGGAAGCCACAGAAAGTAAATGAAGACCAAATCAAATAATATAATTAAATCAAAAACTATCATGGGTATTACAGTTGAAATGTTTAGCATTTAACTGTAAATTAAGTACAAGTAGTCCTCAAAATAAGACCTTAATGGAGCCTACCCATTGGGGTTGTATGCCATGATGGTTGTTCAGCAAAACAGCTTCACTTAACAACCCCCCACTCCCTGTTCTCTGATGCAACCATTAAATGAATGCGAGCGTCATTAAACGGTGCACTGGGAACCTCGGGGATGGGGTAGTCCTTGGAAGGCCTACACATGGCTACCTCAACCTCAGGCACCCTGAACTCCCACTTCTCACCAGGGTCCCTGCAGTCCTTCAGCTTCCTTCCCAGCTAGTGAAAAGGATCAAGCCAGCTGGAGTTTACAAGTCTCCAGCTGCCTTCTGACCTAGCAAGCAAGGGGAGGGGAGACCAGCCAAAGTTTCCAAACTCGAGCAAAGGGAGAGATCAGGCCGTCTGGAGACTCCAGCAAACAAGGGGAAATCCCACCAAAGGATTTGCATGACCTGGCCTCCTCCAGGTCCCAATAACACCCAACTAATGCTCTGTTTTTTTTGTAGCGTCTGACAGAGGCACCCAGCCTGATGCAGGATCAGTTTTTCACAGATACAGCCTGGTGGCAAACTCCTGCTATTTCGCAACAAGGTTTTTTTTTTAAAAAATTATTTTTTGTTTTTTAAGAGGCTCCATTTGTTTGTGGAGTTTACGGAACCTCCTTAAAAAGGGAACCCCCAACAGGTTCACGAGATAAATACTTGCTTTGTCATTAGGCTGGGTCTGTTAAGAAAACTGATGGGTGGTGATGGGTGCACTTTAGGAAGACCTGAAAGATTAGGTTAGGGACAGATCATTAGGTTAGGGACAGATCGTATGAAGAAAATCTAACTATGTGGTTACTAAGAGTTGACATCAACTTAAAGGCACGTACTAAATCATTAGTGCATATTAGCAATCAACTAGGTTAAAATCTTTCATTCATACAACATAAAATCAACAAACACTTATTTTCATTAAAATAATATAGAAAAATATTAAGTGAAATAGTTTCAAAAGCAACATTTTCTCAATCCTAAATTACTTTTCCAGCCTAGATCCTTTTTCAAAATGCTTCACTAACAGTATTAATAGGTATATAGTAATGAAAGTTATTGCAAACCTTGTTGAAATATACAGTACACATGAAATTTATGCAAAATCTTCAAAAATGTTTATTTCCTTGTACATTTTGAAAAATGGAAATTGCTTTATAGTGAAATACTATAATTTGCAGTTTACTTTTAAAAGATTATATGAATTAAATATTAACGTTTAACTTTTAAGAAATCCTTTGCTCAAACAGATAGGAACCATGGGCAGGATAGTTTCCAGTTAATATTTAAAAAAATATTTCATGACTACCTCTGAATGTTGTCCTATGCTTCCATTCTCTGATCCAGAGTGTTGTTCATTTCTGTTATCTTCCATGTCTGATCCTGAATCACGCTCATCCTGTACTGGTGTGGCTCCACCATCATCTGTAACACATTATTTGTTTAAATCAAATTGAAAGCTGACAATGACTTTTAATACATAGAAACAATTACATCAGTGCAAATGAATACTGTACTAGTTTTAATTATCTCTATATTCTTGCCCCTTGCTTAACACCTATATGAGACTGCTGAGCGAGGTAATTCATCCCTTTGGAGTAAACACGTGGGTAATACTGCACTTTTCCCTTCAGAATTGATGGAGAATTTGGAGGCCTTCACATGTGGACTTACCATTTCTGTTTTGCATCAACTACAACTAAGACATTGCATCCAACTTATATGCCAATTATCCCTTACCCAGACCAAGAAGCCTTTGGACAATTACTCATACACTGATCACCTCACGCAATGTCCTCTACAAGGGCCTGTTCTTGAAAACCACTTGAAACTGCATCTGGTGTGAAATGCAGTGCCAGGGATAATCATGGATATATCTTGTCAAGCCCATGCACCCTGTAAGCTCTGCTGGTTACCAACAGATTTCAATTAACAATTCAAAGTGCTGGTTGTTACCTATAAAATCTTTGGTGGCATAGAGTCTGGTTATCTAAAGCAGTGGTTCTCAACCTGTGGGTCGGGACCCCATTTGGGTTGGAACGACCATTTCATGGGGGTCGCCAAACAACGCAGTCCGCCATTTTCTTCCCCTTTTCCTTAGCTGTGCTACTCCCTTTTATTCTATTGGCTTTTGAAAGCCAACAGAATAGACTCTCTTGAATAGAGTCTAATTCTATTGGCTTTCAAAAGCCAATACGAATTGTCCAGGCTGTCTCTGCCTTGCTGAGCCCGCCAAAAGTCCCATTCTGCAAACGGTGCTGCACCAGTTGAGTAGTCCTCGACTTATGACCGGTTGGGGGTCACGGCATTAAAAAGGTTGAGAACCACTGATCTAAAGGATTATCTGTCTTCCATAATGGGGCAAAGTTGGCATGCTCTGGATCCCATCCTTTAAGAAGTGTCAACTGATGGGACCCAGATAGCAGGCTTTTTCTGCTGTTGCCCTCTATATTCTACACCTTCTCACCCTCAGGTATATCTATCCTATATACTGGCTGTATTCTAAAGAGTTCCAAAACCTGGCTTTTTCATTAGATCTTGGGTTAGAGTGGTGTTGACGCCTCAGTTTTAACAATAGCTTTTATTACAGCATTGAGTGTTGTTTTAGGTTTTCTTCATTGTATCTCGTGACCTTTTATGCTCTATGCATCATTTTAAATTGGCAGCCTTAAAAATGGCCAAAATAAATAAAAATATAAATTACGGAAGCAAAACTTTGAACTAAAATATTCCATAATTAAGACTTGTTTAGACATTCAATTTCGGACAGCGGCTGGAATACCATGGAGCTAGAAACTCAACATAGTCAAGATTACCAATCCTAAAATACTGTAAATATATTCAGTGAACCGTGGAAACAGATTCCATTATTCCATACAAATAATGTAGAAAGGTACAGGAGTGGGGCGGCAACTATTTATATAATATTCATTGAGAAAGTTTACGTTCTGGACCATTTAAAAAGGAAGACATAACTAATCAGCTTATCAAAATGAAATTAACAAGAATTAAAATGTTAACAATACAATTGCATTTTGGGGGCCTTGGCCTAATAGTTCCCATTTACAAAAAAAAAAATATCGAACTCCATTAGATTACTAGCCTATCAGTCTCCTCAGCATTATCAGTAAACAACATGCCAGATATCTATCCATTAAGTTTTGGTATTGGCTAGACCTAGAGAAAATACATTATTAGTCAAGAAACAAGTTAAATTTAAAAATGCACACTCTACTTTTGACTATGCTCTTGTTCTGAAACATCTGGGAGGGGGGAAATCACTTTAAACCCATGTGCAAAGCTATATGCAGCCTTCATTGATTTTATAGCAATCCTTGATTTAATTTCCCATAGCCTAATCTAGCATATAAGCTTCAAAACCTTTCTATTTATAGATAGAAGCTTCCTTCTGCTTATCTATAAATTATAGGCCAACTCAGTTATAGAGGTCAGATGCATCACCCAGAATCACTGTATCAAGAAAATATTTGCTAACAGAAAAGTCTGGCACAGATATATTCTAGAACCATTATTATTCAATTATTACATCAAACCTTTAGTTGCCAAGATAAATAATTTCTCCCATTATCCCTCAAAATAGGCAGAGCAATATACAGTAATCTGTTTTTAAGCACAAGGAGTAGGTTCTGCTCTTCCAGACCTATGCTGGTCCAAAGAGAGCATTGCAAGCTTTGGCTGAATACTGAATAGAGTAGCCTTAGAAATCAAGTATAGTAAGACAAAGACACTGGTATATCTGGAAATTAAACAATCGTCCAATTGAATGGTTAAGTTATTTAAATATCTTAGTGTTGTACTTTATGCCATATTTACATGTAAAAAAAGCCCCAAAATCAGCTACAGCCCTGCAAAAATTATTTTACAGTAAATAGACATTGCTTATTCTTGCTGCATTTTGAGCGCACACAGGACAAGTTCAAACACAATTATTAATTGGTGCCCAGATAGATCCATACCTCCTTTGACCCCTTGGAAAGGGTTCAGACTAAGTTCCTCAGGAGCATATTCCAAGTGTTCCATATGTAATTCTACATTGAGAGGATGGTGTCAGTAAGATTGAATCCAGTGCTTGGATATGAATTGTCAGGTAGTGAACTAAATTGTTCTTTTCCCCAAAGATCTAACTCCTCGGGTTCTTTCCAATAATTTTGTTTCCCCTTGAACTAAGGCAACACACAACGAACTGGAACTCCTTGGGTTTTCCTTAATTTAAGTGTCTATGCTAGGGCATGATTATACAACAGAAGCAATCAAATGCCATAGAAACATCATTATTCAAACTAACCTTATATTTCTCCTTAATGACCTGCCAGTCCCAAAACTAAGGATAGCCTTAATGTTGACACAAATTCAATTTTAGAGGGCTGATACAAGGTTATCCCATTCAAATCCAAATTATGCCCATATAGAGGAACCACTGAACTCATCAAACTTATATTGTTGTTTTATGCTGACATCTATAGTGAGCTGTTAACTAAATTTCTTGATCATTTTCATAAGTTTTATTTTAAACTCTTATTCCAGGCTCAATTCTTTAAGTTGGCCAAATTATATCATGCAGTATGTAACAAGAGCAACATTTTGATTGATTTGCTTACCTAATTAACTTATTAATTACTATTCGTATTATGTATATAATATACTTTATGGACTGATCACTGACTGCAATAATATATATTTCTCTCTCAATTGCATTTCAATATATTTCTATTCTACAATAAACATGAAAGTGAAAATAGAGTAGGTTCCTTAACATACTGTCTTCAGCATACTGACTATAGTATTTCTCACCATTAGTCATGGTGTTTAAGGCTGACATAAACTGTAGTTTAAAATATCTGGAAGTTAATAAAAGCCATCATCACTATTCTATAATTACTATACATGAAACAAAGAAGAGGAAACTTTACTTGAAGAATTTGCTCCACAAAACGTTTCCTTTTTTGGGGAAATGTTACTAACTCAAAACTAATTCTAATTTTGTATTGCGTAGTAGAATAAAAACAACCTAACACAAAAAAGATAAATCTATTCATCAAGTGAATTGCACGCATCCCTTTCAAACACATAGTCAATTGAGAGCCAGTTTGGTGTAGTGATTAAAGATTCTGGACTAGGAATCAGGAGACCGTGAATTCTAGTCCATAAAAGCCAACTGGGAGACATTGGGCAGGTCACTCTCTTAGCTAATCTCACAGGTGAGGAAAATAGGTGGAGGAAGGTGGAGGAAGGAGTATTAGGTATATTCACCACTCAAATCACTTATACAAAAGTGAAGGTGGGATAAAAATCTAGTAAATAAATAATAGCTCTCCATTCTACTTTTAAATTATATTTGCTTTCCATAGTTAATTAAAGACTTCAATAGTATAAATAATAGTACAAACAATAACCAAATTGTTTGGTTATTTGAGCTGTGCAGAGATCTGGATTCAAAGGGCACCTCCATAACACGCATCTCAACACACTGCTCTAGTCATACAAATTGAATTACATTTTATCTTTGTTTCTTTTTCTTTCCTCACTGATTAGAAAATTAAATAGAAGCTTCAAGAAGGGAGTTGTTGGACTGGAGAATGTTTCACTCTTTTGTCTTCCCACAGAAGGTTTAACAGCATCATAGATCATAAGAGGGCAAAATCTATTTTCCTTTTTGTTTTGAAACTATATTTTGAAACATACCTATTATCAAAACACAACATAGAAATAAGACACGCAGTTAAGTAGATTGGGCAAATTTATCTCTCCCTGCCGGGCAGCATCACTTTCATTAACTATATCAGCTTCGTCCTCACGATTACCGATACAGCAGCCCAACGGATCTAGAGGCTCTCGGGTTGAGGAAAGCCTTAGGAACTCGGGCAACGGTCAGGTACCGATTCATAACACAATGGGGCCTAACGGGTACGCTACGCACCCAGCTGCCGGAACAACCATACAGCAAGAAAGCTCGTGAATCCCTTGCTCTCATTTGCAAGCCCAAAGGTGTTTTTCCAAGAGGCAACGGGAGCTGAAAAAGCACCTTCGGGACAACCATGACCTGGATGACTGAGAATCTCCACAGACAAACCTACAGTCCAAATCCTACCAGCCGAGCTCACCCTCCCGCCTCCTCCGACTGTACCTGACTGCTCCCCACCGTAATACTCCGTCTCCATAGCCCCGCCTCCCACTACAACCGGCTGAACAGCGGAGGGGGGCGCTCCGATGGGGACGGCGGGAGCCAAAGGGGAGCTCAGACACCGGATCGAAGCGGGGAGGGGGAGGGAGGCAAAGGGGGGGAATCACCTTCCAGTTTCAAAGCCGGAAGCAACAGTATCCACGACCTTCCCATCAACCCGCGCGCCGTAGTTAGGCAGTTCCGCAGGTCTGAAATGGCGCCTCCGCCCCCTCCCCGAGCGGAACCCAGGAGCTCTTCCGCTTGAGATGAGTGGCAGGGCCCGTTGCAAGATGAAGGGCGTTGGCCCTGCTGAGCTCGTCAGATCGAGGTTCTCGGACGGAGGGGAAAGAGTAGCGCTAGGGGTATACCTTTCGGAGGGTTATGAGACTTGGAATCGAACAATGTTTTGGGGAACTACTGTAGATCGGAAAAGACGGATAATCATTCTCACGAGTGAAGGCGAATATACGTGTCGCAGGATAATGTTGCAAGATTTAATCTGGGTCGGTCACCGGGACCGGAGGTTTTGTCTTCCGAGCTTTCGGACTCGTGCTGGAGCCCATCTTCAGGGAACTGCTCTCTACGGGCCATCTTCAGCGAATTTCTCTCTGCTGAGAGCAATTCCCTGAAGATGGGCTCCAGCACGAGCCCGAAAGCTCGGAAAACAAAACCTCCGGTCCCGGTGACCGACCCAGATTAGATCCTGCAACATTTATTCTTCCTGGGATAGCCGCGAAAGTTTTTTTTTTAATAAAGAAAAACCAGCAGGATAAAACAAGGGTTTAGTACTCTTATTTTCAGAGTGTTGTCACGTGGGAACACAATGGCCTTGGTAGATTGCCTATGCTTAATCCATTTTGTGCATCGGAGTTCAAAAAGCTGCATGCCTCTTAAAAATACAGGCAGTTAAGCCGAGCGGCCATGCTTGCTCTCTAAACGAGAATTTTAATCACAGTTTTAGCCTCCGCTTTGGCGAAGTACAGACCATTCCCGTTTCAGCCTTGGATGAAAAGGACTACAAGTTCTTTGCTACAAAAATCCGCCCAGCCACTAGATAACAGTAGGATTTATTTTCCTGTACCTTATTGATGCCGTTTAGATGTCGTGCAGATTTCGTATTATATTAACGCATGAAATGAAAGTCCTAATAGGGTAGCCCTTTGTTATTGAGGAGGTTAGAAAAAGATTGATTTGCTTTTGCAGCCTGATGTCCCCTTCTAAAGTACTCAGACTGCAATAAAGTTGTGTTCCCCCCCCCCCTCCCTTTGCTGTTTCCCATAAAGAGCTCTCTGGCTTCTATCTCGAGGGAAAAATATTTAAAAAGTTTAAACAGACTGTATAAGAACATCTAGTGAAATCATAGCATACTGGGACAGGAAGATAATACAGTACTAACTCCATTAAAACAATAGATAACATTACAATATTTCATGGAAGTGGGATGGTTGAAGAAATTTCCATACAGGTCAGTCTCTGACTTATCACCATAATTGGGACCAGGATTTCCATTACTAAGCAAGGCACTTAAGTGAGTTGCACCCAATTTTATGGCCTTTTTTGCCATAATTGTTAAGCGAATCTCTACGGTTGTTAAGTGAATCGTGATCATTAAGGAATCTGCTTCACACATTGATTTTGCTTGTCAGAAGGTGGATGGAAAGGTCAAAAATAGTGACCATATGACCCTGGGACACAGCACCCAAATTTTGATCACTTGATCATAGGGATGCTGTGATGGTTGTAAGTGTGAAGATCAGTCATGTTACTTTTTTCAGTATGGATGTAACTTCAAACGGTCACTGAATGAATCATTGTAACTTGAGGACTATCTGTATATGATTCCTAGCTAAATGACCAATACCATTGATGCAACAGTAAAACCAATAGATGAAAAAGAAACTTGTTCTGCAAAAAATTGAACGTAGTCCCCCAGTAATTGATTACTTGTTGCACATTAATTATCCATCTTTCAAAAAATAAATGTATCCTTTGCAGAGCAATGTCCAGGTAAAACTCTCAGAAACAAAAGCTGGTGGGCTCTGCCAGAAACGGCAAAAAGCTGAAACTCATTAATTGTAAAAAACCTCCAGCCGGTAATATCTTTCTTTCTGCCAGATGTTTCTTGTTTCATGTTTAACCCGATTCCTGACAATCTTCAAATGAACGATCTAACGTTGCACCTACTAATTCATTTCCAAAAATACCAACAAGAGGTGGAATCTATTGAAATCTAAGAATAGGAAGAGGGGAACAGTTCAATAATATTTTTCCAAGTTTATTCAACTAAAGTTGATGTTTTTTAAACTCCTGGTGGAGTATAAAAGGAGACTTCCGGATGCTCAATGTGCCCCATAATTTTAGCAGATGCAGAGAATGTGTATCCCTTGTAGGTGGCGAGGCTGGACAGGCCTCTTGGAAATAAAAAAGATGTAATTCCATATTCTGTAACACCAAATTTTCTACAGGAGAGAAACTATAGGCCTGGTTTCCTGTGCTTCCAAGATATGCATGCAGCCCCATAGGTATAGTAGAACCTGATATACCATAAACTTGCTTTCTCAGAGAACTTTTCTGCCTTCACACCATTACTTACGCTTCTTACCAAAGAATCCTCATAATACATTTGTTTGGCCTTATACATACTATGGTATTCACTGTTCAGTTTTGTGGTACACCTTGTGTCGAGATTCGGTTGTTTGCAAACATTTAGGGGCCCTAGTCAAATTGAACATTTCAGTGAAATCCGTAAGTAAACTGAAGCTAATACAATGTACCATGTAATACACATAATACACAGTTCCCCCTCTCCTATTCTTTGTATGTTGAGTTGAATTTTTAGTATTATTATTTATTAAATTTTATATGCCTCCTGACTCCCAATTACTCAAGGATGTGATCTTCAGAACTGGGATCCATGAAGTACAATCCAAATTATTTTATCATTATGTCTTAGAAATACTTCATAGTCAATTGGCAGGTATATCTGAATCATTGGTTTGCTGAATAGCCAAGTCTCATTTCAGCTTCAAATTGTTTTCATCATTTCTTAAAGATAACCCACTCCCTCACTAATTCTGAGTACAGTCTTGGGTGACTTGCACATCACATTACATTGGTTTTGTTTGCTGCCACACCTCAGTGAATGGTTGCTGCACACTTTGAAGCATCAACAGACTCCTGTCGAGGCAAGTATCAGCTTCCCAGTGGATATTGCTACAATTTTCTAACCCATGATTTCTTTTCACAATGTCAGTATGGAGCTCCTACTTGCACCCAGATCACTGCTGCAATCTAATAAATCCATCTCCTAGTTCTGGACACAACAATTGAACAGCTGACATATTAGGTTGCACAAGCCTTTTGTGCTGTTGCAGCATCATAACAAGGCTGTTGCACATTGTGATACCTATTAAATGTATGCAGGTTCTTAGGAACATTGTCTGGAAAGCATTCTTATGTGGTAAGGCTTTGCTGAACGTTGTTATCTATCCACAATGCAACAGTGGAGACTTTACTTTCACTTAAGCCTTTGGTCATAATATAGAGTCAACATCCTATCAAATTACTTCTGTCTGATTGTAGCCATTGTATTGTGGTACTTCAGCACATAGCTCCAATGATGGTGTTTCCAAGTCATGGAGTAGGGGTACCCATGAATGAGGTGCCAAAATATTTATTTAAAGCATTTATAGAGCAGCCCATCTTATATTGAACACTGGAAGCTCCCAGTCAAAATGGTGGGCATAATGCAAAATCAAATCTCTTCCCCCTTTCCTTATGTGTGTCAGTGCCATCATCCATAAATCATCATTCAGATGGAGCATGTATTAAAGATTTCAGATTGTGCTTACATCATCAGGAATGAATCACTCCAGCCTCATATCCTTCTTAACTGTACTATTGTATGGATTGTTGTGAGGAATAGGAAAATACTTTGCACCCTGCCTTGCTCCTGTATAATATTTGGGCTATAAATCTAACAAATAAAAGAGTAAAAAAACCTTAAAAAACAAAATAAAAAATTCAAGGAACATTCATTATGTGCACATTGTATATATGCTGGTCATTGTTGAGCTAAAGACAACAGATGAATATCTGAAGTAATTTTCTGGATCAAGATTAGCCACATTTATTAATCTGAATCAGTAGTTCAAGATGTCTGCTGAAATGCTGGCATTAGTGGAAAAGAGAAAGATGTTTGGCATTATCCTGCTGAATACGGAATAAATCCAGCCAGTGGACGTGTGTGTGTTGGGGGGTGGGGGTTGTTTAACAAACCATTAATCATGGTTACAGTCAGGGCTTTTTTTTTTTTTTTTTTGTCATAGAATGCCCAGAATGGAGTTCCGGCACCTTTTTTGGATGGAACCTTGTAGGATAGGCAAGGCAGGTTATATGACGTGTGAGTTCCTGTACCTTTTTTTTTTTTTAACAAAAAAAGCACTGGTTACAGTGAACTAATTTATTGTGATATCAGCTGCTAAATTCGGAGGAGTGTACCTCCACATAGTAATCTCACAATGCACTGTGGAGAGACATGTTTGGAAGTATGGAAATTCTATTGTCTCATACGCCAAATCATCAGGTTACAGCTTCTCTGTTTTGTTTACAATTTAATATAAATGATCCAAATCTAAAAAGATCTTTTGTATTTTGGCAAAGTACCAGAAAAGTTCAATTCATATTCTTCCCTATCTAACTTTGGAAATGGATAAATACACTCATCTATTAACAAGGAAATAAGTGTTTTCATGATATGCTTCATCTTTCTGATATATCTGGTATTTTGCAAAGCTTGTAGAAACAAGGGTAGGTTTGTATCTGTATTACTCCAGAGGATCTGGCAGTGAAATTCGTGCAAGAAACATTACATCCCCAGTGAACTCCTGTTTTTATTAGAATTTCAACCATTGCCCCCAAAGCTTATTAGGAATGATTGGATTACTCATCTGCCCATCCACTGCAACACACTTTCCTAACATACATAACCTGATGCAGCATTCTAAAACTTTTAAAACAATGTTTAAACAAAACAAAAGCTACCTAAATGCTCAAGAAGCATTATAATTGTTATTTTGAAGAATTCTCATTTCTTAAGTAACATGTAAATAAATCACATGAGCATGTATTCTAGAATGAGACTATTACAATAATTTAATTATGTGTAAGAATAAAAAATGTTTTTCCAGAATCTAATTCCAGAAAGCAATCGAATAAGCTCATATATATTTATAGCTTTATTGCTTCTTTCAAGTATGTCTAGGAATATTTGCTTAGGTTAGATGAGCCAGGACTTGACACCAAATAGGCTCAATATATGCGTTTAATGCTTTGTTGGCTGGATCCCAAAAAGAGGGATGGATGGATCACGTAGGTTGTAATAAGATTGCCTAGCAGGAAAGGATGAACTTATAACATCCAGAGTAAGAAGCCCTAACCTGGTAGTATTTATGTCCAGGTACTTGGATGGTAACTTATTTTGACTTTATTTTCACAGATGCATGAATGTGGTAATGATATAATGTTTGGGATTATAGGGAAAACGCTGTGATCTTTATTTTAATCTCTCCCTTCCTCTTTTCCCTTCTCGATATCCCCTACCATTGGTTTTTAAATTTAACTGTAGCAGACAAGGACGTCGGAAAAAACTCTGATTGGATATAATGATTAATGGGAAGTTGCAGAAGGCAAAAGGTATATAGCCAGTCATCTGAAGTTAGCATTAAACTGCAGTAATATTATATCCAGGATTGCAGAATTCCAGACCTCATAGAGGTGTGATTGGAACAGTTTGATACCCTTTCTTAGCCTATGTGACAGAAGAATATCTACAAGATTACTTATTTTCTCAAAAGAAGGAAAAGCAGTGTAAGACTTTTATGCTATTTTAATTCTTTAATCCAGGGGGAGGGGGCTATTAAGTAAGAAGCACCTGAAAAGTTCTGTCCATAAATGTTGACATAAAGAAACTTGTTCTTTAGAACAGCATAATTAAGATGTTCAGTGTTATATACTGTAGTCGACTTATGGTGGTATAAGTGAATTTTAATATGTATGTAATTAAATTTTCAAATATATATACAATACTACAAAGCTGTCTAATAAAACTGTGGGCTGATTTCATTGCAACATGACATTTTACTATGCAAGTTTGATTTTCAATTAATTTAATGAAATAATTGAATTAGAATTTTCACCATTTAATACTAGGAGGTTAGTGTTTTTCACACACATAAAAGGAATGAAAAAAGGTAGAGAATATAAGCAAACAATACAAAGGCAAATAGTATAAAAAGCAAACTATAATATGGCATTTGGAATGTGTTTTAAATAGTATTATCACTTGGCTAAAAATGGTAAGAGATTAATTATTTCAGTCATACCTAGTATCTAAAACTGTGTATGTGTTCTTATTCATAATGTTTTGAGGAAAAACAAATTAAGCCATAATCTGATGCTGTTCATGAATACATAGGGCTAATTCCAGGACTTTTTTCTTGTGTTTCATGTGATTCCTTGGAGGAACCATCACAAAGGAAGTATTCCTTCCTTCCTTTGCGAAAATTAAGAATGAATGACCCTTTGGGAAAGGCGATTGATAACCACGGATTTTTTATTACCTCATCAATGCTTGAAAAAGTTAACTGGTAAATAAAAACATAACTGATAATACTTATAACCAATGAGTTTTTTAATACTGAAGTTATTATGACTATTATATTCAACTAGTTTTTTGTAATGTCTTCTCTTACAAAATAGCAGGTGTGCTAATAGTGACCAACATAATATTTTTACCTGTCAATCTCTGAGCATCTCTTACAACCAAGAGCAAGAATCTTGGAATTGTCTTTAACTAGATATAATGAAGGGGGGGAACTATGTTTCAGCAATCTGGGTAACTGAATATGTTTACTTTAAAGCCCAATTTATTTCTGAATTCATCAGAGTGGAGCTTTCTTTATCTTAAGGGGTCTTTGGTGCCCTCTGACCTTGGTTGTTTCTTTGCAGATGTTTCATTACCCAAGCTAGATAACATCATCCTAAGCACTGATTATGTTATCTAGTTTGGATAATGAAACCTGAAAGAACACAACCAAACTCAGAGAGTAGCAAGGACCCCTCATTTGACTGAGAATCTCCATAGACATTAGGTATACATTTTGGGATGAACACCCTTGAATAGTGCAGGAATATGAATGGATTTCCAGAAAACATTGCAGACTACAGAAACAGGCAAAACATTCTGCAGCCAGAAGGTTCCACACCAATTAGCACTACTCAGGTGACCCTGAGGACACAAATAATCTTCCAGATGACCCTAACGACCCTCTAAAAGAATACAAATGACCAGTTGTCTGCAAGGAATATAAATGCTTCCATTCCCCACCATCCAGTCAAAGCTGAAGAAGCTTTTTGGATAAGGAGCGAAATGTCTTCAAAGAAAAACAATAAAGTCCAGTTGCCTCCTGAGACCCTTCATTTTAACCCTGAGCTACAGATATTCACCTTTATTGGTTTCTTGTTCTTGTACTAACAATTTGTTGATTCCCTAAAAAAAAATAAAAGAAGATTCCAAATAGCTTGTAGACTATTCCTACTACACTTATCCCACTCCCACCACTCACTTTGCCCTTGTACATGTAGTACATCAGCGATTCAGGAATCATTGCTGATCCACTGTATTGGATTGGGACTGCTTATTATCACAGATTTATTTTGGATGGTACAAATGCAAGCAAGACATTGAGTAGAAATACTTTTCACTTTTCCAAGTTTTTTACCCTTTTGTTTTTCATTATTTGGAGTGCAAGTCCTTCAAGATAGTCAGGTCAGGAAATGGAGTCCAGAATAAATACTGAAACAGGCTATACGAAGGGAATATTGAAAGCATGAAGGTGTTTTCCCTCTGTCTTCTGCCAAAGAGAGCTATTTTGGTGTAATTGTTAAACTGTTAATCTAGAAACCATGAGACTGAGTTCTAGTCTTGCCTTAGGTATGAAAAATGGGCTGAGTGACTTTGGGCCTATCATTCTATCTCAGCTCCTCACCTTACAGGTTGGTTGTTGTGAGGAAAATAGGAAGATGAAGAACAATTATTTGTTCACTGCCTTGAGTTACTTATAAAACAATAAAGGTGGGATGGAAAATATAATTAAATAAATATCAAAAGGTATAGTTATGGAGGGGGGGTTCCTCTTTTTACCATTTTCTAGCTATACTGCAAAATATGTATACAAAGAAAGAAAGAGCATCTTCCAAGCTTTTTAATAAAAACTTCCTTCCCACTCACATTTGAATCATAATATATAAGAACTAGGCTTCAAATTTTCTTCTGAAATAATTTTAATGTGTTGTGAATCTTCGTTTGTGCAAAAAGCTAAGATAATCCTTGAGTACTACAAAATCAGTCATTGATTGCTCTTACCTAATTAAAATGCCAACTGCAAAAATAGAATATACTTTGAACTAGGGGCAAAGTCCTATAATAAATAACCATGAAAGGAACTTCAGTTACTTCCTTATTTCCTCATGGAATAGAAGGAATATTTTTTTCATGACAGCGTTCTTCCAGGGTTTCATTGCCAGGGTTTTCTACATATGATTTCTCTGAAATGGAAAATAGGAATTAAACTATATCTACTCTTCTAGGGCAGGTAATGTGATTTTGGTCTTTTCTTCACTTCTTGTAGACAATATGATTTCAGAAATGGATAAATTGTTACTTGGAAACCATCATTGTACATGGCTCTTACTATCAAGTATTTTATTGGTCTGTTAATTGTAGAGCATCAGCTACTTGCTTTGAGAATAAGTACAAGTGCTGGGATAAAGGTTTGTCTAACATTAAGAGTTAAAACTGAATCCTCTAAATTTGGGGGTTTGTTCATTTTTAATACAAATATTTGAATTATGAAATTTAAATTTAAGACTTTATGATTAGACTATGAGCTTCTGTAAACCCAAATATATGGGAATTAAATTGAATATTACTATTTTTTTTAAAAAAGATAACATTTTAACATATATGGGCCTGGAGGAAAACAAATCCCAAGACTCTAGAAAGAAATTTTAAAAAATCTTTGAGCTTTTTTACTCATTGTTGATTTATTTCTTAAGAGTTATTCTACTAAATAAGAGCTTTTAAGTGTGAAATAATGAAAGAAAAGTGTGGATATATATCCATATTTTATCTTGTGGCTTCTGAAATGCATTTTTATCATAATTATATTTTATTCAAAGGCATTAAGATGAAGCCTGCTCCACCCCCTGATGTATCCATATATCTCTATCTCTGCAAAGTCCCATTAAAATTAGCATAAATATTTAGAATAAATCCTGAGGATAAAAGACTGTTCTGTTTAAACATGGGGCACACATAGCAAGAAGAAACATGTTTTACATTTGTGACTCTCAGAACATAAATTCATTTAAAGTTGTAACTACAACAATGGTGATTGTAGCATAGTATTATTTCAGAAGTCTCAATTCTCAAAAAGTGATTACAAATCTTACGCTTTGCAAGAGCAGAATAGGCAGAATTGCCTTGTTATTTTGCTAGACAAAGATGATTGTGATGAGCCAAAGAATTGCATCTTCTGGAAGGGCCCAAGACACATGGTCGCCACTATCACAACTCCCAACAACTTATGACAGTAGTAATGAAAATGATAATGGAAATATTTTATGTTGCTCATAATAATCTTTATGATATAAAAATAACATTTGATAAGGATATAATTAAAATATCTTGGGGAGTGCAGAAATCAAACAATTTTGCATTTTTGTTGCACAGAGCAAATATCGGAGAATAGTATATAATAAACGAATATTTTGCTTCTTGAAAAGGAATAGATGGCACTGAACAAATAACATCTGGAGAATAGATGGCACTAGAAAGTAGATTTCTTCTCTCTGCTGTTGTAAGGTTTCTCCTTGTATTTCATGAAGGGCAGATCTGTACCTTCTTCTTGGCTAATTGCGGACGAGCAACTGGCCACCTCCTCAATGCAGGAATGGATGAATGCAAGTGCATACCACACCCATGCTTTCAAGCTATGTTTCAGAACTGCTGTTTTCTGATCTGATATACCTGAAGTCCTTCAGAGGAGACAGTCTCCAGCACTTCATTTCTTTTAGGAGCACCCCAACTCCATCTGGCCCCAGAGTTTGGCATGTTTCTTCATTTTAGTGGCTGGTTTCTGCCCTGGGCAGCCATTTTGTTCTAGATTGTTTGGCTGTAATGTTCTCTACTGGTCAATAACAGTCAGTATTCTGCCCTTTATCCCAGAAGCTCATGTTCCATTCACCCCTTGCATTTCCCTTTATGTTTCTGCCTAGTAAAGAGACAGAATAAGTGAGTAAAGAATGCTTCCTGTGCTCTCCCACCCCTTGCCCACTGTACTGCAAAGCTTCCTTTCCCTTTCTTTGTTTTCTAAAAGCATCTTTAAGTTGCAATATAGGAACAGTAATACTTTATTTCTATGAAGAATTCTTCCTTGCTACAAACTTTCTAAGATGCTACAGAGAAATTTAAAAACAAAACAAACAAAACAACAACTGTCCCCTGTTGCTTTGGATGTTGTTGCAGAATTATGATGCTACCAAAAGGCAAAACAAAAAAAACAACCCACCAGACTGTAGTTTTAGTAGAGTCAATAGAAATAATGCGGAAGGGATGAGTGAAGGCATTCATGTGTGCAAACATCTGAGAAAGCAAACAAATAGCACAGAGAGTTAACAATCTCTAAAAGGAAAGACAGGCATTGGTAGATCAGTTCACACAAGAACTGCCTGCAAAGTTTGCTTTTCCTGCCAAGCTAGGAAGAGCAAGAAGCAGAGAAGCAACCAATTGACCTTGCAATGACTATAGTTTGGACTGAGCACCAGCCTGGTCCCATTGCCAACCATTACAATCTGGACTGGAACTTCTGAAGTTGGCGTAAGGAACAGATAAGAGCTGCACAGGAGGCAAGCAACTTTGGCTGTACAAGAGTGTTGAATTGCCTTAAATGTTTTAATAAAACATGTCATCTTTCTCCGTGTTTATTATTATCATTTCTCGAATGGAAGGAAGAAAGACGTGCTGCAAATCATCCAAAGATGTTATAATTTAGCAAAAAAAATTGAAATGTTGTCTTCCAGTTCCAATATTCTACTTAGTGAACCTCCAAGAATTGGTGTCAATAAAGTGTCAAGGGTCCTTCAATCAGCTGTTTCAGAAGGACTTGCAATATTTGACTTTTGACTTAAGTTGCTTTTAAAGCAGAGGATAAATCAACTTATTTCAACCTGATCTAGTTACATGACATAATTTAGATTTGGGGAAAATAATTTTCATTTATATAAATTTCCCAGGCATTATTTCAGGTCATCTAACACTCTCTGGTCTTTCTTAGGAAAAATACATACTAGTCCTATCTCTAAATGTATAACTTACTCATGGATTCCAGATTCTTGTTCATGTTTTTTGCTAAAATATTTTATCCTTCTATTGTATTTCTTACCCCTATCCCTTCTTTTTCCCCCAACAGGCTGCAAATAATCACCTTGTTTAAACAAGATGGTTGTACTTCAAGCTGTAAGTCTATATACATTTGCATTCGTATGACATTGAATAATATGCTGTTTGAAATATAAACTAAGCTTAACAAGAAGTTGAGACTCAGGTCATATGTATAGGTAGTCCTTGACCTACAACTACAACTGAGCCCAAAATTTCCATCACTAAGCAAGACAGTTTTTACGTGAGCTTTACCTCCATTTTATGACCTTTCTCGCCACCATTGTTAAGTAAATTGACTTTGCCTCTCAGGTCTCAAAAGGGGATCACATGAACGTGGGATGCTGCAACCCTCATAAATATATGCCAGTGGCCAAGCATCCAAATTTTAGTTTTAGTGACTCCGGGAATGCTGCAATGATTTTAAAATGTGAAAAATGTTCATTAGTCACTTTTTCAATGCTGTTGTAACTTCAGATGGTCACTAAATGAATGGCTGTAAGTGCAGGACTAACTGTATTTATTGAAGGTAGGCCTTTCCCTTCCCCCTTCATCCAGTGGCTCTCCAGAAGTACTATACTGAAGACTAGAAAATCTTTTAAAAAATAGCACACTGTGGCGCAGCTGCCTGATTGGACAAAGAGTTTCCAGAACAATTAATCCAGCACAGAAAAAGAACATTATTCTCCTATTTGAACCTTTATATTGCTTTCAGTTTTTAGAATTTTCTTCCACTTGTGAGCTAAATAGTGATATCTTGTTAACCTAAGTTAGACTATTTTTTTTTTCTTTCAGCATTAAATATTTGGGTTTAAAACAAATGTTACCTATACTGATCCTCCCTTTTACAAAAGATATAATTTTAAATGTAATACTCCATTGTTTGTTTATAAAAGTGTTTGGTTTTTTATTTGGTTTACAAAAAAAAAAACAACCCAGTAAAGTCAGAATTACAATAAATACATTTAAATTCAATGTACAGTTAAAAATGTGATGAAGAAAATATGTTTTGGCCATTTACCTAAATACTGGAAGTGAGGGTCCAAGCACTTCTCTCCGAGAAGTATGTTTTTCATAGCCTGCATAGCGAAAAGCTTCTGTCAGGGGCATCTTCAAAATAGTCTCTCCTGCTGATCTAAGTAATTGGGTAATTCCTAGACAGAGGACTGGTCCCGTACTAAGCCATTTGAGGCTTTAAAGGCCAGTACCAACATCTTAAATTGTGCTCAATAGGCAGTGGGCGTTCAGTGTACCTCTTTCTGTTATAGGCACGATGTCTTTCTTATTCCTTGCTCTGGTTAGCAGCCTGTCTGCTCCATATTATACCAATTTCACATATATTTTTCAAAAATAGCCCCATATAAAATGTGTTGCAACAGTGAAGATGATTGAAACAAGGCATGACTAATTTTCAGCAAGTCTGCCTGGCTCAAGGAGGGCTGGTGTTGGTGCAGTAGTTTTAGCTGTGCAAACTCCTTTTTCATCGCAGTTGTCTCTTTAACATCTGGGGATCAAGAACCTCTCTGAAATAACAAGCTTTCTCTTTTGTGGAGAGTGCAGCCTCACCCTTGTCTGAATTTAAGCTTAATCCTTATATTTCATCCAGTTCATGAGCAAGATGGAAGGATATTCAAGGATATGATTGCTTCCTCATAGTTAAATAATAACTTGAACTCATCAAATATTGATGGTAACTCTGAATAATCCATAGTCACTTATATGCCTGGTATGTGGTGACTTGTCTTTCTGGCTTCCATAATTAGTACCTATTTCTGCTGCATTTCATTGGGAAAACCATTGTGTTCCAACAGAAATGGGTGTAACCATCACAAAATAGGTCCCCCAAGTTCCAACCCCACCAGATGACTCAGAAGGATGATATAATTGATGGTATTTAAAAAAAAGGACCAAGAGGGCCTGGTGAACTAGTAGGAACCCCCGTTCCAGTGTAGATTTAATTTAATTTAATTTAGTTCAATTTAGGCACAGCCTGATTCTGGAATGATTCTGGGCATCTCACAATATCACAATGAGAATAAAAATGTAATACAATTTTTTAAAAAGTAAACAAAAACAAATAAGGTACGAACAAGAAGGCAAATATGGCCTACAACATAAGGATTGTATATCAAAAGCAGTCTCAGTAACATAACCTGGATAAAACTCCAATTGAACTAGGTCCAGAAAATCTATTTCATCCAAATGCATCTGGAATTGCAAAACCACCAGTTTCTTGATCATTTTACTCATGCCTGGAATATTTGACACTGATCTATAATTACAAAAATCTTCCTAGTCAAAGGAGGGCTTTTTTTAGTAAAGGTCATAACCTGGTAGGGATCACATGCTACCCTCAAGCAGGTTCACCTCCCTTAACCTCCCTTACAATCTGGCAGATTTAATCCGTCAGAAGGGGCAAGAGTCAAGCAAAGCAGCTAGTTACTCTCATCTTTTCACATATATTGACTCTGTTGTACGAGCTGCAAAAAATCCATATTGACAGAACAAATGATTGCCAAAATTACATTCCAGTAATCATCGTATCGTAAAATTGACGAGAATTGCTCATGGTGAGGCCGTAGCTACTCTTCTCTAACAGCTTGATGAAAGAGATGTCATATCATACCGAAAAGCATTACTTGTCTATTCTGCGCACATGCAAGGGATGTAGAAAAGTAAGTTCTTTCAATGCATCCAGTGCCATGAACTAGAATTTAAGATGAGTCTTAAAATTGACTCATTGACAGCTTAAGCGTAAAGGCTGGTGAGAGGAAGGAGCAGGTGTGGGCATTGGAGAAGAAGGATGAGGAAGTTGACAACTACAGAGGACAACACTGGGAAACTTACAGAGAAAGCATTTGCTGGATTATCCTTATCAGAACACTCCACTCCATTCTACGCTGCCCTGGCTATGATTCAAATCATTGCCCAGGTACAGAAGATATTTGATTTGTCGGCCTAAAGTGTTGTCCTCAGAGGAAAGGAAGAGGTCAGAGACTACACAACTAAGGAGTTGCTTATATGTTCACAGGTGAAGTTGGAAGCTTTAAGACTATCGGTATAAGACTAGGAGAAGAAACCTCAAACAGCTTCTGCCAAAATAATTTACTTGTTTGGTTAGACGCTTTATTTTGAATATTAGTTTGTCTCCAAAGAGTTTGTTTTCAAACCCAGTTCCTGAAACTCAATGGACTAGAAAGAGTAAACTTCAGCTTTTCTCTACACCATTGGAGAATCCAGTGTTTGCCTTCTGTTATTCTCTAGTCAGTCTTCCACTTCTCTGTCTACAAGAATTGCTGGAATAGTATGCTCCCTCTTTGAAATACTAGCATTAGCTTTTATTATTAAATAACTTTTGGAAGTGCTACAAAATTCTCCTGATAAAAGCTGTAAGAATTTAATATGTATGAATAGAACTACTCTATTTAATTTTTTGTTCCTTATATATGACTTATATGTGCAGCTTTGATTGAAAACCATGAATCTGTTGAATTTGGCAGTATATAAAGCAAAAAAAAAAGTCAGAAAAAGGAAAAGCAAAAAATATTTTATAGATTATTGTTTCTCTTAGGGTGATCATGTATGGCTGGAATTCCATTCAGGCAAAGAGTTTAATGTGCCCATTGGGGCCGTGGTGAAAGTATTTAACTTAGGACGATTCTTGCTGGAGGATGATGAAGGCAAGGTAGGCTAATAAACACTTTCATCTGTCCAATTTTTGTATATGAACTTCTGCATCCAATTAAAGGACTGGATAGATCTGTAGTTATTAAAGCCGCAACACTTGAACTTTTAGTGGGATGTTCTGACGCTCAATTCTAAAAAGTGAGTGGGATTCCTGTCAAAATATAAATGTGATTTAATCTAAGCTTGTATTTCAATTAATGTAATGCAACTTAGTTAAAAGTGATTAATAGGAGTACTTCCTATGTATTAATAATTTTCTTCTCTTTTATTTTAAAAAATTACACTTTGACGAGAGCTTTAGGTGGTATGTTGGAGCATTGTTCATATTTCCCCCTTATGCATTCCAGAGCTGGAAATAAGTTTGAATTCATATATAGAGTCAAATCTTTGGATTTTACAAAAATCTGGGATTCACAGCCAAAATTAAACAAGTGCTATGCAATGTAATAGGACAAACCAGAACCCTGTACAGTATCATGCTTTTAATTGCTGCATTTTCAGTAAGCATACTAATGTTATCTATGGCCTGAATCTAGATGATCTTAAGAACTATTTTCAAGAGCAAACTAAGCTAGTATATGAAATCCAGACAGTTAAATGCACTTGTATTTAAGGAATACTGGATCAAAGCTCAAAACATTAGCACAATGCGACCAATGCATCCGGCCTCCATCCAAGGAGTGGAAGATATGATACATCTTGAAGAGATGAATGAAGCTGGCATGATACACAACCTATATATCCGCTACAAAGAGAACAAAATCTATGTAAGACTGATTCTTCATTAATAATATGTAGTCAAGTATAGATTCTGAAGCCCCACTTTTAAAAATTCTTTCCAATGAGAGAATTATATATTTTCTATTGCTTAGAAATAAAATCATATACAGAGAAATGGCTTTAAAAACAAGCAAAACGTCTACAGACTAATATGTTTACTAATATGTAAGAATCTTCTGTATACACAGTTTGTAAATATGATGTATTCCAAGGCCTTTCATACACTTCATTCAAATTTTCCAAAAAGTATACAAAAATATAGATCCTTTTTATATAAACAATAAAAGTATAAGATTTATAATGACATTGCTACATAATAATAAAAGCATATACATTAATTACTCAAAATATAATTATTTTTATTACTAAAAATATTGACTATTCTGAAGAAATGTGATTTAGTTTAGCTTTAGCTTTATATTTATATTTAGCCATTCTACATTCTACAGTGTCTACTTTTCCTAATATAGTCATCTATAATTTCATGTATTTATAAGGGGAATAAGATGATAAGAATATTGTTTCGCATTGTAAATATTCCTATCAATAACTTATTTTGAGATAGATGTTGATACTTCATTTGAAAGCTCATCACTAATTTACTCCAAGATTCTTGTATTCATAACATTTTTAGACCTACACAGGCTCTATTCTTGTAGCCATCAATCCATATCAAGTACTGCCACTATATACCATGGAACAAATCCAGCTCTACTGCAACAAGAGGATTGGGGAACTGCCTCCTCATGTCTTTGCCATTGCTGATAATTGTTATTTCAACATGATGAGGAATAAGAAAGATCAATGCTCTGTCATTAGGTAAGGGGCACAAAATGTGATGGAAAAAATGTGTTAGTACCCTAAAATATTTAAATAGCTTGGAGGAAAAGAAATAGAAGAAGTATTATAGACACTTTGTAAATGGTTCTGAAAAGTTACTAGGGAATACTTGAGAGTGCAAGCAGAGCATATCTTTACAGTAGTTACATCACATGACTTGTATGGAAGCCTGAAAAAGGTGTGGGTATTTAAGCAAAGTTCTGTGATTGCACTCCCACATATACCAAAACGCTTCTCATTAATTATTTTGGAAGTATGCAGCTGTAACAGAAAATAAAATTAACTTTTCTTTCTCAAAAATTTAATCAATATTTTTTTTTTAAAAAAAGTGGGAATTGTGGGAAGAATAAATACATTTATTTGATTAACACTTCTGATTTACCAGTTTTACAAAATTTATTCCAGTGGAGAGTCTGGAGCTGGGAAGACTGAAAGCACAAAATTAATGCTGCAGTTCTTAGCTGTTATTAGTGGTCAACATTCCTGGATTGAGCAACAGATTCTAGAAGCCAATCCCATTTTGGAAGGTAGGCTACGTGTGCAAGGCGAAATATTGAGAACTTTGCTTTACATGCTTTTAAAATACTCTTACTTTTATAGCACATTTCATTTTCCTAAAAAAAAAGGTGACTCTGGATTCCCTAGTTTGAAACCCAATTGTATAAAGCCGCTTCCTTGCAAGGATTTTTTTTTTTTTTTGCCAGTTTGAAATAACTCCAGACATCAACAATGTTGGAGGACTGAGCTGATTTATTCTAAATTGAATATGCTGTAAAACTGTGATGTGTGGTGTGGTTTGGTTTGGTTTGGTCTGGTTTTAAGACACTATGGCTCCATTTCCCCATCAAAGAGTCCTCATTTCAATCTTCTAGTTTTTGAACCAGGTTAAGAAAAAAAGGGGGGAAGCACACAAAAGGAAGAAGAATAAAATGGTCAGTTTCAGACAGTTTTTTGTTTATTTATTCTATATTATTTAGTTTGTTTGTTGCCATCTCACCACAAAGTGACTCTGTTGTTCTAGTTCCTTTTGTTTGGAACAAGGATGAAGTTATTTTTGTTATTGTTAGACTTAGAATATTTAAGGGCAGGATGGTGATTTTCCCTCTAGAGCATTTCAAGTCAGAAATTCTAGCCATCAGGGAAGTACTTGAAAATACTTTTGAACCACCCCATCCTAGAAATCATCTCTTACCTCATAATGTGCTTTTGTATATCCCTGCCTCTCCTCCTGCTTTGGGTTGAGCCTTTCCGTATCTATCCCATTCGCATCAGCCAGGGATCAGTCGTCTTCTGCCCATCCTTGCATTACAGATATGTCAGCAAAGTATTCAGTGCTCCTCCACCAGAGTTCTATGCTATTCTGTCTGTTGCTCTCTGCTTACCAATCCTTATCTCAGATCCAGCTTTCCTTCCTTCTGTAATAGTATTAGTATTAATACATCTGCTACTGCTAATAATATTAACATACCGTGGGAAGCATGGAAAGTATTATATGTGTATATATTTGTCAGCCTTACACTAGGTAGACCAGATCAGGAAATCAAATCCACATAAGGACTAAAACTTCTTTTACTGGGATTGGCTATAAAAACAGAACTGCAAGTCTATGCTTTACTTCCCACACCTTATACTCCAGTGAATTAGAGAGGTATCTGTCTGAGTTGTTTTCAAATGTTTCACATTGTGAGCCCTTTTTGCCTAGTTAATGGTTCTTGCATACTTCTATCAAAGCCACCTTCCTTATTTTACAATGCTTAAGAGTTCTGTATTTGTATGCCTGCATGGGTGTATATGCTTAATTTCCTTACTTGATACCCCTCCCACTTTCTCTGTATGTTCCCTGTGGCCCTCACTCTACTAGAAATTCTGCTCCTGTGGTTTAGATTATCAAATACAGAAATATTTTGCAACGTCTTTGAACATTGTATGTTGATAAGGGCATTCTTTAGTACTAAAGTGGAAATCTAATTGCAGTTCTTCTTATAGCAGAAAATCAATGGTGTTTTTTTGTTGCTAACAATGCTTTATAAAGAAAAATTCTCACTATTTTAAATTACTTCAAATACAGCAGTTGTAGTAAATGTCGTTTGCATGCCCTACTACTAACCCATAATCCACAAGCCATGAGTAACAATGGCTCTTGAAGTTGGATTACCCCAGTCCCTCCTTCTACTAGAGATAGTTTTTGTCTTTTAAAAGCAAATGAAGATTTCCATTGAGAAAGGCTTGGCAAAAGAATAGGACTTCAACTGTCCTGTACAGTTTCTGATTAAATGCAGAAAATTAAAGCAGAACACCATTTATTTCAGAGTAGAAATGTAGAAATATACAGGTGTAACCAGGAATTTGTACTAGGATTTGATTTCTTTTTTTTCTGTGTTGCATTAACTTTCTCTGTGCGAATTATTGAACTGGGTTTTAATGTCAGTCTTTATTCATATATCAGACTACATTAATGAATATACAATTTTTCCTTTAGAATCTTTCTGTGAATCCCTCTTCAGTCTTTTTGGGAGATTACTTTCTTTAATTAATGATCTGGGAAGCCCTCTGCTTATCTTCTTCCATACCATAGAAGAAAACTGCATTTTAATTTTTAAAGTTAAAAAGGAGGTTATATTTTTATTTTTATTTAAAAAAAGTTTGATTCTGTTGATCTCCTGTTAAATTAGTCTTATTTTCAAAGTGCTGAATGGAAAGAAGAGCTGAAGCCTCTAATTATCATGGGTGTACAGTATGCTACATTGGCAGGAGTTGATACTATTGGAAACTATTTTGACTTTTACATTTTTAAATATCAGAGAGGGGGCACAAATTGTGAAATCCCTATATCTTTTGCCTGCCGGGTTAAGAACATAGACATCAGGTGTCTATGGTGGTGGCAGCAGGAACTAACAAGCTACTATCCCAAAACAGGAGGAGGGACAGGACATGAGTGCTTCTGGAAAAGGATGTTGGGGATCTCTATCCTCTGAGCCCCAGCATTGTTACATAGGTTACATTTTTCTAATTTTGCTTCACAATATTCTCTCATCTCTTGCAGCATTTGGTAATGCTAAAACAATTCGAAATGATAACTCAAGCCGCTTTGGGAAATACATTGACATTCACTTCAACCAAAATGGTATAATAGAAGGAGCTCGAATAGAACAGTTCCTTCTGGAGAAGTCTCGAGTGTGTCGCCAGGTAAAGAGATGTATATATTAAGAAATACTATTTCATTGTGACAGCTTTTCTGTTTCTGTTGTTAGTAATATCTTTGTGGTCTTTCTATTGTTTTAGGCTCCTGAAGAAAGAAACTATCACATATTTTATTGCATGTTAATGGGGATGAATCTGGAACAGAAAAAAAGATTGAATCTTGGCACTACTTCAGAGTATACTTACCTAACTATGGTAAGGAATCAAGAGCTGGATATGTGACTTTCTATGTATGTATAGAATGGCACTTTCTAAGGTCCTAAACATTACACCAAAATTGTGTAGCTGTGCTCCGATGTATTTTTAAAAGGACTTTTAACATTATTTTGTGAAGGGGGAAAAGATAAGTTATTTATAGGTAGTCCTTGCTTATTAACTACTCATTCAGTGACAATTCGGTGACACCTCGGCATGTAGTCATGCTGGCCACACAACCACAGGAAATGTTTTTGGACAATGCTGATTCCCTCAGTTGAGAAACAGAGATGGTCTAGAATCTGACATTACTAGACAGGGAATCCTTTACTTTTATATTATGCATACTGTTGTATTTGAAAGAGATGCCTTGCATTATTCTGTGCTGATTTGCAGGGCAAATGTACTTTCTGTGAAGGTCGTAATGATGCTAAGGAATATGCTCATATATGCTCAGCTATGAAAATTCTCATGTTCTCTGATTCTGAGCAGTGGAACATAAGCAAATTGCTGGCAGCCATTTTGCATCTAGGAAATGTAACATTTGAAGGTAAGCCTAGTACATGTGTATATTTGCAAACATATGGGACATTTTCACGCAACTAATGTTTTCTTTCTCAAACCTTCACAGTTTTACTACACAGTGACCTCACCTTCCTCCTGAGTTACTTGAGTAGATCACTGTCCTTTTCAGCTGTCCAGTAGGGAAGCACAAAGAAGTATCAGCCAACCATTTCCCCCATCTTTTTTTCTTTTTCTCAGTGCTCTTGATTTCCTAGTGATAAAAAAATACTAATAAACCAGCCATTGTACTGTATACGGGAACAGATTAATTAGGATTAGGAAGGATAAAATGATTTCAAGGTTCGGGGGCACTTTGAATTCATAAGAAGGAGGAAGTTCTGAGGAACTGGGATGAGATTTTCCCTACATCCTTCCTATACTCTTACAGAAAACTTTTTTGATACACTACTGAGTTTGCTTATGGGAAAGAAAGTAATACATCTCTTCTGACTTCTCTGTTGTAGCTTAGCTGAGCTGAGCAAAAGAGATTGTAGTTCAAATGAGAGAGGAAATGAATCAATTTGTTTCACAGATTAAATCAGAAATTAAATCTGATCTCAAAGAAGAGATAACGGGGATAAAGTCTAAATTGCAAGAAAATAATAATGAACTACGACAAGATATATTGGCAGCTGTTTCAGGTTTGGCTACTGTGGTGGTTAAGCTCGACGCAAGGCTTGAGGAAGTGGAAGACAAAGTTGACTCTTTGGATGACAAAATTCAAGACGTGGAAAGGAAGGTGGACTCCTCACAAGAAGATATTTTGATGTTTCAGTATAGACAGATGGAGTATGCCCTGAGGATTAGAGGCCTCAAGGAAGATATCAATCAAGATTTGGTGGAGGTGGTCCTTACTGATCTGGCGCTGGCCTTGGATATGGATAAAGGAGAATTACAGAGAGAAGTGGAAAAAATTTATAGACTCAACTCCTGGATTGCTAAGCAGAAGAATTTGCCTAGAGATGTGGTGATTTACTTTACAAAGAAGTCCCTGCGGAATGAGATTATACAAGCCTTTTACAACAAAAGATTTCAGATTGCCGCCCAAGATGTCATCATTCTAAAGGAAATCCCATCCAAAATTTTAAGAAGTAGAAAAGACTTTGCTTTTTTAACCAATGAGCTTAAAGTTAGATCGATGCCATTTAGATGGGAAATTCCGATGGGTATTGTTTTGAGCCATGCTGGGACACGCTACAGATTGAACACAGTTGATAAAGCTAGAGATTTTTATACTTCGGTCCTGGGTGCAGGCTCAACTTCATCTGGTCGGAAATCTTTGAGTGGTAAGGAAGCTGAGCAGCAATCTGAGGCATTAGATTTGGTTTCCGCAGGGATGATAGAAGCGGCAAAGCAACGCCAGACGGAGGCTAAAGAGCAGAGGATGACTCGTGCAGCCTATAAGCGTAAAGAGAAGGAGCAACGTAAAAAAGAGCCCAAAGAGAGTTCTCCTGGAAGTGCTTCACCGCCGGTGGGAGGAGCAAGACCCAAGAGTTATGCAACACACGCAGCTCTGTCAGATTTGATGGTGTCTTCTCCAGGCTGCGTGCCAAGGGAGATGGCAAAGTTTTTGACCTGGAATGTTAATGGATTGAATTCTCCTCAGAAACGGAAAAAAATCTTTTATTATTTGAAGCAACATACCAATGATGTTATTTGTCTACAGGAAACTCATATTTTACTTAAAGACCAGAAATATTTAGTTAATGCTCGTTTGGGATCTCATTTTATATCTCCTGCTCCTGGGAAGAAAGGGGGAGTTGTTATATATGTTAAACAAAACCTACCAGCTTGTCTGGTAGAATCAGATCCCCAGGGGAGATATGTGATGATTGAACTTGGTATATATGGTAAGAAAGTACTTATAGTTGGACTTTACGCTCCAAATCAACAACAGGAACAATTTTATAAACAGTTACATCAAAAAATAACTTTGCTTGATTATAGATCAGTGGTATTAATGGGTGATTGGAATGGTGTCTTAGATACACTAAGGGATAAGAAAGGTTCCTCTCCTTTTCTTAAACAAGCAAGGCTACCTAAAGCCTTTTTTGACATGAAAGAAGACTGGGAATTAAGGGATTATTGGCGGGAACGTAATCAAGAGGAGAGAGACTTTACTTTTTTTTCTGATAGACACCAATCTTTTTCAAGAATTGACTTTTTCTTGATTACCACGGACTTGTATAATAAAGTAAAGAATGTAAAGATTTTTCCTAGATCACTGACGGATCATAGTCCAGTTTGGATGGAGCTGATTCAAGAGAAAGAGGAAAGAAGATCCTGGAGAGTTAATGAAAATTTGTTTAGACAAGAAAAGAATGTTCAAAAACTAAAGGAGTGTTTAAAGGACTATTTTGCTTTGAATATGTATAAGGGGACTTCAATGTCAATGGTATGGGATGCAGGTAAAGCATTTATGCGCGGTGTTTTGATAAAAATGAATAATTTTTATAAGCGAAATCAGATTCAGAAACGTAGAGAACTTGAAGATGAAATTAAATTAAAAGAAAGGGCTTTGATTTTAAATCCTTCTGATGAGAGTATTAAAGAATCTGTAAAGTTATTAAGGTCACAATTTAATATGTTGATAGCAGATCAAGCTGCAACCAACTTATTATTTATGAAACAAAATACATTTTGTAATGCCAATAAGCCTGGGAGATGGTTGGCTTATCAATTAAGAAAGAAACAGAGACAAAGAATAATAGAGAAAATAAACTATAAGGGTAAATTAGTTTCTCAGAAGGAATTGATTAAAAAATCTTTTTTGGATTATTATCAAAACCTATATAAATCTACTAATATACAAATGCTAGATATAAATAAATATTTAGCTGAGGCAAGTTTTCCTAAACTGACTGAGGATCAGAAATATGAAATTAATGGTTTAATTACTAAGGAGGAAATTACCTCAGCAATTCAACAATTGAAATTAGGGAAAGCACCGGGTACGGATGGGTTAACAGCTGTTTATTACAAAGTTCTAATAGAGGAGATGATCCAACCATTACATGATCTTTTTAATGGTATTTTACAGGGTTTAGAGATTCCTCCTTCATGGCGTAGTGCTTTTATATCATTGATTCCAAAGGAGGATCAAGATCTTACCCTACCAAAAAATTACAGGCCTATATCTCTTTTAAATGTGGATTATAAGATATTTGTAAAAATTTTGGTAAATAGGCTTATGAGGGTGGTGCATCATCTTGTGCATAAAGATCAATCAGGATTTATAACAGGAAGGTATATGAAAAATAATGTCAGACAAATTATTAATTTACTAGAATATTTAGACAAGAACAACCAAGTTCCTGCAGGGCTCATATTTTTAGATGCTGAAAAAGCATTTGATCAATTGAATTGGCATTTTATGTTAAGAGTAATGGAAGAAATGAATTTTGGTGAAAAGATATTACAAGCCCTTACGGTAATATATCAAAAACAAACGGCACAACTTATTGTTAATGGAGGTTTGTCGGAGGTTTTTACAATAGAGAAAGGTACTAGACAGGGGTGTCCTTTATCGCCATTGTTGTTTGTTTTAACATTGGAAATATTATTGATCAAAATTCGAGAGTCTCAGGAAATTAAAGGAATGTGTTTTATGTTAATAAAAAAGAATATAAGTTGAGAGCTTTTGCGGATGACTTGGTTGTTACTTTGTCGCAACCTGATTATTCTGTAGTAAACTTATTACAGTTGATTCATCATTATGGTTTGGTTTCGGGTTTTAAGATTAACGTAAATAAGACTAAAATTTTACCTAAAAATATGTCGAGTCAGGAGAAGCAGATTTTGGTCAACTTGACGGGTTTTGAGATTGTTAATAAGGTAAAATATTTGGGGGTGATGCTGTCTGTTTCTAATGCAAAATTATTTAAAAATAATTATGAAAGGTTGTGGGTCAGGGTACAGAAGGACTTGAAGAATTGGGAAAAGTTGCAATTATCCCTCATGGGAAGAATTGCAGTGATAAAAATGAATATTCTACCCAAGTTTCTTTTTTTGTTTCAAATGTTACCAATTTTGAAAAATGAGATTAATTTAAATGAGTGGCAGAAGGGTCTCAACAAATTTATTTGGGCAGGGAAAAAACCAAGGGTTAAGTTTAAAATTATGCAAGACTTCCGTGAGAGGGGTGGACTTAAGGTACCAAATTTGAAATTATATTATGATGCGGTGGTTTTAACATTAATTAGTGATTGGGTAAATTTGACAAATTCTGAGATACTTTACTTAGAGGGATGGGATTTACTTTATGGGTGGCATGCCTATTTAATATTTAATAAAAAAATAGATTGGGCTTTTAAATCTCATATTTTAAGAATTTCTTTACTTAGGATTTGGAGAAAATATTATAAAAGTGATTTTAAAGTACCATTATGGGCTATACCTTGGCATGCGATAGAAGGAATAAAAAGAGGGGTTAAAATGGATATGGTGTCTTATAGACAGTTACTTAAATGGGATGGACAAAACTGGCAATTAAAATCACGGGAAGAGTTAGCACAAGAAAATTTTACTTATTCTTGGTTCCAATATAGGCAATTATTAGATAGATGGAAGATGGATTGTAAGGTGGGTTTTCTTAGAGAAGATGAAAACCTTATTAAGCAACTGAAGGATCAAAGACAAACCCACATTAAGAGAATTTATGGGGTTTTAGTTGAATTGGACTCAGAAACGGAACTAATTAAAGATTGTATGATTAGATGGGCGCAGAATTTTGGTGAGCCAGTTTCATTGGACACCTGGGAAACTATTTGGGTGAGAAATGTCAAATTTACTCAAGCACAGAACTTAAGGGAGAATTTTTATAAAATGTTTTATAGATGGCACCTTGATCCACAAAAAATGTCTTATATGTATCCTGACGTGCAACCCAAATGTTGGAGATGTGGTTATAAGGAGGCTTCTTATTATCATATTTGGTGGTCATGCAGAGAGATAAAAGCATTTTGGATTAAAATATGGTGGAATATCCAGAGAATTTTTAGAAGGAGGGTAAAATTTACTCCGCAATTATTTTTGTTAGGTATTGTTACAGATTGTGATACAAAGGAGGTTGTATTGATGTTAAACTTGATCACAGCCGCTAGGCTGTTAGTAGGACAATACTGGAAGAAGGAATCTTTGCCTACATTGCAGGAATGGTTTCTTAAAGTAGCTTATCTGGCAGAAATGGCAAAGATTTCGGCTTTCTTAAAGCAACAAACGCAAGAGAAGTTTTTTGCTGTTTGGGATAAATGGATAAAATTTATACAATTTAGATTGGGTATACAAAAATATTATATAGTTTTTTCATAAGTTTTATTTTCATATATATTATAGATAATTTTTTTATATATATAAATATAAAGTTTTTAATTTAATTTTTATTTTTATTTTTTAAGCCTATATTCTGCTCTGGGAAGCTCAGGGGGGGGGGGAAGGGAGGGTTTTTTTTTTGTTTTTTTTTTTTTGGGAGGGCTGGGGGATGGGGTTTTTTTTTTTATTTAATATATGTATTGTTTAGTTTTATTTTTCTGTATATGTTGCCTCTTGTTTTGTATTATTTTTCCTTTTTTGTAAAATTTATAAAACTTTCAATAAAAAAAAAAAAAAAAAAAAAAAGAAATTAAAGCCCTTTCAGAAAATCAAGCTTTTATTATATATATTATGGGTAGAGAATTAACCGGACAAAGGGATAAAGGAAAAGAAACATCCTAAATACCAATTTGATATGGTTTCTCTTGGTTACTGCTTCCTTTGTCAGGTTCACACATAGAAACAAGAGAATCAAATGCTCAGCAAAGATCATTCATAAAAAAACTTTTAAAAATCCTAATCTGCATCTATTTTCACTTTTCCCTTCATTGCTACATTTTTCTTGGTTCTCCAATCCTCTTCCAGATTAGATTTTTTTGCTTACTTATCCTGGATCCCATCTAGGAAAAGATGCCCTTCTTCCTATCAAATAAAAGAACATAGAGCAATTTTTGCCTTTTAAAAGCTCACCTGTGGAAGGAATTTTTTCAGTTTCTTCAGTTGCTTTTTACTTTTGGTTTTCCTGGGCTTGACATATAACATAAATTGACAAATTCAATTTGATTGATAGATCAGATTTAGCTTTTTCCTTTAACTCTTTCATATTTGAACCTCTTAAGAATGTGATTGTCTTTAAACATTGTTTGAGGGAAGATGTTTTTCAGAAAATTCTCTGTGTCATAATGTTGTGCCATTATTTAACTAACTGCCACATTTAAGTGTGTTAATTTTATATTAAAAGAACCTAAGAACAACTTCCAATTTCAGGTCAGGATAATGTATAATATTATTGAACAGGATAACAATATAATGTTTTCCAGAAACTAGAAACTTTACTTTAGCCAAAAAACTTCTTCCTGAATGAAATAAAACAAACAAATGCTGCATTTTTAACTTATTTTGAATAAGACTTACTGTTTTTCTACAATTAGGTGTTGTATGTGAAAATTTGGACTGCTCTCATATTCTTGATTCTGTACATTTTTCCACTGCAACCAAACTACTAGAGGTATTGGCTTTATTTATTATATTTATTACAATTACTCCAAGGAATTTAAAACAGTCCCTTCTCAGTTTATTCTTGCAAATAATCTTTTGTAGTAAGTTTGACTGAGAAACGGTATTGTTTCTGTGTCCCGTTAATAAATTTCTCTATTTCTTCATTAGATATAGCTCTGTTCTTCTTTGATAAATCTTTTGTGTCTATATAAAATCATCCAGTATAATATCAATTCCCACAGGTGGATTCTAGAGAACTTCACAAGAGTCTTACAAACCATTCCATTATCATCCGAGGGGAAAGTGTCTCTACGCCCCTAAGTGTGACTCAAGCAGCTGATGTGAGAGATGCCTTTGTCAAGGTAAAAGAGATCAGCCCTGTTTTTTCAATGTTTTGCAAGAATATGTTTGTTTTCAAAGCTTAAAGATTCTTAATGTAAAATATTCTGTTACAACAAGACACGCATGTTTGTTAAGGATTCTTTCACCCAACTACTGCTCTTCAAATGTTGTATAAACCCAAGGGAACAGTGTTGTTCTCATATTAACCTCCATGTGATGAAATGGATTATGGTTATAAAAATTTGTTAATATCACCAATTAATAAATATCCAGGGATATACAGGACTCCTTAGTGTCATTATATATGTGATTCTTATACTTCTGTTTGATCTGTTAAAATAATGTGCCTCAAATAACCTCATGCTTCAGAGCTATGTAGACCAAAAGAAAGTGATTTTGCTTAGCCATGGCTTAGCCATGGCTTCTGCCATTTTCTTGAAGTTAGTGGAACTATTTACTACAGAAAATCTCATTCTGATTAATGTATCACACCCTTCCATCTCTTCATGATTTATACTAATGTATCTCTCCTGGAGATGCTCTTTATGCTGTTTTCATAGCAACATTTCATTTAATTCCTCATGAGAGATTGTGACAAAAACTAGCAGATTTTCCATCAATTTCTGGCTTTTGTAACTACTTACAGATAATCCTCATGTAATAATCATTCAGTGAGTGTTCAGAATTACAACAATGCTGAACAAGAACACTTACACCTGGTCCTTGTAGATGTGGCCATCTCAGTGTCCCATAGTCCATGTGATTGCCATTTCTAATCTTCACTGCCAGCTTCTGAGGAGTAAAGTCAATAGGAAAGTCAGTAGGAGGTTGAAATGACCATCACATGACGTTATGCTTAATAACTCACTTAACAACAGCAACCAAAACTGCCACCATTGCTGCCATAAGTCAGCGCAGTCAATGTGCTTTATGGCCACATCACTTAGTGATAGAATTGCCAGTCCCAGCTACTGTTGTTAAGCAAGAACTACCTGTATGATGTTGCATGAAGGGGCTGCAATGCAGGTCAAATGGTGGAAAATTGACCTGACCCTATTCTAACTAATAAGGAAGTTAAACAGGAATGCATTTTGCCCTCTCTATCATTCAGTTCTTATATAAAAAACTTTGGGTGGCTGTGGATAAGCGCCCAGAGTCACCTTGAGGTAAGATGAGCGACCTATAAATGTTATAAATAAATACTAATAAGTGCCCTATTTGCCATTTTGAAATGGCAGAGTTAATGTCACCTCTAATTAGAAACTTTTTAGCCTGCTATATGACAGTCATGTGCTTCTAAAAGGACGATCTCTAGAACTGTAACCAAATTTTATATCATTGCTGTGACAGAAGTTTCTGGACCTAATTGGTTCTCCAAGTGTATCTATTGCATGCATGAATAGGCTTTTATTTGATAGCTGTGTAATATATTTTTAAGTTCTGTGTGTTTAGTGTATGAATGTACATTTTAATAAACTATATAAAAATCCTAACTTTTCTTTATTCCTTTTCTAAACCTAGGGGATCTATGGATTCCTCTTCATCTGGATAGTGAATAAGATCAATGATGCAATTTGTAATACTCCAGATGAGAAAAATATGTGCAAATCCATTGGGCTCCTGGATATATTTGGCTTTGAAAACTTTAACACTAACAGGTATAGTCCAGTTTTACTTCTTTTAAGAAATTTAGGGAAATAGCTATCAACTCAAAAACAATAGTTGGTGGCACTAATTAAATTCTTTGTAGAAGAGAAAAATGGATGAAGCCACAAAATGGGGAGCAGAGAAAATTATAAATAAGAGATGTTTAATAGAGTACATTTTTCCATAAAATCACACATATATAGTAGAACTCTAGTGTATTTAATTACCTGATTTATAACTTACATTAGTTTCCAAACTGAACCTTCAAACTGAATCAGATATTAATCTTAACATGCTTTAAGTCATAATCAAATTCTGATATTAGTTATCTTTCAATAAAGAATCCCACTCAAAAATGTCAGGTTGTATTGTACTAAAAAACAGGACCTGTAGATAATTAATTATATAAATTGCAATTAATATTGAAATTGGTGCCATTTTCTTCTAAACACTTCCTTACTTGTCTGACACATGACTTTTCAACATTGCTAAATAGAGTAACATTTTCTCTGAAAAAATTAATAAAACATATTGTGATTGATCTACGGGGGTCTGACTTTTAGTCCCTCCTGTATGTTTCTGCTGGACACTAATAATAATACCATCATACAATCATAATCCATCATTTGCAAAAGGCAGCTTTCTCTGGAAAAGTTTACTTACTAGGATACCTTTAATATTATTAAACAAAAACATTTGGAAGGATTGAATCAGTGGATAAAAATGCCAGATACAGTCTAAATATCTGGCTGACTGTGAAACCAACCATAATAATAAAACCATAATAATAAATTAATTTTAATTGTAAGAAAGACAAAAAAAATCTGGATTGTGAACATTACAAACCTGGAAAGAGCAGAACAGATGAGAAAGAACAAGAAACAATAACAAAATACAAAGACCCGCAGATAGAAATAGAATGACTGTGGCAAAAGAAAACAAAGATAGTAACCACAGTAATAGGCACCTTGGGTGTGATTACAAAACATCTGGAGCACCACTTGAACACCATCAGCATTGACAAAATCACCATTAGTCAGTTGCAAAAAACAGCTTTACTTCAGCTTTTATCCTGCATTGATACCTTTAATATTATTAAATAACAACTGCCTATGGGAAGGACTTAATAAATGGACAAAAATGCCAAATCCAGTCTAAACATCTGGCTGATTGTGTGACCCACAACAACAACAATAATAATAATTCCTTCTTTATAATAAATGGCATGTTAAAATACTGCAACTGTCTAGTTTATGTTAACTCTAGAACTGACTAATTAGTCTTACAAGAGGGTTACAGGTAGTCCTTGATACATGTACATTTGTTTAATGATGATTCAAAGTTATGACAACCTCAAAACAAATTATTTACAACCTATTTTCACACTACCATTGCACCATTTTCATGGTCACATGATCACAGTTTGGGTGGTTGGCAAAACTGACTCACATTTACAACCAGTTGTAGCAGCAAAAATTTCTGGCAAAAAAGCCCCACTGTAGAAGGCCCCACTTAATGGCCATTGTAAAAATTGTTATAAAAATCAAGCCCAACTCAACTTATGAACATAACAATTTATGACGGAAATTCCAGTCCCAATAGTCATCATAAGTCAAGGTTATCTGTATTCTGACCCAGGCTGCAAATCTCTGTAACAATCACTAGATAGGAGCAAAGAAATGCAGAACACTTTTTCTTTCTGCTGCCTTCTAGAATAGTATTTCTCAAATTTAGCAGCATGGCTGACTGGGGAATTCTGGCAGTCCACACATCTTAAAATTGCCAAGTTTGAGAAATACTGATCTAGAACCTTCAGCTATAATCCATAGCCTTGCAGTCTAGATCTGCAATGGCAGCTGGTCAGAATTGATAGCCAAAACATCTGGATTATATCAGATTGTGGAAGTCTGAATTATTGGCCATCAAAACATTTTAAGTACTTATTGATATCTCCTGTTGTCCAAGAGTCAAGCTTACAAATGGGGCAGTTGTGAAATATACAATATATATTACACCATTATTTATTATAATTTAATCTACACAGTATCAGTTGTTACCATGTATCATTAATATAACTTTTTTGATGGATCCCTGGCATTTTATATTTGTATTTATTCATGTAGCTTTTTATTTCTTGAGAGGGGCATTTGAAACATATTTTCAATGAAAACTCTCCCTACAGTTTTGAGCAGTTTTGCATCAACTTTGCCAATGAACATCTCCAGCAATTCTTTGTACTCCACATCTTCAAACTGGAGCAGGAGGAATACTTAGCTGAGCAAATCTCCTGGAACCATATTGACTTCAAGGATAACTTTGCCGCTTTGGAAGTCATTGTACTCAAATCCATGAACATTGTTTCACTGATTGATGAGGAAAGCAGATTTCCCAAGGTAAGTATCATTTCTCCTTAAGGTGTCTGTGGGAATAAATAATAATAATAACAACAACAACAAAATCATCATCATCATCATCATCATCTTTATTGTAACTGTGAATGTACACCAATTGGCATACATCAAAATGAAATTTAGTTGCATACAGCTCTCAAAGGGCCACCACCTCCGATATACATTCCTTTTTTGTGGCCAGTTCAAGTTTCAGATCGTCCATTTTAGTCTCTAGGGAGCAAACGATGGCACACAGGATAGATGGAAATGGAGCCCTCAAATTAACTTGTATTCCTGCAGGACAACCTCGCCTCCTTTCCTTTTTCTGATCCTGTCTCTTCCACCTTTTCCTTAAAGGGCCTTGCTCCAGCTGCTCCAAAAGCCTGTCTCCCTTCCTCTGGGCCTGCCAACAGCCTCATCCAGTTCCTTTGCTCCATAAGCCCTGGGACCTCTCTTCCTCTGCCTCTTTTGGAAACAGCCCTAAAACTACTGATTGTTGGGTGTTGTAGCAAATAGCCTATATTTCATTGAACAGAAATCAATTGCATTTCAAAACTGAAAAGAGAAGTAAAATAATTTTGTGTTCTAACTAGTGGTTAGTTGTCAACAAAACAAATCTTTTTATTTTAATTTGACTAGTTTTAGCTTTATTTCTAGATTCTGTTCTTTCTTCCTACCTCTGTGCCATAAAAGAATGATACTGTATATTTGCACTCTACAGGTAGTCCTCAACTTATGATCACAACTGAGACCAAAATTTCCATTGCTAAGCAAGACAGTTGTTAAATGAATTTTGCTTCCATTTTACAACTTTCTTGTCACAGTTGTTAAGTGAATCATTGCAGTTGTTAAGTTAGTAACACAGTTGTTAAGTGAATCTGGCTTCCCCATTGACTTTGCCCCTCAGAAAGCCACAAAATATCACATGACCCTGGGATACTGCAACCATTCTAAATATGAGTCAGTTGCCAAGCATCAGAATTTTGATCACATGACCGCATGGATGAGGCAACAGTCGTAAGTGTGAAAATAGGTCATAAGTCACTTTTTCAGTGCCATTGTAATTTCAAACCGTCACTAAATGAATTATTGTAAGTCAATAATACACTGGCAGGAAGTCAGTCCTGCCCTACTGCTTTTTTGCCTGCCCATTGGCGTTCTGTTTTTCTGCTTAGGTAAGGAAATATCTCTGAAAGGAAGACCCAGTGACCATGGGTTGTCTACTAATTAACGAAGTGAGGATACTTCATTTGAATCCACCATACCTCATCATAGATTAGATTTGGTCCTTGTTACTTTTATCATAAATTTGTTACTATTGTTGTTGCTCTTTTTAGCATATCAACATAAAAAAAAATAATTCATTTTGCTTCAACTCATGTTTTTGAATGTTCCCAGGGGACAGACACCACTATGCTAAACAAAATCAATTTGCACCATGGCAGAAGCAAAATCTACATTCCTCCAAAGAATGTCCATGATACAATTTTTGCTATTAACCATTTTGCTGGTATTGTTTATTACCAGTCGGAAGGTGAGTTTCAGCTTCTTTTCCATTGATTAATAGATATTTTTTGTTCCAGGATCAATACCAATAAGGAGATTATCTTACTATAAATAGTTTTAATCATTGTTACTTAAGTCATCTCCCCACTAGTGATTTATAGCATCTTTAAGCAATTGTTGTAAAGCCTGATCTGAATATTGTAGTTTTGGAATAATGATGATTAGACATTCTAGCAAATGCAAGAAACTTGGGTGGTTCTTCACTTGTTCCAGTCCTAGGAATCTCTTTTTTCTGCCATGTCCTCATGACATTTTCTTTGTCTCACTAGCCCATATCAGAAATTGCATAAAGAGTATAAACAACCCTTACCAGTGCTGGTTTTAAAATAGGTTTTTCCTCTTGCTCTGACAATACTCTTTCTGCAAATAGGATCTGGCATACTTCATTGAGTATTTGTTGTTGATGAGAGCAGGCTTCAGAATCTGCTTCTGAAATAGTTTCTGTTGGCCTCTTGAGGCTGCTGTGGGCATTTCTGTTCTTTCTGATTGCTGTTGTTTTCCAGAACTGGTTTGGCTGGAGATGCAGAACAGACTGGACACCTGGATTACAAACAGGCATCTGCCCATGTAGTGCATGACTGGCACTTTCTGAAGCGCTTGTCAGGTCACATGCAGGCTCATTAAAAACATGAGTTTATTGATTTTTAAAAAGAGTGCCAGTCCTTGTATTGCACAGAAAATTGATTTAAACCAGAAAAGAGAGCTGAGTTATGCTAGTTGCATATTACTACTTCTGTCTTACAGGAGCGTCAGCTCAGAGGGGCTTTGTGCAGCTGTACTTCTTCCTGGTTTTATTACTTGTATTAAGCACCCAAGAGTCTCATACAACTGCAGTTTCTAAATCCTCTATTTGTACAATACATCATAGTTACTTATATTTTCATAGTGCATGGGAGAAGCAGGGGCCATTTGGACACTCTGTTTGGGTGTTGGCAGCATAGGATGCTGTGAAGGCTTCATGCCAGACACAACAATAAATCTTGACTCTCCAGACATTTAACTCCATATTTAGGAATTAGAAACTGTCTATGGCAGAAGATGACAGACTTCACATGACTAGATAAGTTTCCTTATTACAGCTCAGAAAAAAGCCATATAGAAATGGAAAATCTGCTTTCTGCAGTACTTAGAAATCAGAATGTGTCCATATATGTATATATGAATGTATGTATTCCAAGATTTAAGGACTTCTTCTGTCTTTTTTATTCATTGGAAATTTGACTACTCTCTTTTTGGCCTTGACATTAAAAAGTATTTGATCAATATTTACATTATGGTTTAGTCTCATCTGAGAATTTGTCAGGTAACAGGTGTGTCATGAGTAGAGATTGCTCAAAACAAGAATATTAAGAGCACTTTCTGCTATTTCACCCTGTACACCTCCCTCCCCTGCTATTGTTACATGATGGGTAGCAAAACTCACCTGCCCCATCCCGTAAGGGAGAGTGAGGGGAATTCAACATTTTTTTAAAAAAATGTCTATAATAAGTGAGGACAGAATGATGTTCAAGGCTTGTAACTGTGGTAAAATATGTGTTGGCAAAAATATAGGCAATACAACCTATGTCAGTATACTTTTTTTGCTAGCTCAGTGACTAATATCTAGAACTTCCAGCCCTACACTTCTTTCAGTTGCAAAGAATTGGTTTAAATGGAGTAGTGAAAACTAGCTATCTGTGCAAGGAAAAGGCTTAATCTAATAAAATGACCATGAAAATGCAATTAACATCAAATGGAAAGAATACATTTATTGTGTTTCTGCCCCACAGGTTTCCTTGAGAAAAATCGTGATATGCTTAGCTCAGACATAATGCAACTTGTTTATTCATCCAAAAACAAATTCCTCAAAGAAGTCTTTCAGGTGGACACAAGTATGCATGTGCTGCCTTTTGGCCGTGGGACCATTAAGCACCTTGGAAAGGATTCCTTGAAGGTTAGACTGATGAATGGATGATACTTGTACTTACATTTTCTTAGTAAATTCTGATAGATTTATGTAACAAATTTAAGCCAGTTACTGCTCAGGACATGTTGAGGTCTCTGGTTCACAAGGCAAAACTTTCAGATGACAGGATGGCAGAGACCAGGTGCTCAGCCTCCAACATTACCATGAGGCTCCAGCAATTGAAAGCAAGTGGGAAAAGTAAAGAGAAGGATTACACCAGGGGTGTCAAACTGCCGGCCTGCGGGCCGGATGTGTGTAATGCTGAAACCACGCAATGGAAAAAAAGTCACGATACGCCACGTCACATCATGTGATGTTGCAAGTTTGACACCACTGGATTACACAATCAGTTTTTCTTTGCTCTAGTAGGAAGGAATATTCGAGTTGGTGACACTTGGGGACAGAGGATGCTTGGGATTGTGGTTATTTCCATTGTAGAGGTGCAGATCTGTGCAGTTTGTTTATCTTGGGAAAGAAGGCATTGTTTATCTTGGCTATTATGAAATTCTTTTCTGTTATTCTGTGCAGAGTGAGGAAGATGATCTATCACACAGAGTGACAGGGAAAAACATAGGTTAAAGTGCATAATAAGAAAGAGCAATGGGCAAAAGATGTATTTCAAATTCACATAAGGGGAGGGCAGACTTACAAGACTTTGTTATTATAGACAAAGTTAATAAAAAATAGCTTTAATTTTTGTGTGACAAAACTTTGTGTTGATTTCTTTGTTTGGTTTTCATAGTGGGGTTCACACATGTTTTCCTATAAGATTATGTAATAATGAAGGATTTTACCAATATATCTCACAAAACGTAAGGAGAAGTAACACACACCCTTCTTTCTGCACATGCAAAATGATTTCACAGCATCTTCTCATGTATTTATCTTCTTTAGATTTGGATTGTCATATAAGTCTTGCTGAGTAATGAAATAAATGAATATACTTTCCCCTTTTAATTTTTCTGGCCTAACTTAATCATTTTTCTAATACAACAACTGATCATATAACTTGGCAAAATATATGATTTTCTGCTTATTAAATATCACCTCAAAGTACATTAAAACTTGATTAAGCCCAGGACTCATTGTCTGTTTTTCTTGCAATGTTGTTATTCTACCTGCAGTCCATGGCACTCCAAACCCACAATGTAAAAGTGTTTTTCTTCTGTTTTTTCTCATTCTCCAACCTTCACAGCTATATTGTCACACTTTAAATATTCTAAACTTTGAAATATATTTACACTTCAAGATACTGTCTATTTTGCCATTGCCTTTGTCCCGTTTATAAATGTAATTATTTCCAGCATACCATTCATTTTCTGAGCCCAAGAAAACATTATCTATTACCTCCATTTTCTGGTAAAGATTATCTTCTAAATGTCTAACATCAACTCATATTTTTCATTTTCACTTACTTTCTTCTTACTTTCAGCTAACATAGTCATCTGCATATCTCAATGGTTTCAACTACAATTTTAATTTCCACTGTGTGATCTCTTTCAGGTCTGCCACAATGTAGTTGAATCAATATGGCAACAATATATATCCTTGTCTCATTCCATTCCCTTTTATGAAACAGTCCAAATTCGGTACTTACAGTAGCTTTTTTATAGTAAAGATTCCTCAGCCTTCACAGTCCAGTATGATCTACACAAAGACTTTGATGTAGGAAATAAAGGAAAGGCAAACAGATATATTCTCTTGATCTCTGCAAATCTAATTTTATATCAGAACTTATGTCCTTCTGGCTTTCCTAAAGCCTGCTTATTCATTTGGCATTTCTTTTTCTGAATATGGCTCTGTTCTTTATAATATCTTAAAACAAAGATTCACCTCTGTGAATAATAAGTTCAATAGTTTATTACTTTGTGTGTTGTCTTGCATTTCCTATACTAAATACAATATAAAGTTTATAAAGCAAACTTTTCCAATCTTTAGGCAATCTTGTCCCATTTTGCATCTTTCACATTTTTTCCATAAACACCTGTTTGAATATTCTAATCTTAAGCATCAATTACAGTGACCAGTTTTTCTTGGAAGAAACAAAGGACAAACTTGGAAAAGGGAACTCTAAAAAAAGGTTAATAAGGATTTCAAAAAATAATTGTTCATGTTTATAACTTTGTATTATACCATCTGGCCTTGGGGATCAGAGAGTGGTATTGTAGAGCCCATAAAATGGTTGTACTGTTTGTGAATTATTATGCTCTCCTGATGAATTATTCCACAGTTTTAACAGTTTTCATACTTTGTATAGGAAGTTCTCAATTTACAACTGGTTACATAAAAACTGTTCAAAGTTAAGAAGGACTTCCCCAGAGCTATATATGACCCATTTTGAAAATTACAATGGTCACACACACACACACACACACACACACACGGGGGGGGGAATGTCACTTGGTTTCATTTTGGATGCTTGGCAATGGGGCTGACTTTTACAGTCAGTTGCAGTATTCCATGGTCACATGACTGCAATTTGTAACATTTTTTTTGTCTGTTTCCAGTGTTTACTTCTGATTTCCAGCAAAAAACACCTATTCTGTTTTTGATGTAAAGGCATTGAGATGAGGCAGGAGTAACAACAGTCTGCTCTTTATTCAGATCTCAACAGAACCAATACAAAATGGCGCAGATTCCTTTTATACCCCTTTGCAGGGACAGAGTCAACCAATCGATGCAACGGATTCTCCTGCCTTGCGCATGGTCCACATGGTCTGCCCGGGCCTGAGTCACTCAGCAGGCCCAGGACATAGCAACACCTATTTGGGAAAATGTATTCACTTAAAGACAATGGCATTCACTTAACAACTGTGGTATTTGCTTAAAGACTGCTGAAAAAAAATGTGAAAAATTTGGGCCCAGTTACATGATGCCTCAATTTACGATCACAATGACTTTACGGGACAGCCGTAAAGATGTATTCATTAACAAAGCATCTAGAATATTTTACTTGGAAATGTTATTTCAAGAAAGATAGAAAAAATATTTGCTGCATGTATATATATCAGGTTCATTTTGAATTCATTTTAATACAGAGCAAAAATTGAACTATTAAACTTGCAAAGTAAATATATGGAGAATAGCTTTGTATACTTGCATTCAACTATCTATGTCCTATATTTTTTCCTGTAAAGAATATGCACCATTGCTATAAATTGTTTGCTGATGGTAATTTGGCAATTATGCCATTTCTGTACTTTCTGCCCACAGGGATCGGATTCTGCCAAACGCTTGCCTACACTAGCAGGACAGTTCAAACAGTCTCTGGAGCAGTTGATGAAAATCTTGAATAGCTGTCAGCCTTATTTTATCCGCTGCCTTAAACCCAATGACCAAAAGAAACCCATGGTAAACTTTCATTATGCTCCTCATATATCATGTCATATGGTTTCAAGAGGGGGGAACTAATTTTGTAAGAATTATATAATTGATTAATAATGTATTTCTTAGATTTTTTAATAGTTTCCTGGATATAACTATGTTAGTCTATGTGCCAAAAATACTTCCAAAAGATGTTTTGTGATAACTTCCCCAGAATTCTAGGAGCTGAAGTCCACACATCTTAAAGTTGCCAAGTTTGAAAAACACCGTTTGGCCTAATCACATTTTTTTAATTTTCTTTATATAAAGGATATCACCACATGAAAATATGTATAATAACAATTGCAAATTGAAATAAGTAAAAATTTAATAAATTTATCACAGGTATATTCAAGACATACCATATCCAGGATAAAAGTAATGCTGAAAACAAACTTTTTCTTGTTGCCATTGGATTGTTTATACCCTGCAAATTGTAAATTATTTTCAGGGGAGAAGACCATTTATTAAAAAATTTCCAGGCAGGGAACAATTGACTTCATTTTGTTACTTTAGATGACACATGAACAGATACACTAACTAGCCCTCATGAGGGGCAGCATCTAGCTGAGCTTGGCTGATCTCAAAAAGCTAAGTAGGGTAAGACTTGGTTAGTACTTGGAGGGAAGACTACCAATAGCAGGGCAATAGTTCAGACTGGGATGTGGAAAAATGACAGAAACAAACCATTGCCATTTTGTTGCCAAGAAAACAAAGATAGCTGACTTGATTAAATCATTAGAGGTCAAAGTTGATGCAAAGATTGTTTCCTTTCAAAACTGTGCTTCTTTCTCTGTGTGACCAGGTGGTTTACGTATCCATAGACCTACCTGAAAATAGGATTTTAAAAAACGTCAAACAATATTTTTTATTAAATCAACTCCGGATTTGGCTAGCTAGGAAAGTTTATGCTTCTGTGGTAAATTTGGCATTTCTTTCATTTTCAGCAATTTGATAGAGAACTCTGTATCCGACAGCTGTATTACTCTGGCATGATGGAAACCATCCGGATTAGGAAAGCTGGCTATCCAATTCGCTATAGCTTTGCAGATTTCTTTCACAGATACAGAGTCCTACAGCCATTGTCAGCTGGAGAACAGGTATCCTGTTATATTCCTTCAAGAATGGTTATTGTTTTAAATTATCCTTTTATAATAATAAGTGATAATAAAGCACATTGATCTGTTCTAAAATCTGTTCTTACAGCATTTATTAGGTGCAGTATCAGCATCAATATTAAATTCTATAAATAACCATAAATAAATTCAGAATAGCTCACATTAGAGAGATGTTCCCTGAGTGTGGGGGTTCCAGCACAAGTCCAAAAGCTCAGAATACAAAACTTCTAGTCCCAATGACCGACTCAGATTGGATCTATAAATATTCTTAGTTTTACATTAGTACCTAGCAATTTCTTTCTTTTGTTTTTGTTGAATGGTGATTATCAAACATTTTGAAGTATGTGGATAACATAAATCTGTGGAAAAAAGTAGTAATTGCTAACACTGGAAAATCTTAGATAATGAACAATTAAGATGTGAATTAACAAGGTTTCTTTAATCAGCTTATTAGAAAATATTCATTAGAATAATGAAACATCAGAGGCAGGAATTACAGTACTACCAATTTGGGCAGGTATTACATGTAGTAATTTGTTATATGTTTTAATGATAGCACTTGTTTATATCTCATTTCTGATGTTAGAGATATTATTTGCAAATAGAGATGAAAAATGTATAAAAAGGTACTTCCTAAGCATGGCCACAGTTTGAAATTCCTGTTGTTAAGAGTCATATAAATTTGATGAATAAATAAATATTTCTCATGTAGCCTTTGTATTTTTACCCTAAATTAAATGTGACCATTACCTTCTATCCCAGCTGAAAAATGATGTTCGTCAAAGTTGCGCTTGTATCTGTAAGAAAGTAATGGAAGATGAAGATTGGAAAATTGGCAAAACCAAAGTTTTCCTGAAAGTAAGTTACACAGTCTCACAAATAGATACTTTTCATGAGTAACTGTGCAAACCTATTTCTGTTTCCAAGAAACAAATTCAATTGGATTCAGGGCGGCTTATGGAATGTCCAATTGCATGTAGTCTGATGGTATAATCTTAAGTATTTTTACTTGAAGTATTCAGATAATTTAATTCTTGGTAAAAATAGATCCCAGAGCCCATTCTGTTTTTGTGGGATAAACCCAAGGCCATGCTGGAAAGACAGAATATCCAAGTGGAAAATAGAGATAGGTGGAGTCAAAATAAAAAATGCACGGTATAAATTAACTTTGAGGATATAGAATAATTATTCTATTTCTGATCAAATAAATGCTCTCTAGATATCAAGAAAAGGATGTGGAAGTCATTCTATATAGACAACCCATTTAGATATATTTTTACCCATACCTCTGAATTTTTTTTTTCTTACAGGTAAGATAAACTGCTCATGACCAATATAGTAATATATATTTTTGAACAAAAAAACCTGAACACTTGAATGGTGAAATACTCCAATGTACATATATGCTCATTACTTTATTCCCTTCTAGATAAGCAGTAATATGTGCAGCACAGAAGAGGAGTAAGAAATAATCTTCCCTTACCCTTCTAAGTCTTTCTTTTCTCCCCATTTATTCTGCTTTAAAATATTTGTTTTGCAGCTTGATCCTGATTCATGCTTTCTATATAATCAAACGCAGTGATGCAGTGGAATTGACTTATACTAGCTGGCAAAAGCTGACTGTTAAAGTTTCTGGAATTTTGTGAGCTGAGCCATTATGCATGGCATGCAAATTGGCTGGTCTAAGGCTAATGGTGTGGGAGCAGCAGCAGAGCCATCAGAACAGGTTTTTTAAATATTTATCAGTGCACCACTGATCAAATTCCAGTGGGTTTAGTAATAAATTGAATTATTAAGAAAAACAATTAAGTCCAGCTACTATTGTGTATACAGAATCATTTAATCCATTTTGCTATAGCCTTTGTTCAAATAGGTGGGCTTTTATTTTTCCTGAATCTTTAATAGGATTATCATGATACAGTCCTGGAGGTGCAGCGAGACAAGGCACTCAGAGAAAAAGCCATTCTAATTCAGAAGGTGTTGAGGGGATTCAAAGACAGGTAAACATGTTTAATGGTAGTGACAAATGTGAATTATTAACAGTCACAGTTGTGCATTGTTTAGATCAGGGTTTTCAAACTGTGTTCCATACAGTCCTTGGATTCCTCAAGAACAGGATGAGGTTCTGTGACAGATTAAAAAGTCACTTGAATGAAGCTAGTTTTCCATGATCAGGAGTTCCCAATATTTTTAAAACTCAACAAGTTGGGCAGCCTGAAAAAGCTTGAAAAATCCTGTCTAGGATGCAATAAGGTCCTCATAGAGTAAAAATGGGCAAGAGGGAGGCACAACATTGGCCTTCCATTCCAGAATGGGAAGGATGAAGGGAAAGAATGAGGAAAGCCTATAAGCAGTAGTGACCATGGGGGGAGGGGTGTCCAAAAAGACAAGATGACAGCCACTTTCAGGCAATTGAAATCCCACCCATTTTTATGTTCACTGCATCACATGTTAAAAGGGTGGGCTTTGTTTGCATGGTTATAGATGCCATCTTGACTTTTTGACCCCTTCCTGTTATGTGACTCTCCCATAACCAACAAATCAATGTGTTGTCTACCCTCTTTGGCTAACAAGAAATGAAAGGATAACGTTCATGAATTTTAAAAAAAAACGTAAAAGAGAAACAAAGAAATAGTCCAGCATGTTCAGTAAGCATGGAAAGTTGGAAAAAAAATAGGAAATGGTGATGAATGGATCACTACCCATAGAGCAAGAGGATCACTGCATTTAAATCAGTCATTTACTACTATTTTTTCCAAGCCTTCATTTCCACAATAATGGAGCCACAGCAGATACCTAATTTCCTCTAAAAACATGTTAAATCACTTTAACTTATTTAGGCACATGAACTTTTCTCTCTCTAAATTCTTAGTACATTGAACATTAAAGCATTAGTTTTAATGAAAAAACCACTTGGAGTAGGTCATGTCTATTTAAGATAATTCCAATATACATCATAGAAGAGAGAGTTCACATGTCACTGTTTCCATAAAGAAAATGAAATCACTTGCTCTTGATATAATTAGGGTATACCTAAGTTATATATAATTGGGATAACTCAGTTCTCCAGTACCCATTCCATTGAGCGTGCTCTGAACACTCCTTTAATATTCTTTGTCTTTGTGGAATAACTTAGTTGTGTTTGTTGTTATTCTTTCTCTGTAAAGGAAACAGTTTCTGAAGCAGAGACATAGTGCTGTAGTTATACAGGCTGCCTGGAGAGGACACTTCGCTCGGAAAAAATTTAGGATGGTAAGAGCTTGCCTTTAACCTTGAGGTCCAACAACAGAAGATGTTTTGTGCCACAATTAAAGTCAGGCTGTTCTTTCTCCCATATAGCTCATGTTGGGATTTGAACGTCTGCAAGCCCTTTTCCGGAGCAAACAGCTTGTGAAGAAGTACGAAGAAGCCCGTGGCAATGTGATTAAGTTTCAAGCGTTGTGCAGAGGTTACTTGATGCGCCAGAAAATTGCTGAGCAGCTGAAAGCTGTTTGTGTGATACAGGCTTATGCCAGGGGAATGTTTGTTCGTAAGAGTTTGCACAAAATGAAGAAGGTAAGAAAGAAGCATGGAAATAGGAATCAATCAACTGTCCATAAAAATTGTGCAGAAGAGTGATTTTGATAAGATGATAGAATAAAATAGCTATATAATACCTAATGTTTCCAAACAGAGTGACTAGTTGTAGCTTGTATACTGTAATTAAGGTGGAGAGCCTGGAAAATCATAACTAGGCTATAAGAACAGAATGGCTAAAATTAGTGTTATAGCCAGCCTGTTTCTGTATTAAATAAATGCTTAAAAATAACAATGTCAAAATTACCTAAGATTATTGTCAATGCAACAATCCATATTATACATCCCTGACAGATGGCAATTAGGCATTTACTTAATTTTTTTCAGAGAAAGAGAATTCACCCTTTCCTGAGGCAGTTGGTTTTGCCAGTGATTAGCTATTTCCACCAGTACTTGTCCTAACGTCCAACCAAAATCTACTCCCCTCCAGTTAAAACCTATTCCTTCTTGTTTTGTCTTCTAAAAAAAATCTGAAAAAATTGCCCTGTCTCTTATCTATGACAATCCTTCAATACCTAAGTTGCTGAATAATCTCAATTCTTTATTTAATAGAAGATAAAATGTATAAAGTTTCTTCTACAACAATTCCTTGAAAAGGGTGAGCTCAATATTTTGCTTTAAAGTGAGTTTTAAGGTGTAATGGGATGCACTTGAAGGCATACATGCTTAGGATGTTGGTGTATGTTCTGTCTGACTGCCTCAGGTGGGACCCTCTAAGGCCTCTTCCTCTGCAAATCTTACAATATCCCATGATCCTAAGGAGAAACCATTTAGTAAATGCTATCATCAGGTACTCTTCCACAGAGAAATCCTTTCTGGACCAGAGTTACTTGGGAGTAGACTTGGGAGTAGTCAACAGAAGGAATACATATGATGATATTAAAACCCTTTCAGAATGGAGTCGCACAGTTAGTAAGAATCAAGTCTATATGATGTGTTTAGTTTAGTTAAAGAATTAAAGAGTTGAAAGAACAAAAGGAAAGGAGGAAAAAGATAAAATAAAACTGACTTCTGAAAGGATTATCTCAGTAGCAACTCCTTCAACCAGAAGACAGAGACAGAGATGGAAAAACAACAAGGTATAATAACGTCACCAAACTCAAATAATCTTTTGTGTGATTAAATCCAAATACCAACTCATATTGAGCTTCACTAGTTCTTAGATTGCAAGTCTTTTCTTAGGTTTCTAGCCTGGCTTCTGAATCTGGATGCTGCTTATCTTGGTTCTGAGCCAGCCCTAGAAGAGTACTCTCATTCCTCTATGAAAGGCAAGAAAAGGAAAATATCTTAGTTCATTAGTGCTTGATTTTTGCAACTTTCAGATTTCTCTGCCCATTTACCTGTATCTACCTATCAGGTTCTCCGTTCTGAAGCTCTTGAGTGAGATTCCTTCTGCTTAACTAGATGAGGCATTTCACTGGCCAAAATAAATAAAGACATACTGTAGCTTTCTGTTAACAGTTCCTTGAAGCAATGTTTAATAAATTGGTAGGAACACAATTATTATTGAATTTTCCAGTGTCAAATCATTGAATAGTAACTAATTTTGTTACTTTGTTCTGATGATGCAGGAGTCGCTATAAAGTGCAATTTGTACATATAAAGTCGTAACTCAATCCCTAAGTCCGGCTTAATGGATTCCTACTATTTATTTTCAGGAACGTTTGGTAATTCCAGAACCAAAAGATTATGCTAAGAAATTAAAAGTAAAGGAATCTGAAGAAAACAAACCTGAATCACTATATGATGTCATCAGTGACCAGGAAATGGTAGACAGAATATTTGGTTTCTTGCCTTCTTTCATTGGGGGGCAAGAAGGCCAAGCTCCTTTGGGCTTTGAGGTAAGAAGACGTGGAGAAATAATTAAATTGATTGTCTATTGTAATGGTATGTGGGAAAGAGCACATTACCTAACCTACACAACAGTCTGGTAAACAAAATCTGAGTCCAAAGGAGAAGGGTGGCAAAAGCATCTAGGAGGGACCCTCCCTAATTTTTGGAGAGTAAAAGTGAGGTACTATTGACCCAGAATTAGGAGATAGTATGGGAAGTGTCAGTTGTGAGGATGTGCAGATGACCTGCTGTCTTTGGGCACTTGCAGAGTCCTGGATGCAGGGTCATGAAAGGACTGCAAGGAAAACACCCAATGTCCTAACCCACCTGAGAACATACGATATCTTTAGGGAAACACCCAAAAGGGAACATGTTTAGATACTTCTGCTTTCTCCTTTATTATCTACAATGTGCCAGATTTACTGGGTGAAATCTTTATCTTATGTGTGTCAACTTTGCTGGATGGGTTGCCTATGTAATCAGAAAGAATAAATACAAGGATTTCTTGTCATACGGGGCTTCTCTCTTTAGAGGAGTCCGTATTTCTTCAGCTGAATAAAAACGTAAAAGCTTAAAGGCAACTTCTGGTTTCCTGTATTTTTTTATCAAGCAAAACGTCAGAACCTGCATATCAGTACCAAAGGGTACTTTCAGACGTGCAAGCTTCTGTTAATGTAACTTTGTAATAAATATAAGGCTAGTATTCCTGATTGTGCTTCTTGAACAATGAAGTAACTTTGGGGACTAATAAGCACATTTGAAATTTTCAAAATATATCGTGAAAATGGCTGCATTGCTGGTTGTGACCAAAATAAAAATATTGTTTTACCAGAAAGCAAATTGATAAAGTTACTTCACATTACTTCCTTTATCCACCACCTCAAGTTACAGTTGTCCTATTTCTGGGCAGTGAATACCTTGCAATAGCAGAGCAATGGATTTCAGCCATTCACTTTTATTTTCTATGAATATATAAATAAAATGGGAGTCATGATGAACTTGGCCAGAGAACCCACATTTCTCAGAGATCAAATCTCTGAGGTTGCCATAGCAATTTGAGCAAGATAACTATTCCCTCATTTCCCAGAGCTATAAAACCTGCTGGAGACTGCTGCCTGTCAATCTCTTCACAAGGAACAGCTATCTGGAGTACTTGTCCAGAGAGACCTACTTGCTGGTTCTTCATTCCACTGTAGTCATAGGCTTCCCTTTTTGTGGAATCATCTTCTATCTACCATTTCTTGCCTGGAATGCAATCCCTGAATGCTGAAGAGGACATTATTTAAAGCTTTTCTGCCTGCAGCTTCAACACCTTGTTCTATCAAGGCAAAAAACAGGTTAAAAACACTAGGGAAATAAAACTGTTTTTCTATTTCTGTACCTTGTAGGACCTGGAGAAAAAAACACAGATGCACAAACTGAATGAGATAGACCTGGATATGATCCCCATAACCATAGAGCTGGATGAGGAGTCAGATGACTTGGCACAATACACCTTCCCCAAATTTGCAGCAACTTACTTCCAGGGATCTGCCACTTATACACACATTAGACGTCCCCTGCGCCACCCTTTGCTTTATCATGATGAAAAGGATGATATTTTGGTAATTATTTATCTTAATTTAATGTGTTTTTAAAAGCAAAACTCCCAGTTCCTTGAAGTAATGCTTAATAAATTGCCTTCGGAATAAATTTGAAACAGCTTGTTTTCTTTCCCTGATAATAAATAGAGAAATTAAAACACTGTTTGTTACATAGCCTTCAGAGACTGAAGAGTAAGTTGTTCTGAATCAGACTATGTTTCTTCTGATAATTTGAAATGTGGTGCTGCCTACTGTAATGAATATTATACAATGGATGTCAATGCAGTGATGTGGATAATAATTGTATTTGGTTATGTTGATTTTTATTGTGTCTGTATATTGTATATTCTATGTATATTTTAAGGCACCAGATTAGAAACAAGGAGGGTGAGTTTTAGTGTCACTTTAGGCACCAAGCCAGCTGGGTGACTTTGGGTCAATTGCTGTCTCTCAGGAAGCCCTAAGAAGAATAGAAAAGTAAACCATTTCTTATAATCTTGCCAAGAAAACTGCAATGACTAAGCAGTTGCTAGGAGCTAGCACTGCCTCAAAGCCCCCCCCCCCAAAGTAAATTTAGAATATGTTATTATAGCAATTGATGGTCATGGCCTTATCTCCTAAAAATTGGTTTTTCTCAATCATCTAATAAGTGCAAATATTAACAGTTCAATCTTACTTCAATTTTAATTAATTCTTTATTTATAAAACAGGGAACATTTGTCATTCCAAGCTCAGTGAAAAAGTTACCAACAATATAAAGATCAGAAACAAAGAAACCAACCTAACCTACCATGACAAGGAGTTCTAGACAACTGAGGCAATGGCCATGTATAAAGTTGTCTGCTTTAATCCCCACGTTCTTATTTTGTCTAATTGCTGAAAGACACAAATGGCTGCAATTGAGGAATGCAGTTTGTCCTCAATTTTTTCAGGATGTTGTAGGCAAAAAATCAGCACATTGAAGTTGGCTCAGAAACATATAAGCAGCCTTTGTAACGTTCAAAATGAATATTCTGTTGTTTGGCTGATGAATTCTTCAGAAGATATTGTTTTCAAGCACTTTTTAAGGACAAATCTGTGCAAAAAGATAAAGGCTTAAACCCTGATAGAAAAGTCTGCTGTAGTGTTAATCTTCTACATAACCTATTCCTCTGTCAACTGTCTAGTGAACTAAAATACTAACGTCATCCTATTTGGACCCTGAAGGCTTTAAAGTATTCATTTGTTACTAAACTATCCAGTTAGAACTATTTGTTTATCAGTTAGTTTAAAATATTTTTGTTCAGCCAATTTCGAAAACATTAACTATATTTAACATAAGCATGTAGAAATATTGAAGCAACATTTCACTATCTCTCTTGTAACTTGAAGGGTTATCCATTAGAAATGGCACATTATGATACATTATGTTTGTTCATTGCTATTTAATTAAAAAAATGACACCTAGCAACTTACTTCATAAAACATGATAAAGACCTAAAATTGAGATAAAGGCAAATATGCAGTAAGATCATAAGTGTAATTTAGATTAGCCTTCTCTAATTTGCACATTCCAGGTGTCTTATAATATTTTCAGGCAAAATTTGTGCCATTTTTTCCCGGCAAAATTTATACAATGAATTATTAATATTTGTTTCCATATTTTATTTTGGGAAGTACGCATTAAGTACAATAATTGTATTTAATGTGAATCACATGCAGTTTTCTCTTTCCAAAATGTTGGCCTCAAAATAAGGCAACAGTGAAATTGTAACAAAATTGACTTGATTGGACCAAATGGTAAAATCATCTACTGAATGAGTTGCTAGTGTTTCTCATACCACATCATGTTTATTATTATAACTGTATAGTAATTCTCATAATGTTCAATGGGAATTAAATACATTCATGTGCTGATGTACAAAAACCAAGGATGTTAATTTCTGTTCATTCAGCTAATAAGTATTTGTTATTTAAATGCATCATAATTGGAAGGACAGTATGTCTACTATCTGTTCTCACTAGGCATCCCTAGCTGTATGGACCATCATTTTGCAGTTCATGGGTGATTTGCCAGAAAGAGTGCAGAATATCAATAGCAAGAGAAGTTCTAAGGAGACCCAGATTTATGAGAGCTTTGGCAAGATCAGCAAACCGCAGCCTGTAAGCAGTTATCATCCAGACATAGTAAGGGAAAAATATTTTTCATTGCTATAAGCTTATTTAAATAGAAAAATTAGAATGCTTTATAATGCTATTTTGCTTTGCAGCATGCTAGCTTCCTATCATTTTAATTAAAAAGATCTAACAGAAGTCAGTAGGACAAGAAGCCTAAATAGCATCAGGGGAAGCGTTTGATGTCACCTACCATGTTGACATCTGCGATCTGGGCAAGTGCTACAGCATGTAGTTCAGTGGTTCATAATATGGGCAGCTGTGGATAATTTGAACTCTGCAGCCAACAAATATTTGTAGCCTGTGAAGAGCTTGATAACGTTCATCTTTTCAGAGAGATATCAGGCATCTGAAGTGTCATCTTGTGTGCCATGTACAAACCATAGACTCTGGGCTTCAGTGATTTTAGAAATGTTTGCTCTGTCTTTGGGACTTAAATGTTAAGGCACAATAAATTTAAGTCCCAAAGACAGAGCAAACATTTCTAAAATCATTGAAGTCCAGAGTCTGTGGTTTGTACATGGCACACAAGATGATACTTCAGATGCTTGTTAAGGTAACTGTCCATTATTGTGCTATTGTTAATTGTAAACAGTTTTGGTTTAGCCAGAAAATTGGGTCTAAGTTTATTAGCACTCTGTTTAGTGAAAAGAAAGCATTACATTCCATTTTTCATGATTTATAACACTGCCAGGAAGTTATTCTAAAGTGTCTACAAAACACTAGAAAGACTCAGCATGAATCTTACTAAAAAAGAAGCAGACTCAGTTCAATTCTTTCTATATCTTCCATAGTACACTAAGAAACCTAGTTCCATTCCATCAGTAAAATAAGATGAGAATGGTTTGCTGCCACAATTTCTTCTTAAATTCGGTCTTCTAAAAATCCTTCTCACTCTGTAATGTTTTTGACTTTTAAAAGTTCTTTAACTATACTAGGTAATTTTCTAAAGCTTACTGTATATTGCTAGTACAGCATTAATGTCTTAGAATGTGACATTTTTTCTATATGACAAATGTATTGAGTCTAATAAAGAATATAACATTTTGTCAAACTCTGGACTCAAGGGAGCCATTACTTAATAGCTATTATTTAACCAATTTGTCAATGCTGTGACAAACTGAATTGAAGCCATTTTTCATTTTGTCTTTGTTGCCATATTTTAGCTTAGAGATTTTAGATGAAGGAACTTATCTTGAAGTTCTTTTAAATGGTTTCGTCTATAGCAGTGGTTCTCAACCTTTGGGTCGGGACCCCATTTGGGGTCGAACGACCATTTCACGGGGGTCGCCAAACAACGCAGTCCGCCATTTTCCCCCCTTTTCCTTAGCTGTGTTACTCCCTTTTATTCTATTGGCTTTCGAAAGCCAATAGGAATTGTCCAGGCTGTCTCTGCCCTGCTGAACCGGCCAAAAGTCCCATTCTGCAAACGGTGCTGCACCAGTTGAGTAGTCCTCGACTTACGACCAGTTGAGTAGTCCTCGACTTACGACTGGTTGGGGGTCGTGGCATTAAAAAGGTTGAGAACCACTCGTCTATAGGAACCATGACACAATTATTTGTTGCAGCATTTACGCCATTCCATTTCTGAAGACAAGTAACTTAAAATGCTGATATAAAATCGTAATATAAAAATCGTAACATAAGCAGTAATATGGGTAATTAAGTGACACTACAAAGAGGAGAAAACAGTTGCTTTCCAAATGCTTATGAATGATGGTTCCCTTTCTGTTTAGCAGTTTCTATCGGTTTGGGGGAATCAAGCTAACTCTTTTTTTTCTTCATAAATTGAATAATCTAGGAAGACAGCAAAAAAGTTAATAAGTTCTCCAAGGCAATTTCTTCTGTGAAACTGAAGCGCAACTCCAAAATGGCTGATAAGGTTTGTTCCATATTTTCTTCTCACCATTCAAAAGGCATTACAGTCTCATATTGAAAATCTACTTTGTGTGTGGCTTATTGCAAGGCAAAAACTTTCTGAGATAGCAGCAGACATATGCAGATGTTTCCCTCTCCTCTTGTATCTTGAATATAAAAACAATAATGTCAACAAAGTAGATTGCAAGTGAACAGACAGACATCTTATGTCCAAAGCAACATGAGATGAATGGAGCATATATCTTGCCTATAGTAGGACCTTCCTACTTTGTTTTGAGATTAGTCTGGTCCAAACATTTAAAGCGCACCAGGTTGGAGGGGCTGAGCTGGTTTTCCATTCTAGCATGGATTGGGTGCCTTTTAAAATAATCCTAATCAAAAGAGAGTGAATGGTTTTGATTATTTTAGATAAAAAGCCAGTTGATGGAAGGGGAAGATATGTTTCAGGAGGAATGCTCTGAGTCCGAGAGGCCTATGTCTAACCTTGAAAAAGTGCAGTTTATCATTGGAAATGCTATCCTGTGTCCTGCCATCAGGTATTACATTTATTAAATAATACCTTTATTTTCAATAGCAAATGCACAGATCCAGATCCAGAAGTGCATCTAAAATGGCTTGAATAAAACTCAGGTTTCCTTCAGGCATTGTAATTTTGTATGTGTGTGGAATAAGGCTATATAAAAAGCTATTTAGCTTTATCAGTGGTGTTCCTGATATCACTAATTATGTGGTTGGTGGCTATGACCCTGGTTCCTTGTACATCTGACATTAAAACTCTGAAGATTACTTCTTCTGATGGCCGATGTCATTTTTTGTTTTCTTTGCAAGAAGCTTGAAGCAAAGTTTTTTCTATTGCTCTTGAGCTGATTTTCAAGATTTTAAAATATAATGCTATAAATGCTGTTTATTTTTGCATCGGTTGCATTTTTAAACAAAAGTCATAAAATATTTTAGCTAAGATTACATTTAATCTTAGAACAATATCATGTGTGAGGTTTTAAATCTCTTAAATTTCACCTGAAAGCCTCCATTTTTTGTTCAGTCAATTTCATAACAAGGGTGAAGTCTAGTGGACTCATTGGTTGGATTTGTTTTCCCTGCCTGATAGTTTAAGTAAACATTGTTATAGGTAAAACTGATGTACAGGACATGAAATAACCCTGAAAACCAAAATGCATGACAAGTAACAGAGAATGAGAGATACCTTCAACACTTTTCCATCTTTCCGCCATGACCCTTCAACTGTGCATTTTCCTATTCGTTTTGTTTTGGGTTTTTAAAATCTCCCCCCCCCTCTACGATTTTCCTTTTCTCCCCTATTATACAAAATAGGAATGTCATTAAATCCTACATTCTTAAAAGGAGGAAAGGCAAACCTTTTGGCTCTTCATCCCTGCTGCGTCCAACTGAGAGCACAGTCCTTTTTTAAAAAAAAAATGTAATTAAATGTAATCTCTGACCAGAAAAGTTTGCTAGCCTCTGAGATGATGAACTTGAAACATAACAAAATGCCTGCTTATTTGTTTTATATAACAGGGATGAGATTTATTGCCAGATCTGCAAACAACTCACTGAAAATAACAATAAAATTAGTTATCATAGAGGTTGGATCTTACTGTCACTCTGCCTTGGTTGTTTCTGCCCTTCAGACCAGTTTGTGAAGGTACTGATTCTGTAATTGTTTGCTCGTAGTGAAAGTTACCTCAGTTAGTGATTGAGGATCATGTGTAGAATAAAGTTTTAGCCCGGGGGGTGTCATAAACATAAATAAAGTTTTAGCCCAAGGAGGCAGCAAGCACTCTTTCTGTGCATGTGAAGTAAATATATTTTATTTAGGACCATGGGCTAGAAATGGTTTTGGGATAGGTTGCTAAGCTCTGCTCTAGTCCATAGTTGCCTAATGAACAATTCAGCAGCAAATATTTTCTATTTTTTCTGATGTTTCCCTTATTTTTGTATATCTTGGCTTTCTTCCTGTTCACTCCCAATTCCTGGCTGTTTTCTGTGTTAGTGCTATCCTAAAAACGTCATATTGGCAACATTTGGATTTTGATACCATTGTGAAGTTTGTTTCTATCTTACACACTGAAGGTTGACATTTGCAGTTTTCAGACACAGGCCAAACATTTTCATGTTTGCAGCCTAAAGAATGATTTCACTTTCTACTTTGTCAAGCCCATTCTTAAAGAGTATTTAAAGAATATTATTATACTGGAGACATGATATTCAAAGTGCAAAGAGTAATATGGAATTGACTATAAACATTTTCATTATGTTCTACTTACTGTTATAGAAGATCCTAACAAGTCTATGTGGATATATGTTTTCAAATAACTTATTTTACTTCATACTACTGTAGTATCTACTAAATTTCATTCGGTGTGGACCATTATTGTATGCACCATATTGTTCTGAAAAGTTGAGGCGAACTTATATGAATGGAACACGATCTGAACCACCTAGCTGGATGGAGCTGCAGGTAACTATTACCCAAATTATATTACATTTTATCTTCCCTTTTCTCACATCAAAAACTATGGTATGATAGGACAGGACAGGTAACCCTATCTAATTTAATCTTTTCCAATCTGATATCCTCCAGCTATGTTGGATTAGAATTGCCATTGTGATTGGTCTTCTGATGGGTCAGGTGGTGGGTCTTATCAGGTGAGGGTCTTGTGATGGATCTTGTGATGGGGAGATCACATCAGGTGAGGGTCATTGGGAGGTGAAGTGCTGGGTGGGGGCATGGGCGATTGCGTGTGTTGGTTGAGGGTCGTGCTGCTGATGTGATCCATACTGACCCATCATAAGACCCTCACTTGATGCAACCCACACTGACTCATCACAAGATCTACTGCCCACACAAAGCCTTTATAAACAGAGGAACACTGACATCCCCTAAACTCTGCTGAAGATGTTACCTAGCCTGGTAATGAAATGTTCAGAAACCATCCCACGAGCTCAGAGAATGAATCTCCATCCTCATCCTACAACTGAGCTACAGATATTTGCCACATTTTTAGCATTAAGGCATTAAAAGGCATGAAAAAGTTAAATATTGATTAATCTAACAGTTTCACAAAGCCTTTCCTAACTAGATGTAGGGGTAATCTATGTACACTATATTGTAAAAGTTGAGATTCAATCTTCTTCATGTGTGGATTAGACTTCTATTTCATAGTACTTACTTAACTTTGCTTTTTAGGCAACCAAGAGTAAGAAGCCAATTACACTTAGTGTAATCATGATGAATGGCAACAGTACCAAAGTGCTTGCAGATTCAGCCTCCACTGCAAAGGAGATCTGCCAGCTAGTAGCTGATCAAATGAACTTGAAAGACACATTTGGCTTCTCTCTCTACATTGCATTGTATGATAAGGTAAAATGAAGTTATGTGTTATAAATGCACTGGAAATGCACACTTTTTTTTAATAATTTCATTTCTAATTTATCATTTTTTTATCCCAGAGTGGGAACATTACTTCAGAAAACACTTGGCTGGATGATTTGAGCTTTTCTTTTGCTGCCAGTCCAAAGCTTTAGATCAGGGGTCTTAAAACTTGGCCCTTTTATGACTTGTGGACTTCAACTCCCATAATTCCACAGACAGCGTGCCTCTTTACCCTTTTCTCACATTAAAAGCACTTAGAGGTTTTATAACTGAAAGCAATTCACATAATCAGAATTGGTATTTTGCTTTTTTAATTGGTGCAGCCAGAAGATTTTTCCCATGTATTCTTCTATTTAATCTGATCATATGAATGTCATTGTTTGAGAGCAAAATAACCCACATGATCTAAAGGGGTGTGTATTTTTCTCATATGTGTCGCTATCATGCTATGTGTTTTATGTTCATTTTAGTCAGGCTACATAAGTAAGTCATTCTTTGCACACTCATTCTAAGCGAACCTTTTTTCCAGTTTGCTCAATATTTATATAAAGGCCCCTTGGATGCTGAGGTTGTGAATGTTCTTGGAATTATTTATTTAATAGATGGCCATAGACTGACAGAGTAAAGAAATTAATGAAACGATGATGATGATGATGATGAGAGAGAGAGAGAGAGACAGACAGACAGACAGACAGAAAGACAGACAGAGCAAAACCAGTATGATGTAGGTAATAAAACATGACAGAAACGTAAAAAGTAGAGAAGCACACAGATTGGCAAGAAGTCCCTTGGCACAAGGCAGTCAACAACTGTGAATGTAAGTAGATAGAGAAACAAAACAAAAACAAAACACTAGACTTATCTAGTTGTAGAATAAAGCCATTGGTGCCTAAAGACCACAGCTATGGGTAAGAATTTTGTGGCCTTCTTAGATATTTCAGGACATTGATCTTATCGCAGCTGATTTATGATCATTTACTGTGTTAGCTGAGAAAGCTTACTACTAAGTACTTCAATGAGATTAAGGCACCATTTGTGATATAGGGAGCATACTGGTAATCCATGTGCCACAAACTGAGCCTCGCAAAAGTGACATTAATAAGGAATGTGGTGAACTGTAGTAGTCATTGAAGACAGGCATCAAATAATGCTAAAGTAAATGCCCTTCAATGGAGTGTGAAGGATGTGATAAAATTATTTCAGAATAAGAAAAAGAACATCCAAAAACTTGCAATAATGGAAATGTCAATTTTTTTACTATCTGCTTGAGTCTCCCAAAGGTTTCTTTTCCCCCAGAACATACAGCTAAGGGGGATAGGCCACAATCTACTTGCTTTTTCAAGGAGGAGGTGTAACTATCCAAAAGTATAAGTTATTCTAAGGACTCGCCCCAGAATGTTCCTTTTAGCCAGAATTTAAGTCAGCAAAGTTTCAGGTTAGCCACAAGACAAATACAATAAAGTTTCAGTTGAGATTCTTGGAATTAAAAAAAATGAGATATGTAATGAATGTTAGTGCAATTTACAAAGAAACATGTGCCAGGAATTTTATTTATTTATTACTTCAGAATATATATAATTTATTAGATTAGTTTTTTTAACCTGCTGCAATCCGGTAGCCTCTTGATGGCATTTTTTTCATTGTTTACCCAGACATACATAGGAATATTAATATAATGTAACTTCTCAATCTGTGTCAATTGATTGTTTCACCCTGCCCTACAATTAATGTGGAAGAACATATGAGACCATCTCTTCCTTTTGCCAACCTATTTATGCACAGTTATACACAATGCTATTGATTTTTCTTTATAACTTTTGGGCAATTTTCATTCAGTTGTTATTATATTAAGTTTTTCAAGGCAATTTGTACTTCTTTACCTGAGCAGACTTTTTTTCCTTAACAATGAGCTTAGGTCTGGTCACTGGGCAGTGGACGGGATCACATCATGGATGCCATTTCTCAGTGTGAACAACAGGAAAAAGAGAAGAGTGGCCATGGACAGTACACTCCTTGGCGTCTTTACTTCAGAAAAGAGATCTTTACTCCCTGGCACAACTCCAAAGAAGATCCCATCAGCACTGAACTCATCTATTATCAGATAATACGTGGCATCCGGTTTGGAGAATACTGCTGTGAAAAGGTAGATTTTATTTGTACTCTGGCTACGAGGCCCAAGCCACCTGGAGAAAAAGTGACTTTTTAAGAGCATATCTCTGCCAAGAATGATTTATCATTCTAAATCCATTGCTCTACTTACTATCTGTTTGTTTGTAAAATTCATTGGCTGCCCTTCTTACCACAAAGTAACTCTGAGCTGCTTACAATCTTAAAAAGATAAAAACTATCCAAAACCTAAAAGACATAAATAAAATACTGTAAAGATCCAATTACTGAGCCTAAAAGATGGGGAGGGAAGGAATAGGGTGAGAAGGGGAGGGAGGGAGGATCTGTTATTAATCTATCAACCATCTTCCATGTGAAACCCCTCCATTGGAGCCCCAAGTCAGCTGGCAAAACTAGGTCTTTAAGTCCTTGTGGCAGGTCAGGAGGCTTGGAGACAATCTCAGTCTGGGGGGGTGGGGGGTTTTAAAATATTCCAAAAGGAAGGCTCTTCTCTTGGATGCAGCCAGCTGGATACCTTGGCCAATGGGACCTGCAACATGTCTCCTCTGCCAGCATGGGTGGGGTGGGCCAATCCCAGTAGGATGGATAGGTCCCTCAAGTATCCCTATGCCATGAAGGTTTTTTTTTTTAATTCTAAGCTTATTTCTCCTGGAAATACAGTAATATGTCTTTTGTTTGGTCTAGCTAATTAGGCATAGGGAATGAAGGTAGATTAAGAACTCTTCCAGAAAAGTGACTAATCTGATTGTTATAGGAGGAGGATTTGGTGGAAATTGGAGCCAAATACTGTTATATCAAGTTTGGAGAATCCATCCAAAATGAGTTGGTTCAAAGTATTCTCCAAGAATGTATCCCAGTAAAGCTACTAAGATCCAAATCCCAAGAGAAGTGGGTGAACCTCATCACATATGCTCACGCTAAGGTATGAACATCCAAATTATGTAGAATTTGACATTAATATTAGCTTCTATTTCTATTGCTGCTGGGAAGTCAAGTATGAATGGAATGCCTAAATTCATTTCCATTGTAATTTTTTTTATCTGTAACTTGCTGATTAAACAATAAATATGTGAAGATTGTTGGAGGTACTTTAGGGCCTTTGTGCAATGTACTGTATTCAAGAAACATACCCACTGACCTGCAATATATATCTTATATGTTGTAGGCGGCTTACACACAGGACCAGATTTCCCCTCAATGTGTAAAGGAGCAACTGGTAGACTTTGCCCGTGATCAGTGGCCTCTGCTCTTTTCTAGATTCTTTGAAGTTACTAAATTTTCAGGTACCGTGATGGCAACATACTTTGTGTAGGTGGAAGTATAGTGAAAAGTAGAGAAAGGCTAATATTTATATTGTGCTTGCAGGGCCCAGTCTGCCAAAGAAACATTTCATTGTGGCAATTAATTGGAAAGGGATATGTTTCCTAGATGACACTGAAAGAAGACTTCTAGAATTGTCTTTTCCAGAAATTACTGGCATCCATACCAACAGGTACTGTTATTGGACTTGCTGGACTGGAAAGAGCTCTTTGTCAACATTTAGGACAATGCTATCATATCATTGTCTATATTTATTCTTCTGTTATTGTGTCATAAGAACTGAAATAGTTTCTATTTTCCTCATGGTTTTCTTTCCCTAAGGAATAAACCTAGTGAGTTTGTTTATTCAGAAAGTATTTTTCTAGCTCTTAAAGTATTGTGTCCTCCGGGGTGAGAATCTAATGCAACATAATTCATCTCTGTAAAGAAAGATGAAGGAGTTGAATTAACCAAAGTAATTCTATTTCAGCTTCAAGGAACATTGCAACTATTTTGATTATACATGCTTTGTTCACAGGATTTTACACAGTATCTGGACTTCCATTTTTGGTCTTTCTGAGTTTCCATTTATACCAATGGTTCTCAACCTTTCTAATGCCGTGACCCCATAATACAGTTCCCCATGTTGTGGTGACCCCCAAGTGGGTGTGGCCACCAATAAGAGGGAGTAGGACAGCTAGGGAAAAGGGAAAAAAATGGCGGACAGCGTGGTTTGGCGACCCCCGTGAAATGGCCATTCGACCCCAAATGGGGTCCCGACCCACAGGTTGAGAACCACTGATTTATACCCTCCTGTGTTTACTTACCATATTATTTTTTTCTGTATAAAAATATCTATAAAGAAGGAAAAGCTATACAATATGATTTTTTGGTAGCACTAATGGTTGTCCATTTGGAACACTTCTATGTTTAGAAATGTTTACTCCTTGCATATGTTAGAAGTTGAAGGATATCAGATTTTTGTTTTCTTGCCATTTTACAAACTATTTTCTTTTGAAATATTTTGTGACTGCAGGGGAGTCAAGACATTTGGCCAAAGCTGCACCCTTAGCACACTGCGTGGTGAAGAGTTTGTCTTAACATCTGTCAATAGTGTTGCAATTGCAGAATTAATAGTCATGTTCCTGGAAGGATTGAAAAAGCGATCACTTTATGCGGTGGCAATACAAGACAAAAAACTGCAAGGTAATTTAGATATGTTTATTTTTTGTTGTTGTTCAACAGAAAAAATCTATAGCATGGAGAGGAAAAAGTTCAACTGCATGTTGTGCTGTAAGACATAACAATTAACAATATTTATTTAAAAATAATAAAAGACAGTACAAATTAAACCTGAAAAGAAATATAAAGTGCAAGAGAAAAAAAAAAGGAAGAAAAAGAGAGTAACATGTGCAATATGTGGATCCATTCTCATGCCATTCTCCACTGGGCCAAGTAATATGGGGTAGGCATAGTAAGGTGATGCAAAAACAGTTACAGATGTATCAGATCCTTATCATCAGTGCTTTTTTTGTAAAAAAAAAAAAAAAAAGGTGCTGGAACTCACACACTTCATATAACCCACCTTGCCTACCCTACAAGGTTCCATCCAAAAAGGGTGCCGGTACTCCGTTCTGGGCATTCTATGACAAAAAACGCCCTGCTTATCATAATCTCTCTTTTGAAAGAGTTTGTTTATACATTGTTTTTACACTCTTTTCTGAAGAAACAAGATCGGCTAGAAAAACATGGGTTTGGGCTCTTTCTCCCAGTTTCCGCCAGTTGATATTATTCTCTTATCCAAGTTCTACTTAGGCTTTTTTCAGTTTCTTTCTTAGGAATTCATGAGTATCTTACTTATTATCTTTGTGTAGTTTGACTTTTTCTAGTGGTGTACCCTATCAATGGCAGAGAAAAAGATCATCAGGCTATTTTTCCCCCTAGTAATGCTAGTAAAAAATATAATGCAATCTTTTTCTACTAGATGAAGAAGTGGTAGAAAACACTGATATTAAACATGTTATAGCCACTGTAGGACATAGTCTGAAGTATCTATGCTTACACATAGAGATAATGGTATTTTGTCATTGTCAGAAAGAGGACTCATCATACATTTTATATTTGATGTATAATAGCTGAAATAATATGCTTCAGTTTTTATTTTCCAGGTGACACTACCATTTTGGCCTTCAAAAAGGGTGACTTGTTGATTTTAACCCAAGACAAAAGACTAGGAGAAAATCAAGGCTGGATCCCTGCTCAAAATGAGCGAACCAATGGTTCTGGGCTTGTGTCATCAGAGACCATCTATATCATCCCTACAGTTACAAAGCCTTCCAGTCAAATATTGGTAAGGATCAAATAATGCAGATGCAATGCTTAACTCTGACAAATGACTGCCACTCTATCCCCTGAATAATAAAGATAGTAAACTAATAGTGGAAAAAAGAAGGATTGAAGGGCAATCTTCTAAAATAGCTCTTTGTCAACCTCTAAGATATTCTTTACCACTCCAGTTTATCTTGTTCCATTCTAGCCAGATGGCAAACAAGGCATAGTACTTCAGTCACTAGCTAGATTTAATTTGTAAGAATACTTAAGCCAAATTCCCACTTCATTTTTTTCAATTACAAGAATTTCTTTTTTAAAAAGTCACACAGAGCAGTCTTTTTAATTGCAGTAAAGGAGATATCTTAGGCCATCCTGATTCCTACAGAGACCAGATTAAAACAGATTACAGTTTAGATGCTATGCTGTTCCTTCTAATGATGTTTGACTAATCCCTTGTAATAGCCTCAATCCAACAAGCATAGTAATCAGTCCTAAACCACTTCTCTGCATCTTTTCAAAACTGATGACTTGAAAACAGGCTTCTAATGATTGAAGAGATTAATGATTCCAAATAATAAGTGATATTGTCTCTTTCTTTTCAATATGTGGAATATCAATCTTTTTAGGCATTGATAGACTTTGTAGAGTTTCAACTGTTCTTTCTACATGCTAATTTACATATCTGGATATTGAACTATTACAGTATTATCTCTAACAGCAGATTTAAAGATGTTTTACTCTCCACTTGGAATTTTCTCTTTAACTTGAGACCTCAATTTTATGTTTAACAGTGGATGTTCAGACAGATTCCCATTTTGTTTTTAGTTTTTTGGTCTTAAAAGTTAACTTTGCCCTGGTACTAATTTTCCTGCATAGCTTTATATAACAGCATAATCAAGCCTGCACAGAAAATTACTGTAATCCATAGGTAACTAATATAATGTTATAAATGTGATTATTCTTATAAGATTGTTATCAGAATCTATGTGAGATAAAAAATATTGTCCATTGGCCTAACTATTTAGATATATAATAATTAATTGCTAAATTTCATAATGTATTCCATTGGTCTTGCTCAAGTACAGCACTAGCCCCTTTGAGAATCCTTTTCGGGATGAATCCTCTAACATGAGAAAAACACTGAGATGCTGCCTTCCTTGTCTTTTTCTGACAAACACGTTTGAGCAAACCTAGCAGAAAGAGAAATCCTGCTCACAAATCTTTGCCTGAAAATCCATACATGGAATTAATTTCTGATATTATGTTGCTGCCATGGCAATAAATGGAGTGTATTCAAATGACCATATTCTTCCAGAGCTTGCTGATGATGTCACCTGAACAACGGAGGTTAGTATCTCTAAACTCTCATGTGGAAGAACCTGAGGAAGAAAATGCAAATGTGAAGCCATATACTCTGGAAGAATTCTCCTATGAGCACTTCAGGTATACTTTATTATGTTTTATACAGTTTATACAGTTCCTTGAAAAGCATACCTTTATCACCTTTTAAGCCTAACTGAGGAAGAATCAATGAGTATTGCATTAAAATCTGTATTAGTTAATATAATATAATAGTAGTAAAGTTGGAAGGGACCTTGGAGGTCATCTAGTCCAACCCCCTGCTCAGGCAGGAAACCCTACACCATTTCGGACAAATGGCTGTCCAGTCTCTTCTTAAAAACTTCCAGTGTTGGAGCATTTACTGCTTCTGGAGGCAGGCTGTTCCACTGATTAATTGTTCTCACTGTCAGGAAGTTTCTCCTTAGTTCTAGGTTGCTTCTCTCCTTGATTAGTTTCCACCCGTTGCTTCTTGTCCTGCCTTCAGGTGCTTTGGAAAATAGCTTAATTCCCTCTTCTTTATGGCAGCCCCTGAGATATTGGAATACTGCTATCATGTCCCCCCTTGTCCTTCTCTTCGTTAAACTAGACATACCCAATTCTAGCAACCGTTCCTTATATGTTTTAGCCTCCAGTCCCCTAATCATCTTTGTTGCTCTTCTCTGTACTCTTTCTAGAGTACATTCTATTTTTCTAGAGTAAATTCTATTTTGTCTTCCATACTGGTCTGCTCAGAAAGGGTATCTGGTCCATGTGTGATTGTTCTATATGAAGGACATCACTAAAATAGTTGTTTCTAATGTACAAAAAATGGAGTGAAGTACAGAAAGAGCTTTCCTGCCTCTCAATATTAAAATGCTATCTTAAAGTTAGCTTTCATAAACTAATACTGACTGCACTAGTGCTGATTAGTGCCACAAGGGATATTAGCATTAAATAATCACAGCACCCAAAAGGCATTGGGGGGGGGAAATGGTGCTGCTTTACTGCATTTACATGGGATATTCCTCTGTAGAACATACAAGCTTGATTGCAACAACTTGCCAGCGTCACCTTGCCGCAGCCACGTTGTCACCCTGTCGGTATATTGAAGAGACAGACAGATCCTCTTCTATCTTCAACTCCCATTCATTACAGCCATGTCTGTAAATTAGAAAGACTGATCTGTAGTTCAGTCCTATGTTGTCTCTGGGTCTTTCATCAGTCCATAACAGATCATCCCAGTACATATAGCTCTTTAATTTACATATAGCTCTTTAATTTCAAAGCCTGATAGACTTGCACATTTTCTGGATTCCAGTTCAAACATTCAAGTGTTTCCCCTCACTCCTAAAGGCCCCTTTTGTAAAGAAAAAAAATCACCATTTGACAACATGATTTATATCCATATTAACTTTTTAATTTGTTTGATTCTTTCTGACAGATGTTAACAGAGAGGTATAGGATTTTGCTACGTGAAAATGGCTTTGTTCTGTTGTTACTTTATGAGTTAATTCTAATTCTGAGTAGTAAGTGATGGTAGGGCTAGAGAATCTTAGGGAAATCCAAATTCTAACTAGGGTATATTAGCCTGTAAGCAATAGATATAAGTTAGTTGTCTGTATTGATCAGACTATGGTTTGAAACAGTTTTATGTTTCTTTAGAGTACCTGAGAAGGAGTCAATCAGCAAGGCTGTTTTACCCAAGTCCCGAGGGCGGAGTCATCTGTGGGCTCATTCTAGGGAGCCCCTGAAAAGGCCTTTGCTAAAGAAAGTATGTTCTAATCCAGACCTCTTGGACTTTGCTTGCCAGACCTTCATTGATATCCTTCATGCTAAAGTCAGTTTATTTGGTAATGGGCAGAATATAATTATTGTCTCTGAACTGGTTTCTATGCTTTGGTGCCTGATTTGGAGCTATTTTTAATTAAAAAAATGAAAAAACAGATAGGTATTGATAAATACCTTTACATGTTTGTTAATTGTTTGACATGGTTTAATTTATCTGAGTGCAGAAAATTGGGAAGAGGATGAAGAGTGGATTTAGATTTTAGGTAACCAAATTGGATAATCCAGGAGAAAAATTACATTAATGGTGATTGCCAGAGTGAACAAAGGGTGATTGCCAGAACGAACAAATTAATTATGCTAAGAGAATTGGGGCAAAACAAAAAGTTTTGGGCAACAAAATGAGTTAGTATAAGATAGGTATGTAAGAGAGCATTATCTTAATAGTCAAATGTAGCTTCTACTAAAGAGCATTTACTAAGTAGTTACTTGCTGCAATCAGAAGGAGTATTGAGTTGGTTTGTAGTTATACTTATTTTTTTGGTACATATTTCCTTATATTTTTTTGCTCACCCATTATGAAATACATGGGAGATTATCCCTCAAAGCAAGAGAGATCTCCTGTGGAACTTACTGACCAGATATTTTTAGTAGCAATCCAGGAGGATACTCTGCAAGATGAGGTCTACTGTCAGATCTTGAAACAGTTAACAGAAAACCACAACAGGTAACGAAAAAGTATTTCCAACCAAATATTTCAAATTGGCTGGCACTGGACGTGCCAAGTTGGAGCAATAAATTGGGAGTTCTCTTAATAGGATAGATTTTATATCAGTGGTTGCAACAACAAACAACATATTGATCTGTGGGTCGGGGGGGGGAGGCTGCATTTGGACTGCAGAAACTTCTTGAGTTTCACAACAAAAAATATTGTAAAGTAAGCACAAATCATAAAATCAGTCTAAATTGCCCAATAGATTTCTAAGTCTGAAGAATTTTTGGCTTAGGTTTTGAATATTTGTATGCAAATTGTGAAATTATTTATCACATTGGCAGGTATAGCCTGAACAGTGGTTGGCAGTTACTGTGGCTTTGTACAGGCCTTTTTCCACCTAGTAAATCATTGCTGAAACATGTTCAGAAGTTCACTGAGACTCGTCTGAAGGAGAACTTGGCATTGGAATGCAGACATAGGATCCAAAAAGTGATGAGGTACAAGGTGGTTTTTAATACTCTGTGATTGGCTCATGCTTTTTATTCTTTAAATAATTACAGAATGCTAATCAGGTCTATAAAGTCTATATAATGTATAAACTAATCTATAATTATTATGAAGAGGAAAATCTTCCTTTCCTGAGGAAAGATTAATTTAGTCTCCTCATTCTTTAGTGGTTTTGTTAAAGTATTTTTGTGAATGCAATTGGTTTTCTTTTCCTTCACTCTCTGCTCCAAAATATATATGATATTTTATTGCATGCATGGATAGAAACTGTGGTTGTTGTTGTTGCTGTTGTTTTTTAAAAAAAACCTTCAGCTTTAGTTGTCTCTATTTTTACTCCCATCTCAACTATCTTTCCTGTGAGGCTGGTGAAAATTGTTTGTCTTGTGCTAGCATTAAGAACTTCTCCATCAAAGATAGTTCTAAGAGTCATTTGTATTTCTGTTCTTCAGGAGTGGCTGTCGGAAGTGGGCTCCACACAGTGTAGAAGTGGATGCAATTCAGAATAATATCACCAAGATTTCTCACAAGGTTCATTTTCCAAATGAGACAGAGCAGGTGAGGTTAAGTTCTTTTATTTTCATATTGATATATATATCCCAGGTTTAATATTTGTTATTATGGGTGGGAGGGTGGGAATAGGAGGGAGGAGTAAAGTATCTTTACCCTCTTGAGTTATATAAGGTGGGATAAAAATGTCATCATCCTCTGTGGAATGGGTGGGGAAGAGAGAAAAATAAAAAGTCAGCTTGGAAGAAGTAACTATTGAGGGAAACTGTTATGGTGAATCAGAAGGTAATAGAGTCAACTTGAGATAAGATGGGCAACCTATAATCTTTCTTTCTTTCTTTCTTTCTTTCTTTCTTTCTTTCTTTCTTTCTTTCTTTCTCTTTTTTTCTTTTTTCTTCTTTCCTATGTCTGTCTGTCTGTCTGTCTGTCTGTCTGTCTATCTATCTATCTATCTATCTATCTATCTATCTATCTATCTATCTATCTATCATCTATCTAATCTATCTATCGGATTCCATTTAGGCACACTTGAGCAAATCATAAGGGATGATAATGGTGATGGTCATCTTGTTGCTTTTTTCACCATCTGATAATAACATTGTGTTCGTAAATATATTTTGCTTTGATTTCCAGAAACAAACAGCCAAGCAGGCAGATAGCCTACTTTTAGCGGTCTGTACACCTATGCAAGCTGCACCTATTCTTTTTCCTTCCAAACTAGTCATTTTAGTTTCCTGTTCTTATGGTCCAGGTTTTTGATGTAGCAACAAACACAAAAGTATGGGAGCTATGTCAGATGATTGGCAACAAAATGGAATTGAGCTCCTTGGATGGATTTAGCCTCTTTATCAAGATTTCAGATAAGGTAATTTGACATGAGCATATTAGTTCTATCTGATGAAGAGATTTGGAGAACTAGAAGTTTTGATGGGTCTAAAAATATTTTTGCTTCTTATTCCTCATATATCCAGGTGGCTGTTTTGTCATCTTATTCTGTATTATCTCCACTGTGCCTCACTTCTGTCACTGCTCTGCAGTTTTTATTTCATTTCTGTTCTTTATTCTGTTTGAGTTACATTCTAAGGGATTAATGTTGATGTTATTTTAATTCAGTGACTTTTATTTGCCACTCAGTCCAAAAACGTTTAGCTTTAGACAATTTCGAAAAATATATAATAAGCAACAATAACATTCAATGTATCAAGTCCATGAAGATAAACAAGTTAAATTAATCTCTATGTTAAAAGTTACATTTTAAACTCCCTCATACATTGAAACTAAAAAGAGGCCACTTACAGTTACCGTATTATAATGATTGTTTTATACATGTGTTGTTTTATCTGAGTGTTGTTAATTCTCAAAATAACCTTTTCTGAGATGGGCAGCTATATAAATTTGATCAATCAATCAATGCATACCTACAGCTTCAATTCCATTAATTCTGAAGTTTGGCTCCAGTACAAAAAAAGTGGAGTTGCTGCTCTTAATTGGGTTATACAAAAATTACCCAGTTAATGATGTAAAAACAGTAACAGACTGTGAGGGAAATGATCCTGATATAAGAAAGCATCTTTAACTGTGCCAGAAAGGCAGCTGACAGTTTCTTATGCTGGTTCTTCTGGAATGTTATCTCAGAGAATTAATAATTCATTTTTTGTAACTCAGCTCCCTTTTATTGTCTGTTCTAGGTGATCAGCCAGAATGAAGCAGATTACTTCTTTGACTCCTTGAGGCAGGTGACTGACTGGACTCGAAAGAATAGGCCAGGAAAAGAGGGTATGGACATGAAAAGATGAAATATGGGGTGTTGACTTTAACCTAGACACTATTAATATTTGCAGTGTATGTCTGTTTTGCATGTCTATTTGGAAATAAGCGCCTCAACTTTCTTTCAGGTAAACATGCATACGATTCACTGAAGAATATATATTCTTCTGGTCATAATAACTATATTTTAGTTCTAGTATAGTAACCTGATTAGAGGGTGCTGTTACATATTACTTGTGGGGTTTCCAGGCCACCCTAAATCAAGCATATTGTAATAGATGAGCTTGACTGAATACATCCAAGCCATTGCTTTGATTGAATTCCCAATAGATGAACTGCAAAGATCTGGATGGCAGCTAAATATCAGTAAAAGGATACATAAAACTGAGAAGTGAGGAGGGGCTCTTTTGGGACCTAGCTTTATTAAAGGTGATTTGCTTTATCTGAGCTATTTTTGTATAATATACAACCACAAACAAAACAAGATAAAAATGAAATCTTTCTAATCTCAACCCATTTGGAATTGGCTAGCAATTCCATGTTGATCATCTCTTCTTGAAAAAAATGTATTGAAATAGTCAAGACATTTATGCAGGAACATGGATTTATTGAATATTTATCACCCAAAGTATAACTGACTTGAAAAATAATATAACTTTTCCCCAACTGTTATAGAAAGCTTATTTTCCTCATGCTCTGGTTCAATGTAGTTTATATCTATGAGTTTAGGAGATATCAGGAATAGAAATAAAAATTTTAAGTGCTTGTACATGTCTCTTTGAAATGTTTTACTTAAATATCTGACATTGCTTCTCTAGTGTTTCCCACCACTATGAATTATCAGGTATATTTCATGAGAAAGTTGTGGCTGAATGTGATACCTGGGAAAGATTTGAACGCTGATTGTATCTTTCATTATCATCAGGTAAACAAGATTGATGATAGCAGTGAAATAATCACTAGCAGGCTGAACTATTACCTTAATGAATGTTTGCATCAATTATTGTTTGCATATATTTGTATATATGATTGTAATAATATAGACATTTCACAACATGTATGAATACTGGTTATACAATATAATTGATAGCATTGAGATAGATCCCTTGGGTGTATACATAGGATTGGTAAAACTGAAATTAATCAAATTAAAATATCAATCTTCCTCATGATAACTGAACAAAAATGAAAAAAAAAATTTACAGCTGACACTGCAGGTATCTTAAAATAACGTTTTGGAACTGTCACAGCTAACCAAAAAAGCAAGCCTTCAGAATGTGTCTGAACCAGAGGTTTTCTACTTCCAGTTTGGTGTTTTATTGCAAAACAAAAATCTTGCAAAACTCTTTCTAGAAATAAGATCTAGATGCCACAGGACAAATATTTTCATGTTTTCATTATGTACACATCATTTCAAATATGCAAATAATCTCAGTCAGTGCTAACGTCTCTTTTTTATATGTCAGGAACTGCCGAAGTATCTGCGAGGCTATCACAAGTGCTCAAAAGAGGATGCTATCCAATTGGCCGGGCTGATTTTCAGAGTTCGTTTTAACTGTGACCGAACACAACAGGCTGCAATACCTAAAATGCTGAAGGAACTAGTGCCTGAGAACATGATTCCAATACTATCTCCAGAGGAATGGAAACGGGTATAAAGGATCTTATATTACTTTAGTATTATATATTATTTAAAACTTACATTGGTCTTCCTCTTTTGATCAGCATTGTAAAGCTGCTGATTTATTTCCCATAATTTATTTATTTTCCATAATTTATATGCCACCCCAAAGATTCATCTGCAAATAAATCTAATCTACTTCTTGCAAAATTTCTCATTGATAACAATCATTTCAGAAACTGCAATTCTTATATTTGTTATACTTCTGTTTGTTATAGGTGCAACACTTCACTTATTTCTTATTTGGAGGTTTAATTTGAAGGAATAATTTACAGTGCTCAGTGCCATCACTTTTGCCTATAGCAAAATATGTTATTTGTAATCCTGGAGTGAAAAGTTCTAAAGTAATCAGTTTGTGTGATTATGTGGGTACAAGGAAAGACTACTTTCTCCCTACCCAAGAAAACAATTCTAATGTGAAAAAAACTGATTAGTTTTGATTCACATTATATTACAGAATATTATTTCTGCTGTCAACAAACTTGGTCAAAAAAGTGTGGATGAGGCCAAAGTTGCCTTCTTGAAGTTCATATATCGTTGGCCAACATTTGGTTCAGCTTTCTTTGAAGTGAAGGTCAGTTCAATGGTTCCAGGCCTCTGGGGGGGGGGAGGAGGAGTCCTACCATCTGAAGTTTTTTGTCTAAAAGAAATATCTTGCGGATTGCTCACTTTTGTAAATTCTAAGAGGACTCATTCTCATGACCTTAATCAATTTCAGTTGCCTCTCAAGAGCAGCTTTTCACCTACCCCTATTTCTGCAGTAATTTGTTCCATAGTTCTGGTGATTCCAATGCTTAATAACAGAATGACAATTAATGTTACAATATGAAAAAACAGCCCTGTGAACCACATTCTGCCTTCTTCTATTTTACTAGCAAACATCAGAACCAAATTTCCCTGACATAGTATTGATTGCTATCAACAGGCAAGGGATTTCCATAATACATTCAAAGACTAAGGTAAGAGATCTTTTTAAAAACCTTAATTATAATCTGGAAAAGGTGCACACAATTGATTTATGCTAGAATTAATTAAATGCATTTCTTAGGTAAAGAATTGTGAGAGATTGAGACAGTCTAAACCTTTTATAAGTAAATACTGTTTGACCACGGCTGTGAATGTATCAGTTCTGCTGTTATTTCTGTTGAGAATATATACTGGATAAAACAATTTTTGAAGCCTGAATCATTTTCTTTACTGCTCAGATTGGCTCTCCGAAATGCTCTCTTCACAGAAAAATAAAATCAGTCATAACAAATTTTTGTACTTAGGTCTGGTGAAGCTAGAAATGATAAACTTATTGCTAAATGAAGTTAGTCATGTGAAAGGGAACCTCCAAGCTGAATTGTAATAGTGACAACTGAGGAAGGTCAATCCATGATTAGAAGAATCTGGTCTAGGGATAGCTCTCCCTAAAAATAATCCATTTTAAATCAAAAGATGTTGGCAGAGTAATGTGAAAAAAACCTCATGAAAGTATTGCTTCTTAGAAGTATCTGATCTGATGTCCCCAAATAGCCACGTCCCTTTTTTTTTTTTAAAAAAAAAATAGTGATCTTTTCATTTTATAGCAGTCTTACATGTATGATTTGTGTTGTCCTACAGGAGATCTTAGCTCTTTATCCCTTCAATAAAATTTCTAACTGGAGCAGTGGCAGCACGTATTTTCACATGACAATAGGGAACCTGGTACGAGGAAATCGAATTCTTTGTGAGACATTTCTGGTAAGAGAAACAGAACTTTGTTAAGATCTTGCATTATAGAGAGGGACAATGAAAATAATATAGTACAGCACTTAGTCCTTTTTTTATTGTTCAGCTCTAAAATTTGGTGGTATCTCACCAAATTATGAAGAATATTTCTACTAATTTTCTGTATAAAAGGATAGAAAAAAAATGAAAGCTTTAAGTAAGCTTTTCCCCAATCCTCCAGAAATGTATGAGATTTGGCCTGACAAGCCAATATTTTATTGCATCACAACTGAGCAGCTACAAGTAGTTCTTACAACAATTCATTTAGTGACTGTTCAAAGTTACAATAGCACTGAAAAAACCTATGACTGTTTTTCACACTTATGACCAGTGCAGGATCTCCGTGGTCATGTGATCAAAATTCAGATATTTGGCAACTGGCATGTATTTACAGAATGACTGTTGCATTCTCCCAGGATCATATGGGGGAGCCAGATTCACTTAATGACTGTGCTACTAACTTAACTGTTATGGCAGGAAAGATCGTAAAGTGGGGCATAACTCATTTAACAACTGTCTTATTTAGCAACAAAAATGTTGGGCCCAATTGTGGTTGTAAATCAAAGATTAACTGTATAGTCCCTTGGTTGCTAAAAAGGAAGAAAGATGCCTGATTTCCAGCCAGCAAAACTTTGTCAGCCTACATGATTTCTACATTTCCTAAGCATATTTCATGAAGGAGCAGGAAGTCTATTATTGTATTTCCTAGAAACAATGTTTGATTCATCACATTCCTATATACAGTTTTCGATGTTTCTTTTGGGTAGCATTTCATGTAAGTGCTGAAGCTGTGCTCGTATATTTGTGAATCATTGTAGAGAAGTAGAAGCGACTCTTAGACATTGAAGCAGATCTTGAAGCAGATCCTTCCTGTGGGGGTGTCTTTGGGAATTAGTTTAGTTCCTTTTTGTGAAATAATCAATGATTGAGGGGAGATAGGTTTTCCACAACAATCAATATCTTAGCTTTGGAAAGTAGTCATCAATAATTTTCAGTTCATCTGGTTTCAGGCCTGGAAAATAGTTCTCTATTCTACATTATAGACAAAAATTCTGAAAGAGACAATTTCTCCTACAGTATTTACTCTAAAGTCTTATTGGAAATATGTTCTTCTTGGGCCAGAGTGTCAGAAGGATAAATTCCTCTTGGTTTTAGGATATTTAAGGTTATTACTCTATGAAGAATAGATGACTAGCCTTTACAGTAAATCTGGCTTGTGTAAAGATAACACTTTAAGTAGGAGTAATAGCACAATGCTTGCATCAATTGATAGGGAAAGATGTTCTTTCAACTATTAAAAATGTTTGTAACTCTATCCAAGGGATGATTTAATATTGCTTTACCGATAGAATATTTCTAGCTCAGGGTTGAACTGTGGTGTCCTTGGTGCTCTTTCACCATGCAGACGTTTCATTACCAAATTAGGTAATATCAATTCTAGTAAGGAGTGGGGTTTGCTCTCTTTCTATATATTAGTGGCTTGTCTTGTCAATGTTGGTGGGAGTGGTCTTGACAGTTGCTTGATTGGGCTGTTGTTTGCTTCGACTCTTGGTCTAATGTTAATCTTGGTGCTAATCTGCTCATCTGGGTGTTGATTACTGGTGAGGTGTTTTGGTATTTTTGTTTCTTTTTTGGCTTTTTGATTGTCTGTTTTGATTAATATGTAGATGCTGTTTATCTCTATAAATATTGTTTTGCTTTTTTCCAAGGGTTACAAAATGGATGACTTGTTGACATCATATGTTCATTTGCTAATGAACATTGTAAACAAACAGAAAAGGCCCAATATCCCAGTTTGAAGATGCAACTATCATCATGCAAAGGTTGTGCCAGATTTGCAATATTTGCTCTCTTGAAAGACATGAGATTTGGTTACTTTGCTTTTTTAAAAAAAAAAAACCAAAGAGAAGAGAACCATACAAATGCTGCTATACCAGAAATAAGTGTGGTCTTAGCTGGCTGCAACTTAATCATATCTGGCTTGGTTACAAGTTGTACTATCAGCATATCAAGATTTTGTACACTACCATCTTTTTAATAATTATAACCTCCTTCCTTGGAAGTATTGATCACATTCTTACTGTATTCTAGCCATCAGCAATACAGTGCAAAATGATGTTTGCTATTTTTTAGTTATAAATATATTACATTGAAAGAAAACAGCATGCTCTTGAGTTGAAGATTTCATTTTTTGAGGACTACCTGAACTTGATAAAATATGCCTCTGTGTCATATATGCCTACTAGTCTCCAAATTAAAAAAAAAAGCCACTGGATTCAGTGTTGCACCCACTCTTTCCTATTTCTGGAATATGCTCGCATGATGTTATTACAAATGAAGACTGAAATTTGCTTAAATAGTTCTGTAAACTTACATAGTATTTATTGTTTGAGAATTGCAGTTGTGTCCTTTTTTAAATACTATTTTAGTTTTTTGCTTGCTTTCTATGATCTGTATACTATTTGACAAGCTTCCACAGCGGAATTTCAGCCTATGTAAACATACCTAAAATTATGCTTTGTCAGATAATTTCTGACAAAGCTGTAGATCTGACCAAACACAGCCTTTGTTCTTCTTGCCCTTTGCCACCAATTCTTTTGGCGGAAATGATTGTTTTCTTGGAATAGTTTGGTGTAAGAACAAGGAACTTAATATCTATGGTTGATACTACAATGTTTTGTGTATAGGAGGAGACAATGATATTTTTTTTCTAAGCTATTTCATATTATGAAAATCATATTGTATTTTTACTTATTCTTGAAGTATTTTTACCAATTGATAGCAGCCAGCATGTGGGCTGTTATTTTGCCAAAGTAGTCACATCATCTCTTGTCAATTGAGATGAAGGTATGATGTTCTGCAATTAATGGTCATATGCATATGTGTGACCGGAATGGGACAACTCACAGCTGCCAGCTCACCATCAGGTCGCCTCTGCCAAATCACTGCTGCCAAGTCACCTGCAGGACAACTCCACATGGCCAAGTCACTGGAGGATAACTCTCCGCTGATGGAGAGCCGTGTGGGCGGGTGAGTGAGTGGGTGGACAGAGTGCAGAGCAGCAGTAGCTGCCAGGGATTTCCCATTTTCACACCAACCCACCATTACTGCTGCCGCTGCCACCGAACTCTGGGCCGAAGAGATTGGGGAGAGCAGCAGCAGCAGTGGGCAGCAGGGAGACAGTGGCTGCCAGGATCATCCCATTTTCACACACACACACAGACACACATCCGTCACTGTCTCTGGCCTCTTGGCAACAGCAATAGCAGCATGGTGAGAGTTATGAAAATGGGAAATCTCCAGCTGCCATCACCACTTTGTACTTTGCGCACACGTTGCTCGCCTGCCCGGCTCTCTTGGTCATCCACAGAGAGTTGTCCCGCAGCAAGTTGGCTGTGTGGAGTTGTCCTGCAACAACTTAGCAGCAGTGAGTTGGCAGAGGCAATTCGGCAAGCTGATGGCGGTGAGATAGCTGCACTAAGCTGGCCACACGTTGTCCTAGACCTATGTATGATAGAGTAGTAATATTTCTGTGTAAGTGAAATTCCATATTTTTTAAATACTTTTTTTTAAAAAAATGAGCATAAATATATTTTATGAGCTATGTCTGTTGCTGATACTGTTTGCTGTGAAATTAGCACGATCAAGATGACAAGGACTATACTGCAGATTTTCTGAATTCTAAATGTAAATCCACATTATGTTGCAACTCAATATATTTTGCATATTTGTTTTATGTTAAGTATATGCTCCAAATATTTTCTCCATTTTTAAACACAAATACATAATACATGCAGTTCCATTTCTTCCAGAAATATATGGTACTAAGTCAAATACTGTATAAACCAAATAAATTCCTGAATAATCTATCATAATTTGCTTTTATCAAACTCCTTAATGATTCTGACTAGATCAAAGGATGGCTGTGGCAGAATACAAGTTAAACACATTAATAGCTGTAGCAATCAATGTATGATATACAAGGTAATAAAATGTAGGACAAGTTGTTACTTAAAGTGAATGTACTTTTTATGCCCTAATCAGAGGTTGTGGATATGATGGCCATTTGTTACATACAGATCTATCATAAAGTAGACACTGCAATTTATCTGGAAGACTCTCACAGTTATGGAGAACAGTACTACATTCAAAACTGAAAAAAATCAATGCTGTAATTGGGAATATATCTATTTCTAAAAGAAAAATATATTACTTTTTTTTAGGAAGAAATGCTGGATCCATCAAGAGGAGACAAATTATGTGGTGGCTATTAGAGGCCTGTGGAATATTATTAGGTAACATAGTTTAAAAATTCAGGATGCTTATTAGTAACTACAATGTAACTAATCTTACTGTTATATTATGCAGAGATGAGTAATCATCATCATAGGAATCATAAACAATATGGTGAGACATAATTTGCAGAAACCCGTACTGGATTAATTATCACCAGGGTCAACAAGATCGGCAGTAGCTGTTGGTTACCATCAAGTGGGAAAAATAGTGAAAACTGAAGAAATAAACTTGCCCTAACATCAAGAGTCTGGATGAATAAGATTACTACAAATAGCTGGGCATACTTCAAGCTGTATGCCTCATGTACGCTGAAATCAAGAAGATTGGAACTAAATACATCATGAGAGTAAAGAAGAGCTTAAAGTTTTCCTCAGTGGAGGAAATGGTATCAAGGCAATTAACACCTCAGCAATGCCAGTCATTAGATACCAGCTGGATAAGAGGACTGGACTCAAGCAGAACTAAAAGCCCTGGATATGAAGACCAAAAACATAATGATAACAAATTATGCCCTTCATCCACGCAGGGATGTTAATAGACTTTATTCAATAAGAAGTACATACAGGTGTGGAATGTTGTTAAGTACATCAAATAGTTGAAGAAAAATGGACACTGGAAGAATATTTAAAGGACAGTGAAGAAGATGCATTGAAGCTAGTATACCATGAAAGCTTACTGAATACCTGAGAGTCCCAATGGGCCTACAGGAAAGACCAAATGAAGAACAGAAAAGACAGCAAAGTATTACATGGCCAGTACACAAAAAAGGAACAGGATAAGTAAGTAACAACTCCTGGCAATGGCTAAGAGCAAGAACATTGAACGAGAGATGCTAATTCTGATTGCATAGGACCAAGTCTTAAGAACGAATGCACATAAAGCCAGAATTGGGGACAGCAACAGACAACAAATGCCTGCAAGCAGGAACTGGTGGGACCACAAAGTAAACTAAGAGAAAACAAAGAAATTAAAGTGTTCTGGGACTTTAGAATTCAAACAGACAAGAACATGCCACATAACACCCCAGATTTAACAATTGTTTTAAGAAATAAAAGTCTAGATAGTGGACACTGCAGTACCTGGAAACAACGAAATAGAAAACAACTGAAGAAAATCACAAAATATAAAGATCTGCGAGTAGAAGTAGAATAACTGGCAAAAGAAACCAAAATAGTACCAATATCCATTGGATGAGATCCCAAAATATCTGGAGCACCACTTGAATACTATTGGCATTGATAAAATCACCATAAATCAATTGCAAAAAGTAACTTTACTTGAAACAGTTTACATCCTATAACCATACCTTTAATATCATCAAACATCTGCCTATTCCAGGTCCTTGGGAAGGACTTGATAGGTAGATAAAAATCCAGTCTAAACATCTGGCTGATTGTGTAACCAACCATAATATAATCAGTCCTAATTGAATGAAAGCATATTTTACTGGAAAGGAAAATATTTTGCATAATATTTGAATATTATCTATGGAGAAAGATGCATTAGAATAAAATATCACTATGACAATGATTTTATTAAACAGACAGAATCCTAATAGAAATAAAAGCAATACAGTTAGGTACACGTGACTTGTAAAATAGTTTTTAATGTTATGTTTAAAAGATACATAGCTGTGCTTATCATTCCAACTATAGAAAGTAATTACAATATTTTAACCCAGCAGGAATTTTTGATAGAGAAAAGTACAGAGTAAAAATATTATATGTGCACATTTTATTAAAGGTTTTACATCCATACATTGAAAGATAATTAGTATGTTGAATGAAAACACTCCATCAAATCTTATACATTGAAGTGGCTTATCATGCTAATAAGTTAAAGATTGTCTAAATCAGGGGTGTCAAACTCAATTTCACTGAGGGCCGCATCAGCATTGTGGTTGCCCTGGGGGGGCTGGGCGGGTGTGGCCAGAGTGGGTGCAGCCTAATGGGTGGGCGTGGATGGAGTGGGTGTGGCCTATTGGATGGGCATGGCCAGTTCTACATCATTCACGTCAAGGGTGCCTATGGGGGGCCTGGGCAGGAGTGGGACAGATCTGAGGGTCTCTGGCAGAAGGGGGTGGGACCGGGGCAAGTGCCAAGGCATGGTCCATTGGGGCAAGTGCCAAGATGGCCACCACAAAATTGTACATTGGCTCCCAGCTGGCCTGGGCCAGGGCCAAGGTAGCGGGGGCCATTCCCTCAATGCCAACAATACCACAGGATAATGGGTTAGTATGTTACAGTGGTTAGTAACTGTGCATTTAATATTAGAGTTATTTGCTAACTTCAGGAATCATTTATAAATTTATATAAAGAAAGTGCACGTAAAATATGAAAAAAATATTTTATTTTAAGAATATAGTGCAAGTATGGTGCATCTACATTCAAGATATTGAATAAAATGATATGAACCTGTTTGATTGCATTTAACAGCAAAATCTGTCATGTACTGGTTATGTTTATATCTTTATGATCACTGAAGAAGTTACCACAGATAGTCTTCAACTTATGACTATTTGTTTAACAGTCATTCAGTCACAATGGCAAATGGAACATGTATACTTTATGGCCCGTAAAAACACTTTACAAGCACTTGTAAAACATTGCACTACTTTCATCCTTGTCCGTGACTGTATTTTGCCCACTTGGCAACCTGTTTACATTTATGACCAACTGCCAAGTGCCCTGTGATCATGTGATTGCCATTTGCAATCTTCTTTGCCGGCTTCCTCAGAAAGTCAATGGGGAAAGCTGGCAAGAAAGGTTGCAAATGGAGGATTTGAGGTCCATTCTTCCAGTGCAAAGAGGGACTTTTCCTGCCCTCTGTGTAAGGAAGGGAAATCTTCCCCCACACTGGAGGAATGGAGCTCAGATCTGGTAAAAATGCTAGCAAACGTTCAGGCTCACAGCCTTTCAGAAAATCAGCTTTGCTAATGGTCTGAAAGTTTCAGAACATTGAGTCTCAGATCCTTTCAGAATTCTGGCTTTGCTAGCATTTATCAGAGGAGAAAATGCTAGCAAATGCTATTGTTCTCACTATGCACGCCTTCTCTGAGTCTTGCAATTTGCAGAAGGAGCCTTCCGAATCACTATGAAAATAGAGCCCTTGTACAAGCTGAAGCAAGGTGGGCCTAGCCAATGGACATCTTCCAGCCAGTAGCAGATTTCCATGTGCTGATGGGCATTGGGCCTCCACATCCTAAGGCCACCCCACACGGTTGCTTATTGACCGCAACAGAAAGAACTTGCATTGCAATTGTTGAGAGAGGCAGTCACATGGGTGCCTTGCTTAAAGACTACAATCCAGGCTCAATTGTGCTTGTAAATTGAGAACTATTTTTATTACTTGAGCTGGAAACATGTTCCATTATGGCACCTACTTGTATATATCTGTGTGTATGCTATGGAGTAAGTACTTGTAAGAATCAGGCTGTATAGGTAGAATTCATGTTTTTCTGGGTACGATAATGCACCCAGGGTGTTTTGACTTGCTTCTGGTTATGATAGTAACATGAATAGCTGAAACTTGTGATAGCACCACTGGGGGGGGGGGGAAATCCTTCAACTTTATGGTGATTAAAGGCTATTTTAGTAAGGGATTAAGAATGTTTATCTAACATGACCACAGAGGATGACATCACTACAATAAATTGATTTATCATTTATACATTTTATATAGCTAAACCACTATATAAGTATTAATGTGTTCTGTGTTTTGACTTCTGGCTTATGCCTGTGCACTGTTCTTCAGCAATGTAATCAGTCAGTTCTGCTGCTCTAGCAAAAATGAAGCACAAGTGCTCATATACTTCTCTAGGATGTTGCAGCATTTTAATAGACTGAGCAGACAACATAAACATAACACTTTGTTTACTTTGCTTAAATGGATGTGGCATTTCAGACACATAAGCTCAAATATATTACTAGATCACATAGGAAGGTCTTGATGAAAGTGATTCATTCAATGAGAATGTGCTTACTGCTCTTACTCTATTTATAAAAAAAATATGCTAGTCCTTGTGCATTTTTTCCTTTTCCATTATACTGAAAAGTATGATTTCAGATTAAAAAATGACCTTTCTTGTGCCAATCACAATTGCTAATAATAAACCAAGCAGGAGATAATATACATCTTTACTATAATTACTGAAGAGAAACCAAGTTTACCAAATAAGCATCTTACTCCGCACTAATCATTCTGCTCCATTTCATGTTCTGATCATAAGAACACAAGTACTATGGTGCAATATTACAAAAACAAACTATTTAGGTTCAAAATAGAAAACCCAAAGTATTGCTATAATACCACACAGTATAGGTTATTTGGAATGGCATTAGCAGAATCATAAAGAAATGAAGAGAAATTGTAAAGTGTAGCATATGGATTACACCAATTGATATTCACAAACCTTCTTGCTAACAGAATAATCACCAATTCTAGCTATGTTTGCCTGAGACAGCATATCTCAAAAACTAGAGGTTTCTAGCTAAATTGTTTTGGTCCATTCAGGTCTTATTTTCTGCTTTTTGTAATGTGAGAAAATGTATAATAGGTAGGAAGTTTAGCTTAAGCATTAGTATCTGTTTCAGCAGCTGAAATATTTGGTTGGTAAAAGAAAACATATCAAGCTTCACCATTACAGTGATATGGACAGCCATCTAATAAAACCAGTGTAGATTTATCACGTTGTCATAATGGCTTAACTGAAATTGTTAGTTCACTATTTAATTATTAGTCCCTTGCCATTTTAAGATAATGTTCACAAAGGGTACAATGTTATCTATCTCCCACTTCTACATCTTACTTTAACAATTCATAGAATACTATGACATATAGTATAAATCTGGCTCTCTTAATACTGAAAAATGAAAAAAAATCACAAAACACAGTTACAACAAAAGGAAAATAGTGCATGTTCACGTACAGCCACAGCTTCTCCCCCCCAAAGGCCAGACTCTGTGCACTATACCTGAGCAGAAAACATTTAGATTACTAGATGCAACTAGTGAGGCTCTGTGTGTCTTGGGCCCTTTAACCAGTCTTGGATGACTGCTAATGGGGAAGAAGAGTGCCGTGTGAAGGGAGCAGAGGCCTGTTTAAGCAGAATTCAGATCCAGAGCTTTGGGTTGTGTTTTCTTGGAGGTCAGCTCAGACAACTTCTTCAGCCTTTTCTTCAGCTCCAAAGGGAACTTCTCATAGCATTTCTTGCACACCGGCTTCATGTCAAATTCCACAAACTTATTCCTTTGAAAGAAATATATTACCAATAAATTCTACTCATAAAGTCATGTTGGGCTTGAAAACTAAGTAGGGAAGATGTGAGGTACATTTTCCCTATAGTTACTGTTAAGGGGCAAAATTCTCCAAAGTCCTGGTAGTAAATCTACATACAAATAAGTGCCTCGTTCAACCTATGGTTTAAAATAGAATACTTAAGTGACTATCCAAGCATAAGATACTGTTGGTATCTGCAATACTATTAGATATGTTTAGTTTTATTATGTACTTAATAATAATTCTTGTAATAATTAGGGGGCTGGAGGCTAGAACAAATGAAAAATAGTTGCAGGAATATGACTAGTTTAATGAAAAGAAGTACTAGGTGTGACATGATAGCAATGTTTCAATATCTAAGGGGCTGCCACAAAGAAGAGAGGGCCAACCTATTCTCCAAAGCACCTGAAGGCAGGACAAGAAGCAATGGATGGAAACTAATCAAGGGGAGAAGCAACCTAGAACTAAGGAGAAATTTCCAGACAGTTAGAATAATTAATCAGTAGAACAACTTGCCTCCAGAAGTTGTGGTGCTCCAACTCTGGAAGTTTTTAAGTCACCATTTGTCTGAAATGGTATAGGGCAGTGATGGCAAATCTTTTAGAGACTGAGTGCCCAAACTGCAACCCAAAACCCCCTTATTTATTGCCTGGTGCCAGGTGGGTGTGGCCCACTGAGTGGGTGTGGCTGTGGTGGTCATGGCAGACTGGGTGGGTGTGGTCACCTCGATGTTGCTCGTGGGGAGAGATGCCTGTGGAGGCCAGGCAGGGTTGGGGCAATCCAGGGGATCTCTGGCAGGTGGGGTGGTGGGCAGGAGGCTCATCCTATGGGGTGATGTGAGGCAAGGCAAGGCAGGGTGGGGGTGCCATTGTTGCAGGGCACGGCGAAGTAGAGGCCAGGGTGGTTGCTGCCTGACACCTTCGGCCCCTGCACACAGAGGCCAGCAAGTGCACGGGGGCCGACAGTGACCGTCAGCAGCTACAGTCTGCCAGCCCCTTAACCGGCGCACTCTGGGGCTCCGCAGCCCACCACCAGTAGTTCAGAGAAGCTGCCTCTGAGTTGGATGGCCAGCCGACAGCTGAGGAGGCGATGCAGTGGGTTGTGCCCAGGAAAAGGAGAGCATGCGAGGCCAGGAGGTTCGCCACCACTGGTATAGGGTTTCCTGCTTGAGCAGGAGGTTGGATTAGAAGATCTCCAAGTCCCTTCCAATTCTGTTATAATTCTTATGTTTCTCCTGTGGGAGCAGCAGATGACCTTTTGCTATGAAGGACAAACTTAATACTGTAATTCTTATATATTTAAAAGAAACAATTCATTGATTGCTATTTTGGCCTTATCCAGGGAAACCTCCTTACATAGAGTTTTTCTAATTAATCATGGTTTTTTTCCCCTTTGCTGTTACAATGTGTTCTTGACAGATAACCAATTATTTCAGCTATGTTATTGTGGCAATCTTTGTAGTTGGTCGTTTGGACCCACAAGAAGAGTAAGTCTGCTGGGTCAGAGTTTTGGTTTTACTTGGTGGTCAACAGATCCTCTAAATGACTGCAAGTAGGAGGTAGAAATACATCTGTTCCTGCTATTATTCCTGCAAATGCTATTTGAGGGAGGCTGATTTCAAATCAGAGATACAACTGAATACTAAAAGCCCTTCATCCTCTCTGGATTTATCATTTCTTTTTAAAGTTATTTAAGTTAGTAGCTATCACCAGGTCTAGAGGCAATACATTCCATAGGTTAATTGCATAATATATAAAGAATAGCTTTCCTTTGCAACTTCACTGGGTGATACTGGTCCTAATGTTTTGAAAAAGGGAGGGTGATAAAACGTCTTCCTCTTCACTTTCTTCGTGGCATAAATGACTTTTTAGACTTTATCGTTAGCCTCTGTTCCAAGCTAAAGCATCCCATACTCAGAGAAATGATTCAAGCCTACCAAGCATTTGAGATGCTCAGTTCTGTTATATCAGCACCCAAAAAAGTATTCCATGTGTAGTGGGACCACATTAAAGATATTACTCTTTTATTTCAATCCCTTTCTTATGAAAATCCCTTCTGAGTTAGCCTTTGCTGGCCACTTACTTCAAGGTGAGCTTGATGTTGCAGGTAGAACAGGAGAAGCAGTTTACACACCAAGCTTTGTTGAGAGCAGATACCACTAGTGAGAAATAGTAAAGAATAGGATGTTATCACACTATAGCGTTGTTCCAAATTCAGTAGATGGATTTGAAAAGAATCATTGAAAAGAGCCGCAATGGGTGTATTGAGAGTCTACAGCTTACCATCCCCCTCGATCACGTGGCTGCAGTTGTAGCAGACGTCTCCAAAGAGCTGCATAAAAAAGAACAAAAGCAATAATTTTCATTCAAAGGAAGGAATGTTTCAGCCCTTACAGTTTATTCATTGCTGCCTCTAGAAGAATGATCTCAGTTATTGCTCTCAATTTCAGTCCCTTCACAGCTTTTTTTCAGAACTTAAAAGAATCAAGTTTTAATTCCTAAAAACTGCATATCTTAAACAATTTTAAAGTACAGAATCAGAGCAAAATCTTTGCTTTATTTAACCACATTTTTTGAAGTTGAAAGCTGTTGCTCTGATTTTATCTATCCATGAGAGGATGAGAATCTGAGGAAGGAAGGAGAGTTTTCCATCATAATGTTCAGATTATTTTTTCTCCAGTTTATATCTAAAAATTAATAAGAATTATACTTGTTGCTTTGGAAGAACTCATCTAACTTCAGTTACCCAGTTTATCTCTTTCAGGTTTGAGAGGACCTTAGATTAAACTAAACAATTATACATTCTATAGTTAAGGGGCCCTTTGATCATATGGGAAGGCTCCTTCAATTGGTGATAAGTGCTTGATAATAATTAGAAAGTATTCCATCAGTGTAACAAGCTGTATTTTTAATTTAGTTGAATATTTAAAATATCTCTAGGTTGACTCTCCCAAACACTAAATACTTCTAATGTTTATTTGCCCCACTGAAATCAATGTATTGTAGAGGAAAGAAAGGACAGCAGAGCCTGTTATAAGCTCTAGGCAATGAAAAATGGATGAAGAGATAACAACGCAAGATTTCCCTCAAGTTCAACCCCTAATCTGAAATGTAGTTCTGAAAAATTTGCACAATGTGAAATGAGAGGAAAGGGAACTCCATGTGCCCTTTAAAAAAAGACAGCAAGCCTCTTTGAGATCCTGCTCGTCTAAGGCAGTGGTGCACCATAGAACAGGAGTACCCAACCCCCGCTCCATGGGCCAGCACTAGTCCGCAGCGTGCCAGAAATAGGGCCGTGCAAACAAGCAAAGCCCCATCTGCGGGATGCAGGCAGCACATGAAACCACGCCGCCTCTGGTCCACGGAAAAAACTCTCTCCACGTAAGCAGTTCCTGGTGCCCAAAAGGTTAGGGCCCACTGCCATAGAGCAATGAAAGATTCCTAGAGAATTTCCCCAGACTACAGATTCTCTTGTAACTGAGCAGTGCTACTGATCAGTTTCCTTTGAGAAAGCTGAGGAAACCTGGGTTGTTTTTAAAGCACCTTTTTGTTTCTTTATAAGGAGCACTATGCACAGCACAGTGAAAAATAATCTATTTCTTTCAGCAGTCTAGCTTACAACAAACAATAAATTATGCCTCATTTTCCACTTCAAGACATGATGTTTTCTTCCAGTAAATTCCAACTAGGAAATTCTTGGCACTGACTTCTCTTTTTTCTGCCCTTCATTCTGCTCCATACTTATGAATGGCTATTTATGGTTAGCCAAGCTAGAGACAATTTGATTTGCATTTCCATCCCAAGTGCAAAGTATTCCTAGACATTAAGTACTTATTAAGACTAGTATATCTACCATATCTTTAAATTTTATCTTTTTAAAAATTCTCTCATTCAAAATTTGTATCTTACAGAAAAACATTATGCTTTGTTTCCCCTGTCAAAAAAGAAGAAGAAAAATAAAAAATAAAATAAAATAAAAAGAGAAACAAAATATCTTATAAACGACAGTAGACTTTACCTGATTGTAATGAGTCTCACAGTAAGCCAGACCCTTTTTCTCATAATGCCGGTGTCCTAGGAATGGCTTCTCACATTTTGCACAAACGAAGTGCTATAAAGTGAAAAGGACATGTTATATCAAAGGGTCATTATCAAAGAAGTTATGTTAAACATGACATAACATTTGTTATGGAGTTTTGTATGGTAAAAAAGCAAAACCAGCGATACCAAGCTCATGTTATTTCATTGTTTTGTATAGTCACCTCCTCCAAGGGGATGTTGTTGTGGAAGTGCTGATGCTTTCAAATAATGCTGGACTAGAAACAATGGTCTAAGAAAGTACCACCTTTGAATATATTTCATTTTTATGCTACTGCATACTGATTTCTAAATTGTATCAAATAATTAAGAAGAAATGGGAATTATATATTCCACAATCAAACTCTGCAATAAAATATGCCATGTTTCACTCCAAAATCCTATGTCATCTTTATTATATAGAATTAGTAGTGGAATGTCAAATTTCATACGAAACTAACATTCCCAATAACACTCATATTTGTGCTGAACTTGAATTCTAGTACTTCTAAACATGTTCACAATTGCACCTTTTGAGTCATTGTTATCCCAGCAATCCTAAGTAAATATCTGTTGGTTATAAGGTAGGAATATTGTCTTTTCTTTAGACATTTGCTTTTTTATTTAGTAATATTTCTACACTGGATTCTCACAACCACTAGCAAGATGAAATACCTTGATATCAAAACATATCAAAACAGAATATTCATAATATTATCTTAAAATATTAAAAATATTTTGGATCTATTCATCAAATATGTACTGTACCATAAAATTTGAATTACATCATTTAAAACAGAATATAAAAGTCAGTACAACCAGTAACTTATGGTCTAGAACCATGTCTTCTAATGTAGTATCAATGACAGAATCATATTGTACATATGTTGCAGCATTTCCTTTGATTCTAGTTGCTTTTCAATCACATTTTAATCTGACATTCTATAAAGCTATGAAATATCTTGATATAATTGACGAAGATGAGTTAATTTTTCTCCCTGACTGTCCTATTGAGATTAACATTTGTACTTATTTGTACTTGCTGTACAATACTTATCTTTCAAAAGACAAAGAGAGATTCATTACAGCCATCCTGTCTTGAAATGTTGGAAGACTATTCATAGATTTTAGTAACAGGATTTAAAAAATAATAATAATTGTGGTCTTTCAGATGTTTTTGAACTCCTACTCCTCCTATCCTTAATCATGGATTATCCTGGGAACAATTCAACACGACTTGGAGGGTCACAATTTTCCTGACCTAATATATTAATAAATTTATCTTTTAAAGCAGGAAACAGTTTCATCTATTATTGTTTCATGTATTTTTTACTATTTATATATTTGGGGCAAGACAGGCTACAAATCTAGCTAAATGCAAAATAAAGATCGATTTCATTTAAAACTATATTGTGTATGAAAAACAGCGGCAATATCTGTTTATTAAATCAGGAAAACACATTGTATTAAAAATGGAAGGGTAATGATTTCCAGCAAGCAGCAGATTGGGGAAGTTCTCACCTCAACATGCCATTGTTTTCCTAGAGCATTGACCACTCGACTCTCAATAGGCCGCCGACAAGCCCCACAGATTGGAATGCCCATCTTATCATGGCACGGCAGGCAGTAGAGCTCTCCTTTCAGCTCCCTGGCATCAGCGGTCAATTCTTTCCTATACAACAACATTAGTAGTTAAGACTTTGGGACCAATATTTGTCCCAGATAGCATGTGCTAATAATCACTACATAATCTAAAACAGGCTCTTACTAAACATGAAAAGGGGAAACATTCTTAAATATAAATATACTCCTTAGATTTCCTTTGACTCATTATTCATTCTTACACATACTGTGGAAGAACTATTTTTAATATAGACTTTGGTTTATCACTTGTATTTTAGAAATCAGAAATAATCAGAATTACTGAGCCACTGTCCATTAAACCTCAGAAGGGTTCTCTGTTGTAAATGTTTTATCTAATTAATTTTGTACCTTGGAAACTTTACATCTAGCTTCTTAATAGGCAATTCATGTTCAGAGGAGATTCAGTTCAATAATTTACTATGTAAAAGGAGATTTATAACAACTTAGCACATGGCCAACATACCCACAGTGGGTGCAGCTGAAATGATCCGGATGATAGGAGTCATTCCTGAACATAAGAGGCTGTTCATCAATTATCAAGTGGCATTTCTGGCAAATATATTTGCCCAAGCCTTTGGCTTTCTCACGATTGTGGCAAGGCCGACAAAGGTGTCTAAAATGCAGTTGGAAAGAGAAATGTTGAGAGACATCATTTAAATAACAGTAATTTACAAACAAATTTCTTGTTAGACTTCAGAGCTTCTGAATCTTAATAAGAACATTAATTAATAAACCATGTTTGGAACTTGTGTGTTATTGCATGAATGACATCAACACTGAAATGGTTTAGGTAAATGTCAGTATGATTTTCTATCTACTTATGGCTTTAAAAAAGTCGGGAAATTTCAAATATACAAGTACACACAAATGCATTTACATTTAATTTTGCAATTTTCCCCATATAGAACATGCTCTATTTTGTTCATTTATGGGACTGAATGCATAGATAACATGAAAAGCTAATTGATAAACTGTGCAAAAACCGAAAAGAGCCAAGCAACTCAAATTAATGGCACAGTCTCCCAGGCTTCCTGAAAGATCCAAACAAGGTCATTTGGCCTCTAGGTCCTTATCAATAGAAAGGAGCTAATAATAAATCTCAGTTCCATGAGCCCACTGTGGATCTTGTGTTCCTTACAATCCTCCAATAGAAAGCCCAGTCAGCATAAGTGGAAAGGAATGTTATTAGCACACTTGCTTCACAAGTCTTCTCTGCTCTTCCTCCCCAAAGCTGAAGATACTAAGACAAGAGCTACAGTTCACAGAAAGAAAGCAGACAGCGTCCCTTTATAAATGGGAGTATGCAGCTGTGTTGCTCTCAGGATAAAGGCATCAATTTTATTCCTCTCTGTGGAATGAAGTCTAATTATACAGGGCAAGACATAGAGACCCTACTGCAAGTGTCCTAAGAAGAATACCCTCCCATTTTACTGAATAAGGGGCCTTCAGCCCTTTCCACTGATAAACCATTAGCAGCCCGGCTCATTTGGAAGCCCTGTCTACTATCCTATAGATCCTTGTCCAGTGCAAAGCAAAGGGAGGTCCTAGAATCACAAAGCCGTTACTATGGTAGCCGTCCTTCTCACTCACATTCCCACCCTTATGGAATTATCCCTTTCTGAAATGTCCTGTTGTGTCTGTAGCACTAGATTTCCCCTCCCCTTCTGCAATACTCTCCAAGATCTCTAAGGCAGCCAGAGGACTCCAAAGGCACAGTGTAAAAGAGGTCCAAAGAGAGAGGTTTTAATGAGCAGGGAAAACATTGGAATATTCATAAATACAATAACAATTAGTAACTCCCTCCTCCAACAGCTTAGCTGGAATTAAGACAGTCTTTCACGACAGGCATCTTATCTCCCCCCTCTTCTGTGTGCAAGATGATAAAGGACAATCACACCTAGCAGAAGTCTATATAGTGCAGCTCCCTTTTCACTGAATTTCCTAAAGTCAACCTCTGATGGAACTTTTTACAGCGGTGTTCTCTTTTCTAAATTTGCTGGTGTCATAAAGAGCTCAAAGGTTTTCATCACAACTTGATCAAACTGCAAGCAAACTGCAAGAGGTAAGAGCTTTGGTATCAGGGTCAACAACATTTATTAGCCTAGAAAATAGAGCATCTCCTAACTTGTATTGTTGTTTCCAAATGAACGGTTTCTATTATTACTGTTCAAGAATTGTTGCCTATAATGTTAAGAACACAGTTGGGTGTTCTACTTAATATTACTAGATTACAGCATATAGTATAATATATACATAATAGTGGAGATTGGTGATTAAATATTACATTTATAAATGAATTACCACCGTTACAACAAAATGATATAAGTTTATTTTTTAATGTTCATAATACTCATAAAATATAACTTTAGATGAAGAATGAAAAGCTTTGCTGTTCTAAGAAAATAGAAGTAGCTGTGATTTCTAATGTATTTTTTATGACAAATAGTTATGATTCCCTTAATAAACTAGAGAATTGAATACAAACAAAAGACAATCTGCTGCATGCCTGGAACTTGGGAATGTTTGTTAAGCTTCATTAAGATATAATGTAGTATTTACCTTTTTGCTGTAGAGGAAATCCTTTATTTTATATTTTTTTTGAAGCATCTGGAATACTCTGTAGTCAAGTTGCAAAATTAATACTTGCTATTGGTATAAAGTGTTTATGTTCCAAGAATATTAGAATTATATCCTAATAATGCTGAATTTTTCATTTATATGATTTCTATGCTTTTCATTATATCTAAAGACTTGAATGAGATTAACCATAGGAACAGAAGCTTTTCCAGTATTTATATCGCTTTTATTTGCAAAGATCTGTCTACAACGCACTTTAAATCACACAAATGATGCATGCAATGCACAGTATATACCACTTCTGTGGAACTGCAATTGAATGTACACACACACACACACACACACACACACACACACACACAAGCATAATATAATATTGCATGTTACATATAGGGATAATTAGAATTGTGTATTTATGACAAGTAAGCAATTAATTGAAATATGGCTAACTGAAAAATTTAAAAGTAGAACATTCTCTCCCAGAATTATACCTAATTTGCATGCATAGTTTATAAAAAGAATAACCAGGATTCATATGCCAATATATAATGTTTTTGTTTATGCATCTAATTCTAGAGGATCTCCTGATTATCTGGAGGTGGCTTTTTCAAAAGTCTGACGATGGGGTTATCAGACAAAACCTAATCAACATCCAATAGCAAGGAAAACAAACAGCAAATGTTGCTAGTTCATATAATAAATAATAAAACACAGATTTCTTGGCATTGTAATATTTTCGACCATGTTTGTTTATTTGGTATTTCAGGTTCAGATTGAAGACCAGTTGTGAGGAATGAACAGCCAAGCAGACTCCTCAGGCCTGTTATTCAACATTTCCCTGTCAAATTCAGAGCAATGTGGCAAAGAGAGTCACATGGAAAACATCCTTTTTGCTATTTTCTACCTTCTCGACTTCATCCTAGCCTTTCTGGGCAATGTTTTGGCACTCTGGCTCTTCATTCGGGACCAAAAATCAGATACCCCTGCCAACATTTTCCTGATGCATCTTGCTGTAGCCGATCTATCTTTTGTGCTCATTTTGCCAACTCGGTTGGTCTACCACTTTTCAGGCAATCACTGGCCATTTGGAGAGCTCCCTTGCCGACTCACAGGGTTTCTTTTCTACCTCAACATGTATGCAAGCATCTACTTCCTCATGTGCATCAGCATAGATCGCTTCTTAGCTATCGTGCATCCTGTGAAGTCCCTCAAGCTCCGGAGGTCACTCTATGCTCATTTGACCTGTGCCTTCCTGTGGGTTATAGTTGCCGTGGCCATGGCACCTCTTTTGATCAGTGTGCAGACAGTTGAGATGAATAATACCACCATCTGCCTCCAACTCTACAGAGAGAAAGCATCACGCCATGCTCTTGTATCACTGGCTGTTGCATTCACTTTTCCATTTTTTACTACAATAACCTGCTATTTACTGATCATACAAAGTCTGAAGAGGCACCGCATTGAAAATCATCTAAAGGAAAAAGCCATCAAAATGATAATCATGGTTCTTATGATCTTCTTGGTCTGCTTTGTGCCCTATCATGTCAACCGCTATATTTATATCCTCAGTTATGATGGTGTAAAAACTTCTTGTGCAACGCAGAGGATCCTGGCACTTGGCAATCGCATTACTTCATGCCTCACCAGCTTAAATGGTGCCCTAGATCCGATCATGTATTTTTTTGTTGCTGAAAAATTTCAAGAGGCCTTGTGTGATTTGTTTTGTGGCAAAAGAGTTGCAAGATTACCTTCAAGTTATGATGGGAAAACAAATGACAGCTCTTTAAGTGCTAAATCTGAACTGTAAATACCCCAAAATAAAATACTTCCTTAACAAACGTTTGCTGCCCAGCACGGCTTGATCTCCTAGAAAGCAGAACAGCTTTTCTATAAAAACACAAGATCTAATATTTAATTGTTAAGGAAACAACAGTATATACAACAATCCTAATTGGAAAGGGGGACTGAGGTGGTAAATGGTGCTATTTCCAAAGCACTCTATTCCGTTGGCCAGGATGGATAGTATCTTCCTTTTTTTTGCCTTCTACCTAGCATTTTTAAGGGTTTTGGGGGATGGGTGGGTGAGGAGAATTACAAAGATAAGAGTTACAGGTACTATCAGGAAATATAGTTCTTTTGATTTCCTGGAATACTCTTTTGAGTGTTACTGTCAGTAGAAATATCACCAATAGATTTTTCATAAGCATAATCTGGTTCTACAGAAAATTAAGAGGCAGCTTTACCTTATCATCATTTCAGGAATCAGATCAGGTTGGGTGAAATTATGAATCTTGTGATAATTTTTGCATAGCAAATAGTAGCAAGTAATAATTACATTAGGATATAAATTGAAATTTCAGTGAACAAAAGTTTAGTAACTTCACCAGAAAATAAATTTTCATAGATGATGAAAGAATAGACCTTTTAATATATTCAAACAGTGAATAGAGAAGTTTTAGTAATATTCAGGAGCTGTCCAAATTGTATTTTGTGCAGTCTACAATATAACAGGAATTCACCCCAAAGTTGTTTAACATTTAGCAATAGTACGTAGCAATAGTACTTAGAGTCTTAGACTTATATACCAGTTCACTGTGTTTTACAGTCCTCTCTAAGTGGTTTGCAGAATCAGCATATTTTCCCCAACAATCTGGGTCCTCATTTTACCGACCTCGGAAGGATGGAAGGCTGAGTCGACCCTGAGCCAGTCAGAATCAAATTGCTGAATTGCTGGCAATCGGCAGTCAGCAGAAGTAGCCTGCAGTATTGCATTCTAACCACTGTACCACATGGCTCTTTACATCTACAATGCAAACTTCTGAGAGGTTTATGAATATGGGGTTTAATTTTAAACAAACGTTATAATTCCCCCACCATAGTTGAAAAAGAATCAAAAAGCTACAGATTCTTTTTGCTATACCTCAAGATGAATAAATTACAAACATCGTATTTGAGCAAAATGTTCCTTTTAATTATAGCTTTGGCTGTAGATACTATTTTCAATAGCAGTGAATGCACAAATCACATTTTATGTACAGATTCTTATATGACTGAATAGGGTTAATGAATTCTTAGACAGCTTGCTACAAATCATTAACTTAATTCAGTTTAATAATTTAAGATGTAAGTCTAGCTGGGCACTTAGCCCTACTTAATGTAGACTGCATCTACCATAGTGTCTTAGAACAATGATTATCTGAAGCTGGAGCAACTGCGCTTGTACAGCTACCTGCTTGACTTTGCCAATATAACTTTACTGCAGTTCTATCACAAGTGTGTGCTATCATGCTTATTACCTTTCTACATATCAGATTCTAGTCAACTTTATACTGTGCAACTTATAAGTTTTGATGTTTTCCATTATGTTTATAACATATGCACATACAAGCTAAATGTTTAGCTGAAACAATGTAGAATCCTCCCATTTGCCTTTTAGCAGCTCAATTCTAACTGTTTTCTAAATTGAAGTATGCTGTGACCACAAATACATAGTATCTACTAAAGGAAAGGCACAAGGACTGCCTTTAATTTTTCTAAAAATTCTTTTTAATTTAAAAATTGTAAATTTCCTTAGCCAATATAATAGAACAAATATAAAACATAAAGATAGATTCAGAGAATTTACAAACAAATAAAACATTTAATTTCCAATAATTATTTTCATTAAGGAAAATAATATAAATGCTAAGAATAGGTTAGAAAACTGAAAGTTGCTGCACATATTTTGAGGCTATTCTATTTTGTTTTTGTTTTTCCAAATAATTTTTCCATTTATTGTTTTTTTACTTTTACATTCTTTATAGTCTCATTTGTACTTGAAATTTATATTTAAAAACTGTTATATTTCTTACATAACTGGAAATACATTCAAAAGGAGAATAAAGTAATTTTGTTTATATTGGTACAAAATTCTGTCTATCCAACAACATTGTTGGTAAGTATTGTCTATCTTAATATAACTGTATTTATACAAATGCTTAGCTACTTTCTAACATTTTGTCTAAAAGAATTACCATTTTGAAAATGGCTGCCAATGCATTCGTTCTCCAGACTTTTTGGAGACATACCTTCCTTTCCATAACTTATCACTAGTTTATATAATGCATTCAACTTCATATTTATCTTCTATGCCAGGGGTAGGCAACCTTGGCTCTTTTATGACTCATGGACTTCAACTCCCAGAATTCCTGAGCCAGCACAGCTGGCTCAAGAATTCTGGGAGTTGAAATCCACGAGTCATAAAAGAGCCAAGGTTGCCTATCCCTGTTCTATGCCTATCTCATCAACTGCTAACATTTAACATATAAAATACAGACATAGTTCTATCTATTCTTACCTGCCAGCGTTCTTCACAAAACCCAAATCAGCAAGAACCACATCACAGAGTTCACAACAAAAGCATTCAGGATGCCAATTATTGTTCATTGCTTTGATGACTCGGCCAATGATGAATTCACCTTGAAACAGAAATACCACACTTCATAACCTTATTTCAATTCAGAAGACTCCTTGCTCCTTAGCATTCCATAGTAGTTGTTAGGTAGCAAAAAGTTTTGAAAGCATTTTGTACTCTGCTTTATTACAGTAATGAGAAAGAGTAAGACTAACTCGCTCAAGGCCACTGAGACAAATCCAGGTTTATTAGATATAGAACTAATATCTATTTCACTGAACCACAAAGACTGCCCTATAAAGTTCTGAATGTCAGGATTTTCTTTAAAAAATGTATAATTTTCCATGTATGACTTTTGTTCTTACCTATGACCAGTGGGGTTATCAAAAAATGACAATACTGTCTTCTTAATTTGCTCTCTACTGCCTCCCCTTAATAAGTTAATGGTTATAGAACAGCCAGGATTTGAATCATTTATGTGGAAAACTTACCACATTCCCCACAGCATGGTGCAAATAGCATCTGGAAGTCATGCTCACAATATTTTCTCCCTTCAAACTGAAAGAGATATGCAGGAAAACATATCTTTATAAAACATTCACCATACAAACAACTGTAGAAAGTATGAACACAAAGCAATAGAATTTTCTCATTAATATCTGGGGGATCTTGCATTATTGATTCTTACTTTTGGGAAGTTCATTCCAAAACATTAACCCACCTTCAAAGCACAATAGCATTTCGATGCATTTATTATAATTTTAACATTCATTAGATATTTTGTAAAGTACTCTTATTTCACTTTGCTAGTTATAGTCTCTGATTTTAAATGTGCCTTTTTTACTGATTATAAAGAGATTTACTTTTAATGTATAATAGATAATATCCCATGATCTTCTGATATTGTTTGGCACTGCATTTTTATTAAATCAAATCAATTAAAAAAAACAAAGGGAGGCACAACTGGACCTGTAATATTTTTATTTTAAGAAAAAGTGTTTTTAGTTTTCCCTTCCTTCTGTTTCACTATCATGGCTTCTAATTTTAACTGACTACAGCAGACATGTCAAACTTGTGATGTCACATGACATTGCACAACATATCGGGACGGTTTTGCCATTGCTGGCAATGGGGTGGGCGCAGCTTCCGGATGACGCGTCTGCCCGCAGGCCGGCAGTTTGACACCCCTGGACTACAGTGTACTGGTATGTTTAAAGCTGGATAAACTATGGTTACTCTTAAATATGGATAACTGAAACATGTATACTTTCATGCTTGGTTTATGACATTGGTTTATACACATCCCAGAAAAAAAATCATTTTCTAAATGTTTGGATTTGTACTCTTCAATTAATGCTCAAAGAAATGAAAGCTTCCAATATTACCTTTGCAGATGTACTAGAGGATGTGAAAGGAATACAAGGTTTCAAGCTAGTACACGTAGCTCTAAACTATAATTTAGCATAGACTTAAATTATACTGACTAGAATTTTTTTGAGTTCTAACTCCAATATTTGTCCCAGATTCTAAGCTGAAGAAATCTGGTTAACATTGTACCTGAACTGGTGACTGCTGAACTCTTCTCGCTACTTGTCTAAGAAAGTGAGACCCTGTTGAAAGTTGGATGATATTAAAAATTATATGGGGAGAAAAGGGAAATGGAACACTGAATTAGGAAAAAAACTAAGTAACTTTCTAAACTATTAAAAGTGTAATAATCTCACATCATAAAAGAGGCCATCTGGAAACTGACGAAAGCACTGAGCACAGACAAAGCAGTTTTCATGATACAGTTCTCCATTGCTGTTTACAATTCGTTCGGTGGGATCAAAACGGGCTCGACAACGTTCACATACAGCATTCGCAAGGGCATCTGACATATTACTGAGAAGCAAAAGAGAAAAATGAAAAATACCTCTTCTAAATACAAAGTGTAGCCACTAAATTAAGTTACATTAATAAAAAATAAAACTCCATTTTTATACTTTGATTTATATTCAAGCACAGTTGAAGTGTCAATTATAAATATGATCAGAAGGTAAATATTTAATGATCCTATATAGAGTAGAGTAGAGTAGAGTAGAGTAGAGTAGAGTAGAGTAGAGTAGAGTAGAGTAGAGTAGAGTAGCTTTATTTAGCCAAATATGATTAGACATACAAGGAATTTGCCTCCGGTGCAGAACTATACTAGGCTAGTGATTATACACTTCAATTAACAGTTTATCTGACTCTCATTCTTAATAGAAAGTAAACTCATAATTGGGCTTTTAATAAACACACAGACTCTTGTACTATAAAGCAATCTACTGAGCTATATCTGAAGATATAGTCTTCTGGCCCTCAAATGAAAGTAAACTATTTGCTGGTCTCTTATTTTATGCCATCTACAGAATATTATTTATAGCAATCATAATAAATAAATTAGGATTTAAATGATGTTTTATCAAAAAGTCACAGAAAAACTAAACCAAGAGGTAATAGCTATTAGGGATATCCTTTAAATTATTTTTAAAAAGCAGCATAGGTCAAGGTAAAGCTTTTTCAGCACATATTTATGTTCAGCTCCTGGAGACTTCATAGAAACATTTGTAGAAGGTCATGGATGAAATTCAGACAAATGGCTTCTAAGCAGAACCTCTTTAATTTCTGAATTCAAAGCTAAATAATGGGGCACCTTTATAAGCATCAAAAACCATCCATCTTTACCTTTCTTCTCTATCTGCCAAGCAATCTGTAGATTTTGATTAAAATTGAGATAAATCAAAATAACAACTAAATTGTATTCCTTCCAACTGCACTCTGAAGTTAGAGTGCAGCTATTATTTGATGTCCAATGAGACAGAAAGAGTTCAGATCAATTTTTTTAGGGACATATTTCAACCCAATCAGCTCTTTGCTACAAGCTCAACAAGGATGTCTCTGCATATGGTGCCTTTAAATAGGTTTTCCGGCAGGTTTGTAACAGGATAAACTGGCTCAAACGGTCTGTGCTTTCAGAGCTTAAAAATTCTGAAATAAGCCTCAAAAATCTTTAGCAAGCAGTGCAGATCTTTTGATATAAACAGGCTGTGGTTATTTTTCTATAACTGTGCACAATTTTGCAGCCTAAGAATTACAGTTTGCACCAAAAAAAAGCTTCTTAAAGGTTTTTCTCTTTAATCTAACACAGTGCAGTTAAGTAATCTTGACGTTCACAAGGCACAAATAACCATTTGAAGGACCAAAGGATTCAGAAAGGATATTGCTTGTACCCAAAATGTAACTGTGACAATGTACTTTTTGCCATCTGAACATCTAGGAAAAATAAACCTCACTTTTGAAATCTGATTTTCTGCTGACAATTAATACCTCAAAATTAAAGGTATTTGATCTGCTTTCCTTTAGAATATTTTACATGCTTAAGACATTTTCACAAATTTTTGATGCCTGCCAGAAAACATATCCTACATTTAATCCTACATTAGAATTCTCTCACAGGAACGATGTTGTTGGGCTAAATAAGAGGAAGGAGCATCTTTTTGATCCTGAGTGAAAGATAGAATATAAGCTAATAAATAAATAAATATAGCTAGAATATTGTCATCTCCATTTTTAGCAAAACTAAGTATAATCATTATCTTTCCTATACATTATAAAACAGGCTTTCTACAATTAATGCACTGGGTTAGGTACTCATGTCTCAGTTTTTCTATTGTTTGTGAAGGTGACTACTTATTAACTTTTCTACATGATATCTGAATTTATTTTTTACCCTCCCTTTTTATTTTTATAAATAATTTGTTAATTCATAAACTATTTTTTCCCAAATAGTTGGGAAAAAATTTCTATATTTCTATGCTTTCAACTTTTACATCCCCTCCCCCATCCCCCCCAAAACACCCCCCCTTCTCCCCCCTGAGCTTCCCAGAGCAGAATATAGGCTTAATTAAAAAAGAATTAAAAAAAATTATATATAAAAAAGAAAAAAAATAAGACTGAAATATATGCATATGTATATAGAAATGCTTTCAACTTTTATGCTAACTGTTCAAAGCAAGAACTGCCAAAATATCAGAAGAGCGTTAATAAATAAAAATGAGAGTTAGAGATTGTCATGACACAAATGTCATTTCTATATGAGTACTATGTGAAAAACTAAGTGCTAATTGATTACAAGAAACAGAAGTTTAAATTTCCATGAGGGAAAACATGATCTGCATCTTGTCAGAGCCATAATTATGCCACATGTTACTTTTGACCTTACAAGCATTTCTGGATTTTCTCATCCATCCCACATAGTCACCTACTTGCAAAAGGCTAAAAATGTCAAATAGTTAAAGATTTCTTATATTAGAACAGCAGCAAGCTTTCATAACTGACATTAGGAATTAAAGATAGGAGTTAAACATTTTCCAACAAAATGGATACCCACACAATTTTATCAAAAAGTATCTAATCACAGAACCTGCTACACTACAATGTATCAAAAACATCTCAGAAATAATAAGCCAGGGGTGTCAAACTCGCAACATCACGTGATGTGTCGCAATATATCGCAACTTTTTTCCATTGCTGACAATGGAGTGGGCGTGGTTTCGGCATGATGCATCCGGCCCACGGGCCGGCACTTTGACACCCCTGTCTTAAGCAAACCAAAATGACCCAGTAACCCAAGAACAAAAAACATGAGTCATCTACAACATAAAATGCAAGGACAAGCTGGAATAAAACTAGCAGAGCACATCCACAAACTAACTTTTAGAAGACATGATCAAAAACTCCTTAATTTCACAACATATGGACTCAATCATAACTTCAACTGGAAAACTATTAGCATCTTAGACTAAGCCAAATTCAAAAATGCTATGCAATTCAGAATTCATCTTGGCATTCAGATAAATCAACCATCAATAGGCACACAGAGCTAACCACATTTACACACCTTTCAAAAGAGACAAAAATAGTAAGAAAGAAACAAAAAGACTAGAAACTGTTTATTGACTCAGTAGTCCAGCAGTCAACATTCATATAAGCAGGGATCAGTACCAGACAAATAATCAGGAAAATCTGGAAAAACAATATTCTAGTCAAAGAGGATACTACATCACCATCAAAACTGACAAGGCAACCTATGGGATACAAACAGGCAGCAAACCATACACTGATATTACCTAATTGGGTAATTAAATGTCTACAAGCAAATAGCCAAGCTCAGAGAGTACCAAGAACTCCACAAATCAACCGGGCCACATATATTCTCTTCTATTGAAGTTAAAGACGGCTATCCAACTAACACTATATAAATGAAAACGCCAGTTAATTAATAGATAGTGCTGAGTGTTCTATTTCTAAAGTATCTTGGAATATGGATAAATACATAATAAAAATTAATTAAATCTAAGTGCAGAATATAACCACCACAAACCTTAAGATCTTAAATAATACTAACATGTAAAATATTAAAGCAGATGTAATATATCAAACATTCATTAAAAAAATGAGCAATCCGGGGACTTTTGGTCATGTGCAGTCGCTCAGAAAGACTCCTCTCTTCGCTGGCTGTTTTCCCTCTGCTGGTAGACTCTTAATGGGGTCGAAAAGTCACCCTGGAGGGGCAACTACCGATGAGGACTGTCGTCAATCGCGGGGGGAGGCGGCAGCTCCTTCCGCGGTCCCAGGCAACTCCTTAGGATCGACGGAGAAAAGATCGGCCAGTAACATGGCCGATCATTTAGCTACACCAGCCGAAAGTCAAAAGAACATTTAAGCGTTAAGAAACCACCGTGGATGATCCGGGTGAGATCTTTCCCTCTCTCTTTGCCCTAACTACTCTCCTGTTAAAAGCCTTCTGGAACTATTTCCCTGCTTTGAAAGAGCTGCCTTTGTCTATCTGGGAAAAGAGCTTTAACAAAAGGAAAAAAAAGTTAACTTTTTACTATTTTTATTTTTGGTCACTTTGGGGCCCTGGAAAAAGCCCTATCATAGAACTTTATTATTATATCTATTTTTTAAGCTGGAGAATATTGTTGTCCTATTCATTTTTTTAAAGGGATAAATCTTTATTGTTTGAAAAAAAAACTTTATTGGAAGCAGGAAAAGAGATTTCACAGCTTAACTGAGGGCATCTTGTGGCGAAAACTATTATTGCAACTACATTTCCTCTGTTTTTTGAGGTTGGGTTTGACCTTCAAATGATGATAAAAGTGAAAAGATAAAGGATTTGAAACAGCTGGGTGGTGAAGTTGCTTACTAGTAATTGTAGAGGTGGATAAGTGCAGACTGTTTGTATATGTTGACTGTTAGTAAATATAACCTCCTCTAAAAAAGTAAAAGACTTTCTCACCACTGAAATGGAGGAATTTCATCCACAGCTTGATTATGAACTTATATTAGAAGCAATTTTGGAAGCAACAGTATATATGAATTCCTGGAGAAATGTTAAAGATGACATCTCTGAACCACAAATTGAATCTCAAATCCTAATGGATCACTCTACAGCAGCGGTTCTCAACCTATGGGTCGCAACCCCATTTGGGGTTGAACGACCATTTTACGGGGGTCGCCAAACAACACGATCCGCCATTTTTCCCCCTCAGGGGGCAGTGCCGCGCATGCGCGGCGCGCCTTCGCCGTCACACAAAGGTTGAGAACCGCTGCTCTACAGGCCAAGGAACTAACTCTAGAGAGGCCTGTATGCAGCAATATACACAACTTAAAGAGACAGAGGAACAAATCACTGAGCAAATCACTGAGCAAACAATTTATGGAGAATTTTGAAGATCAAAGAACGACTCTAACTGTGACACTTGCAGTGTTAAAAGTAGCAGGAACTGACTCTCAGATATGAATTACTGAGAATAGTGACATCGTGGATAATCAACTTGTGACTATAACACGGAAACAAA